TTGCATCGTGAGCGAGCGCATTTAAAAGTTCCAGATTGGTCATTGCTTTGAAATGAACTCCTGACTAAAAAGTTGCCTATGTTTTTGTCACGTTTGAATGAAATAAGTGGGGGTTACGAAAAGATAGTGCCAATCTCTGAATCGTTTTGGAGTAATTTAAAATTTTTAAGAATGATAGATTTAACTGCGTGGTTGCGAGGGTGAAATGTAAGAGTAAATGGAATGCGGTCAGTGTTCTCCTTCTCGGTCGTTTGTAGTGCTGCCTGCTGTCGATCGATTTGTTGGGCACGGTGGTAGCCCGCTTGAACGACAGAAACAGGATAGCCACGTTTATCGAAAAACTGGCACATTGCCTCTGATTTTTCGGAAAAATCAGAGTCGTCACTACATAAACGACGAAGTCTGAGAAACTGTGAAAAAGGTATGGAGTTCTTGACGTGTGATGGATGTGAGGATGAATACAACAAGTAACTATGTGAATCTGTAGGTTTGTAGTAAACACTAGTACATAAGCCGTTGCCTTCAATTGAAATTTTGATGTCTAGAAAAGCCAAAGAAGTGTCGGAAATTTCCCAGGTATATTTAAGAGCCGGATGAAAGGAATTGACGGCGGTTATAAATTGAGTGAGCTCCTCTTTGGTAGAGGAGGTAGCGCCGATGCAATCATCAATGTAGCGGCCGTAGAGTTCAGGTTTTGGGTCGTGGTATCTTTCTACATATAAATCCACACACAACCCACAATTCCTCTAATCGCTCTGACGAAGGGCTAACGCTCGAAACGTCAGCTTTTTTACCTTAAGCTTTTTTTTAACACTAAATTACCTGCTATACCAAGTTCGACTTGGTTGAGATAAGTCCGTATAGCCAGACGATTTGCTGGCCGCAGGTCTCCTTACTTCAACCGGATTTTATTCATCTGATAATCCTGTTTAGCCTTAGGTTGTAGTTCCACAGTATCGTGAACAGTGAGCCCAGAGGGAGGCAACTTTTTGGGCAAATAATAAAATGCGTTGAGATTAGTAAAAACTAGGCCAGTTTACTCTATCCACGAGTTGGAAACGGGACGATTTAATAGAGACCGACAGCGTTCCTACAGCCAGAGCAGTTCAGCTTGTTGAAATCTCCCAAAAGAAAGAGGTTACAGTTAGAAGGAACTCTCTTGTAAGTGTGTAGCGAATTTTTCCATTAGATCCACGTGAGAAGAGTGGAGAAAAGCATCAGTTTTACGTTCGTAAAAATTAGTTGTGACGGTAATGACCACCATGATAATTTATAGAATAATGCAGTTGCATTTTCCTACGTTGCACGCGACTGGTTTAAATCTTTTCGTAAAATATGTCCTTCGCTTCCGCAATTGCTTTGCACGAAGCATCTTAATAAATGTTTACCAATGAGACAGTCTTCAGAGTTATCCTCCTCAAAAATTTCATTGTTTTGGAATAGAAAGCGGAAGTCAAATTATTTGATCGCGCGTTATGATAGTGATCACCCTCATTTTAAAGTCACTGAAATTAAAACTCGAGTAACTATCGTCTCTTCTGTTGTAACCGTTTTCAAAGACCTAACCACTCCAAAAAAAAATCACCTACTTGCAGTATATACAAAAACCTACAAACAAGGAAGATCTCTCACCAAGAGAAAATAAAGGCGGATGCGACTAAGGTTACAAGTTTTCTGACTGACTGTTCTTATTCTTGATAGAAATTTGCTTGCTCATTATGTTCAGAATCACAGGCACGCCAAAATTTCAAACAGTTCTCTTTTTTTCTTGCAAATTGTTTGAAGTATCTATGAGATATTTTCCTAATACATCTCATTCTCACTGCATGCAAAACTGGTGGATTTCAACATGGCGGAATCCACATCAAATAAACACCGCTCCTCTTCAGGCCATGACGAGGACTTTGTAGAAGAAGTTGAAGAAGATTTTAAATGTCCCTTATGTCATTTACCGCTAAAGTAACCAGTTCTTACGAGATGTGGCCACAGATATTGCAAAGAATGTCCTGACGAGCACATTGAAAGGTAAGAGTTTACCATGAGCAGCTTTCAGCATTGTTGTTCGTTTATTCACTTCATCTAATCACCCTAGAGAATTCATGACAGGTCATCAGTGTGTTTCAACCGAATTATATCACTAGCAGAGTCGAAGTTCAACTAATTAGAGAATGGTGGTTGGTTACATGATCTTAAGAGAGGTTGTCAGTAATTTTCGAGAATCCGGCGACAGAAGAAAAAATTCAACTTTTTTTTTATTTGCTCCAAAAGACCCTTTTGGTGAATCGTTTTCAAAAATAATATTAAAAAGTTCCAGCGAGTTTTTATTTTGGAAAAAAATTCGAAAGTTCGAAATCGGCCAAAACGTACCTCATTTGCATAATTTCAATTAGGCTTTCAGTGCATTTTCACAACGCTCGCACAAGACAACGAAAAATTATCTTGGATTCATTTTTTTATAAGTTATCTTTCATCCCTCGGAGTAGCTTTGCAACTATATTTTATCTCCAACTGAACTTTCTTTCGTTTGTCACCACCCGCGTAAAGTACACTATATTTTCTATTCCGTTTGTACGCTGAATTTTGCTATATTTCAGACGACCATAACATCGAGGGTATACGAATGTACACAAAATAAAAGATCTCTTTTCAACGAGAAATTCTTCATGTTTATCATGTAAAAATACTAATTTTGGCCCGTGAAAAGCGAGCGCACCAGATCAAAATATATGGCGTGCATTTTCACGGAGTTAGGCCATTTTTCTTGCTGTACTCCTACTGCAAATCGCACGCTATTGGGACAAAACTCGACGTGTTTGGTCTCTACTTCAGTTTTGATTCATTTAAATATATCAATTTTAACTTAGAAATTAACTTACCTTTATTGTTAAGTGAACAAACCACCGTTATAGGTAAAGTTTTTGAGTTGACTTTTCTCGAGTGCTAAATAAACAAATTGCTGTTTACAAAGATACCAGCTCTGTCGACGTGTTTTTAGCTGATGGGAAAATCGTAGCGTTTCTTTCTCCTGTCGTTTATTACTTTAAAGATTTGCTAAAATCAGGAAATAGGGCCCCCGATATTAGATTTTTTTGCAAATTGTAGTGATTTATGCCAGTTAACGGTGGCGACAAGTAGGCGCACCATGTATATTTCACAGACGCTATCAAGTAAATTTTGCCGGACTTTGAGCTCGTCTCAAGATAGAACAACACAAATACACAAGGAAATTTTTACAGTAACTTTATAACCATCCTTTAGTCTTTAAAAAGCTTGAAGCTCAGTAGATTCTGTCATATCGGTCATTGTTAAAACTGTCTTTGTTTTGATGCTACTTTTCGACATAGGAAAAGTATGTCGGACAAAAATATTCACCAAAAAATAAATATTTCTTTACCAGCTTCAATAACGACAGGAGATTAAGTTTAGATGATAAAACAAAGAATTATGTTCACAGAAATACCGTAGGTCTGGTACATTCGTTACATGAGGTCACACAACTCGGGTAATATTCACGGTGAAAATTTGCATATTTGAGCGGTCGAACGAAAGAAATTAATTCTCGAAAACTAAAACAAATTTTTACAAAAAAACTACACCACAATTATTAGAACATATTGGGCTACAAAATATGAAAGTAGGAGTGAAAACAAATTTGGGTGACTTGCCGCTGTTTGTTCGATGTATGGTGACATTAGCTCTTAATTACTCGGCCACTTAATTACATGAATATTAGACTTATCTTATGTACCTTATAAATTATATCAATGCAATATACTCGCTCGGAAAAAAACCTAACAACGGTTTGACACACTGTTTGTAGCTACGGGCCAAATATGTTTCTTACGACAAAAAACAAATGATTGAGTACCTTGGTTTCTGTGTTCGATGTTGTAGCTTCTGGATGCTGCTGTGGAATTTGATTTAGTAACTGTTGTTATCAATGTTGTTAAGTGGCGTCGACTGTATTGAATTAGACAAAGGTGTTGGTTGAGATGGGGCATGCGAATAATTGCAGTACATATTTGCTTGTTTCCTTGCCTCCTTACTTATTTCTTTACCATTCTTAACAAGTTAATTTTCTAACAGACAGTAGAGTAAAGAGTCTTTAGAGTCTTTAACCTGCACGGCAGACAGGCAGAATCTGGACCCAGACCGGGTAAGTAAACTTTTTAACTTCTAAAAATTTTAGGATAATTTGCCTGGCTGAGTGCAGGTAAAGACCAACGCAATTATTCAGCATTATTTTTATTACTTATTAAGTCTTGACCACTCTAAATGGTCTGACTTGTTAGAGTTTTCCTCAAACACACATTAATTTTTTAATTAAATATTTTGAACGACGTTCTCTTTTCTTCAGTCTATTTTTTTCCTGATCTTGATATACACCTTACCTATTTGCATTTTTCTTAAAATAATACAACACTTTCTACTACAGGCTCTTATAAAAAGAAAACAACTGTCAACTTAGAAATTGACCGATCTGGATCTTGGTGACGTAAGAATAATATTACTGTGATTATTTCTAGGGACATTTTCCCTGATAAAGCAGCAGAAAGGAGGATTCTCTCTCTGGTGATCAGATGTCCAAATGATGGCTGTGAAGGGACTGGGGAGCTGAGGAACAAGAAGGTAAAACTAGCGCATATTTCGATAAATGTCAATAAACAACTTTATCATCATAAATTATTGTTTTCGTTGACATGACAAAGACACAGACATCGCTCAAGTTCCTACATGTGGAAGCCAAGACATAGAGACGATGGGCTTGATCATTTTTAACTTCTCACGAAGAGCAGGGAACCAATATCCAAACATAAGTTGTTTTGGTTTTATTTGTTGAACAGATCCACTAGGAATCTTGCTCTCTTCAGTAAGTAGCGTGTGCTAACAAGAACTGTCACGAAAAAGTCTAAAGAGGACATCTTACACGGCACGAAAATAATGTTTGTCCATGGAGTATCCTTCAATGTACATACTGCACGGAGCCCCACCCAGACTACATGATGCAAGTAAGGATTGTAATAGTGGAGGAATCTAAGAGAAATAATACACCTCTTACCGGGAAATCTTAATGTTTCTGTGGAAATAATTGAGACCCTTAAAATCGAATAGGAATTAGAGTACATAGATGACAAAATATATTTTCAATTTTTAAACCTCAGTGAGGTTATGGCTTTTACGGCTATTGGTTAAAATTTTGGCCACTTAACGGTTAACCCCATTGAGACTCTTTTTCGAGCCCGACTCCCGACGGAAATTGATTGAAAAAAGGAAACATAATAAAATCAAATTTCCGCATTGCTGTGTTTACTTGATTCTTTTTTTATTTTTTTTGTAGGGCCTTATTAGACAGTGCAGCAAGTTCACAGTAACTTGTCCAAACAGCTGTGGTCGTTCAATTCCAAGGGATATGGTGAGACTTGCAGCTTTATCTCTGATATACAGTCTGGCCCTGTTTGCTCGAAGGTTGGATAGCGCCATCCACTGTATAAAACTATATCCGGCGGATAACGGCATACGTTTTGCTATTAATTATCCGCTGGATAACGATTTATTCGTTTGATACCGTTATCCGCCCTCCATACGACTGGGCCCTGAAGTTTGCAGCGAATCTTTTGCTACTAGATGCAGCATTGATATATGATAGTTTTCTTTTAAACATCAAATTACATCTTTTTACTTGAAAATTTCCTAAGATAATGCAAAACATACAAAATTATGAATCGTAAAAACATTTCCGACGGACATACAGGCGGATGCCTCACAGCTATAAAAATTTCTGACTAATGGTTCTTACTGATGCTTGATCAAAATTTTCTTTAATTAGATTCATAATCACAGGCACACAATATTGAAGAGAGAAAAATGTCAAACAGCTCCTTTTTTGCTTTATTTGAAGCCTCTCATGTTATTTCCCCGTTACATCTCATTCTCGATGAAAAACAACAAACAATCTTTGCAGGTCGCGTTCATTCTTTTTTTCAGCCTGTTCTAGGCTCTCAGTCATTGAAAAACGCAAAACGGTGAAGGAGAGCTACATAAAATTGTTATGAGAACCTCACTGTGGTGTTCCAGCGACAGTAATCGGCGATCATCGGTTGATTTTGAATTTCTTTATCAACACTTGCATCTACGTCAATCACTCGACTTCATACGATGGATTCCAAACGATGCCACAGTTTTATTCATTATATTCGATTCCCACTCGAAAAAGGCAGATAAGCGAAAAGTGGCATCTGCAGAAAAAAGGCTGTAGAACTTAACATGACGCTCAAGTTTATTCCCGCCACTCCTTCAGCACTCTTTTCCACTGACAGATTTTGGTGTGTGCCATTCCTCTTTATTTTAGTCCTTTATTTCATGTGATGCAGGTTTCGAATCACACTAAAGATGAGTGTCCGCTGACCATAATTTCCTGTCCACATGCAGGAATGGGTTGTACTTCAAAGGTGAGAAATTAATACGACAGGCCCAGAGAAACGCATGCACCTTATGACCTTATGTTCCATCGTGGTATGCTTCGTATTTGTTCATGTCAAGACAAATTTTGGAAGCTACCTTTTTTTTATACAAAATGTTCCCAGCAGCTACGAAATGAAGCAGACAGTTTCGGGCGGGTAAGGTGGATAAACCAATATCTGCCGCTAATAGCTAATTCCTTCACATTAGTATAGATAATCACATGATTTCGAATGCAATTTGGAATAAATAAGCACGAGTAAATTAACAAGTACTTATTTATTCCAAATTGCACGAGAAAAATCATGTAATTACCAGGGTTCCTCCTTGTTTTCAGCACAACAGGTAAGGGACCTTTTCAAACCGGCAGAGCACATTTGCAGCTTCAGGCGGCTGGTCATTCTCAACTTTGTCATTTCTTAAAGCATACAGTACATCGCGCCTTCAAAAATTCTCCATCGAAAAATTCATAATGTGAACGATACACCTTTAGGTTCAGAGGTTGAACAAAACAAAGTAAAATTTTGTTTAAAAGCATTGTATTTGACTACGCCCTTTCCAAACTGCTTATAACGTAAACTGGTCTTCCTTCGATTTCGGGTGATATCTCTGGCGTCACTTACATGGCATATCGCTGAAAATCAGCGGTGTCAGTTACGAATCGCATTGCTATGAAATCGAATCACATCGACTAGCTGAATTCGTGTTCTAATCGTCTCAAATTTAGAACTTTTACGCTGTTGAGAGATTTTATCTTCAAGGCTTCCTTCAAACCGTTGTCTGAAACACATTTCAAGTAGAATTTCACGATGAAGACTAGCTTCGTCCCTATGTGTTCGTGGGGCAATTGTAGAGCTGTTAAGGCGGTTATTCTGGCAATTGGCTGCTTTTCCATCGCTAGTACGTAACCTTTGTTTTGTTTACCCCTAAAATTCTTGTAAAGGTTACCAGCCACTTTTCGTGACCTCGTGTTAGTGGATAGAAATGACAGCATTGTTTGCTACCGTCTTATTGTGGAAACTGAACAACTAAACGACACCACATTTACACGTGCAGAGAACTGACAAATGTCATGAAATTTAGCAGAAAGCCCGCGAAAAATCACTCTTGCTTCGAAATTCGAAAGGTACCAGTCAATGTTAGCTAACTAAAGCGCACGTAGATCTACAATAGTGCACACTGTTGGCTTGCTATTACACTTTCTGACCAGATTAGCTCACCATAAATGCGTATTTTTTAAAAGGTTATGAGCGTTTGCAGGCGGTAATAAGTGCTCTTACAAGCGGTAAATTTTACCGGTTACCGCCTGATAAGGAGACCTCTGAATGATTATGTATTAATAATAAACATTAAAAAATACGAGATAGCTTATCATAATTATTCAGAAGCAAAGTGCTCACATCAAGTGCAAAAATAGTCTATTTAAACCCGCGTACGATCAAAACAGTAATAGAAAATGATATTTTCACATCTTTATGGCACAAAAAAGTTCAAAGTCCAGCTAAACAGTTCAAGGAATTGTTCAGTCTGTGTCCGAATCACTTTCGATGGAATGAAATCGTCGTTTGCGAGGTTTAACAATGTTTGTTTTTAGTTTCGGCGTAGAATCGCTCGAGCAAAGTCGGGTCGGCTTGTAATTTTCGATTTCCTTGGCAATTCCCCTTCTAAACACCACTTTTTCCGAACCAACAACCAAAAAGCAGTGCTTTTTACAGTGTTTTCTTTGCTAGAGCTGTTTTTCAGCTGCTGTGTTATTGTTGCGGTGGCGAAAGAAAACCTACTTAAAACGCCAGCCGTTGTTTCGCTCGCAAATTTTAAGCGTATCCAAATGTTGGGACACCCAAGGCTCGCATTTGATTGGCTATCTATGAGTTTCTTTGATTATTGACCAATCAGAATGTCTGGTTTATTATTTCTTTGCACTGAATTAACCCTCTTCTGCATTGAATTACCTGAAAACTGCATTTATCTTAACCAATCAGAACTGAGTAATTTTTTCATGTATGTTATTGATGAATTAATCCTGTACATTTATGGAGGCAGTCATGTAATAAATGACCTTTCTAGTCGAAAGTTCGAGGAAATATAACCAACAGAAAAGATTCTGACGAGTGTGTTGAAGATCACGTGATATCGATATCAAAACTAAATCAAATTAGCTGTTTAAGCTAAGGGCTTAATTAAAGGTATGTATAATTTCAGGTAAATGAAGTATAAATTTTTCTGTAGGTCCAACGTATCACCTTGAATCAGCAACAAAAATACATCTTGATTTAGTTTGTATTAAATTAAACAACACCGAAGACAAGTTCAATAAAACAGATGATGAGCTGAATAACACAAAAGATAAATTGAAGAAAACAGAAGCTTTGTTAAATGAGACAAGACTTGAGTTGAAAAATGCCATGGAACTGCTAAAGTTGTCGAGCGTAAAACATAACAACGTGTTTCTTTGGGGAACTGACAGTTTTAGCGAGATTTTGAAAGAAGCCAAAAACGGAGGAAAAGAGGAACTAGGCAGTGATGCATTCTACACCAAAAGTGAAGCAGAAAGTTTTGGTTACAAGTTAAGAGTTTTTATTTGCCCTAAATGGGGTCTTTTAGATTTTACATCTCATTTGAAACTTCATTCGCGGTGGTACGTAGTGGATAACACATTGTTCTTCAGGTTTAGATTAGTTCACCATCTAATACGAACTCCAGACTTGAAGGTTAAGAAAAATACGGGTTATATTCTCGATGGAACTTTGACAAATTGTCCAAAGAGTGGACTCTGACAAATCGTTTCTAACTTTCCACGAACGTTTGACTTCATTTTCAGTTTATTAATGCTGTTACCTATTTAATAGCATCACAAAGCCAGTTATTTTTCTATCTCCAACGAACCCAGATAAGCAAGGACCAACCGTAGATAACATAAAGCCATCATAGTTTCGAATCATGCTCTCAACTCTTGTTTTGTTGCGGAAGAGCCCTTGTTTCACAGAGTGGTGGCTAATTGGTATACTTCTAGTGATAACATTTAAGATATGGAGAGTGCAGGGGCTGCCTTTGGGGGCCTCGACAGGCTCCTTTTGCGAGACAAAAATCAGCAAAATACATTTTACAGCCTTAAAAAAAAGAAATTGAATCTCAGATTAGCCATCCTATTCCAACAGCCGCGATCTTATTCGAGCCGCTGAAAGAGCGTGCAGGAGTTATAATACGAGCTTGTCGATCGATGATAAACTTTTTAAAACAGGCAGGAAGTTAAATTTATTTCTTAGGCACAGCCAGAGTAAAACAGAGGGAATTCACGGAGTTATTTCAAACTAAGCCTCAGACCCGATCATTGCCTCTTGAAAATTCGACAAAGATTTGTTTTTTGTTTCCCTCTTTGGGCTAGCTTACGAAACTAGGACATGGCAAGTCTTTGACAGACGGCAGTTTTAGTATTGGCTCGTAAGATAGATTACATTCGTTTGAGAGCTTGTCTGGAGTTATCACAAGCAACGTTTCCAATAAATATATCTTATTACACGTTTTGTGTGTAGCAACGCTGAGTATTTCTACGAGTTGTGCCGTATTTTGCCGAATACAAAGAAAAATACTCACCAAAACGTTTAATAAATTATTTATTATCCAACTGCTTTTCTTACTGCTAAGTCTTTCTTATCATTTCTCATAAGGCGGGAAGAGAAAAGCGGATAGAGAAACGTGGCGCGCGCAGCCAACTGGTTAAACAAGATTTTTACAGTAAAAAATAACCAACTGTCCAAATAACCGTACAATATCGCTGGATATTTGTACTCTACTTTGTGCAGTTGGATAATAATATTCATCTGTTTACCTCTCTCGGAATTTTGTGCGCTGTTATTGTTCAATCGATCAGGCCGTACTTCACTGTACAGCCCGATGAGTTCAAGTCAATCCTTGTTTTAATTGAAATCTTTCCCCTTCTTAACCCTTTAACTCCAAAGATCTCTTTAGTAATTCTCCTTACTGTCTGCCAAACAATTCTCACTATGCCCGTAAATGATATTTTTCTTAATTCTCATCACTTGTTTACATGATATTGTTTAGACATATTAGGAAAAATTCTGTCTTGGTCACTCAAGGGAGTTGAAGGGTTAATATGAGCCCAGAGATGTAAAAGATATCGTAATAACCTCGTGTTCTTGAACGGCACTGTGAGTTACAAAACTTCAGTCGATTTTTTTCCACTCGGATTTATGGCCCGGGCTTGGGCCATAAATCCGAGTGGAAAAAACTTCGATCCCTGTGAGTGTGAACCTCGACCGCGGTTGGTAAGAGGTATTTAATATTTGTGAATTTCATTCAGTCGAGGCAATTAATAATTTTTAAAGAGCCCATTTGCGCCTGAGGCTGAAAAAAATAATAAAAACTGAAAAGACTGAACCGTTTTGCACAGACTGTCAATTAACTGAAAACAAAATAAAATTTCTGAGAAATGGCTATGCTTGACTGAGTTGCCAAACCTCTATCGAACTCGTGACGAACGGATGGCCCTCGTGCAATAGCTTCCTTCAACCCGTCTGAGTAAGAAAAGACCTCAATGACGTCTTGAACTCATCGGAAGTAATTTCACTTTCTTTGGTGCATTTTCCACTCCTTTCTTAAAAAATGACGTATGAAGCGCTCCTGATAAAAAAGGATTCCGTCTTGACAGGAAATTTTGAAAAGGCAGATAGAAACAAGTCACGGGGATTAAAGAGGAAGAACTTGCTCGATTTCGAATAAAAAATCATACATTTTTTAAGTTAGCAATCAGTAAAACAGAAGATGAGTTGAATGAAAAAAATAAATAAATAAGTTAAAGAAGACAGATGATAACCTGACTCGCACAGAAGCTATGTTCAACGAGACAAAGTTGATTCGAAAAAAGCCATGGAACTGCTGCAGTTGTCAAGCCTAAAAACGTGTTTCTTTGGCGGGTTGACAGTTTCAGCGAGATTTTGAGAAAAGCAAAGAAAGGTAAAAAACAGAGAACAGAGAGAGATTCATTCAACACCAAAATCGATACTGAGAGCTAAGACTAAACCTTGAAAGCACGAATTTGCCCCAATGGCTTTGAAGGTGACAAGGATACTCACCTACACATATGCAATGCGCACATCGTGAGACAAACAATTCTACTCCTCTTTTGAAAGTGTTATTTACCACGATGACAAACCTATTTTACGATTATAGAACTTTTTCCCAGCCTTTGCATGTAATCAGTATAGTTTTGGTCTTACAATATTCTCCAGGTTTTTCTGCAAGGTAAACTTGAATTTTCACAACAACCCTTGAATTAACAGCCACTCACTCTGCCTCAGTGATAAATGTATGATTGTTAATTTCAACCGTTCTATTTGACATAATATCAATATTCAGTAGTCAAGAGCTCGGACTAATAGCCTTATAAAGTCGACATGCAATCATATTGGTATGAAAGCCATGAAATCTTGATACCCTATGTCCAAGATAATTTTAAAATTTTTTCAGGCACTTTAAAGAATTCTCATTTTTTGTAACTGATCACAGTTTTTTTTTCCTTACTATCCTTGGGAAGAGGGTTGGAAAATGACCACTTAAGAGTGTTAGGCTGGGAAATTCAAAATTTCACATTCCTGAATTTGAGGGGAGAAAAGCACTTTTCTGTTCAAATCGCCGGAGACCGCCAAAAACGAAGCCGAGAACCCGGGTTTCTTTGAGAGAAATCAAACCACAGGTAGCAGAGGAGTCCAATTTGCCCATTTCTCTTGTTAACGGCACAAGCTTGTCGCGAAATGATTACTTCTGGTGTGTAACGCCATCACACTTCTTCACGATTTATGAACGAGATCTAATCGAACTACAATTTTACTGACGTAAGTCAAAGAAAAGATCAAAGTCGACTCTTTTGATCCTTGTTAATCCAGAAACGTATCCCACTAATGTAAGGTCCTAAGACTCTATAGGGATCGAGTAAGATTGAAAAAATGTGGCACAAGGTCGGAAAAATGAACCCCTCGATATTTCGTCCAGAGATAACCTATGGTATGCTAAGAATCCTGATATAAGTCTTAGGTTCTATAGTTTTAACATTTTTGAGAAAATTACGAAAAACCGTCGACCACCCGTGAAGCCGAAAAATCACAGAAATGAGGTCAAATTTCATGGTCAGATAATCGAACTCGCGTGAAGGCGCATAACGAATTATGGTTTCCCTTAGTTTATAATTTTATTTAGGAGGTATTGCTAAGCTGCCTTGATGATATTTTAGACTTACAATAGTGATTCCGAATTCCTGGAGAGCAAGCGAAGAGAACCGAAATTTCTAGACTCTGAAAATCAAAAATTCCATACCGTTTTCAAACATCTCGAAACATACTCGGTATAATGTAGAATTTTTTCAAAATTAAATTCTAGCAAATACAAGAGCTGTTTTTGAACGTAATATAATTTTTTTCTTGGCAAGAGTTATTTCTGAGGCGAGCGGCCCCATGCAAGTTGACCCAATTTGACCTTTCGAAGAAATTTGTTTCACCAGGAAATGTAAACAATTCGACTAGCCTTAGCTCGCTTTCTGAGCAAACCATTGAAAAACCCTGCCATTTCCCATTGAAACTGCCCAGTAAACCCGACATAATACTTCGATGACAGCTTACCTTCCAAATGGGTGTTTGAAGGAAAATAATTTTGACGTTCTCTGTCAATTTTCCCATTGCTTTGTTGCCACGCTTCATAATTTAGGGTCATATCTTGACATCGGGCTTGTACGTGCATCGAACTTAATGACATGGATTCTAAGAAGAAAGTCCATACGACAGCGCTCGCACGATTGACGTACGCTTAGGTTAGGGTTTGGCGTGGTATCTGGGTCGTGATACTGAAGAACGTATCCCTATGTTTACCCTCCTACTATCCGCCTACCCCTCCCTTGTGCTAAGTTTGGGCTTTACTTATCCGCTTTGCAGCGACATTTTTGACAGTACTCCTCAATTTTGTCTGCATAGGGTTGTTTACGTTTGATGGCAACATCAACAGCAATATCAAGCCCGCACAAATTTCTCTTAGTTTTGCAACTGATAACTTGGTCGTGTTGAGTTTCCCTCCTGAGGTCATTTCGCATAGATTATATTGATCCCACATGATGGGGTGTCCTGGCAAAAGTTCCTGAGAAACCTCAATCGTCAATTCTTCGATGGTTGCCTCCTGGGTGGAACATTCAATCTCCTCTTCAAGATCATCATTGTTAAATTGAAGACCTTGCTAAAATCAGTTCCAGTTCAGTGTCTACGCCGCTGCCGGTCAGCAGCCCAAGAGAGCTTTTGTGGCGTGATATATCCTTGTTACAAGTTAGCAAGGGAACTAAATCTTGGACTTTAGTGCTTCGAGGGTCTTGACCGCATTGGCCACCAACTAGCCGCTGAAACGAGCAATTTCTCTCCATTTTCCAATTCTTTAACCAATGACGCAGAGCAAATGACTCAATTTCGGCAGAAGTAAACACATGAGTCCTAATTACTCGGGATGCCGAATTGTAAATAATGTTTGAGTTCATTTTTTTTTTTTTTTGACCAAGTGAGCGCTCAAGTTATACAATACACTTTAACAGACCTAAACTCATTTTCCTGCACATATCTTTGTAAAGTTGTAAAGATTTTAATCCAGTGGAGTTTGTCCGCGTAATAAGGTTTGCTGAATTTAAGAAAAAGGTAGGAGCTTCGCACGTGCTAGCTTCGCTTATCGGGTAAGCGATCGACAAGTTCGATTTTAAAAGATAACAGCTCGAACTCTGTGAGAATTCTATATTTAAAACTTTTTTAGAGGTAAGCAAAGCGTTTGCGTTTGGTAATTATCTGTTTTAAACAAAAAGCGTGCGTTTAAAAGCGTGCGTTTACTTTTGCATCGAAAGGTATCTTGTTTAACATGATTCCTAAAAAGTTGGATGCACCACGAAGAGGACCTATTTGCGTGTCCACCTGCCATGGGCAGATTGGTAAATATAATTAATACAAATTACAAAAACTCGCTTTGCGGCCAGTAACTTTTTCAGATATACATTACTATTCCCTTTTATCTAGCTTTAGGAAATCATTAGCAATGAACCTGCCCAGGTATTTGAATTTTGGAGCTAAAACTAGATAGGATTTCTAGTTTGTTGCACAGTCACTAGAAAATGGGAAAAGTAAATTTATTGCGTGTATATACACCGATTCAAAGTATTGCATACAAAGAACTCTCCTTCAATATAGGCTTATGATAACAAAAAAAAAACCGAAACCAAAACATCGTATGCTAGTAAGGAAGAAAATGAAGAAATAAGCAAAAGCAAGACAAAAATATTCATGCGGATGTATTTGCGGCACGTGATCACTTAGATGTAAAGATTGCGTGACATCGATCTGGGTCTATTTTTCAGTTCAATTAGTTCCTTCACTTCTTGCCTCTTTTCATTAGAAACATTCAATACAAAACTCAATAGATACTCAGAGGAGGCTTTATATGCAAGACATGGATCCAGGTCCCGAAAAAACATCGCAAAAACCAGAGAAACTACAGATGACACTCAGAAAATGCCGTAGCCGTATGAAAAGGCCGGTGGCTGAGCACGGCAGCAAGACACAGGAAAATTAGCGAAGAACATCAAAGTTATTTGCCTTCAAACACCCATTTGGAAGGTAAGCTGTCATCGAAGTATTATATCAGGTTTACTGGACAATTTTAATGGGAAATGGCAGGGTTTTTCAATGGTCTGCTCAGAAAGCGAGCTAAGGCTAGTGGAATTGTTACATTTCCTGGTGAAACAAAATCTCTTCGAAAGGTCATATTGGGTCAACTTGCATGGGACCGCTCGCCTCGGAAATAACTTTTGCCAAGAAAAAAATTATATCATATTCAAAAACAGCTCTTGTACTTGCTATAATTTGATTTTGAAAGAATTCTACATTATACCGAGTATGTTTTGAGATGTTTGAAAACGGTATGGAATTTTTGATTTTCAGAGACTGGAAATTTCGGTTCTCTTCTCTTGCTCCCCAGGAATTCGGAATTACTACTGCAAGTCTAGAATACCATCAAGGCAGCTTAGCAATGCCTCCTAAAGAAAATTATAAACTAAGGGAAACCATAATTTGCAATGCGCCTTCACGCGAGTTCGATTATTTGATCATGAAATTTGACCTCATTTCTGTGATTTTTCGGCTTCACGGGTCGACGGTGTTTCGTAATTTTCATAAAAATGTAAAAACTCTAGAATCTAAAACTAATATCACGATTCTTAGTATACCATAGGTTATCTCTGGACGAAATATAAAGGGGCCCATTTCTCCGACCTTGTGCAGCCCCTCACGCGGTGTTAGGTAGAGTGACTCTTAATAACTTACACCATGAATGGAAAAAATTTGATTTGGTCATAAAATAAATCGATGGCAACCCTATAAAAAGAGATTTCTATAACCAGCTAAGTCATAATTTCTTTCCACATAGAAAAGAGTTGCAAGAGTTAAAAATTTTCAATCGATCAAGGCCAGTGCAAGTGAAAATGCAGCCGAGAGAGCGGGAGCAGTATGTCTTAATGCAAAAGCAGCGTTATTTCCCACTTTCAAGAAGTCTTGAGTTACTGCGTTACAAACACCTTTCAAAGCAAGGGTCAAATATTTTCGTTACTTTCATAATTTAACTTCGAGTCTCGGGTGGATTTCAATATGGCGGAATCCACATCAAATGATCACCGCTCTCCTTCGGGCTATGAAGAGGACTTTGTGGAAGAAGTTGAAGAAGATTTTCAATGTCCCATATGTCATTTACCGCTAAAGGAACCAGTTCAAACGAGATGTGGCCACAGATATTGCAAAGAATGTCTTGACGAGTACATTGGAAGGTAGGAGTTTATCATTAGCAGCTTTCAGGATTGTTGTTCGTTTATTCACGTAATCTAATCACCCTGGAGAATTCATGATAGGTGTGTTTCAACTGAATTCAATCATTACCAAAGTCAAAGTCCATAAATTCCATCTATTTAGAGGATGGTGGTCGGATGCATGATCTTACACAGCAATTGCAATGATGATGACCACTACAGTAATTTACCTGGTGATGCAAATTTTCAATTTCTAGCATTCCATTCGATTGGTCTCAATCAAAATACGCGCCCATCTTCCTCTAAAAAGCACGATACGTTTTCTCACTTATCAAAGGTAATACACGGGTTTCATACTCACTTATTCAAAGAGCAAATATCTTAGAATCGAAAGCGAAAATCGATCGGTAGTGCAATTATCTACTACAAGCGTGATTGCTGCTCAAAGTTCAAACCTTTTCTCCACATTCATTCCTTTGTGCTTAAAGTACTGCAATAGTACTAAACCTATCGCGCTATTTTTAGTTTCATTTCGTCTCATTCGTCATCCACAACTCAATTGCGCGGTCACTAAATTACATGAATATATACTTATCTTACGTATCTTGTAAATTGTGTCGAGGCAATGAAATATACTCGCTTGGAAAAATCCTAACAAGGGCTTCATCCACCTCAATATTCTTTTATCGATGATGTAGTTTCCGTATGCTGCTGTGGAAGTTGAATCAGCAACTGTCGTTGTCATTGTTGTGAAATGGCGTTGACTGTATTGAATAAGATAAAAGTAAAGATTGAGATGGGGTATGAGAATAATTACAGTACATATTTGCATGCCTGCTTCCTTACTTATTTCCTTCCTTACTTATTTCTTTACCATTCTTAATAATTTAATTTTTCTCGCAGACAGCAGAGTAAAAAAGAGTCATTAACCTGCCCGGCAGACAGGCAGAATCTGGACCCAGACCGGGTAAGTAAACTTTTTAACTACTGAAAATTTAATAGTGATTTGCTCGGCTGAGTGCAGGTAAAGACCGACACAATCATTTAACAATATTTTTAATACTTCTTTTAAGAAGTCATCAAAATAATGCTAAATAACTGTGACTTAAAAGTCTGACCATTGTCAACGAATTGACTTGTTAGAGTCTTCCTCAAACACACGTTTTATTTTTCAAAGAAATATTTTGAACAATGTTCTCTTTTCTTTCGTCTATTTTTTTCTGTTCTTGAAATATACCTTACCAATTTGTATTTTTCTTAAAACATCACTTTTATTTTAATTAAATACTCCCTAGTAAAGGCTCTTCTAAAGGAAAGCACTCATGCTTAAGTCAATTGTCACCTACTATGATTATTTCTAAGGACATTTTCCCTGATAAAGCAACAGAAAGGAGGATTCTCTCTATGGCGATCAGATGTCCAAGTGATGGCTGTGAATGGACTGGGGAGCTGAGGAACAAGAAGGTAAAAGTAACGTATATTTCGATAAATGTCAATAAACAACTTTATCAGCATGAGTTACTGTTTTCGTCTGTTGAAATAACAAATCCACAGACATAGCTCAAGTTCCTACATGTAGAAGCCAAGACATAGAGACGATGGGCTTGATAATTTTAACTTCTCAGGGAGAGTTAGGAACCAATACCCAAACTTAAATTGTTTTGGTTTTATTTGTTGAACAGATCCACTTGGAATCTTGCCCTTTTCAGCAAGTACTGTGTGCTAATAAGAACTGTCACGAGAAAGTCCAAAGAAGACATCTTACACAGCACGAAAATAATGTGTGTCCATGGAGGATCCTTCAATGTACATACTGCACGGAGCCCCACCCAGACTGCATGATGCAAGTAAGGATTATAATAGTGGAGAAATCTAAGAAAAATAACACACCTCTTGCCAGGAAATCTTTTAATGTTTCTGTGGAAAATTGAAACCCTTAAAATCGAATAGGAATAGAGTAAACAGATAATAAAATATATTTTCGATTCTTAAAGAAGGTCTCCATGATGGCTTTTACGGCTTTGATTAAAATTTTGGCCACTGTTTTTTGCTACTGTCTTTTCATTCCACCCACTAGGAAAAATTCAAGGTTAATTTTTTTACGACTTTTTTGGCCCTTTTACGGATGACGGTTAACACCATTGACACTCTCTTTATAGCCCGATTTTCGAAGAAAATTGATTGAAAAAAAGGAAACGTAGTGAAATCAAATTTCCGCATTCCTGTGTTTCTTTGAATTTTCTTTTCGTAGGACCATATTAGACAGTGCAGCAAGTTCCCAGTAACTTGTCCAAACAGCTGTGGTCGTTCAATTCTAAAGGATATGGTGAGACTTTCAGCTTTATCTGTGATGTAAAATCTGAAGTTTTAAGTGAATCTTTCGCAACTAGATGTAGCTTTAATACACGCTATTTATCCTTCAAACATCAATTTACATCCTTTCACTTTAAGATAGGATACTGTAAAACATACAAAATTATGAATCGTAAAAATATTTCCGACGGAAATAAAGGTGGATGTAATGATTCTTACTGATACTTGATCTGATCAAAATTTTCTTTAATTAGTTTCATAATCACAAGCACACGATGCTAACGAGAGATAAATGCCAAACAGCTCCCTTTTTGCTTTATTTATAGCCTCTCATATTATTTCCCCGTTATATAACACTCTCACTGAATAGCAACAAACTATCTTTACAGGCCGAATTCATTTTTTTTTCAGCCTGTTCCAGGCTCAGTCGATGAAAAACGCTAAACGGCGAAGGAGAGCCACATAAATTGTTATCGCTTATCCCACCGACCATGTTTTATTTGGGGTGGACGGCGGGGGTAGGGGGTAGAGGGAAGGGCGAGAAGACGCTTGCTCGAAGAGGTTGTTGAAAAGCAAAACACTATCTGATTAGTTGCACGCAAATGAGTAGGTCACCAATCAAAATGAGTAAAATTAATAACCGGAGGCACTGTCTATTATTATTATTACAAAAGTGAAATGTCAGAATGACGCTCAAATGACACATTTGGCTTGTGATTGAGTTTAACCGCACCAATAAGGAACTCCTTTCGTTGGCGAACAGAAATTTCCAAAATAACAACGACTTCGGGCAGGCGTAACCTTCACTCCCCTACCCCCACCCCTCTCCTTATTTTTGACTGTCGACTGCCCCCTTGGTACAAATTTCTTTCTCTCCCCAGCCTTCCGCAGCCATTAAAATTAAAGATAGTGGCCAAAATTTTCGTTAAGAAAATACTGAGCACTCGCTCGCCAAAATTAGGTTGTGCCGCAATCCTACTAGCTAGAGGTACGCCCGAGCAGCACTACTGACGACTTTCCCAGTCGAGCGATTATCGGAAATTGTCGGCTAATTCCAATATGACGCACTATTCCAGTTTTACCAACAGTTTAGGGACGTGACTGAATCAGACATGAACATTATCAAATGGCTTAAATGTGATGAATACATTGTAGAGTTTAAATCAAGGAGGTTTCGCTAAATTTTGTATGGCTGTTTCCTTCAGCCTCGTCGATCCTAAGTTTCTTGTTCAGCAGAGTTTTAGCTTAACACTGTGGCCGCTAACACCAACGCTTGCAAAGCTAAACAAAACTTACGAATAGTATCGCCATTGTAATGCCCTTGTCATAGTGCTACTGGTAAGAAAAATCCCCATGATGAAATTTCTATATATTGTCTTGTAACTCTCGCCAGTAGGATCTCAGGAGGCGTAGAAAATATTACCGGCTAGAGGTACAGCTTGCATATTTAGCCCACTTTGCCCAATTGTTACTACGGTTTGCTTCACATTTTATTTTTTTGCACTCCAAATTAGTCTTACACTCCTTTTTAGTCTTACATTTGTGTTTTCAAGAACAAATTTACATTTATTTATTTTAATTTGATCTTGTACCTTTAGCTGATAGGATCTGAAGGGGCTTATAAAATACTATCGGCTAGAGGTACAGCTTGCATGCTTAGTCGACTTAGTAATTTTTATTACGGTTTTCTTCACATTCGTTTTTTCTGCACTCCAAGTCGTAGTCTTGAGGTACAGCTTGCATATTTCAACTTTGCCCAATTTTTACTTTTTGGCACTCCAAATTAGTCTTACACTCTTTGGAATCACTTTTTTATGAATACATTTGCATTTTGTACTTTCTTAATGAGCTGGTAAGATCTTAGGAGGCTTAGAAAATACTTGAAGTACAGTTTGCATACTTAGTTGACTTTGCCCGATTTTTACTACAGTATGCTTTGCATTTTACTTTTTGGCATTCCATTTTAGTCTAATACTACATTGGAATCCCTTTTTTCAGAATATCTTCTTATTCCTTGGTCGTGTACTTACTGTTGCTTATTTGACGGCACAGTACACAAGCTATAGTCATCAAATGACTCTTTATGGGGAATCAGCTAAAACTAACGCAGGCATTATTAGCAAAGGGTTCCTGGTTGGTGTTAAAATGAGAAGGGTTTGATTTCTTTATAATAATAGCAATTTTTATTTTGAAAAATACAATAAATATCACAGGCGCAGGCTAATCCTATTTATTAATTGCACAAATTTTATATATATAGTGGATGGCCATTTCATATTTTCAAGGATAACTTGCCTTAAGGTTTTCATGCAGTCATACATGCAGTCAAATATCAATGAAAATACTAAAGGAAAATGTCAATTTGATGAATTAAAATTATGTTATCCTATGACTACCTAAAGATGACTTGATTCTAGTATTTCAAACAATGGTTGGCCTTGTCAACAATACTTCTAATCAAACACGAACATCATGAAAATAGAGACTGTTCCTTTCTATGAAATTCCACTCATACTTATGCAAAGTATTACATGCCGACAAACTTCAGTAAATCTGGTTGACATATTCAAGTCTAAAATGAATTTCAAATCAAATTCATTTAAAACTGGTTTGATTTTTATAATAAAATAAATCCACAACTAAAGAAAATATAAATCAGACTAGTTTAAAATTTATTTACTTGAAATTTATTTAAAACATAACAATGTTAATGATTTCAAGCTTACTTCACATACATAAGCTGCCCCTCTAGCTGATAGTATTTTCTGAGTAATCCAAGATCCTTCTGGCTAGATAGACAAGACTGCAAAGCATGAAAATATAGGTATGGAGTGACTCCACAACAGTATAAGACTAACATGGAATGTAGAAAGGTTTTTCCATATATCAAAAAGTAAATGAATGAGCTTAATTCACCTTAAATGCACAAAGTGCCTCTAGCCTGTAGTATTTTCTAAGCCTCTTAAGATCCTACCAGCTAGAGGTACACAGCCAAAGAACAAGAAGATATTCAAGAAAAATAGTGATTCTAATGTATTACTAGCTGGTAGGATCTTAAGGGGCTTAAAAAATACTGCTAGCTAGAGGTACACTAAGCTTGCATATTTAGTCGACTTTGCCCAAATTTTAATTTACTATGGTTTGCTCCACATTTTACTTTTCTGCACTCCAACTTAGTCTTACACTCCTTGGAATCACTTTTTTTATGAATGCATTTGCATTTATTTATTTTATTTTATACTTTTAGCTGGTAGGATCTCATGAGAAAATACAAGAGGTACAGCTTGCATTATAAATCGACTTGTGATTCCAAGGAGTGTATGACTAATATAGAGTGCCAAAAAGTAAAATGTGGAGCAAACCAAAGTAAGACCAAATTAAAAAAAAAATAAAAGCAAACATTCTCTTGTAAAAGTGATTCCAAGGAGTGTAAGACTACAACTTGGAGTGCAGAAAAGTCGAATGTGGAGAAAACCCTGATAAAAATTGAGCAAAGTCGACTAAGTATGCAAGCTGTATCTCTTGCCGGTATTATTTTATAAGCCCCTTCTGATCCTACCAGCTAGAGGTACAAGACCAAATTAAAATAACTAAATGTAAATTTGTTCTTGAAAACATGAGTGTAAGACTAAAAAAGGAGTGTAAGACTAATTTGGAGTGAAGAAAAAATATAATGTAAAGCTAACCGTAGTAACATTTGGGCAAAGTAGACTAAATATGCAAGCTGTACCTCTAGCCGGTAGTATTTTCTAAGCCTCCTGAGATCCTACTGGCTAGAGGTACAAGACGATAGAAATTTAATCTTGGAGATCTCTCTGACCAGTAGCACCATGACAAAGGCATTATGGTGTCGATACTATTCATAAGTTTTGTTTACCTTTGCAAGCGTTGATCTTAGCGACTACAGTGTTAAGCTAAAACTCTGCTGAACAAGAAACTTATGATCGACGAGGCTGAAGGAAACAGCCATACAAAATTGAGCGAAACCTCCTTGATTTAAACAATGTAAACAATCAACAATGTATTCATCACATGTAAAGCATGTAATAATGTTTATTTCTGGTTCAGTCACGTCGCTAAACTGTTTGTAAAACTGGAATAGTGCGTCATATTGGAATTAGCCGACAATTACCGATAATCGCTTGACTCAGAAAGTCGTCACCAGTGCTGCTCGAGCGTACCCCTTAGCTGGTAGGATTTAGGCACAACCCCAAAATTAAGCTTGCTCTGCAGGCTGTTGTCAGAGAAAAGGCTATATAACTTAACGTGACGCCCACGTTTGTTCCTGCTACCCCTTTGGTGCTCTTTTCCACTGACAAATTTTGGTGCGTGCCATTCCTTTTTATTCAAGTCCTTTATTTCATGTGATGCAGGTTTCGAATCACACAAAAGGTGACTGTCCGCTGACCATAATTTCCTGTCCATATGCAGGAATGGGTTGTACTGCAAAGGTGAGAAATTCATATAACAGGCCCAGAGAGACGCATCATGTACCTTATAACCTTACATTTCATCGTGGTTTGCTTCGTATTTGATATTGTCAAGACGAATTCTGGAAGCCAGTCTTTTGTTAAACAAAATGTTCTCAGCAGCTTCGAAATGAAGCAGACAGTTTCGGGCCTGTAAGGTAGATAGACCAATATCTGTCCTTAATAGCCAATCTTCCATAGTATTAACTTAATCTTGCAAGTTTATGGGGGCAGCCATGTGATAAATGACCTTTCTGGTCGAAAGTTCGAGGAAATACACCAACAGAAAAGATTCTGACCAGTGTGTTGAAGATCACGTGATACCGTTATCGAAAAGAACTTCGAATTAAATTAGCTGATTAAATTACGGGTATAGATAATAGTCTGTAGAATATCTGGTAAACGAAGTATACATTTTTTATGTAGATCCAACGTCAAGAAATGGAGCATCATCTTGAATCAGCGACAAGAATCCATCTTGACTTAGTTTGTATTAAATTAAACAACACGGAAGACAAGTTAAATGAAACAGAAGATGAGCTGAATAACACAAAAGATAAGTTGAAGAAGACAGAAGATAAATCAAATAACACAGAAGCTTTGTTAAATGAGACAAGACTTGAGTTGAAAAATGCCGTGAAACTGCTAAAGTTGTCGAGCGTAAAACATACCAACCTGTTTCTTTGGCGGATTGACAGTTTCAGCGAGATTTTGAAAGAAGCCAAAAACGGAGGAAAAGAGGAACTAGGCAGTGATGCATTCTACACCAAAAGTGAAGCAGAAAGTTTTGGTTACAAGTTAAGAGTAGAATTTCAACCAAACGGGCATGGAGACGGCAAAAACACTCACCTCTCGGTGTTCATCGTTGTAATGAAAGGTGAATATGACGCAGTTTTACGCTGGCCCTTCAATAAGAAAGTGAAGATCACGTTAATTGATCAACAGGATGATCCAGACCATCGGAAAAACTTCACCAGAGAGATCGTCAGGAGAGAGATTCCGAACTTTGCAAGGCCCAAGAAAGAACAAAACGTTGCATGGGGTTTTCATTGTTTCATATCTCATTTGGAACTTCATTCGCGGCGCTACATTGTGGATGACACACTGTTTCTTCAGATTGAGATTAGTTAACCATCTAATACGAACTCCACTCTTGAAGGTTAAGAAAATTACAGGGTTTCATTCTCGATTAAATTTTGACAAATTGCCAAGAGTGGACTCTGACAAATCGTTTACAATTTTCCATGAACGTTTGACTCAATTTTTTTAGTTTATCAAAAGGTTTTCAATGGGGTTAACCATAAAACGGCCAAAAAACTTTAACCGTTAGTCGCAAAGACGTTGATCGTGGTGGAAACAATAGAAAGATGTTAACCCTTAACTGTAAATTGGCCAAAATCTTGACCATTAGCCAACGCGTAAAAATACTACAGATACTACACACCAAGACGTCTAAAAAGTTACTTTTTACCCAACTGTTTTTTTTCATAAGGCGGGAAAAGCAAAGCAGACAGAGAAGCGTAGCGCACGCAGCCGACTGGTCACACATGCTTTTTTTTACATTATGTAAAAAATAAACAACTGTTCAAATAACAGTACAATCTCGCAGGATTTTTGTACTATATTCGCGCGTTATTTGTACTCCACTTTGTGTAGTTGGATAATAATATTCATCTATTCATATCTCTGGGTTATTTTGTGCGCTATAATTGTTCAATCGATCAGGCCGTACTTCACTGTACAGCCCGGTGAATTTAAACCCTTGTTCGAATTGAAATCTTCCCCCTTAACCCTCTAACTCCTAAGATCTCATTAGTATTTCTCCTTACTGTCTGCCATACAATGCTCCTTATATTAGTTTGGAGAATTTGGTATCGGATCAATTAGTAATCCCCTAATTGATATTTTTCTTAATTCTCATCACTTGTCTACAAATATGGTAAAGATATAGTAATGAGAAATTCTGTTTTGGTCATTCACAGAAGTTGAAGGGTTAATTTAAGCCCAGAGATATTAAAGATATCGTAATAACCTCGTGTTCTTGAACGGCACTGTGAGTTACGGAACCTCGTTTCTTCTCACTCGCATGCATGGCCCGGGCTTGGGTCATAAATCCGAGAGGGAAAAAGCTCGGTCCGTAACTTATAGTATCAAGCTCAAACGCGGTTAGTAAGAGGCATTTAATCTTGGTGAATTTCATTCAATCGAGGCAATTAACAATTTTAAAAAGAGCTCATTTACGCCTGAAGCCGAAAAAACAGAAGCTGAAAAGGCTAAAGTGTTGTCAAATTTTCGAGAGAATATGCATTGTTGTAAGTAGTTCTCTGCGCAGGTAAGTTTTTAGTCAACGTAACGTAACTGCCAGTGTTTCTAGTCGCTGTGATGGGGTCCGAACAGGTGTTTACAGTTTTGAAAGCAAGTAGTGGAGCAAAAGAACCGAAAGCCCTTTTTGGAGCAAATTTATTGCTGGTTTTCATGTTCCAGAGCAGTTGGTATTGTCCAGCAAAAGGGAAAATTTGTCCCTATTTACGGTGTCAAGTGTCCTTATCCTCTCTTAACAAAGTTCCTAATCAGCAACAAGACTGGCAATTATGTGACACCGAGCAAGTACTTAACAACAAAGGTTAAAAACATTACCTGAGTACACTACAGGAAAGGAAGCAAAAGAATTGTAGGTGGCCAAGCCCTAGCAAGAGTTACTGGCAGCAGTAGCTATACTTGCAATGTACTTCGTGACAACCGACTCCGAAATTTTCCACGATATACAGATCAATCCCATCACCGGCTAAAGTGCCCATTTTTACTATCTTTTCACCAGAGGAAAATCAGAGAATGAACGCTTTGTCCGAAGATTAGACCAATACTTGCCTCATACAAAAGGCAATACGAACAACGACGCGTCTATTTTCTCCAAATCATATATGGCTCCGTAACATAAACAATTTGAAGGAGAGGTGAAATTTTGGCATAATTTAAACCACTAGCTTTTAAGTACACACTATTTTTAAATGCGTCATACCCATAGCCAGGTAATTTTAACATTTCAAGTAATAAGAATGAGGAACATAGCTACAATGGCAATATACATAAGAAAAAAAATTTTGACCTTTAGAAGCCTGAGTCCCGACAGAAAAAACAGAAAGGAAAAGAAAACACAGACACTGACGAGCAACGGAATTTATACATTCGTTGCTGTCTTTCTTGGATTCATTTTTGCAGAACCATCTTCAAAAGTGTAGCAAATTTCCAGTCACTTTTCCAAACAGCTGTGGTCGTTACCTTCCTAGAGAAATGGTCAGACTTTCAATTCTGCCTTAAAATACAGACGAAAGATCGCAATGTTTAGAAATAATATCAATTAATGGTAATAATCGTCAATCCATCTCTCTGTCTTTTTACTTTCTTTCAATATAAGATGTAACTAAATAAGGCACATAAATTATAAGTTGTCCTACCGAAGATGAAAAGTGCATGTCAAAAGATTTGTTGTATAAATAATCGTACCGGTTGCTCATCAAAATGTACTTTCTAAATAATGCCAGGCTGGAAGATATATGATTGTCGTAAATGTAGAAAAATGGCAGCCTTTGATTACATCACCAAAGGCCAATTTATTTATTTATTTATTTACTTATTTATCAGCGGTAGACTGACCCAGTTCAGCTTCAAGCTGGTTTGAATAGGGGCCTGCTTAGGATATACAGAGTAAAACAAAATTCATTCAGAAATATAGAATACAAATGGAGCCCACTGCACAAATTACAATTTACACACAAGATATTCAATGTATATTACATTACAAAGTATATTACGTCAATTATATAAAGTTTAACAAAATTCTTAAAATTAGCCAGTGAAGTTATGTTTCGTGATTAATAAGTAAGAGTATTCCACGCCTTTGCACATTTGTAGTGAAAGGATCCTTGATATCTAGATGCTTTACCCAGGGGTAAGCCCGAAAGGTACTTGATCTGGTATTGTAGGCATGATATTGGAGGGATAAACTAAATTCATTCAAAAGATAGGCGAGCGCGAGACCATGTATGCATTTAAACACCTTTAGGCATGTGTGAAATTTCCTGCAATTTTCTAAGGAGGGCCAGCTAAGAGTGCTGCCTGTCAGTATTTTCTTATTTACGCCCCTCAATGATATGAGCTGCTCGTAGATACAACCTGTCCAGGTAGTCCCGATCTGTTTTTCCGCAGCTATCCCAAACTGCACAGCAATGGTTCATTTCCAGCTGCTTCCCTAGTTTTTTTTCCTCTGGGCCGGTGCTAAGGCGACATCATTAAAAAACAAAAGTATCAACAAATTCACAAATAAAATTATTCCCTTACTCATAGGAGATTTCTTGCTCAAGTTGGAGATTTCTATCCTTACATTATGTGTTTATTAATTTTTTTGATGTGATCCAGGTTTCACCTCACACTTAAGACTAGTGTCTACACCTACAGATGAGCCTTCAAACAAAGGTAAGACCATTATATACTAGGGGCCCAGAGAAACGCATTACATAGCTTCAAGAAAACACCCCTTTAGAGGTTCTATAGAAAAAAGCTAATATAAAAAAGAATTGCGAAACTGATTCACAAAGCACAAAGTTGTGCTTTCTTATTTTAATTCGATTCAATGCCTCTTAAAATTGTTTGAACACTTCTCGTGCAACGAAAAGTCAAAAAAACAATGTGAACCGATCAAAAGCAATTTTGAAAACAGCCAATCCCAAGCAGGAAAGATAGGATCTGTCAGTCGATGGATCATAGTATCCGCTTCTTCTTGTCCACTCGTGAGTGAAATAAAAGAACGCTGATCAGGTCTTTCTTATGGTGTTACGGGCCCTCGGTTTTAAAAGCATTTATACTCTAATCACCCTGAAACGATCATAAAATATTTTGTAAATAATCATAACAAACACAAACACAGCATCAGGAGCAGGCATCTCCTTTATTGATGCAGGATACAGCGAGCGTTACATCATCATAAAGAAAATACAGTAGTGAATAAACACAAAAGCAAAGTTGAGAGAGATACCTCCGAGTGGCTCTTGCATAACTTACAGAATCTTAAATAGCCTAATAGCCCATATTCCTACAAGCACGCCTAAAATGCTTCTACAGTTAACACGAATCATACATGATGAACATACTTCAGTGTCATTAGCAGAACGTTACCAAACATATTTATTGTTTTTGAAGGCCATATTTTTTACAAAGCGTTAGACTCGTGAGCCCTAACAAGCTAAACTACAAACTATAGCAGAGCATACTTTTATCAAACAGCAATCTATCCCCTCCACCCCTCCCCCCCCCTATTTTTTGTCCTCAAACCTCTCAGGTTGCGTTAAGGCCCAAGGATAAAACCCTTGTATAAATGTTCTCCCTATCACATTTTTGGCCTGATCTCGAAACTAGCGGAGCAACCAACATTATTATAAATTAGAATTACTATAAAAAATCTGGTTGGTTTAGAGCATTCAATCAATATTCAATACTGTGTAAAACTGACATGATAACCAGATATCTGCAACGGATATATTTTGCAGAACAGGACTTCCGTAAGCGGTTAACACGATTCTGAAGGCGGCGAAAACAGGCTATATTGCCACGAGCAAGGGCTGCTTAGCGCTGGTGAATTAACAATTTGAGTAGTTTGTTGATCCATGGAGGCTCGTTGGCAATGACCGTCTTAGATTTAGGGGGAAGCAAAATATTCAAATATCAAGCGCGGGTATTTTCTCCTCATACGACTCTATTCATCCTACCAGGCGACTATACCAAGTTCGACTTGGTCGAGATAAGTCCATATAGCCAGACGATTTGTTGGCCGCAGGTCTCTTGATTTCAACCGGATTTTATTCATCTGATAGTCCCGTTTAGCCTGAGTTTGTAATTCCACAGTATCGTGAACAGAGAGCCCAAAGAGAGGCAACTTTTCGGGCAAATCATCAAATGCACTGAGATTGGTAACTAGGTCCAGTTTACCCTGTCCACGAGTTGGAAACGGGGCGATTCAATGGAGACCGAAAGCGTTCCTAAGACGAAAGCAGTTCAGCTTGTTGAAATCCTCCAAAAGAATGAGGCCACAGTCAGAAGGAAGGCCTTAAATTTTTGATAGCAACTCGTACAAGTAGTTTAAAATCAAATAATCGGTTGCACTCGGCGGATGGTAAACAGTTCCAACAATAATTGAAGGTATGCCCCCAAGGAGGCGCTCAAGGCGGATTTGGCCCGTAATACTTCAAAGATCGCGCCAAATGATGTCGGATATAGAACTTCATAACGTAAGGATTCACGAACATACACACAGACGCCTCCATGGTTACTTGCGTTAAAATGACCAAAACTCATAATCACGAACACATGGAATATTTACCATAAAAATTATTACATGCTTTTAAGCATTATTTTTAAATGTACTCCAATTGACGCAAATTTTTTTATGCAACGTAAGATGTATACACGGTGCGTACATGCTACATAAGATATGAAAAATTTTCCTTTTCCCAACGGTTGATATTATAACCCCAAACCGTCACCAAATTATCACCTATGTGGTTTTTTTAACCATGATTCCGTGATGCAAGTGAATTCCAGATTTTCACTTTAAATGGCATTCGAACTTCGTCGATCTTTGGTAAAAGAGGCATTACATTCAAGAACATAAATGCCGACACTGACGAATGATGAGGGCCAGGTTTATTTTACAAAAGTACAATTGCATAGATATACAGGACATTAGATGGCCGCGCGGTAATACGAAATTTCTCTTCGAATGCTGAAAAATATTTCACGAGTGAGCAAAGCGAACGAGTGCATTATCTAAATCACGAGTGGAAATCAAGAGAACTATTAGCTTTTTATTCAGCGCGAGATGTTTACCTAGAGATTTAATGGCAGACTCATTACAAGCACGTTTATATCAAAAATGTCTCATCAAATGTTTAAACGATGAGTAGATCGTAATTTGCATTTATGAGTGACCATCAAGTAAAGATACGAACGCAAACCTTGCAAGTTGTTGCTCGAGGCATTGTCGACAAAATCTGTGTCCATATCTCGTCAGAACTGGCTCTCGCAGTGGATGTTGACAAATTAAACACAGTAAATCGTCATCAATTGGACTCATAAAATCCTCTCCGTAAACAGAAAGTAAATGAGTGTTTTCCATCTTCAAGACTTTGTATTTAACTCCGAAGAAGTTAATCTTCTGTCTGCCGCTTCACACAGACTGACAAATAACTGAAAACAAATCTCTCAAAACAATACAAAATTTCTGAGAAGTGGTTATATTTGACTGAGTCGCATAAATTTATACGAAAATCTTTTTAAAACTAAAAAACTAGTGAGCAGCACTCTGCGAACAGCTAACGGCTATTACGGGGGCCAATCACCATAAAGGCTTGGCCGGACATACCAGCAAAAACAGGCGAAGTTGTGAAAAATTTGAAAATTTGAGCGGGTGAGAAAAATATCTGGGGGCCCTGGTGTCAGCTAAAAGCTCTCAAAACAATACAAAATTTCTGAGAAATGGCTACTCGTGACGGAGTCGCGTTAAATTCTACGAAACTTGTGATAAACAGATGGCCCTCGTGCGATAGTTTCCCTTCACTCGTCTAGGGAAGAAAAGACCACGCTTGAATTCATTAGAAAATACGTGACCTCAGAGTCCTTCTTTTGGTCATAACGTCAAAATTTAAATGGAGAGATATCATCATGAGAGAAAGTAAGAGATTTTTTTTCGTGTTGGGGCAAATTTTCCCCGATGTGTGTAGAGTTTTACTTTCCATGAACATTCTCATTTGTTTCCTACTTTTTCAGCGATGTTTAAGCCGAAGTAAAATGACAAATCTCGACAAATCTAAAAATCATCTAAATGTTTCGTAGAATTCAACAAACCGATTGACATAGACCAATAAGTGTGAAGACGCGGACAAGGCTGATTTAGAATAATGCAAAAACAGACTTGATTTCCACTCGTCTTTTACAAAATCATGGCTGATTGCGTTTGATTGGTATTTTGAATCAATGGTCACATTTTTGTATATTTCATCACAACTAAGTTCTAGTAGTTAGGGCGGCTGCTCAATAAGGCGGAATGGCCGATTATTGAAGATTTTCAGTGCCTGATATGTCATTTGCCGCTTAAGGAACCATTTCAGACGAGATGCGGCCACATGTAGTGCAAAGAATGCCCTAACAAGCATATTAGAAGGTATGAGTAGATGATAGACACCACTTAATATGGATCTTCATTAGTTCGTTTAATCTATTATGTTACATTTGTCAGTTAAACTTCTCTTGTAAGTATGTAGCGATTTTTTCCATGGGATCCACGTGAGAAGAGTGGAGGTCTTCTTACTAAGGAGACAAGCATCGCTTTTACGTTCGTAAAAATTAATTGTAACGGTAATGGCCACCGTGATAATTTACAGAGTAATGCAGTCGCATTTTCTGACGTTGCACGCGACTAGTTTAAATCTGTACGTAAAATATGTCCTTCGCTTTCGCAATTGCTTTGCACGAAGTATCATAATAAATGTTTACCAATGTGATCGTCTTCAGAACTATCTTCCTCAAAGATTTGTTGTTTTTGGAATAGAAAGTGATCGCCCTCAGTTTAAAGTCACTGAAATTGAAACTCGAGTAACTATCGCCTCTTCTTTTATATCCGTTTTCAAAGATCTAACCACTCCAAAAAAAATAACTTACTTGCAGTATATGCAAAAACTTACAAACAAGGAAGATCTCTCACCAAGAGAAAAAAATAATGGCGGATGCGACTAAGGTTACAAGTTTTCTGACTGATGGTTCTTGTTCTTGATAGAAATTTGCTTGCCCATTATGTTCAGAATCACAAGCACGCCAAAACTCCAAATAGTTCTCTTTTATTTCTTGCAAATTGTTTGAAACGTCTTTGTGATATTTTCCCAATACATCTTATTCTCACTGCATGCAAAAGGTGGATTTCAACATGGCGGAATCCACATCAAATGAACACTGCCATCCCCTAGGCCACGACGAGGACTTTGTAGAAGAAGTTGAAGATGATTTCCAATGTCTCGTATGTCATTTACCGCTAAAGGAACCAGTTCTTACGAGATGTGGCCACAGACATTTTAAAGGATGTCTTGACGAGCACATCGAAAGGTACGAGTTTGAGATAAGCAGCTTTCAGTATTGTTGTTCGTTTGCTCACTTAATCTAATCACCCTAGCGAATTCATGACAGGTCATCAGTGTGTTTCAACTGAATTCAATCACCACCAGAGTCGAAGTCCATCCAATTAATAATTAGAGAACGATGGTCGGTTGCATGATCTTAAACATCAATTTCACGGATCAGAAACCCCTACACTAATTAACTTGGTGATGCAATTTTTCAATTTCTAGCATTGCCTTCGATTAGTTTCAATCAAAATACGCGCCTATCTTCCTCTAAAACGTAGCACGATACATTTTCTTAATTATCAAAGGTAATGAACAGATTTCATGTTCACTTGTCCAAAGAGCAAAATATCTCTGAATCGAAAGCGCAAATCGGTAGTTCAATTATCTACTGCAAGCGTGATCGCTGTTCCAAGTTCAAATCTTTTCACCTTATTCCTTACTTTGTGCTTGTAAGTGCTGAGATACTACTAGACCTATCGCGCCATTCAAACTTTCGGTTCGCCTTATTCGTAATCCACAGCTTAATTGCTCGGTTCCTTAATTACATGAACATATAGACTTATCTTATGTAGCTTGTAGATTGTGTCAATGCAATGAAATAAACTCGCTTGGAAAAATCCTAACAAGGGCTTTATCCACCTCAATATTCGTTTTTCGATGTTGTAGTTTCTGAATACTGCTGTGGAAGTTAAATTAGCAACTGTTGTTGTCATTGTTGTGAAGAGGCGTGGACTGTATTGAATAAGATAAAAGTGTTGGTTAAGATGGGGTATGAGAATAATTACGGTACATATTTGCTTGCGTGCTCCCTTAATTATTTCCTTATTTCTATACCATTCTTAAGAATTTAATTTTTCTCACAGACAGCAGTGTAAAAAGAGTCTTTAACCTGCCCGGCAGACAGGCAGAATCTGGACCCAGACCGGGTAAGTAAACTTTTTAACTACTAAAACGTTAAGAATGATCTGCTTGGTTGAGTGCGGGTAAAGACCAACTCAATCATTTAGCAATATTTTGATTACTTTTTTTAAGAAGTCAGTTATTGTGACTTTAAAGTCTTGACCATTGTCAATGGTTTTACTTGTTAGTTTCTTCCTCAAACACACGTTTTATTTTTCAATGAAATATTTTGAACAATGTTCTCTTTTCTTTAGTCTATTTTGTTTTCTGTTCTTGAAATATACCCTAATTATTTGTATTTTTCTTAAAACATCACTATTATCTAATTAAACACTCCCTAGTAAAGGCTCTTGTAAGGTAAAGCTCTTATGCTTGAGTCAATTGCCACCTTAAGACGACTTAGGAAAAATACGAATTGTGATTATTTCTAAGGACATTTTCCCTGATAAAGCAGCAGAAAGGAAGATTCTCTCTATGGTGATCAGATGTCCAAATGATGGCTGTGAATGGACTGCGGAGCTGAGGAACAAGAAGGTAAAAGTAACGCATATTTCAATAAATGTCAATAAACAATTTTATCAGTATAAGTTATTGTTTTCGTCTGTTGAAATAACAAAGCCACAGACATAGCTCAAGTTCCTACATGTAGAAGCCAAGACATAGAGACGATGGGCTTGATCATTTTTAACTTCTCAGGGAGAGTTAGGAACCAACACCCAACCTGAAGTTGTTTTGGCTTTATTTGTTGAACAGATCCACTTGGAATCTTACTCTTTTCAGCAAGTAGCGTGTCCTAACAAGTACCGTCGCAAAAGAGTCCAAAAAAGACATCTTACACAGCGCGAAAAAAATGTGTGTCCATGGAGAGTCCTTCAATGTACATACTGCACGGAGCCCCACCCAAACTGCATGATGCAAGTAAGGATTGTAATAGTGGAGGAATCCATGAGAAATAATACACCTCTTGCCGGGAAATATTTTAATGTTTCTGTGGAAAAAATTGAGACCCTTAAAATCGAATAGGAATTAGAGTATATAGATAACAAAATACATATTCGATTTTTAAAGGAGGTCTCGATGAGGTTATGGCTTTTACGGCTACAGTTTGTATTGGTTAAAATTTTGGCCACTTAACGGTTACCCCATTGAGACTTTCTTTAGAGCCCGACTCCCGACGGAAATTGATTGAAAAAAGGAAACATAATAAATTCAAATTTCCGCATTGCTGTTTTTATTTGATTCTTTTTTCATTTTTTTGTAGGACCATATTAGACAGTGCAGCAATTTCCTAGTATTTTGTCCAAACAGCTGTAGTCGTTCAATTCCAAGGGTTATGGTGAGACTTTCAGCGTTGTCTGTGATATACAATCTGACTCCGGTTGTTCGAAGGTTGGATAGCGCTATTCACTTTATAAAACTCTATCCGGTGGATAACGCCACACGTTTTGCTATCACTTATCCGCTGGATAGCGACTTATCCGCCCTTTATACAACTGGGCCCTGAAGTTTGCAGCGAATCTTTTTCGACTAGATGCAGCTTCAATACATGATATTTTTCAAGCGTCAAATTATATCTTTTTACTTTAAAATTTCCTAAAATAATGTAAATCATACAAAGTTATGAACCGCAAAAACATTTCCGACGGACATACAAGTGGATGTCTCACAGCTATAAATTTGTGTGACTAATGGTTCTTACTGACGCTTGATCAAAATTTTCTTTAATTAGGTTCATAATCACGGATACACAATATTAAAGAAAGAAAAATGCCAAACAGTTCCCTTTTTTGCTTTATTTAAAGCCTCTCATGTTATTTCCCCGTTACATCTCATTCTCACTGAAAAACAACAAACCATTCTTACAGGCCCCATTCATTCTTTTTTCAGTCTGCTCCAGGCTCTCAGTCAATGAAAAACGCAAAACGGTGAAAATAAAATTGTTATGAGAACCTCGTTGTGGTGTTCCAGCGACAGTTATCGGCGATCATCGATCACATTGATAAAGTAATCTTGCACATTTATGGAGGCTGCCATGTAATAAATGACCTTTCTAGTTGAAAGTTCGAGGAAATATAACCAACAGAAAAGATCCTGACGAGTGTGTTGACGATCACGTAAAACCGTTATCAAAAAGAACTTTAAACCAAATTAGCTGTTTTAGATAAGGGCTTAGTTTAAGGTATGTATAATTTCTGGTAAATGAAGTATAAATTTTCATGTAGGTCCAACGTCAAGAAATGGAGCATCACCTTGAATCAGCAACAAGAACCCATCTTGCTTTACTTTGTATTAAATTAAGTAACACGGAAGACAAGTTAAATAAAACAGAAGATGAGCTGAATAACACAAAAGCTTGGTTAAATGAGACAAGAGCTGAGTTGAAGAATACCATGGTACTGCTAGAGTTGTCGAGCGTAAAAGGTGTTTCTTTGGCGGATTGACAATTTCAGCGAAATGTTGAAAGAAGCCAAAAACGGAGGAAAAGAGAGAATAGACAGTGATCCATTCTACGTCAAAACTGGAACAGAAAATTTTGGCTAAGTTAAGACGATACATTTACCCTAATGGGTCTGGAGATAGCAAAAACACTCACCTCTCGGTGTTTGTCGCTGTAATTAAAGGTGAATATTATGCACTTTTACGCTGGCCCTTCAATAAGAAAGTGAAGCTCACATTGATTGATCAACAGGATGATCCAGACCAACGGGAAAACGAGACCGGTGAGATCGTTGCGAAAATCTTCAGTGCTTTGCAAGGCCCGAGACAGAAGAAAACAAAGGAAAAGGAGTTCGTTGTTTCATATCTCATTTGGAACTTTATTCGCGGTGCTACATTGTGGATGACACACTATTTCTTCAGGTTAAGATTAGTCCACCATCTACTACAAACTCCAGTCTTGAAATTTGAGAAAATTTACAACGTTACATTCTCGATAAAATTTTGACAAATCGCCCCGAGAGTGGACTCTGACAAATCGTTTCTAATTTTCCACGAACATTTGACTCAATATCAGTTTATAAATGCTGTTACCTAGTTAGTAGCATCACAAAGCCAATTGTTTTTCTTTCTCCAATGAATCCAAATAAATAAGGATCAACTGTGGATGACATGACGCCATTGCAGTATCGAATCATGCTCTCAACCCTTGTTTTGCTGCGGGAGAGCCCTTGTTTCACAGAATGGTGGCTAATTGGTATACTTGATAAAATTTATGGTAAGGAGAGTACAGGGTCTGCCTTAAGCGGCCTCGTTAGGTTCCTTTTGCGAGATAAAAATCAGCAAAATATGTTTTACAGCCTTAAAAATAAGAAATCGAATCCCAGATTAGCGATCCTAACTCGATAGGCTTCATTGGTCCATTATCGATTTTTTAATGTTTGCTTGGTAATTTATAAGTTGCTGAATGAGTTAAATCCAAGCTAATACGTTCAAAGATCAAAATCAAAATTGCCGGTTTGTACTCAGGACTACTGAGATCTCTCGACAGTTAATCAGCCGAGCTCTTTCCTAAAGACCAACGATGATTATGTACATAATGTATGTGTCGTTCTCTCTCCACACAAAGTTTCACTAGCAAAACGGGGGCCTCTGGGAATGTTTTCTGAGCAGCTTTCGTTTTTTCTTTTTTTCGAGATATTGTGAATAATGGTGAATGGAACCTTAGTATTCATGACCTCTTTCTTTTCGTAAATAGATTTTATTGCTGGTTGCATCAGTTTAAACAAGTATATGTACTGTGCCATTCTTATAGCGATAGCGCCGTAAGAATAAAATTTTCACTGGTATCACTCCTTGTCTATATTTCAAAATCCTCTCACTATTTGCTCGGCCGCGATGAAAAAAGTTTCGTTCATGAAATAATTCTGAGGCTGCATTGTTCCATTAATTTTCCCTTATCAACACCACACAGACATTTTCGAGCCGCGGAAAGAGCGGGCAGGAGTTATAATACGAGCTTGTCGATCGGTGATAAAGTTGTTAAAACAGACAGGAAGTTAAACTTATTTCTTTGGCACAGCCAGAGAACAGTGGGAATTCACTAAATTACTTCAAGCTAAGACTCAGACCCGATCATTGCCTCTTAAAAAGTCGACATAGATTTGTTTTTTGTTTACCTTTTTGGGGCAGTTTACGAAACCAAGACATGGCAAATCATTGACAGACGACAATTTTAGTATTGGCTCGTAAAATAGATTACATTCGTTTAAGGGAATGTCTGGAGTTATCACAAGCAAAGTTTTCAATAAACATGTCTTATTAGACGTTTTGTGTGTAGTATCGCTGAGTATTTCTACGAGATGTGCGGTATTTTGATGAGCTCGAAATACAAAGGAAACTACATACCAAAACATTTAATAAGTTGTCAAGTCTTTCTTCTCATTTCCCATAAGGCGAGAATAGAAAAGCGGATAGAGAAGCGTAGCGCGCGAAGCCGAATAGTTAAACAAGATATTTTACAGTACAAAATAACCAACTATCTAAATAACCGTACAATATCGCAGAATATTTGTACTCTACTTTGTGCAGTTGGATAATAATATTCATCTATTTACATCTCTCGATTATTTTGTGCGCTATTATTGTTCACTCGATAAGGCCGTACTTCACTGTCCAGCTCGATGAGTTTAAGCCCTTGTTTGAGTTGAAATCTTCCCCTTCTTAACCCTTTAACTCCAAAGATCCCTTTTGCAATTCTCCTTACTGTCTGCCAAACAATTCTCATTATATTAGCTTGGAGAATTTGGTATCGGATCAATTAGTAATCCCATTGGTATTTTTCTTAATTCTCATCACTTATCTACATGATATTGTATTATTATAGTAAGGAGAAATTCTGTCTTGGTCACTCACGGGAGTTGAAGGGTAAATATGAGCCCAGAGATGTAAAAGATATCGTAATAACCTCGTGTTCTTGAACGGCACTGTGAGTTACAAAACTTCAGTCGATTTTTTTCCACTCGGATTTATGGCCCGGGCTTGGGCCATAAATCCGAGTGGAAAAAAGACTCGATCTCTTTCGGTGTGAACCTTGAACGAGGTTAGTGAGAGCTATTTAACCTTCGTGAATTTCATTCAGTCGAACCTGAAAAAATAATAGAAATTGAAAAGACTTAAGCGCTTCACACAGTCTGTCAATTAACTGAAAACAAAACAAAATTGCTATTCTGAGAAATGGCTATGCTTAACTGAGTTGCCACAAAGGTCTACCGAACTCGTGACGAACGGATGGCCCTCGTGCAATAGTTTCCTTCAACCCGTCTGAGCAAGAAAAAACCTCCATGGCGTCTAGAACTCATCGGAAAGTAATTTCACTTTCCTTGGTGCATGTTCCACTCCTTTTTTTAAATGACGTATGAAGCGCTCTCGATAAAAAAAGGATTCTGTCTTGATAGGAAATTTTGAAAAGGCAGATAGAACCAAGTCACGGGGATTAAAGAGGAAGAACTTGCTCGATTTCGAATAAAAAATCAGACATTTTTTAAGTTAGCAATCAGTAAAACAGAAGATGAGTTGAATGAAAAAAAAAAAAGTTAAAGAAGACAGATGATAGGTTGACTAGCACAGAAGATATGTTCAACGAGACAGTTGAAACTGCTAAAGTTGTCAAGCCTTAAAAACGTGTTTCTTTGGCGGGTTAACGGTTTCAGCGAGATTTTGAGAAAGGCAAAGAAAGGTGGAAAACAGAGAACAGTGAGTGATTCATACTAACCTGCTGAGAGTTATTAATTCTACACCAAAATCGATACTGAAAGCTAAGACTACACCTTTAAAGCGCGATTTTACCCCAATGGCTTTGAAGGTGGCAAGAAATACTCACCTTTCGGTTTCTTTTTTATAGAATTGTCTCAGAATAGATTTTTCCGAAGAAAGAAGTAAAAAAAATCATGATTAATAAACCATTCTCTACGCGTGCATAGTGCCTTTCTGTCACCCAAACGGGAACAATGGACCTCTCTGTGTTGTGATGATCCAAACATCGATTACGAAAGGATGCTGTAGTACGTCAAGAACACAGGTGCACGGATCGAATCTCCGAGTTTCACTTTAGCTTGTTATTAATCCTGTTCTGCCAGGATTTCATTGCCCCATTGCCGAACTGTTTTTTTTTAAGTTTACCCTAGGAGTCGCCTAAATACAAATCTTACTTGAGACGTCTAAGGTCCACCACTAGTCAACTTTTATATCGGCTTTTTACCTCTTCCAGCCTGTGTGAGCAGAAATGGGGTTCACGATCAATAAACGGTGGCGTCCGATATTGTAGGCGTTCTCTGAAATAGCGGAGGTGTGGTTCTTCACGAGTCGGATATTCCTGTCATGCTCTTTGATTCTCTCATGCACAGGTCTACCAGTCTCACTGATGTAGAATTGTGGACAGTGGAATCAAAACGTCGCGATCCACCTATGCAATGCGCACATCGTGAGACAAACATATTTTGAAAGTGTTATTTACCACGATGACATCCCTATTTTACGATTATGGAACTTTTTTCCCAGCCGTTGCATGTAAACAGCATAGTTTTGGTCTTACAATATTCTCCAGGTTTTTCTGCAGGATAAACTTGAATTTCACCACAACCCTTGAAATAACAGCCACACACTCTGCCTTCTCTGTCTCAGTGATAAATGTATGATTATTAATTTGAACCGTTCTATTTGACATAATATCAATATTCAGTAGTCATGGGTTCGGACTTAAAATCTTATGAAGTCGATATGCAATCATACTCGTATGAAAGTCGTGAAATCTTGATAGCCTATGTCCAAGATAATTTTAAAATCTTTTATAACACTTTAAAGAATTCTCATTTTTGCCATAATGTTGTAACCATCACTGTTTTTTTTTTTCTTTTTCCTCACTACCCTTGGGGAGAGGGTTGGAAAATGACCGCTGAAGAGTGTGTGGCTCAGAAATTCAAAATTTCACATTCATGAGTTCGAGGGAAGAAAGCACTTTTCTACTTAAAAGACAACAGTGCTTTCGACAATCGTCGGAGACCGTTAAAAACGGAAGCCCCCTTTGAAAGAAATCAAACCACAGGTAACAGAGGAGTCCAATTTTCCCATTTCTCTAGTTAACGGCACAAGCTTGTCGCGAAATGATTACTTCTGGCGTGTAACGCGATCAAACTTCTTCACGAATTATCAAAGAGATCCAATCGAACTACAATGTAACGAAGACGGTCAAGAAGCAACGGATTAAAGACGACTCTTTTGCTCCTTGTTAATCCCAGAAACGTATCCCGCTAATGTAAGGTCTTAATAACTTACGCCATGAACAAAAAAAAATTTGATTCAGTCATACTATAAATCAATAAAACTCTATTAAAAAGAGATTTCTCTGCGCCAGCTTAGTCATAATTTCTTTCCACAGAAAAGAGCGTTGCAAGAGATCAAAAATTTCCAATCGATCAAGGCCAGTACAAGTGAAAATGCAGCCGAGAGAGCGGGAGCAGTATGTCGTAATGCAAAAGTAGCGTTATTTCCCACTTTCAAGAAGTCTTGAGTTATTGCGTTACAAACACCTTTCAAAGCAAGGGTCAAATATTTTCGTTACTTTCATCATTTGACTTCGAGTCTCGGGTGGATTTCAATATGGCGGAATCCACATCAAATGATCACTGCCCTCCTTCAGGCTACGAAGAGGACTTTGTGAAAGAAGTTGAAGAAGATTTTCAATGTCCCATATGTCATTTACCGCTAAAGGAACCAGTTCTTACGAGATGTGGCCACAGAAATTGCAAAGAATGTCTTGACAAGCACATTGGAAGGTACGAGTTTATCATAAGCAGCTTTCAATATTGTTGCTCGTTTACTCACGTAATGTAATCACCCTAAAGAATTCATAATAGGTCATTAGTGTGTTTCAGCTGAATTCAATCATTACCAAAGTCAAAGTCCATCTATCTAGAGGATGGTGGTCGGTTGCATGATCTTACACATCAACTGTAATGATAATGACCACTATAGTTATTTACTTAGTGATGCAATTTTTCAGTTTCTAGTATTCCATTCGATTAGTTTCAATCAAAATACGCGCCCATCTTCCTCTAAAATTTAGCACAATACATTTTCTTCATTATCAAAGGTAATACACGGATTTCATGCTCACTTATCAAAATACCATAGCAAAATATCAGAGCAAAATATCTCAGAATCGAAAGCGGAAATCGACCGGTAGTGCAATTATCTACTGCAAGCGTGATTGCTGTTCAAAGTTCAAATCTTTTCTCCACCTTCATTATATTTAGTACTGCAATACTACTAAAACTATGGCGCTATTTTTAGTTTCAGTTCGTTTCAATCGTCATCCACAACTCAATTACTCAGCCACTAAATTACATAAATAAATAGACTTGTCTTATGTACCAAGTAAATTGTGTCAATGCAATGAAATATATTCAATTGGAAAATTCCTAACAAGGGCTTCATCTACCTCAATTAACAATTGGTTCATACGTCAGCGTGCGTTCATCGGATATGAAACACGTGGGAAGTTTGGAGAGCACGAAAGATGCGTGAGAGTAGCCGAGAGCAACTCTAGCTTCTTGAGTGCTCCCCAAACTTCACAAGTGCTTTATATATTGATGAACGCATAGCTTACGTATGAACCAATTGTTTTATAACATTTTCAACCCGATAGAAATTTTTTTTCCTCGAGGGATTTGTTTGCTGACGTCACGAGCGTGCATAATTGAATTGGAGTAAACAAATTTACTAGCTATGTTATTATATTCTTTTATCGATGTTGTAGCTTCTGAATACTGCTGTGGAAGTTGAATTAGCAAGTGTCGTTGTTATCGTTGTGAAGTGGCATGGGCTGCATTGAATAAGATAAAAGTGTTGGTTAAGATGGGGTACATACGGTACATATTTGCTTGCGTGCTTCCTTACTTCCTTCCTTACTTATTTCTTTACCATTCTTAATAATTTAATTTTTCTCACAGACAGCAGAGTAAAAAAGAATTTTTAACCTGCCCAGTAGACAGGCAGAATCTGGACCTAGATCGGGTAAGTCAACTTTTTTTAACAACTGAAAAGTTATAAGAATGATTTCCTTGGCTGAGTGCAGGTAAAGACCAACGCAATTATTTAGCATTATTTTGATTTCTTCTTTTAACATGTTTAAGAAGTAATCAAAATAATGCCAGATAATTGTGAATTAAGAGTCCTGACCACACACACGTTTAATTTTTCTATTAAATATTTTCAACAATTTTCTCTTTTCTCTAGTCAATTTTTTTCTGTTTTTGAAATATACCTTACCTATTTCTATTTTTCTTAAAAAACATCACTATTATTTCATTAAATACTCCCTAGTAAAGGCTCTTGTAAAGGAAAGCACTCATGCTCAAGTCAATTGTCACCTTATGACGACGTAGGAACAATTTTACTGTGATTATTTCTAAGGATATCTTCCCTGATAAAGCAACAGAAAGGAAGATTCTCTCTCTAGCGATCAGATGTCCAAATGATGGCTGTGAATGGACTGGGGAGCTGAGGAACAAGGAGGTAAAACTGACGTATATTTCAATAAATGTCAATAAACAACTTTATCAGCATAAGTTATTGTCTTCGTCTGTTGAAATAACAAAGCCACAGACATAGCTCAAGTTCCTACACGTAGAAGCCAAGACATAGAGACGATATGCTTGGTAATTTTTTACTTCTCAGGGAGAGCAAGGAACCAATACCCAAACTTAAGTTGTTTTGGTTGTATTTGTTGAACAGATCCACTTGGAATCTTGCTCTTTTCAGCAAGTAGCGTGTGCTAACAAGAACTGTCGCGAAAAAGTCCAAAGAAGACATCTTACACAGCACGAAAATAATGTGTGTCCATGGAGAATCCTTCAATGTAAATACTGCGCGGAGCCCCACCCAGAGTATATGATGCAAGTAAGGATTGTTACAGTGGAGGAAAAATAACACACCTCTAGCAAGAAAATCTTTTAATGTTTCTGTTGAAAAACTTGAGACCCTTAAAATCGAATAAGAATTAGAGTAAATAGATAACAAACTGTATATTCGATTTTAAAGAAGGTCTCAAAGGGGTTATGCCTTTACGACTTTAGTTAAAAGTTTGGCCACTTTACGGCTAATTGTTACTGTCTTTTCATTCCACTCACCAGGAAAAATTTACGGTTAATTTTTTTTACGACTAACAGTTTATAATTTGTCAATGTTACACCCAAAGGCTAAGTACTTTGGCCGTTCTACGGATGACGGTTAACACCATTGAGACTCTCTTTATAGCCCGATTTTCGAAGGAAATTGATTTTAAAAAAAAATGAAAACGTAGTGAAATCAAATTTCCGCATTCCTGTGTTTCTTTGATTTTTCTTTTCGTAGGACCATATTAGACAGTGCAGCAAGTTCCCAGTAACTTGTCCAAACAGCTGTGGTCTTTCAATTCCAAGGGATATGGTGAGACTTTCAGCTTTATCTGTGATATACAATCTGACGTTTTAAGTGAATCTTTCGCCACTAGATGCAGCTTTAATACATGCTATTTATCCATCAAACATCAATTTACATCCTTTCACTTTAAGATAAGATAATTTAAAACATACAATATTATGAGTGGTAAAAACATTTCCGACGGAAATAAAGATAGATGTAATGGTTCTTGCTGATACTTCATCTGATCAAAATTTTCTTTAATCATTTTAATAATCACAGACACACGATGTTAACGAGAGAACAATGCCAAACAGATAAGCGAAAAGTGGCATCTGCATTTGTCAGAGTAGCCCGCAGTGCAGGCGTCTATTTAGTGCGAGCTAACGTTATAGGCTTGCGATCGTTTATCCCACCGGCCATGTTTGATTTGGAGTCAGAGTGGACGACGGGGGTAGGGGGCGGGGAAAGAGCAAGAAGACGCTTGCCCGAAGAGATTGTTGAAAAGCAAAACACTCCCTGATTAGCTACACGCCACTGTATTTCGGAAATGACCAGGTCATAACAAATACACGTACAGACGCTGATTGAAACGGTGAGGCAGTTTTTTTTTTCAGTCAGAAGAGAAATGGCCTCGACAAAACCACCTCCGCGGTCACAAATGAGCTGATATTCGCTGCGCTCTACATTTTTCAAATGAAAATCCTTGAGTTTAGCTGCCATTAATCTATTTGACAAATTTTCTTTTTTCCCTCTATTTGATCGTAAGCGATACTTTGAAGCAACAACCTGACTGCACTCGAAGGTTTACCCGCTATAATTTTTTGATGCAAACCAGCATACTCTGGTGAAACGGTGTGGTTGTCTTTTTCGGAATTCCGGAAGACACTTAGTGCTTCCTCGAGAGTGGAATCGAAACTAATAACTTCACGATCAGAGTGAAACGTCTGAACAAAAATTTCCAAAATAACAATGACCTCGGACTTCACTCCCCTCTCCTTATTTCTGACCGTCGACCGCCCCCTTGGAACAAATTTCTTTCTCTCCCCAACCTACCGCAGCCATTAAAATTAAAGATGGCGGCCATGATTTTCCCTCTAGTACTCTTTTCCACTGACAGATTTTGGTGCGTGCCATTCCTTTTTATTCAAGTCCTTTATTTCATGTGATGCAGGTTTCGAATCACACAAAAGATGAGTGTCCGCTAACCATAATTTCCTGTCCATATGCAGGAATGGATTGCACTATAAAGGTGAGAAACTAATGTAACAGGCCCAGAGAATTGCATGTACCTTATAACCCTACATTCCATCTTGGTTTGCTTTGCATTTGATATTGTCAAGACGAATTCTGGAAGCTAGTTTTTTTGTTCTAGAAAATGTTCGCGGCGGCTACGAAATGAAGCAGACAGTTTCGGGGCGGTAAGGTAGATAGACCAATATCTGCCCTTTATAGCCAATCCCTTCATAGTATTAACTTAATCTTAAACATTTATGGGGGCAGCCATGTGATAAATCACCTCTCTAGTCGAAGCTCGAGGAAATATAACCAACAGAAAAGATTCCGACGAGTGTGTTGAAGACCACGTCATGCCGAAAAGAACTATGAAATATATTAGCTGTTTAAATTACAGGTATAAATAATAATAGTCTGTAGAATTTCAGGTAAATGAAGTATAAATTTTCATGTAGGTCCAACGTCAAGAAATGGAGGATCATCTTGAATCAGCAACAAGAATCCATCTTGATTTAGTTTGTATTAAATTAACTAAAACAGAGGATGAGCTGAATAACACAAAAGATAAGTTGAAGAAGACAGAAGATAAATCAAATAACACAGAAGCTTTGTTAAATGAGACAAGACTTGAGTTGAAAAATGCCATGGAACTGCTAAAGTTGTCGAGCGTAAAACATAACGAAGCGTTTCTTTGGCGGATTGATAGTTTCAGCGAGATTTTGGAAGAAGCCAAAAATGGAGGTAAAGACAAAATATACAGTGACCCACTCTACACCAAAACTGAAACCGAAAGTTTTGGTTACAAGTTAAGATTTCTTATTTACCCTGGTGGGTTTGGAGATGGCAAAAAAACTCACCTCTCGGTGTTCATGGTTGTAATGAAAGGTGAATATGATGCAATTTTACGCTGGCCCTTCAATAAGGAAGTGAAGATTACCTTGATTGATCAACAGGATGATCCAGACCAACGGAAAAACGTGACCAAGGAGATCATTGGGAAAAATAATCCAAGCTTCGCAAGGCCCGAAACAGAACAAAACATTGGAAGGGGTCTTCATCGTTTCATATCTCATGTCAAACTTTATTCGGGGCGCTACATAGTGGATGACACACTGTTTCTTCAGGTTGAGATTAGTCCACCATCTAATACGAACTCCAGTCTTGAAGGTTAAGAAAATTACAGGGTTACATTCTCGATTAAATTTTGACAAATTTCCCAAAGAGTGGACTCTCACAAATCGTTTACAATTTTCCACGAACGTTTGACTCAATTTTTAGTTTATCAATGCTGTTACCGAGTTGATAGCATCACAAAGCCTTTTTTTTTTCTATCTCCAATAAACACAAATAAATAAGGACCAACTGTGGATAACATGAAGCTATGATAGTTTCGAATCATGCTCTCAACTCTTGTTTTGCTGCAGAAGAGCCCTTGTTTCACAGAGTGGTGGCTAATTGGTATACTTGAGAAAATTTATAGTACGAAGAATACAGCGGCTGCCTTCGGCGGCCTCGTTAGGTTCCTTTTATGAGATAAAAATCACCAAAATATGTTCTACGGAATCTCAGATTGGCGATCCTTTTCCAATAGGCTTCATTGGGCATTATCGATTTTTTAAGGTTGCTTGATAATTTATAAGTTGCTGAATGATTCAACTCCTAGCTCATACGTCGATGAGCTTCAAAATCGCCGGTTTGTTACTAAGATTACTGAGATCTCTCACCAGCAAATCAGCCTAGCTCTTTCCCAGAGACCGACGATAATTATGCGCTTTATGTTTGTACTTTGAAGTTATCTAAGTCTGCCACTTGTCTATCGCTTTCCGCACAAAGCTTCACTGGCAAAATGGGGGCCTCTGGGAATATCTTTTGGACAGTTAGTTTTCTTTTGTTAGATATTGTGAATCACTTCGAATGGCACCTTAGTTTTGATGATATTCTTATTTTCGTAAATAGATTTAACTCCTGGTTGTATCATGTTAAACAAATATATCTAATGGGCCATTTTTATAGCGATGGTGCCATATGAATAAAATTTAAAATTTATCACTAGTACCACTACTTGTCTATATTCCAAATCCCCTCGGTTAGTAAGTGATCAGGGTCTGAATGGGGTTTAGTGTTTAGTGTTATTTGTCCATATTTTTTAGTGTTTACTGTTAAATTGGCCACTTTTTAATGTTTACTGTTCTTGAAAAAAATACTGTTTAGTGTTGAAAGTAGACCCCAATGTTTTTTTTAAGGATTTTCAAATTTTATCTGCCCTTTTTAAACAAGAAATCAAGAAAATCGCTCGCGAACAGTGAGCCAAAGCTGAAATGCTCTTGTCCTTAGAACCGATAATGCGCCTTACTAGACCCTCAGTACTGGATGTACTTAAGGGGATACGTTTGGTAATCCACACAATAGTTCCTGAAAAGTATCGCTTCTGGAAATCCAACCAAAGGAGTGTTTGCAAAAGACCAATTGCACTTGAAATTGGGCCCCAAGGCAAAGTACTGGCGTTAGACTACGATTTCGACTCTCGATAGTCTCGTAGAACTGCTTTTACACCGACCAGTCGATGTGAATGTTCGGAGGGAAGTATTCAAGGATGCGCGGGACCTATGCTTTACCAATGGCGTAGTCTTCGTAGCAGAGAGAGGCTCATCAGCAACCCGTTTCATTGAATTGAAAGGCGAAGTATTTTTTCAAACCCGGACGCCTAAAATCGCGAGCTGATTTGCTCTCGCAGCTTAGTCGTTTCAGATTGTCACTTGAGGGTACAGGTCCAGTTCTACAGAAGCGGTTGACGACATATCTGAGATCTTTAGCTGCACAAGTCGTGAACTGAATAAACAAATTTCAAATTTTTTGTTTCCGATATAGCTGCTGAAGCAATCAAACTAGCTTCGGGGCTTACTGGCAAAATGTCTTTTCTTCGCAACCTCGAATGTCTCTATGATAGTTTTGGAATTGGTGCACATACGATCGACACGGTCCAATTATCTCTTCAAGATGCTGTGTGCAATGTTTCATCTTTAAATGCTTATATTAAAAACACAATAGCTGAAGTAAGGCAACACTATAAAATGAAAGAAACGGCAATGGCCCTGAAGGAACTGTTTCCAGCAAAACACAGGAGTCATTGGTGCTTCTCGAAAGAGGTATGGAACAGCTACGAGATAAGGTTAAGAATGTAAACAAGGACTGTCTTGGTGACATTGACCTGCGTACGCTGCTAACAACTCAGGTGGAGAACCTTCATGCAGTCTCCCACTTCAAAAACGAGACTTTCACCGCTCTTGTGTATGCTCAAAGAGAACAACGAAGTGGAGCACTTCACACTTGAGAAGTCTTATTATCCAGTGCCTAAATCCAGTGTGGAGTTACGGGACGTAGATTTGATGAAACCTCCTCCAGCTGATAACGTTGACCCCAACATTGAGGCAGCCATGAAGGAATTGGTTGACAGGTATCGACCTGTCAAAGACGGTAAGAAGCGAATCTACAAAAGACAAAGCGGGAGCCCTGCCGCCAGCTGTATATTCCAGTACGCCATCGTGTACTAGAGTAACATTCCAAGAGGATGTTTAAGATGATCCAGGGACAGACAATGAAGAACGAGTCGACCAGGATACAAATATTTCACGAGCTACAAACGAAGTACCGAGAATCACCTTTGTTGACGAAAGCATGCTCGAAGTTGTCGCAGTTGGTAACGTGACAGATCTCCCTGAGCAACAGGATTAATTCGACACCGACTCGGAGAGCGATGCGGATAATGATACAGACATAACGTTCAGCAGATTTGGTCGCACCACCCGCGCTCATTTCCGCCTTGATCTCTAGAAACAGTTGGGACAATCGCGACTATTCGGGTATGGAATATAATCAAATGTTTTTGGCCAGGATGGAGTGACATGTCTGTCATTTTTGTTGACCATTATACATTGTGAGCACTGTAGCCGATCTTATTGGTAAAAGAATATTCTGTTATTGCATTCATTACTAGTCAAATTTAAACACTCATATATGTTAACTCTCATTTTCCTTGTAATTTTCGTATTTATCTCTTTTTTTTTACAGTGCAGATACACCAACTGGGACCATCTCACAAAGCCAACCAATCATGCTGAGGTATTCATACAACGGATGGCAGTCCGTAAATTTGCTTAATTTTACTGTTTATTTCAATGTTCTATCCCATTGGCTGTTTGATTTGAATATCGTAATCTGATTTGTTACTAATATATTCTCTCTAAGTGGTCACGTTTGGTGAATCCTCGCTGTAAAAGCGCTTTAAGAATAGAATTGTTATGAGTTATACATGCCAAATCTGCGGTAGTCTTCAAATATCGTAGGTCATAAGTCTGTGGACATCTTTGGCAGTCTCAGTGGACATCTTCGGCAGTCTTTGGACATCTTCAACAGTGTTCGGACATCTTCGGCAGCCTTCAGACATCTTCGACAGCTTTCGGAAATCTTCGGCAGCTTTCGGATATCTTCCTCACTCTTCGGAAGCCTTGAAATAATCCCGAATTGTTGGAAAATGCCAAAAAAAAAACCTCTTTGAGACAATAAACATAGGCTCAACATAGATATTTCCCCTTTTAGGGTGTGGTTTGTTTGTTTATGGGAAAAAAATAATGTTACAACGAATTTTTTAACGTTAGTGTTAAAATGGCTGAAAATCAACTGTTTAATGTTATACGGTCAAAAAAATAAGTGTTTAGTGTTATCAAAGTACCCCCATTCAGACCCTCATACAAACTTGACGATCGGTGATAAACTTGTAGAAACAGGAAGTTAAATTTATATCTTTGGCAGGGCCAGCAGGGGCAATTCACTAAGTTATTTCCAGCCAAGCCTCAGACCCATTCCTTGCCTCTCAAAAATTCGAAAAAGATGTTTCTTTTTTTCCCATTCAGGGTAGCTTAATTAGGAAGCCAGGACTCTGCAAATCATTGACAGACCGCAGTTTCAGTATTGGCTCTAAGATAGATTACATTTTGTGTGTTTCCTTGAAAGCGTGTCTGCAGCACTCACAAGAAACGTTTTCAACTCGTAAAAATACTCAGCGATACTACACACCGAAACGTCTAAAAAGTTATTTATTACCCAACTGCTTTTTTGCATAGGGCGGGAAAAGCAAAGCGGATACAGACGCGTAGCGCACAACCGACTGGTCAAACCAGTTTCTTTACAGTACGTACAAAATAACCAACTGCTTAAATAACCGTACAATATCGCAGGATTTTTGTACTCTACTTTTTACAGTTGAACAATTCTCATTATGTTAGCTTGGAGAATCTGGCATCGGATCAATTAGTAATCTCATGATTGATCTTTTTTTGATTCTCATCACTTGTCTACATGATATTGTCTGGAAATAGGAAGGAAAAATTCTGTCTTGGTCGCAACGGGAGTTAAAGGGTTAATTTGAGCCCAGAGATATAAAAGATATCGTAATAACCTCGTGTTCGTGAACTGCACTGTAAGTTACGGAATCTCGTTTTGTTCCACACGGAGTTATAGCCTGGGCTTGGGCTATAAATCCGAGTGGAAAAAACTCGGTCGGTAACTTAAAGAATGAACCTCGAACGCGGTTAATAACAAGTATTCAATCTTTGTGAATTTCACTCAGTCGAGGCAGTTAATAATTTCGAAAAGAGCCCATTTTCGCCTGAGGCTAAAAAGACTAAACCGCTTCACAGAGACTGTCAATTAACTGAAAACAAAATAAAATTTCTGAGAAATGGCTACGCTTGACCGAGTCGCCACAAAACTCTATGAAACTCGTGACAAACGGATGGCCCTCGTGCAATAGTCTCCTTCAACCCGTCTGAGCAAAAAAACCTCCCTGACGTCTTGAACTCATCAGAAAGTATTTCACTTTCAAAATATGTTAAAGTTCACACGGAAACCAGGTGGACAATCAGACATAGTTTGATGCTACTCTGGTTTGCAGATTTAATTAATGTAACCGCAGAAGTTACAATCCATAGACCCAGCGTTTCAACACTCCTTTCTAGTGCCTTCATAGGGGGAGATCTAAACGCTGCAACAAGAGTTCCTTTTATATAATCACTAATTAACTGCCTTTTTTCTGACGGGGTGTAAATAGGCGTCAGGAAGTAAGCCGCCACCGTCACGACACGAGATTCGATCCGTGCTCTTAACATACTGCAGCTTCCTTTCGTAATTGATGTTTGGACAACCATAGGCAGAGAGGTCCATTGTTCCCGTTTGGATTACAGAAAGGCACTGCTTGTTTAGGAGGCCTCTTCAAACATATGTTGCGCACGCGTAGAGAATGGTCTACTAATCATAAGTTTTTTAACTTTTTACTTCGGAAACATCTAATCTAAAATAATTCTACAACAATTTAGAAAGGTGAGTATTCTTGCCACCTCCAAAGCCAATAGGGTAAATTCGTGCTTTTAGGGTACAGTCATAGCCTTCAGTATCGGTTCTGGTGCAGAATGAATCACTCTCTATTCTCTGTTTTCCACCTGAAATCGTCAATCCGCCAAAGAAACACGTTTTAAGCTTGACAACTGTGGCATGTCCATGGCTTTTTTCAAATCAACTCTGTCTCGTTTAACATATCTTCTGTGCTAGTCAACTTATCATCTGTCTTCTCTAACTTATCCGTTTTTTCATTCAGGTCACTACCGTTTTACTGATTGCTAACTTAAAAAATGTACGATTTTGAATTCGAAATTGAGCAAGTTCTTCTTCTCTACTCCCCGTGACTTGTTTCTACCTGTCTTTTCAAAATATCTTAGAATCCTTTTTTTGTCGAGAGCGGTTCATACGTCATTTTTAAAGAAAGGAGCGGAAAGTGCACCAAAGAAAGTGAAACTAGACATGGTTTGATGCTACTCTGGTTTGCAGATTTAATGAATGTAACCGAAGAAGTTACAATTCATAGACCTAACGTTTCGACACTCCTGTCTAGTGCCTTCATTAGAGGTGATCTAAACGCTGCAACGAGAGGTCCTTTTATATGATCACTAATTAACTGCCTTTTTTCTGACGAGGTGTAAATAGGCGTCAGGAAGGAAGCCGCCATCGTCACGATTTAAAGGAGCGTGGGCGGAGTTAATATGCCAATCTTCCAAACAAAGGCGCTGGTGGTAACGCCGATTAGTGGTGATAATTTTAGATTGTTAATTTTAATATGGTTAGTTAAGTATGCGTGCTCCGATGAAGCTGAATTTTCCTTTATGCAAAAGAAAACCGCTTTTTGATGCTCTTTCAAACGTGTACGAAACTGACGTTTGGTGTGTCCGATGTATTCGTTGTCACAGTCATTGCAAGAAATAGAATAAATGGCGTCGGTTCGTTGTTCTTTCATGACAGGATCCTTAGGTTTGGCGAAAATATGCCCCTAAGTCTCAAAAGGGTTTTGAGCAACTTTAACGTTGTGGCCATTCAAAATCCTCTTGGGAATTCTTGAAAATTCTCTTGGGAATTCTTGTCTTAGGAAGCTGCAGTGTGTTAAGAGCACAGCTGCACGGATCGAATCTCCAAGTTTCAGTTGTTATTAATCCTGTTCAACCAGGATTTCATTGTCCCTTTACCGAACTGTTTTTTTTTTTTAAGTTTACCCTATACGTCGCCTAAATAACAATCTTACTTGGGACCTCTAAGATCTGCCAGTAGTCAACTTTTACATCAGCTTTTTACCTCTTCCAGCCTGCGTGTGGAGAAATGGGGCTCACGATCAATAAACGGCGGCGTCCGGTATTGTGGGCGTTCTCTGAAACAACGGAGGTGTGGGTCTTCGCGAGTCGGATATTCCTGTCATGCTCTTTGATTCTCTCCTGCATAGGCCTGCCAGTCTCACTGATGACTGATGTAGAATTGTGGACAGAGGAATCAAAACGTCGCGATTCAAATACGAATGAGCACATCGTAAGACAAACGATTATACTTCTCTTTTGAAAGTGTGTTTACCACGATGACAAACCTATTCTACGACTATAGAACTTTTTTCCCAATGTTGCTTGTAATCAGTATACTAAGTTTTGGTTTTACAATATTCTCCAGGTTTTTTCTACAAGGTAAACTTGGATTTTCACAACAACCCTTGAAATAACAGCCACATACTCTGCCTTTTCTTTCACATCGATAATGTATGATTGTTTATTTGAACCTCTCCATCAGACATGATATCTTCATTGGCCATGAGTTTGGGCTGAAATCTTACAAATTTGACATGCAATAATATTCGATTGAAAGTCGTGAAATCTTGATAGCCTATATCCAAGATAATTATAAAATATTTTATAGCACTTGAAAGAATTTTAATTTTTGCCATAATGTTGTAACCATCTCTTTTTTTTTTCTTTTTCTAACTACCCTTGGGGAGAGGGTTGAAAAGTGACCACAGATCTAGAGAAGAATCTTGGGCTCAGAAATTCAAAATTTCACTTTCCTGAGTTTGAGGGGAAAAAAGCACTTCTCTATTTAAAAGACGAGAGTGCTTCCAAAAATCGCCAGAGAACGCTAAAAACGGAAGCCTCCTTTGACAGAAACCAAACCACAGGTAGCAGAGGAGTCCAGTTTGCCCATCAATCTAGTTAACGGCACAAGCTTGTCGCGAAATGATTACTTCTGGCGTGTAACGCGATCACACTTCTTCACGATTTATGAACGAGATTCAATCGAACTAAAATTTAACTAAGACTTATTAAGTAAAAGAAACGACTGATCAAAGACGACTCTTTTGCTCCTTGTTAATCCCAGAAACGTATCCCACCAGATTAATGTAAGGTCTTAATAACTTACGCCATGAATAAAAAAAATTGATCTGGTCATAAAATAAATCGATGGCAACCCCATGAAAAGAGATTTCTATGCACCAGCTAAGTCATAATTTCTTTCCAAAGAAAAGAGTGTTGCCAAAGATCAAAAACTTTCTATCGATCAAGACCAGTACAAGTGAAAATGCAGACGAGAGGGTAATTGTGAAGAACAGCTCCCCTCCACCGACAGTCGGCCAACTGTCCGCCAACAGTCTGCCGACAGTTGGCCGACACTAAACCGACAGGCCACCGACAGGTAACCAACAGGTTAGCGACAGGCGGTGAAATAACTTTACTAGTGCATTTTTGCACTCAAAAATCGATGTAAAACTTACTATAAATGCTTATAGCGGGAGAAGTTTGTCGTTATGCAAAAGCAGCGCTATTTCCCACTTTCAAGACTGTCTTGAGTTATTGCGTTACAACAACATTTCAAAGCAAGGGTCAGATTTTTCGTTACTTTCACCATTTAACTCCAAGTCTCGGGTGGATTTCAATATGGCGGATTCCACATCAAATGATCACCGCCCTCCTTCGGGCTACGAAGAAAACTTTGTGGAAGCATTGGACGAAGATTTTCAATGTCCCATATGTCAATTACGAGTTAATAATAAGCAGCTTTAACGATTGTTGTTCGACTCACTTGATCTAATCACCCTTGAGAATTAATGACAGGCCATCAGTGTGTTTCAACTGAATTCAATCACTACCAAAGTCAAAGGCCATCTATTTAGAGGATGGTGGTCGGTTGCATGATCTTAAAAATCAATTGCAATGATAATAACCACATGAGTAATTTACTTTAACTTAGTGATGCAATATTTTTGCATTCGATCAGTTTCAATCAAAATATGCGCTTATCTTCCTCTAAAATGTAGCAAGATACATTTTCCACTTATCAAAGATAATGAACTTAATTACTCGGCCACTAAATTACATGAATGTATAGACTTATCTTATGTACCTTGTAATTTGTGTCAATGCAATGAAATATACACGCTCGGAAAAATCATATCAAGAGCTTGGCACACCGTTCGTAGCTAAGGGCCAAATATTTTTCTTAAGATACAAAGCAAATGATTGAATACCTTCGTATCCTTGTTCGTCTACTTTGAATATTCTTTTCTCGGTGTTATAGTTTCTCTATGCTGCTGTGAAAGTTGATTCAGCAACTGCTGTTTTTCAATGTTGTTGAGTGGCGTCGACTGTATTGAATTAGATAAAAGTGTTGGTTGAGATGGGGTATGAGAATAAATACAGTACATATTTTCTTGCTTGCTTTCTTGCTTCCTTACTTACTTATTTCTTTAACATTCTTAATAAGATAATTTTCTTTACAGACAGCAAAGTAAAGAGGAGTCTTTAACCTGCCCAGCAGACAGGCAGAAACTGGACCCAGACCGGGTTAATAGACTTTTTAACTCCTGCAAATTTAAGAATGATTTGCTTGGCTGAGTACAGGTAAAGACCAACACAGTTATTGAGCATTATCTTTATCACTTCTTAAGTCTTGTCCATTTTCAATGGGCTGACTTGTTAGAGTCTTCCTCAAACACACGTTTTATTTTTCAATTAAATATTTTGAACAGTATTCTCTTTCCTTTAGTCTATCCGTTTTTTTCTGTTCTTGAAATATACCTTACGCATTTGTATTTTTCTTAAAAACATCACCATTCTTTAATTAAACTCTCCCTTGGAAAGGCTCTCATGAAGAGAAAACAATTTTCACCTTAGAAATTGACCCATCTGGATCTTGAGGACGTAGGAATAATAGTACTGTGATTATTTCTAAGGACATCTTCCCTGATAAAGCAGCAGAAAGGAAGATTCTCTCAATGGCGATCAGATGTCCAAATGATGGCTGTGAATGGACTGCGGAGCTGAGGAACAAGAAGGTAAAAGTAACGCATATTTCAATAAATGTCAATAAACAATTTTATCAGCATAAGTAATTGTTTTCGTCTGTTGAAATAACAAATCCACAGACATAGCTCAAGTTCCTACATGTACAAGCCAAGACATAGAGACGATGGGCTTGATAGTTTTTTACTTCTCATGATCAAGGACAGTTAGGAAACGATGCTTAAACTAAAGTTGCTTTGGTTTTATTTTTGAACAGATCCACTTGAAATCTTGCCCTTTTCTGCAAGTAGCGTGTTCTAACAAGAACTGTCCCAAAAAAGTCCAGAGAAGACATCTTACACGGCACGAAAATTATGTGTGTCCTTGGAGAATCCTTCAATGTACATACTGCACGGAGCCCCACCCAGACTGCATGATGCAAGTAAGGATTGTAATAGTGGAGGAATCGAAGAGAAGTAACATAACTCTTGCCAGGAAATCTTTTAATGTTTCTGTTAAAAAACTTGAGACCCTTAAAATCGAATAGGAATCAGAGTAAATAGATAACAAACTATATATTCGATTTTAAAGAAGGTCTCAATGGGTTTATGGCTTTTACGGCTTTGGTTAAAAGTTTGGCAACTTTACGGCTAATTGTTACTGTCTTTTCATTCCACTCATCAGGAAAAATTCACGGTTAATTTTTTTTACGACTAACAGTTTATAATTTGTCAATGTTTACGCCCAAAGGCTAAGTTTTTTGGCCGTTCTACGGATAACGGTTAACACCATTAAGACTCTCTTTAGAGCCCGATTTTCGAAGGAAATTGATCGAAAAAATGGAAACGTAGTGAAATCAAATTTCCGCATCCCTGTGTTTCTTTGATTTTTCTTTTCGTAGGACCATATTAGACAGTGCAGCAAGTTCCCAATAACTTGTCCAAACAGCTGTGGTCTTTCAATTCCAAGGGATATGGTGAGACTTTCAGCTTTATCTGTGATATACAATCTGAAATTTTAAATGAATCTTTGGCGACTAGATGTAGCTTTAACACATGCTATTTATCCTTCAAATATCAATTTACATCCTTTCACTTTAAGATAGGATAATGTAAAACATACAAAATTATGAATCGTAAAAACATTTCTAACGGAAATAAAGGTGAATGTAATGATTCTTACTGATACTTGATCTGATCAAAAATTTTCTTTAATTAGTTTCAAAATCACATGCACACGATGCTAACGAGAGACAAATGCCAAACAGTTCCTTTTTTTGCTTTATTTAAAGCTTCTCATTTTATTTTCCCGTTACATCTCATTCCCACTGGAAAAACAACAAACCATCTTTACAGGCCGCATTCATTCTTTTTTCAGCCTATTCCAGGCTCTCAGTCGATGAAAAACGCAAACGGCGAAGGAGAGCCACATAAATTGTTGAGAACCTCATCGTGGTGTTCAGGGAAAGTTTAACCCGATCATCGATTGATTTTGAATTTCTTTATCAACATTGCATCTACGTAAATCACTAGACTTCATATGATAGATTCCAAACAGTGTTAAGGTTCTATTCATTAGATTCGATTTCCGCTCGTAGATGGTAGATAAGCGAAAAGTGGCATCTGCAGTTGTCAGAGTAGCCCACAGTGCAGGCGTCTAGTTAGTGCGAGCTAACGTTATAAGCTTGCGATCGTTTATCCCACCGACCATGTTTCATTTGGAGTGGACGGCGGGGGTAGGGGGTAAACGGAAAGGCGAGAAGACGCTTGCTCGAAGAGGCTGTTGAAAAGCAAAACACTTTCTGATAAGTTGCACGAAAATGAGTGGGTCACCAATCAAAATGAGTAAAATTAATAACCGGGGCACTGTCTATTATTATTATTATTATTATTATTATTATTATTATTATTACAAGAGCGAAAGGTCAGAATGACGCTCAAATGACACATTTGGCTAGTGATTGAGTTTAAACGCACCAATCAGGGACTCCTTTCGTGAGCGAGCAGAAATTTCCAAAATAACAATACTTCGGGCAGGCGTAACCTTCACTCCCCTACCCCCACCCTCTCCTTATTTTTCGCAGTCGACCACTCCCTTGGTACAAATTTATTTCCACTCCCCAGCCTTCCGCAGCCATTAAAATCAAAGATAGCGGCCATGATTTTCGTTAAGAAAATACTAAGCACTCGCTCGCCAAAATTAGGTTGTGCCGCAATCCTACCGGCTAGAGGTACGCCCGAGCAGCACCACTGACGACTTTCCGAGTCGAGCGATTATCGGAAATTGTCGGCTAATTCCAATATGACGCACTATTCCAGTTTTACCTACAGTTTAGCGAAGTGACTGAATCAGACATGAACATTATCACATGCTTTACATGTGATGAATACATTGTAGAGTTTAAATCAAGGAGGTTTCGCTAAATTTTGTATGGCTGTTTCCTTCAGCCTCGTCGATCTTAAGTTTCTTGTTCAGCAGAGTTTTAGCTTAACACCGTAGCAGCTAAGACCTGCGTTTGCAAAGGTAAACAAAACTTACGAATAGTATCGCCACTATAATGCCTTTGTCATAGTGCTACTGGTAAGAAAAATCCCCATGATGAAATTTCTTTATATTGTCTTGTACCTCACGCCGGTAGGATCTCAGGAGGCGTAGAAAATATTACCGGCTAGAGGTACAGCTTGCATATTTAATCTACTTTGCCCAAATGTTACTACGGTTTGCTTTACATTTTATTTTTTCTGCACTCCAAATTAGTCTTACACTCCTTTAAGTCTTACACTTGTGTTTTTAAGAACAAATTTACTTTTATTTGTTTTAATTTGGTCTTGTACCTCTAGCTGGTAGGATCTGAAGGGGCTCTTAAAATACTACCGGCTAGAGGTACAGCTTGCATGCTTAGTCCACTTAGTCGGCCCAATTTTTATTACGGTTTTCTTCACATTCGTCTTTTCTGCACTCTAAGTCGTAGTCTTACACTCCTTGGAATCACTTTTACAAGAGTATGTTTGCTTCTATTTTTTAATTTGGTCTTGTACTTGTAGCTGGTAGGCTCCGAGCTGGCTTAGAAAAGACTACCGGCTTGAGGTACAGCTTGCATACTTAGTCAACTTTGCCCAATTTTTGCTTTGGTTTGCTCCACATTTTACTTTTTGGCACTCCAAATTAGTCTTACACTCTTTGGAATCACTTTTTTATGAATACATTTGCATTTTGTACTTTCTTATTTAGCTGGTAGGATCTTATGAGGCTTAGAAAATACTTGAAGTACAGCTTGCATACTTAGTTGACTTTGCCCGATTTCTATTGCAGTATGCTTTGCATTTTACTTTTTGGCATTCCATTTAAGTCTTCTACTACATTGGAATCACTTTTTTCAGAATATATCCTTATTCCTTGGTCGTGTACCTACCGTTGCTTATTTGATGTTACAGTACACAAGCTATAATCATCAAATGACTCTTTATGGGGAATCAGCTAAAACCAATGCAGGCATTATTAGCAAAGGGTTTCTGGTTGGTGTTCAAATGAGAAGGGTTTGATTTCTTTATAATAATAGCAATTTTTATTTTAAAAAATACAATAAATATCACAGGCACAGGTTGATCCCATTTATTAATTGCACAAATTTTATATATATAGTGGAAGACCATTTCATATTTTCAAGAATAACCTGCCTTAAGGTTTTCATGCAGTCATATATGCAGTCAATTATCAATAAAAATACAAAAGGAAAATGTCAGTTTGATGAATTAAAATCATGTTATCCTATGACTACCTAAAGATGACTTGATTCTAGTATTTCAGACAATGGTTAGCCTTGTCAACAATACTTCTAATCAAACACGTACATCATGAAAATAGCGAATGTTCCTTTCTATGAAATTCCACTCATACTTATGCAAAGTAGTACATGCCGACACACTTCAGTAAATCTGGCTGACATATTCAAGTCCAAAATGAATTTCAAGTCAAATTCATCTATAAATGGTTTGATTTGTATGATAAAATAAATCCACAACTAAAGAAAAGACAAATCAGACCAGTTAAAAATTTATTTACTTGAAATTCATTTAAAACATAACAATGTTAATTATTTCAAGCTTACTTCACATACATAAGCTGCCCCTCTGGCTGATAATGTTTTCTGAGTAATCCAAGATCATTCTGGTTAGATAAACAAGACTGCAAAGCATGAAAATATAGGTATGGAGTGACTCCACAACAGTATAAGACTAACATGGAATGTAGAAAGGTTTTTCCATATATCAAAAAGTAAATGAATGAGCTTAATTTGCCTTAAATGCACAAAGTACCTCTAGCCTGTAGTATTTTCTAAGCCACTTAAGATCCTACGAGCTAGAGGTACACAACCAAAGAACAAGAAGATATTCAAGAAAAATAGTGATTCTAATGTATTACTAGCTGGTAGGATCTTAAGGGGCTTAGAAAATACTGCTAGCTAGAGGTACACGAAGCTTGCATATTTAGTCGACTTTGCCCAAATTTCAATTTACTATGGTTTGCTCCACGTTTTACTTTTCTGCACTCCAACTTAGTCTTACACTCCTTGGAATCACTTTTTTTCATGAATACATTTGCATTTATTTATTTTATTTCATACTTTTAGTCGGTAGGATCTCGTGAGGCTAAGAAAATTTAAGAGGTACAGCTTGCATTATAAATCAACTTGTGATTCCAAGGAGTGTATGACAAATTTAGAGTGCCAAAAAGTAAAATGTGGAGCAAACCAAAGTAAAAATTGGGCAAATTTGACTAAATATGCAAGCTGTACCTCAAGCCGGTAGCCTTGCTAGGCCAGCTCGGATCCTACCAGCTACAAGTACAAGACCAAATTTAAAAAAAATAAAAGCAAACATTCTCTTGTAAAAGTGATTCCAAGGAGTGCAAGACTACAACTTGGAGTGCAGAAAGTCGAATGTGGAGAAAACCGTGATAAAAATTGAGCGAAGTCGACTAAGTATGCAAGCTGTATCTCTCGCCGGTAGTATTTTATAAGCCCCTTCAGATCCTACCAGCTAGAGGTACAAGACCAAATTAAAATAAATAAATGTAAATTTGTTCTTGAAAACATGAGTGTAAGACTGAAAAAGGAGTGTAAGACTAATTTGGAGTGCAAAAAAATAAAATGTGAAGCAAACCGTAGTAACATTTGGGCAAAGTAGACTAAATATGCAAGCTGTACCTCTAGCCGGTAGTATTTTCTAAGCCTCCTGAGATCCTACTGGCTAGAGGTACAAGACAATAGAAATTTTATCTTGGAGATCTTTCTGACCAGTAGCACCATGACAAAGGCATTATGGTGTCGATACTATTCATAAGTTTTGTTTACCTTTGCAAGCGTTGATCTTAGCGACTACAGTGTTAAGCTAAAACTCTGCTGAACAAGAAACTTATGATCGACGAGGCTGAAGGAAACAGCCATACAAAATTAAGCGAAACCTCCCTGTTTTAAACTCAACAATGTATTCATCACATGTAAAGCATGTAATAATGTTTATGTCTGGTTCAGTCACGTCGCTAAACTGTTGGTAAAACTGGAATAGTGGGTCATATTGGAACTAGCCGACAATTTCCGATAATCGCTCGACTCGGAAAGTCGTCACCAGTGCTGCTCGAGCGTACCTCTAAGCTGGTAGGATTTAGGCACAACCCCAAAATTACGCCTGCTCAGCAGGCTGTTGTCAGAGAAAAGGCTATAGAACTTAACGTGACGCTCACATTTATTCCCGCCACCCCTTCAATGCTCTTTTCCACTGGTGCGTGCCATTCTTTTTTATTCAAGTTCTTTATTTCATGTGATGCAGATTTCGAATCACACAAAAAATGTCTGTCCGCTGACCATAATTTCCTGTCCATATGCAGGAATGGGTTGTACTGCAAAGGTGAGAAATTCATATAACAGGCCCAGAGAAACGCATTATGCATCTTATAACCTTACATTCCATCGTGGTTTGCTTCGTAATTGAAGTGCCGAGACGAATTCTGGAAGCCAGTCTTTTGTTAGACAAAATGTTCCCAGCAGTTACGAAATGAAGCAGACAGTTTCGGGCCGGTAAGGTATATAGACCAATATCTGCCTTTAATAGCTAATCTTCCATAGTATTAACTTAATCTTGCACATTTATGGAGGCAGCCATGTGATAAATTACCTTTCTTGTCGAAAGTTCGAGGAAACATAACCAACAGAAAAGATTCTGACGAGTGTGTTGAAGATCACGTGATACTGTTATCGAAAATAACTTTTAATTAAATTAGCTGTTTAAATTACGGGTATAGATAATAGTCTGTAGAATATCTGGTAAACGAAGTATAAATTTTTTATATAGATCCAACGTCAAGAAATGGAGTATCATCTTGAATCAACAACAAGAATTCATCTTGATTTAGTTTGTATTAAATTAGACAACACGGAAGACAAGTTAAATAAAACAGAAGATGAGCTGAATAACACAAAAGATAAGTTGAAGAAGACAGAAGATAAATCAAATAACACAGAAGCTTTGTTAAATGAGACAAGACTTGAGTTGAAAAATGCCATGGAACAGCTAAATTTGTCGAGTGTAAAACATACCAACGTGTTTCTTTGGCGGATTGACAATTTCAGCGAGATTTTAAAAGAAGCAAAAAACGGAGGAAAAGAGACAATAGGCAGTGATCTACACCAAAAGTGAAACAGAAAGTTTTGGTTAGAAAGTTAAGGTTAGAAATTAGACCTAAGGGGCTAGGAGATAGCGAAAATACTCACCTCTCGGTGTTCATTGCTGTAATGAAAGGTGAATACGATGCAATTTTACGCTGGCCCTTCAATAAGAAAGTGAAGTTCACAGTAATTGATCAACAGAATGATCCAGACCAACGGGAAAATGTGACCGGAGAGATCGTCGGGAGAGATATTTCGAACTTTGCAAGGCCCAAGAAAAAAAGAAAACTTGTCACGGGGTCTTTCAAATTTTATATCTCATTTGAAACTTCATTCGCGACGCTACATTGTGGATGACACACTGTTTCTTCAGGTTGAGATTAGTCAACCACCCGATACGAACTCCAGTCTTGAAGATTAAGAAAATTACAGGGTTTCATTCTCGATTAAATTTTGACAAATTGCCCCAAGAGTGGACTCTGACAAATCGTTTACAATTTTCCATGAACGTATCACTCAGTTTTATAGTTTATCAACCGTTAGCCGTAAAACGGCCAAAAAATTGACAAATTTTAACCGTTACTCGTAAAAAAAGTTAACCGTAAAGATTTGTCTGATGGAAATTCTTAGCCGTAAATTGGCCAAAATTTTAACCGTTAGCAGTAAAAGCCATCACTCAATTGGATCCTCTATCAATGCTGTTACCTACTTGGTGGCATCACAAAGCCAATTGTTTTTCCTTCTCCAATAAACCCAAATAAAGAAGGACCAACCGTGGATAACAGGAAACCATGATAGATTCAAATCATGCTCTCAACTCTTGTTTTGTTGCGGAAGAGCCCTTGTTTCACCGAGAGGTGGCTGATTGGTATACTTTAAGATAAAATTTAAGAGATGGATAGTACAGGGCTGCCTTCGGCGGCCTCGTTAGGTTCCTTTTACAAGATGAAAATCAGCAAAATATGTTTTACAGCCTTTAAAAAAAAAGAATCTCAGATTAGCGATCCTATTCCAATAGGCTTCGTTAATGAATGAATAAACTCCTAGCTAATACGTTGATAAGCTTCAAAATCGCCGGTTTGTACTCAGAACTACTGAGATCTCTCACCAGTTAATCAGCCGAGCTCTTTCCCCGAGACCAACAACGATTATGAACTTTATGTATGTACTTTGAAGTTATCCACATGTCTTTCGCTCTCCGCCCAAAGCTTTACTGGCAGAACGGGGGACCTCTGGGAATATTTTGTGAGCAGCTTTTCGTATTTTTTTTAAGACATAGCAAATCATTGTGAATGGAACCTTGGTTTTGATGACCTATTTCTTTTCGTAAATAGATTTTACTGCTGGTTGTATCATTTTAAACAAATATATGTAATGCGTTATTCTTATAGCGTTGGCGCCGTATAAATAAAAGTTATTACTAGTATCACTCCTTATCTATATTCCAAATCTTTTCTGTTACTAAGCGATCAGTTCAACTATTTCCTCGGCCGTGAAAAGAGTTTCGTCTATGATATAATTATGAGGCTGCGTTTGATACTGACAAGACGAATTCTGGAAGCTAGTGTTTTGTTATACAAATGTTCCCGGCAGCTACGAAATGAAGCAGACAGTTTCGGGTGGGTATGGTAGATAGACCAATAACTGCCATTAAAAGCCAATCCCTTTATAGCATTAACTTAATCTTGCACGTTCATGGACGCAGCCATATGATAAATGACCCCTCTGGTCGAAAGTTCGAGGAAATATAACCAACAGAAAAGATTCTGACGAGTGTGATGAAGATCACGTGATACCGCTATCAAGAAGAACTTTGAATTAAATTAGTTGTTTAAATTACGGGCGCGGCTATAGATAATAGCCTGTAGAATCTCTGGTAAATGAAGTATAAATTTTCATGTAGGTCCAACGTCAAGAAATGGAATATCATCTTGAATCAGCAACAAGAATCCATCTTGATTTAGTTTGTATTAAGAGCTAATGTCAGCATGCATCAAACAAACAGCAGCAAGTCACCCAAATTTGTTTTCCCTCCTACTTTCATATTTTGTAGCCCAATATGTTCTAATAATTGTGGTGTAGTGTTTTTGTAAAAGTTTATTTTAGTTTTCGAGAAATGGCTTTTTTCGTTCGACCACTCAAATATGCAAATTTTCACCGTGAATATTACCCGAGTTGTGTGACCTCATGTAACGAATGTACTAGACCTACGGTATTTCTGTTAACATAATCCTTTGTTTTATCATCTAAACTTAATCTCCTGTCGTTATTGAAGCTGGCAAAGAAACATTTATTTTTTGGTGAATATTTTTGTCCGACATACTTTTCCTATGTCGAAAAGTAGCATCAAAACAAAGACAGTTTTAACAATGACCGATATGAAACAATCTACTGAGCTTCAAGCTTTTATAAGACAAAAGGATGGTTATAAAGTTACTGTAAAAATTTCGTTGTGTATTTGTGTTATTCTATCTTGAGACGAACTCAAAGTCCGGCAAAATTTATTTGATAGCGACTATGGAATATACATGGTGCGCCTTCTTGTCGCCACCGTTAACTGCCATAAATCACTACAATTTGCAAAAAAATCTAACATAACACTCTTACCTTGTTTACTTATGATTTTATTAGCTGTTCGATGATCACGTTAATTATGCTCATCCACATTCTAGCCAGATTTGAGTTCCAGTTTATATATCTTCTCTAACTTATTATATCAGTTGCGTGACAAGCGTGACACACAAATTCAAAGATGAATCAACCTCCGAAATACCAAGAGATGGGTTTTTTTCCTCTTTGCATGACATCTAGAAAAACCTTTCAGGAATGACTGCATTCAGAAAACTAAAATTTCCAGATCCATCAATGATTCATTTGCCGGCTGAAGTCAAAGACAAGTATGGTTACAGTAGTCAATTTGATTGACAAGCTACATACTGGTTCAGCCAATTGATCTGTTTTATAAGCGTCTCATCTCATCATCTCATCAAATCGTTCGCTGGTGGAACTTGTGGGTTTAGTTATCGAGAAGACCAAGCCGTTCCCTTGTGTTCCCTTGCGTGATTCCAAATCCACTAGCGGATATGGACCCCCCTTCGCAGATTTGAACCCCCCCACCAAATTTTCCTTTTTAAGCATCCTTTGTATCATATTTGGTAACTAATTATATTTGCAAGCTTTTTTCTCGATGTTCTTTTCAATCACAACACAACATTTCCTCGATAAAGGTAAAAAAAAACAAGAACAGCTTTTTTGTTCCAATTCTACCGCATTCATTATAGCGAGTCGTACAGTATACGCAAGAATTAGATGTGAACAAACTACTGCATTCGAACTATTGAAACTGTTACAATAAATCTTTGTTTCTTCTGATGCGAATCAACATTGGTACGAAACGTCATAACAATAGTGGAGACTATTGCGTCCAGTCACAGAAATAACTCAGTCTCATTTTCTAAAATAATAGCATTGAACAGTTTTTGAACAAGAACGAAGAAACTACTCGTATTACAAGTCGTTCGTAAAGCCTATGATAAATAAAAATGTTTCTATTCTGAACTATTGGAACTCTCAGCTTATTTTCAGATGCAAATCAACATTAATGTCAACGTCTTAACAAAAGTGGAGACTATTACATCGAACTCAATCTTATTTTCTAATTTTAACGATTATTAACTGTTGATGAATCCGAAATAACACCTTAACAATTACGAAGACGTCTAGAGTCGGGCAATCTGCAGACAATGCAGAGCCACTCGTCCTCCGGGGCAGTCTTAAATCCCTCGCAGCTCATGTGTAACCTTTCCTCGCACAACTCGCACTAAACCATGTCGTCCCAACACTCGGGCATTGAACAATGACAAAATAAATTTGTGTCACAAGTTTGTCTCTTATTGAATCTAGAGGTGTTCGACTATCGCGGAAAAGGTTCAAAACGACCTTTCTCCAGACATTAAACTAAATTCTTGTCCGTTTTCCCTTGGTCAAAAGAAACATCCGACGGGATGCCAGTTCGTATGCATTAACGATACGCATGTTTTGAAATAAAAACATACTTTAGTACGCATTGAAACATAAAGTATCATCCATTTTTACTAGAACGTTAAGGATGATGTTTTCATTCAGTTTTGTTGGGGGGTCCAAATCTGCGGAGGGGGGTCCATATCCGCTAGCGGTTTGGACCGGGGGATCCAAATCAAGGGGGGTCCAAATCCGCTGGGCATCTTCGAGACGCCAAAAGATATCGATGATTTTATAAATTGTCCCACTCACAGATCAAATCTCGGTGTTAGGTGAAATCGTGGTTCCAATAGCAGATGTAGGGTGCCAAAAGAAATGTCCGGCATGGTAAAGGTAGGGTTAAGTCGATTCCAAAGGCTGATAGGGGAATTGGCAAGCGTGTATCACAGATAGTACTCAAGATGTCTGGAAAATTCGTACAATCTGGCTTCGGTAAGTAGGCTACTTACCACCGTGAGCAAAATTACGCATGACGTCAGAGTTAAGTTTTGATTGGGAATTGGTCAATAGGATACCAAAAATTCAGACAGAGGCGGAGTTTTCTGAACTAATGTCTGAACACTTTGTTGGCTTTCCGCCGTCTGGGGGAACGTGTGATTATGCACACGGTGGTAAAGGGCCATTCCGCACTAGCAACAAGACGCTGACAAAACATGTTTCTCTTAGCCAAAATCACTTCAGAATTTGTCCTTGCTAAATGTCAAGTGTGCTGACGTATTAGCACCCCCGGGAGACCCTTTACATAAGAGGGCGGGGGTGCGCGCCTGGAATTTCAAAAACGACCGCTATAAAATTATAAAAGGTGCGGGAGTGTGGGAGTGGCAACAATTAGCCAGTAAAAACAAGTGTTTATGTCCTTTTCTGTCTTTTTCAATGCTTCATTCGCTCCTACAGAGGATTCATACAAATATGAGAGCCGTGCCGCGTTTACATTGTACAGGCAGAAAAGGTCGTCCAGAATGAGTGTTTCGTTCTGTAATAAAAACCCCAATAAACTCACTCAGAAATGACTCATTTCGAATAAATTTTACACTGGTTATTATGTGGCAACCGGTATGAACTCGTTCTTGTACAAAACTCATTAGGATATCATGTAAAAAGCCCCTAAAAGTTTTTATTCGCAGAGCATCACGCTTTGCTCGCCTGTCTGAATACTAAAAATTTCAGAAGCGTTGAAGCAACAACCCGCTTTTAACTGTTTCGCTGCCGCTGAACAACAATTAGTGAAGAAAGCACATCTTTTAATATTTTAAATTCAACGTAAACAAAAATCTTTATAAATGGTAAATATTCTCTTGCGTCGATATTGTATTGTTTAATATGTTATCTACTGCGCTAGCTAATTAAGGCCACAATTTTCAATTAATTATTACTAATCGCATAACGTGATGACGTCATAAACGGAATTCACTGTATTACGACTTGCTAGTCAGAAGAACTGTGAGACACCACTGGATTTTGAACGCGACTACTCCAAGCGATGATTCAATAAAGGAGCTGTTTAAAACCGTGGACTGAGTTAATCTTCGACTGGCAAAATAGATATCAATTATTGCGTGACTAACTTATGATATAAATGAGGGAGGGGAAAACGCAACGCAAAACCTGAACTCCTGACAAAAAGTAATACCCAGGCGTTATACGATAATCGAAACGGCTAATAAAATCATAAATAAACAAGGTAAGAGTGTTATGTTAAACTTTTTTTTCCAAATTGTAGTGATTTATGCCAATTAACGGTGGCGACAAGTAGGCGCACCATATATATTTCATAGTCGCTATCAAGTAAATTTTGCCGGACTTTGAGTTCGTCTCAAGATAGAATAACACAAATACACAACGAAATTTTTACAGTAACTTTATAACCATCCTTTTGTCTTATAAAAGCTTGAAGCTCAGTAGATTGTTTCATATCGGTCATCGTTAAAACTGTCTTTGTTTTGATGCTACTTTTCGACATAGGAAAAGTATGTCGGACAAAAATATTCACCAAAAAATAAATGTTTCTTTGCCAGCTTCAATAACGACAGGAGATTAAGTTTAGATGATAAAACAAAGGATTATGTTAACAGAAATACCGTAGGTCTAGTACATTCGTTACATGAGGTCACACAACTCGGGTAATATTCACGGTGAAAATTTGCATATTTGAGTGGTCGAACGAAAAAAGCCATTTCTCGAAAACTAAAATAAACTTTTACAAAAACACTACACTACAATTATAAGAACATATTGGGCTACAAAATATGAAAGTAGAAGAGAAAACGAATTTTGGGCGACTCGCCACAATATTTCAAATTTGTTTGATGGATGCTGACATCCTCTCTTAAATTAAACAACACGGAAGACAAGTTAAATAAAACAGAAGATGAGCTGAATAGCACAAAAGATAAGTTGAAGAAGACAGAAGATAAATCAAATAACACAGAAGCTTTGTTAAATGAGACAAGACTTGAGTTGAAAAATGCCATAGAACTGCAAAAGTTTTCGAGCGTAAAACATAACAAAGTGTTTCTTTGGCGGATTGACAGTTTCAATGAGATTTTAAAAGAAGCCAAAAACGGAGGAAAAGAGACAATAAACAGTAATCTATTCTACAAAAATAGTGAAACAGAAAGTTTTGGCTACAAGTTAAAAGTATACGTTTACCCTAATGGGCATGGAGATGTCTTGGTGTTCATTGCTCTAATGAAAGGTGAATATGACGCAGTTTACGCTGGCCTTCACTAAGAAAACGAAGATCACGTTAATTGATCAACACGGGAAAACGTGACCAGAGAGATCGTCGGGAGAGAGATTCCCAACTTTGCAAGGCCCAAAACAAAAGAAAACGCGGCGAGAGGTTTTCATCGTTTCATATTTCATTTGAAACTTCATTCGCGACGCCACATTGTGGATGACGCACTGTTTCTTCAGGTTGAGACTAGTCAACCATCTAATACGAACTCCACTCTTGAGGGTTGAGAAAATTAAAGGGTTTCATTCTCGATTAGCTTTTGAAAAATTGCATTAAGAGTGGACTCTGACAAATCGCTTACAATTTTCCATGAACGTTTGACTTAATTTTTTAGTTTATCAAGAGGTTCTCCATGGGGTTAACCGTTAGCCGTAAAACGGCCAAAAAACTGACAAATTTTAACTGTTACTCGTAAAAAATTTAACCGTAAAAAATCTGTCTGGTGGAAACAATGGAAAGATGTTAACCCTTAGCCGTAAATTGGCCAAAATCTTAACCGTCAGCCATAAAAGCCATCACCCAATTGTGACCCTCTATCAATGCTGTTACCTAGTTGGTAGCATCATAAAGCCAATTGTTTTTCCATCTGCAATGAATCCAAATAAAGAAGGACTAACCGTAGATACCATGAATCCATGATAGATTCGAATCATGCTCTCAATTCTTGCTTTGCTGTACAGCCCAGTGAGTTTAAATCCTTGTATGGATTGAAATCTTCCTCCTTAACCCTCTTACTCCCAAGATCTCATTAGTATTTCTCCTTACTGTCTGCCATACAATGCTCGTTATATTAGTTTGGAGAATTTGGTATCGGATCAATTAGTCATCCCGTAATTGATATTTTTCTAAAATCTCATCACTTGTCTACATGATATTGCATAGACATATCAAGGAGAAATTCTGTCTTGGTCGCTCACGGGAGTTGAAGGGTTAATATGAGCCCATACATGTAAAAGATATCGTAATGAACTCGAGTTCTTGAACGGCACTGTGAGTTACGGAAAAACCGACGCTAAACCGCAGTTTGCTTCAAAAATTTCCAGTTTAGAGGTTTCTAACAGCCCGCGTACTCATAAACCTTGACACACAAACGTAGAAAACCAGCTTTGTAGATTGTCTCAGCACCACGGGTGCCAAGTTACGGTGTGGTTCCCGGCGAGGCTCAGTTTAAAAAGCAGACAGGGTTACCAAGCTGGTTTTCCAACGGTCGTGTGTCAAGGTTCATGTGTAGAATTGTTTCAGATTAGATTTTTCCGAAGTAAAAAGTAAAAAAAAATCATGATTAATAAACCATTCTCTACGCGTGTGCAACATATGTTCGAAGAGGCCTTCTAAACAAGCAGTGCCTTTCTGTCATCCCAACAAGAACAACGGACCTCTCTGCGTTGTGGTTATCCAAGCATCAATTACGAAAGGATGCTGCAGTACGTTAAGAACACAGTTACACGGATAGAATCTCCGAGTTTCACTTGTTATTAATCTTGTTCTACCAGGATTTCATTGCCCCATTACCGAATTGTTGTTTGTTTTTTTTTTTTTTAGTTTACCCTAAATACCAATCTTACTTGACACCCCTGGGATCTGCTACTAGTCAACTTTTACATCGGCTTTTTACCTCTTCCAGCCTGCGTGTGTAGAAATGGGGTTCACAATCAGTATACGGCGGCGTCCAGTGTTGTGGGCGTTCTCTAAAACAGCGGAGGTGGGGTCTTCGCGAGTTCGATATTCGTCTTTGATTCTAGTCTCGTGCATAGGTCTGCCAGCCTCACTGATGTGAGAATTGTGGACAGCGGAATCAAAACGTCGCGATCTTCATATGCAATGAGCACATCGTGAGACAAAAAATTCTACTTCTCTTTTAAAGTGTTATTTACCACGATGAAAAACCTATTCTACGATTATAGAACTTTTTCCCAGCCGTTGCATGATCAGCATAGTTTTGGTCTTACAATATTCTCCAGGTTTTTCTGCAAGGTAAACTTGAATTTTCACAACAACTCTTGAAATAACAGCCACACACTCTGCCTTCTCTGTCTCAGTGATAAATGAATGATGATTGTTAATTTGAACCGTCCTATTAGACATAATATCAACCTTCAGTAGTCAAGAGTTCGGACTAAAAATCTTGTGTATAAAGTCGACATGCAATCATATTCGTATGAAAGTCGTGAAATCTTGATAGCATATGTCCAACATAATTTTCAAATTTTTTATAGCACTTTAAAGAATTCTCATTTTTGCCAAAATATTGTAACTGAACACCGTTTTTTTTTTTCCTTACTATTCTTGGGGAGTGGGTTGGAAAATGACCACTGAAGAGTGTTAGGCTCGGAAATTCAAAATTTCACATTTCTGAGTTTGAGGGAAGGAAAGCACTTTTCTACTTATATCTCCGGAGACCGCCAAAAACGAATCAATATCAAACCACAGGTAGCAGAGGAGTCCAAATTTGCCCATTTCTCTTGTTAACGGTACAAGCTTGTCGCGAAATGATTACTTCTGGGCCGGGTTGTTCAAAGCTGGGTTAAGACAACCCAGGGTTAGCGTGAAATCTGATTTCAGGTCTAAATGCTGTAAAAGGAAATTCAGTCGAATTCTTTTAGTCTAGAGTATGACTATTTGACACTTTAAATAGAACACTGAAAATTATCCCAAAAAGGCTTTTGAGTAAAGGAATAAGGAAACCCAGATTAAAATTTAACCCTGGGTTAGCGCTAATCTACCTTCGAACAACTGGGCCCTGGTGTGTAACGCGATCACACTTCTTCACGATTTATGAACGAGATCTAATCGAACCACAATTGTACTGACATAAGTCAAAGAAACGATCAAAGAAACGTATCCCGCTAATGTATGGTCTTTATAACTTACGCCATGAATAAAAAAAATTGATTCGGTCATAAAATAAATCGATGGCAACCCCATAAAAAGAGATTTCTATGCGCCAGCTAAGTCATAATTTCTCTCTACAGAAAAGGGTGTTGCAATAGATAAAAAATTTTTCAATCGATCAAAGCCAATACAAGTGAAAATGCAGTCGGGAGAGCGAGAGCAATATGTCGTGATACAAAAGCAGCGTTATTTCCCACTTTCAAGAAGTCTTGAGTTACTGCGTTACAATCACATTTCAAAGCAAGGGTCAAATATTTACGTTTCTTTCATCATTTGACTTCGAGTCTCGGGTGGATTTCAATATGGCGGAATCCAGATCAAATGATCACCGTCCTCCTTCGGGCTATGAAGAGGACTTTGTGGAAGAAGTTGAAGAAGATTTTCAGTGTCCCATATGTCATTTACCGCTAAAGGAACCAGTTCTTACGAGATGTGGCCACAGATATTGCAAAGAATGTCTTGACGAGCACACTGGAAGGTGAGAGTTTACCATGAGCAGCTTTCAGTATTGTGTTTCAACCGCATTAAATCACTAGCAGAGTCGAAGTTTAACTAATTAGAGAATGGTGGTCGGTTGCATGATCTTAAACATCAATTGCAACGATAATGACCACTACAGAAATTTACTTGGTGATGCAATTTTTCAATGTCTAACATTGCATTCGATTAGTTTAAAATATGCGCTCAACTTCCCCAAGAACGAAACAAGACACATTTTCCTAATTATCAAAGGTAATGAACGGGTTTCATTCTTACTTGTCCCAAAAATAAATTATCTTAGAATCGAAAGCGGAAATCTGTAGTTCAATTATGTACTGTAAGCGTAATTAAGTTTGAATTTTTTCTTCATATTTTCTAGTTTGTGCTTTAAGTGATGCGATACTGTTAGACTTATCTCGCTATTTAAAGTTTCAGTTTACCTCATCGTTCACACGAGACTTCATTACTCGGCCACTAAATTACATGAACATATAGACGTATATTATGTACCTTGTAAATTGTGTTGGTTCGATGAAATATGTCCTCTCGGAAAAATTCCTAACAACGGCTTGGCACAATGTATATAGCTAAGTGCTAAATATTTTCTTCATATTTTCTAGTTTGTGCTTTAAGTGATGCGATACTGTTAGACTTATCTCGCTATTTAAAGTTTCAGTTTGCCTCATCCTTCACACGAGACTTCATTACTCGGCCACTAAATTACATGAACATATAGACGTATATTATGTACCTTGTAAATTGTGTTGGTTCGATGAAATATGTCCTCTCGGAAAAATTCCTAACAACGGCTTGGCACAATGCTAAGTGCTAAATATTTTTCTTAAGACACAAAACAGATGATCGAGTACCTTCGTTTCCGTGTTTATCCCCCTAAATATCTTTTTTCGATGTTGTAGATTCTGCATGTTGCTGTGAAAGTTGATTTAACAACTGTTTTTGTCAATGTTGTTTTGTGTTGTCGACTGTATTGAATTAAATAAAAGTGTTGGTTGAGATGGTATATGAGAATATTTCCAACACCTGCAATATTTGTACATCGATTGAAGATCCCTTAACCGTTAAAATATTCAAAAATTCATTTGAATTCTGTCATTTTAAGGCACTTTCTTACTCGCTTGCTCGCTTACTTACTTACTTACTTAACAATTTGATCTTCTCACAGACAGCAAAATAAAGAAGAGTCTTTAACCTGCCCGGTAGACAGGCAAAATCTGGACCCAAATCGGGTAAGTAAACTTTTTAACTTCTGAAAATTTAAGAATGATTTGCTTACTGGGTGCAGTTAACCCCTTAATTCCCATGATCTGATTGATAATTCTCCCATCTAGCTGTCACACATTCCCTTGCAATTGAGTTACAAGAATTCCGTGTTACATCATGACAACAACCTCTAACTAATAAGTTTGAGTAATCTCATTACCTGTTTGTTGGATAGTGTAGGGAGAGGTTACATGTAAATCACTTCTGGAAGTTAAAGGGTTAAAAAACAGAAACAATTATTCAGCATTGTTCTTATTGCTCATAAAGTCTTGACCATTCTCAATAGTCTGACTTGGTAGATTCTTTCTGAAACCCAAGTTTTATTTTTGATTAAATATTTTGAACAATGTTTTCTTTTCTTTAGTCTATTTGTTTGTTTTTTGTTCTTGAAAATATGCCTTATTTATTTTCCAAATGTATTTTACTTAAAACAATACTATTCTTCAAATAATTCCTAGTAAAGGCTCTCCTAAGTAAAAACACTTATGCCTTAGTCAATTGTCACCTTAGAAATTGACCTATCTGGATCTTGGAGACGTAAGAATAATGTTACTGCGATTATTTCTTAGGACATTTTCCCTGACAAAGCAACAGAGAGGAAAATCCTTTCTCTTAAAATCAGATGTCCAAGTGATGGCTGTGGATGGAAGGGGGAGCTGAGGAGCAAGGAGGTAAAAAACTGACACACATTTATTGGAATGTTAATCAGCCTAAACGTTTTGTAATAAAGCTAACTCCCCTTCTCAAAATATAACTCTAGCACCGACATGGTGAAAAGTAGACAGGGAGACACTGTGGTTAGTACTCCTAACCAGGGGAGAGTAGATTTCTGTAAGTCAATAAGTTTTAAATGAAACTCTCAGTTATGCTTTGTTTTGTTGAACAGGCCCACTTGGGATCTTGTCCTTTTCACCAAGTGGCGTGTACCAACAAAAACTGTGGCAAAATAGTCCAAAGGAGACATCTAAAACAACACGAAAATAATGAGTGTCCATGGAGAATCCTTCAATGCACTCACTGTTTTGAACCCCACCCAGAGTGTCAAATGGAGGTGGGTACTGTGATAGTCATAGAATTCACGTTTTCACTTTTTTGATAAATTGGATTATCCTCGAAGAAGAGCTTCAAGTCAACATTTCTATGTACCGACCGCAAGAGTCTTTAGGCCGGGTAAGAAATAAACTATGTAACTGAGCAAAAAAATAAACCTCACAAACATGACTCCCAACAGGATTGTAAAAAAAGCAGGGGATCTGACAAGAGGTAAAAATTAAATTCCAAAAATGTTTTCAATATTTATTTCTGTAGGATCATGTCACAAGGTGCCCCCTGTTCCCACTAACTTGTCCGAACCACTGTGGTCGTACGATTCCCAGAGAAATGGTGAGACTTTTAGTTGTATCTTTATGCACACAATTTTTATAAAAGGGAGAAAGGTTACCAAAGCGTTATAGGGAACTTTTTTCTTTCTTTTTCCAAATTTTTTTTTTCAGCAGAACAACAAAATTAATTTATCATTTACCGCGCAGTCTTTTTTCAAGTGGTGCATGAGCGACATCATATGAAAGGAACGGATACTATCACACTTTGTTTTCCGAAAGCAATTCACACATCTACGGTAGAAGAGAGGATTGCTGTCCCTTCTCTTAACATGTTTATTCCTTTCTTTGACATGATTCAGGTTTCAACTCACATTGAAGACAAGTGTCGGCTAACGTGGATTTCCTGTCCATATACACCGATGGGTTGTAAGCAAAAGGTGAGAACATCATAGTAGAGCCTTCATGAATTCATGTCACTAATTGTAAAAATCCAATAACAAAAATCAAATGCTAGCAAAGTGAATTCACGAAATGCATTCTTGTTTTCTTGCCATCATGCTGAGTTTTGCAGTTCGAAGCATAGTTAATAAAAATGCTTATTCCTTGTTAGAGAAGAAATTCCTAGAGTTTCTAATTAGTGTAAGACGTTTAAAGGTATCTATGGAAGCAGGAAATCTTGAACCGAAAACCGATCACAGTATTCACTTCTTGCACGCTCGCGGATAAAAAAAAACAAGAACAAGCGCTCAGCAGATGTCTTAAATGGTGTTCCCTGCGCTCGGTTTTGAAAGCAAAGGTTCTGCTAAAATGAAATATTTTTCAGTTTCTGAAACGTTTGAGCCTAAATCTGAATATGACAAAAAAGTCCAAAGAAAGCAGTCGTGAAAAGTAACCACTTCACAATCCCCTTCCCACGCCATTTTTTTGTTTTCAAACCTTAAAGGCTACCTTATTCCCGAGGATACTATTCTTGAATTAAAGTTGCTCCACTAGAAAATTTCGGCTGGACTCGGTACTTGACCCATCCTCGGGTACCCGGGGGCTGTGAGTCGATTTCAAGTCAGGGCGGAAAAGCCCCCGGGTACATTGTCTTACAAGACTAGTTCCAAACGGTCGCAGTCGTTCTGGCATCTGATTGGCGCTAGAAAATCTCTGTGTTTTTCTGCCCAATCAGAGTGAAGTATGCTTTAGAGTCCCTTCGTGTGTTTTAACACGTAGATTTGCAGGAAGCTCAGTTGCTCGCCTTGTTTGTTTGGGCCGTGTGACGAAGCTTTGCTTGATGTGAAAAGTTTCAGTCTCAGCACACAATGTAAGAGAAATCGATTAGATTGTCCGCGAAAACCTTACCAGAAATTATACTGAATACTTTCGCAAGTATCACAGGTATTTCGTCGTACGGGCCACGCAGGTATGTCGAGCAACTGGCGCTTACGCTCACGTAGCTTTCTGTGCGCGCCAAAATCTAACCCTCACACGGTAGCAAAGTCTTTCACAATATGGCCAAGGTTACAGAGAATGTTAAGTTCGTGGACGACCTCCAGTAAGCGCCTAGAGAAAGCTTGGCTGTGTTTCCGGTTAGCGAATTAAAGTCTGAACAAAAACTCGAGAACATTGTGGGAAGGAGAGATGTTTTTGGACAGTAACCGACGGGGTTTGGAAAGAGCTTAATCTTTTCAACTGCTGCCCTGACAAAGGCATACCATTTTTTTTTGTTGGAGTCTGTCTCCTCCCAGTTACAAGCCATGATGTTTGTTCCATGACAAGTGTCGCAAACTGCACGCGGAAGACCATCGTCTGGTTGAACTTTTTGATTGAAAACTTCAAATATTTTCATAAACTCACCATTAAGGTTCCTTTGTCTCTTAATTTTGATAAAAACGAAAGAGCATACTCGACAACGGTCTGAAACATTTCCACTCGGATTATTCACGCTCATCGTAAAAAAACCCTGAACCTTCCCTAAACAACTTGTCGAAGGAGATATGATTTTGGTGCGCACAGAAAGCCACGTGAGCGTAAGCGCCAGTTGCTCGACATACCTGCGTGGCCCGTGCGACGAAATAATTTCACGGGATTGGCAAAGTTTCAGTCACAGCACATTGTGCGAGAAATCTAGAAAGACTTATGTCCGAACGCACTGGACTGACAAAATTTGTCTGGCCCCACCAAAAAACCCGACAAAATTTGCCTCTGTCAAATTTTCAATTTGTCAAGCGTGGATGCACTGAGACACAGTAAAATATTTGTTAACCACACGTGTCAATCACTTGAGACAAGAGCCTCCATTGCAACGTTCGAAGAATTTTCGGATCTACCAAATAGAGCAGGCGCCATCGATGGGACACAAAAAAATAAGGCTCCAAAAGAAAGCGCTGTCGACTACTTTAACTGATATAAATTGAACATTACTTGGCCCTGGAGATGCAGCTGGAACGTAAACTTGGGAACCGTAATAGTTGTATTCTGAGTAAGGATCGTTATGCAGCATACCGAGGCACGAATCTGCCACCTTCACCGTTTGATTGCCGCGCACCTAAGAAATAATTTCGGTGGGCTTCGGATTGAAATACTCTGACTGAAAGTAGAGATAAAATTTTCTTGATTGACATGTTCCTTCAAATCATGGCATATAAATTGACAAATCTGTCAGATTTCACGCCTGACAAAAATTTGTCCTGCTCCGAGGCAGGACGACGGCGTCTCTGAAGTTTGGTAAGCCTTGACAAAATTTGGTAGGTCTAAAAAAATAACCGGGCGCACTTGTCTTAGGGAACTGGTGACAGATTTTTTCGCAGAATAAACAAAAATTTGCCCAGTGCGCCCGGGCCCTTAAGCTTACATCTCGTCTAAAGTTTAAAGCGACATATTGACGCCTGCAACCATAATGTTTTATACGAACCTCGCAAACTTTTAAATACGTTCTCTTGTGATACCTACGAAGGTATTCAGTATAATTTCTGGTAAGATTTTCGCGGACAATCTAATCGATTTCTCTTACATAGTGTGCTGAGACTGAAACTTTTCGCCTCGAGCAAAGCTTCGTCGCACGGCCCAAACAAACAAGGCGTGCAACTAAGATTCTTGTGCATCCCCATGTTAAAACAGACGAAAGAACTCTAAAGCACACTTCACTCTGATTGTGACTGCAACCGTTTGGAACTAGTCTTGTAAGACAATGTCCCTAGAGGCTCTTCCACCCTGACTTGAAATCGACTCACAGCCCCTGGGTCTCCGAGGATGCACTTGGCCGTGCGCGATTTTGAACATCCGAAGAACAAGTCCTGAAGGACAACCAGCAACAGCGCTGTTGTTCTAATAAGTCGTCATAACACTTCATCTCCATACATTTGAGTTTTTGAAGTCCACAAGTTCTGATATCGCTATTAAACAAGAGCTCTGTGTTTGTTTATGCAAACGACCTATAAAACTGTCTTGAGAAGGCTTAACTTTTCATGTAGGTTCAACGCCAGGAAGTGGAGTCTCATCTCGAATCAGCCACAAGAGTCCATCTTGATTTCGCTTGTGTTAAGCTAAATAAGATAGAAGATGAATTGAATGAAGCAAAGAACAAATCGAAGAAGATAGAGGATAAGTACGACAACGCAGTGGCTTTGTTAAATGAGACAATGGCTGCTTTGAAAAACGCCGTGGGACTGCTACAGCTGTCAAACGTAAAACATACAAACATGTTTCTTTGGAGGATCGACGGTTTCAGTGATATTTTGGAAAAGGCAAAGAACGAGGGTAAAGAGAAGATATACAGTGATCCGTTGTACACCAAAACTGAAACAGATGGTTATGGGTACAAATTAAAAGTACTCATTTGCCCTGATGGAATTGGAGATGCAAAGAATACTCACCTGTCGGTATATATTATTATAATGAAAGGTGAATATGACGCAATATTACCTTGGCATTTCAATAAGAAAGTGAAGTTCACATTGATTGATCAACAAGATGAACCAGGCAAAAGATATAACAAAACTGCAGAGCTCATAGGAGAGAATATCCCGAGCTTTACTAGGCCTACAACAGAAGAAAACATAGGAATAGGTTTTAATTGTTTCATATCTCATGAGGAACTTAAATCGCAGCACTACATTGTGGATGACACTTTGTTTCTACAGGTCGAGATTAGGTCGCCATCTAATTGATTCCGTGCTCTAGCCTTAGAGGCAAAAAAAGAATTACGGAGCTAGATTCTCAAGTTGACTTTGATAAAGGTTCAATGTTTCAGAGAAATTTTGAAACAGGCAAAGAATGAGGAAAAAGAGAAAATAAACAATGATCCATTCTACACCAAAACTGAAACAGATGGTTTTGGCCACAAATTAAAAGTACTCATTTCCTTTGTTTCTTCAGGTTGAGATTAGTTCGCAATCGAGTTAATTCCGCACTGCAGCCCCAAAAGTAAAATATCAATAATGAAAGAGTCAGCTTCTCGACATGACTGTGACAAATTGCATGACGGATTGGCTCTCGTAAGTCTTTACATCTTGTGACCAACCTGCGAAACTATGGCCAAGTGAGCTCTCTGAGCTGAAATAAAATCCAGGAGGTTAGTTTAGTTTTTATAACCTTCTTCTGGTATACGGATTTTATTATTGACTGTGTTGTTTAACATAGATGTTTGTGATAGGCCATAAGCATAGCAATAGCGTTATCTGAATAAATGTTACCGATGTTATCACTATTTATCTGGATTTCTGACTCATCTCGGTCAGTAGGAGATCATTTACAACCAAGTAATAAGTCATTCAGTGGCGATCTCCGTAAGAGTAGTGCAGGGCATTTTGCATCGGAAAAAGGGGTTTTACCTCAAACTTTGCCATTTAACTATCTTTGATAGTAAGTAAATAAAACTATATTGGTTCTGAAAATACGTTTACAAAAAAGTTCGAGAGCTCTCAATATTCAAAGCTGCGAAGGGTCCTTTTTTGACCTCTTGCGACATCGAAAATTTAAAAAGTTGATAAGCTCGCTCCTCGTAACACACTGCATGCATGTGCGTGATATCTAAGGGGTTTGGAAAGCGTTTCAATGTTTATTCAGAGGTTCGCCATAATTTATTGATAACACCCGTTATACAGCTATCTGAAATTGGTCAAAAGTATTCTTCCTTTCTAAGGTGATATTTCTCAAGTCCAGATCGGACCGTTTCTGATTTATTTCTTTAAATGAAATGTTCGAAAGCATTGATATGTAAAAGCATCTTGCACTTAATAATTTCCTTCGCCGTAGTGCCGTTCAAACTTGCTAGCGTGACAGCAGAATTATGTAAATTAGTCTCTTGAGCAAACTCCGACCGCTCTATCTAAATAGCTTCATAAATCTTAAATTTTAACCATTTTAAAAAGAAAATATGATAGGGCAGAACTTTTAGAGCACACTGATTGATACTCTAAATATTTGAAACGGCTAAAATATAGCAAATGATTCTCATGACGAAAAAGGTGAACAAAACGTATCAAACATCATAGTTGTACGTTCTATGTCGGATGTCGTGCGATGTCATGGTTCTAAGAGATGGCAAAGCGTTATTCCAAGTGGTCATAGAACATGAGCAGAAGTGTAAGGCAGCTTTCGATGTTGGCCTTCAAGCCCCTTCTCGTCGCCCATCAGAAAGATCCCTTTAAAATCCTAACTATTTATGCTTATAGATTCTCACCAATGCACTTATAGAACAAATATCAACCATTTGAAAACCTATCCGATAGACAAATAAAGAAGGCACTGAGCACAGGCGAAGAGTGAGGGGCCCAAAGAGCCCATTGAAAAAAATCCAATGGCACACAATCCGTATGGAATAGCGTCTGCTGAAGCACTCCTCTTAGAGTTCACGATGAGGCCATACCACTATCAGGACGTAGCGTGCGGCAGTTGCACCATTATACTTGCCAGCTGTGTGGAATTTGTCGTGAACAGTAACCATGTGTACCATCATTAATAGTACATGGACAATTCCAAAGAAACAGGATTTCAACCGATAGGTGAATCCACCATGGAGAGAATATTGGAAGTTCAAGAGGCCACAAAGAAGAAATCATCGCGGAGTCTAGAAAATACTGTATCTGAGGGCGCGTATGGTTTTAAAGAATTTTTGTTAATTATAGACAAACTAAAACGCATTGGAGCAGAGCTTTTGTACAACGTCTGCTATTCTGTCAATGCCTGCTTTGAAAACTTGCTCTGCATCTTGGACATTTCCTCTCGCTGATTTCCCTGCCCCCATCAAGCGCAAACACGGCTGATAGCCTGGAAGATCTAGGCTAGAATTTCGAGCAAAAAATCACGTTATCGCTGCCTTGTTTAGATGGGAGAAGTACACAACTGAATCAGGTGACCGAGCCACAAGTCAAGGTATGCGCTGTTATAGATTATGAGTAGTCCCTCCTTCTCAGCGTAGTCCGCCACGCGAAAAAAAAAAAAGAGAGAGAGAGAGATGTCAGCGCGTCGCCGGGAGCGTGTGGAGTGAGGCACTAACATTATCCTTTTTTCTTCAGTGAATTTTTCGACTCACGCTCGAATCCTGTAGTTTGGTTCTGAAATGTTCATACAGATTTAAACGACCTTAATCTCTCTAAAGTCAAATATAAATATAAACAGAAACCAATTTTTTCAAAAGAGTTTCTCAATAAAACGAGACCCAATCGAACTGCAACTGTACTGGTACCATGACTCAAATACGACGCTTTTGTTCTCTGTAAATGGTATGGAAACACTGTTGATCCCAGGAACGTAATGCAAAATCAATGTTATTTTCTTCTGCCAAGAGGTCATGCGTAACTGCGCCACAAAAACATTTTGAAGCAAGGGTCAAATTTTGTGTACCTTTCATCATCAATCTCGGTGTCTCCGGTAGATTTCAAAATGGCGGAATCCACATCAAGTGACCACTGTCCTCCTTCGGGCTACGAAGAGGACTTTGTGAAAGAAGTTGAAGAAGATTTTCAATGCCCCATATGTCATTTACCGCTAAAGGAGCCAGTTCTTACTAGGTGTGGCCACAGATATTGCAAAGAATGTCTTGACGAGCGCATTGGAAGGTAAGAGTTTATGACAAGCAGCTTTCAGTATTGTTGTCCGTTTGCTCACTTAATCTAATCACCCTAGAGAATTCATGACAGATCATCAGAGTGTTTTAACTGAATTAAATCGCTGCCAAAGTCAAAGTCCATCTAATTAGAGGGTGGTTGTTGGTTGCATGATCTTAAACATCAATTTTAAAGATAATGACCACAGCATTAATTTACTTGGTGATGCAATTTTTTAGTTTCTAGAATTATTCCAATCAAAATGTACGCCTTACTTCCTCCAAAACGTAGCACGATACATTTTCTTGATTATCAAACGCAATGAACGGGATCCATACGAGTTCAAAGAGCAAAATGTCTTAGAATCGAAAGCGGAAATCGGTAGTGCAATTATCTACTGCAAGCGTGATTGTTGTTCAAAGTTCAAATCTTTTCTCCACATTCACTACTTTGTTTTTATAAGTGCTGCGATACTACTAGGCCTGTCGTGCTATTCAAACTCTCAGTTCATCTCATTCGTCATCCACAAGTTAATTACTCGGCCACTGAATTACATGAATTTACAGAACTATCTTACGTACCTTGTAAATTGTGCCAGCGCAATAAAATATACTCGCTCGGAAAAGTTCCAGCAAGGGCTTGGCGCACTGTTTGTAGCGACGGGCAAATATTTTTCTAAAGACACAACAGAACTAATGATCGAGTACCTTCGTTTCCGTGTTTATCCAATTCAATATTTTTGTTTCGATATTGTAGTTTCTGTGTGCTACAGTGGAAGTTGATTTAGCAACGGTTGTTGTCAATGTTGTTAAGTGGCGTCGACTGTATTGAATTAGATAAAAGTGTTGGTTGAGATGGGGTATGAGAATAATTGCAGTACATATTTGCTTGCTTGCTTACTTCGTTACTTACTTACCAACTTGTTTCTTTACCATTCATAATGATTTAATTTTCTCTCAGACAGAAAAGTAAAGAGGAGTCTTTAACCTGCCCAACAGACAGAGAGAATCTGGACCCAGACCTGGTAAGTAAACTTTTTAACTTCTGAAAATTAAATAATGATTCGCTTTCTGTTCATGAAATATATCTTACTTATTTTTACTACCTAGTAAAGGCTCTTATGAAGAGAAAACAATTGTCACTTTATAAATTGACCCATCTGGATCTTGGTGACGTAAGAATAATATTACTGTGATTATTTCTAAGGACATTTTCCCCGATAAAGCAACAGAAAGGAGGGTTCTCTCTATGGCGATCAGATGTCCAAATGATGGCTGTGAATGGACTGGGAAGCTGAGGAACAAGGAGGTAAAACTAACGCATATTTCGATAAATGTCAATAAACAACTGTATCAGCATAAGTCAATATTTTCGTCTGTTGAAATAAGCCACAGACACAGCTCAAGCTCCTACATGACGATGGGCTTGATAATTTTTAACTTCTCATGATCAAGGAGAGCAAGGAACCAATGCCCAAACTAAAGTTGTTTTGCAGGTAATTTAGTGTTAACAACTGGGTTGAAAACGTAAATGAGCCACCGTAAAGGGTAAAAAAGCTGACGTTTCGAGCGTTAGCCCTTCGTCAGATTCAATCGCTCTGACGAAGGGCTAACGCTCGAAACGTCAGCTTTTTTACCCTTTACGGTGGCTCATTTACGTTTTCAACCCAGTTGTTAACACTAATTACCTGCTATACTCTCCCACCGACGCAGCACCACAGTTTCTTAAGAAACTTACCCCTTTAAAGTTGTTTTGGTTTTATTTGTTGAACAGATCCACTTGGAATCCTGCCCTTTTCAGCAAGTAGCGTGTGCTAACAAGAACTGTCACGAAAAAGTCCAGAGAAGACATCTTACGCAGCACGAAAATAATGTTTGTCCATGGAGAATCCTTCAATGTACATATTGCACGGAGCCCCACCCAGACTACATGATGCAAGTAAGGATTGTTATAGTGGAGGAATCCGAGAAAAAAATAATACACCTCTTGCCAGGAAATCTTTTTAATGTTTCGGTGGAAAAACTGAGACCCTTAAAATGGAATAGGAATTAGAGTATATAGATAACAAAATATATTTTCGATTTTTAAAGGTCTCAATGAGGTTATGGCTTTTACGGCTATTGGTTAAAAATTTTGGATACTTAACGGTTAACCCCATTGAGACTCTTTACAGCCCGACAACCGACGGAAATTGATTGAAAAAAGGAAACGTAATAAAATCAAATTTCTGCATTCCTGTGTTTCTTTGATTTTTCTTGTCGTAGGGCCATATTAGACAGTGCAGCAAGTTCCCAGTAACTTGTCCAAACAGCTGTGGTCGTTCAATTCCAAGGGATATGGTGAGACTTTCAGCTTTATCTGTGATATACAATCTGGCCCTGGTTGTTCGAAGGTTGGATAGCGCTATCCACTATATAAAACTCTATCCAGCGGATAACACCATACGTTTTTCTTTCACTTATCCGCTGGATAGCGATTTATCCGTTTGATAGGGTTATCCGCCCTCTATACAACTGGGCCCTGAAGCTTGCAGCAAATCTTTTGCGACTAGATGCAGCTTTGATATATGATAGTTTTCTTTCAAACATCAAATTACATCTTTTTAATTGAAAATTTTTAAGATAATTTAAAACATTCAAAATTGTGAATCGTAAGAACATTTCCGACGGACATACAGGCGGATGCCTCACGGCTATAAAAATTTCTGACCAATGTTTCTTACTGATGCTTGATCAAAATTTTCTTTAATTGGATTCATAATCACAGGCACACAATATTAAAGAGAGAAAAATGCCAAACAACTCCTCTTTTGCTTTATTTAAAGCCTCGCATGTTATTTCCCCGTTACATCTCATTCTCACTGAAAAACAACAAACCACTTTTACAGGCCGCATTCATTCTTTTTTCAGCCTGCTCCAGGCCATAAGTCATTGAAAAACGCAAAACGGTGAAGGAGAGCTACATAAAATTGTTATGAGAACCTCACTGTGGTGTTCCAGCGACAGTAACCGGCGATCATCGATTGATTTTGAATTTCTTTATCCACACTTGCATCTACGTCAATCACTTGACTTCATACGATGGATTCCAAACGATGCCACAGTTTTATTCATAATATTCGATTCCCACTCGAAAATGGCAGATAAGCGAAAAGTGGCATCTGCAGAGAAAAGGCTGTAGAACTTAACATGACGCTCACGTTTAGTCCCGCCACCCGTTCAGCACTCTTTTCCACTAACATATTTTGGTGCGCGCCATTCCTCTTTATTCAAGTCCTTTATTTCATGTGATGCAGGTTTCGAATCACATTAAAGAGGAGTGTCCGCTGACCATAATTTCCTGTCCACATGCAGGAATGGGTTGCACTACAAAGGTGAGAAATTAATACGACAGGCCGAGAGAAACGTATGTACCTTATAACCTTATATTCCATCGTGGTATGCTTCGTATTTGATAATGTCGAGACGAATTCTGGCAGCTAGTTTTTTGTTACACAAAATTTTCCCAGCAGCTACGAAATGAAGCAGACAGTTTCGGCAGGTAAGGTGGATAAACCAATATCTGCCGCCAATAGCCAATCCCTTCACATTAGTATAGGTAATCACATGATTTCGAATGCAATTTGGAATAAATAAGCACGAGTAAATTAACAAGTACTTACTTATTCCAAATTGCACGAGAAAAATAATGTGATTACGTATTAATAAAATACATAAAAAATACGATATAGCTTATCATAATTATGCAGAAGCCGAAAGTGCTCGCATCAAGTGCAAAAATAGTTTATGCAAACCCGCGTACGATCAAAACAGTAATATACAATGATATTTTCACATCTTTATGGCGCAAAAAAGTTCAAAGTCCGGCTAAATAGTTCAAGGAATTGTTCAGTCTGTGTCCGAATCACTTTCGATGGAATGTGTAAATGTTTCATTTCAAGCTAGAGTTGTAAATTCGATTCGCGGGTTGATACAAGCGCATACGATAAACACTTAACCAAATAGGATCTTTTCTTTCTTTATTCCTTTTCCCATTCCTTGGGGCGTTATTATATCGAAGCGGTCAACTGAAATTATTACGTAAAGAAATCACCTAAGTATTATGATCATAGCTTAAGAATAATCTCGATTTTGGAAACGAGCACGTGGCAATTAAAGGAATCAAAGGAAAGGTAAAAAACGAGCGATAAATTTTACTTTGTGTAACGACTACGAGCTAGATAACATAGTCATGAAACAAGTTATTGCTTACCAACGTTCGCGGGTCTTGATTTCTTTATCGAGGATTACAGTCTAACTTGTCTTCTATTCAAAACGATCTTGATCACACGAGGTCTTATCTTGAACTGAAACGCTTTCTATAATTTTCTGCCTAACATGCCTAAAGAGAACTAATCACGGGGCCGTCAACCTAACCAAAAGATATTTCGCAGCTTTTCTCGGAAGCGGTAACACTTAGCTTCAACGGAAGCAGTTACAGAATGGAATCGTCGTTTGCGAAGTTTAACCATGTTTTTTTTTAATTTCGGCGTAGAATCGCTCGAGCAAAGTTGGGTCGGCTCGTAATTTTCGATTTCCTTCGCAATTCCCTTCTCCACTTTTTCAAAACCGACAACCAAAAAGCAGTGCTTTTCACAGTGTTTTCGTTGCTAAGCTGTTTTTTCAGCTGCTGCATTATTGTTGCGGTGGCGAAAGAAAACCTATTTAAAACACCATCCATTGTTTCGCTCGCAAATTTTAAACGTATCCAAATGTTGCGACATCTAGGGCTCGCATTTGATTGGCTATCTGTGAGTATCTTTGATTATTGACGAATCAGAATGTCTGGTTTATTACTTCTTTGCACTGAATTAACCCTCTTCTGCATTTAATCATTTCCAAACTGCATTTAGCTTAACCAATCACAACTGAGTAATTTTTTCATGTATATTATTAATAAATTAATCTTGCATACTTATGGAGGCATTCATGTAATAAATAACCTTTCTAGTCGAAGTTGCAGGAAATATAACCAATAGAAAAGATTCTGACGAGTGTGTTGAAGATCACATGATACCGTTATTAAAAATAACGTTAAATCAAATTACCTTTTTAAGCTAAGGGCTTAGTTAAAGGTATGTATAATTTCTGGCAAATGAAGTATAAATGTTCATGTAGGTCGAACGTCATGAAATGGAGTATCACCTCGAATCAGCAACAAGAATCCATTTTGATTTAGTATGTATTAAATTAAACAACACCGAAGACAAGTTAAATAAAACAGAGGATGAGCTGAATAACACAAAAGATAAATTGAAGAAGACAGAAGATAAATCAAATAACACACCGAAGCTTTGTTAAACGAGACAAGAGTTGAGTTGAAAAATGCCATGAAACTCCTAAAGTTGTCGAGCGTAAAACATCACAATGTGTTTCTTTTTTGCGGATTGACAGTTTCAGCGAGATTTTGAAAGAAGCCAAAGACGGAGGAAAAGATGAAATAGGCAGTGATCCATTTTACACCAAAAAAGAAACAGAAAGTTTTGGCTATGAGTTAAGAATGGTTATTTGCCCTAATGGGTTTGGAAATGACAAAAAAACTCACCTCTCGGTGTTCATGGTTTTAATGAAAGGTGAATATGACGCAATTTTACGCTGGCCCTTCAATAAGAAAGTGAAGTTCACATTAATTGATTAACAGGACGATCTAGATCAACGGGAAAACAAGACTGTTGAGATCGTTAGGAAAAAAGGATCCGAGCTTTGCAAGGCCTGAGACAGAAGAAAACAAGGGATGGGTTCTTCTAAATTTCATATCTCATTTGAAACTTCATTCGCGGCGCTACATAGTGGATAACACATTGCTTCTTCAGGTTGAGACTAGTCGCACCATTTAATACGAACTCCAGTATTGAAGGTTAAGAAAACTACAGGGTTACATTCTCTTTCAAATTTTGACAAATTTTCCAAAGAGTGGACTCTCACAAATCGTTTATAATTTTCCACGAACGTTTGACTCGATTTTCAGCTTATTAATGCTGACTCCTAGTTGATAGTATCGCAAACCCAATTGTTTTTCTATCTCCAATGAACCCAAATAAATAAGGACCAACTGTGGATAACATGAAGCCATAATAGTTTCGAATCATGCTCTCGACTCTTGTTTTCCTGCCGAAGAGCCCCTGTTTAACAGAGTGGTGGCTAATTGGTATACATCGTATAGGTAATCACATGAATTCGATTGCGCTTTGGAATAAATAAGCACGAGTAAATTTTTCCAAAGAACAAAAAAATTGCACGAGCCCTTTAGAACAGAAACGACGAATGGACTTGGAAAACGATAAAGTAGAGGCTTTATTGCTGGACGTTTTTCCTTATAAATCAAAGTGCTCTCCACTAACTGCTGTTGTCTATCGCCCTCCGTCTTACAACACAGAGCAAGACAAAAAGTAATATTGAGAATGCCTATTTACTCAACAAGGAGATGATCTTACTGGGAGATTTTAATGTGAATACTTTATCTTTCACTGATTTTAAAAAATACCACCTTGTGAAAATTTTACACAGCTTCAATCTGACCCAACTTGTAAACAGGATCACAAGGCCATTGTCAAAGACTTGCCTGGACCATATTTGGTGCAGTCATCCTGAACATCTTAACATTATTAGCGTAATCCCTTCTAGGATCTCCGATCACCTTCCTATTGTTTCTACGAGGAAATATAATCGCACAAGATCTAAAAATAACAGGTTCAAAAAGTGAAAACAAAAACAACACTAGGAAACTGTGGAAGCTCAGAAAGAGTTTGTCACGTGACTATGAGGAATCTCGATCTAGTATTGAAAAGTTGATTGATAGCGGCAATGTAATTGCGGACAAAACCAGTATGGCTGAACTATTAAATGCCTTCTTCATTCATTATCCAAAGAATTTGATTCCTACCGAAAGCACACATGTGGCTCAGAGCCCAAGTGCCATTAATTAAGTTGAACATGCATTTGTAATCCAGAGTATAACTATGAAACGAGTCTCTGAACTGCTTTTGTCCATTCCAAGTCACTAAGCAACAGGTGATGATGGCATCAGCGCCAAGATTTTGAAGATTGTTACTCCTGCTGTACTACCACCTCTGACTATACTGTTAAATCTATGTATATCAAGTAAAGTCTTTCCATATGCCTGGAAAGTAGCTAAAGTAACGCCTGTGTTTAAAGGAAATGGAAGCAGATCAGACCATCACAACTACAGGCCAATCTCAATCCTACCAGTCCTGTCTAAGCTACTTGAAAGACACATTTTTGATTATCTGTGTGACTTCTTGACATCAAACGGGATATTGTACAAACTCCAATATGGGTTTAGTCGTTCTCCACTAAGACAGCTTTAATATGACTTATTGACGAGCTTTAACTCAATCTTCAGCTCAGCTCAATCTTTAACTCAACATTCAGCAGCACACATATATGTGGATGATACCACTATCAGTACTAATGTTGATTATAGATCAGCACCCAGAGCCTATAAAGATGTTCATCACTTTACTATAGCTTAGGCTGTTCTATCTTATTCTCATATATTTTATATTAATCCTTCAATAATTCATATTTTAATCGTTTAATCACCTAGTCCTAATTACTTTATTATTTATGTTCATCTGTGTTTATTTTTAATTTGTTTTTGAGGGTCACGAGTTTATCAATATTTTATACTGTCAAGTGCCATCCTCGAAAAGTAAAGTTTATCATTATTATTATTAATAAAAAATAATTTATTCAATCTCTGCAAGTGACTTTGTGCATTCGGTTAAAACAACCGCGTACGATCAAAACAATAATATACAATGATATTTTCATATTTTTTAAGGCGCAAAAGAGTTCAAAGTCCGCCTAAACAGTTCAAGGAATTGTTCAGTCTGTGTTCGAATCACTTCCGATGAAATAGAATCGTCGTTTCGAGGTTTAACCACGTTTATTTTTAATTTCGGCGTAGAATCGCTCGAATAAAGTGTTAAGCTGGGTCGGCTCGTAATTTTCGATTTCCTTGGCAATCCCACTCTCTAAACACCACTTTTTCCAAACTGACAACCAAAAAGCAGTGTCTTTAACAGTGCTTTCGTTGTTAGAGCTGTTTTTCAGCCGCTGTATTGTTGTTGCGGTGGCGAAAGAAAATCTACTTAATACGCCGGCAGTTGTTTCACTAGCAAATTTCCAGCGTGTCCAAATGATGCAACGTCGAAGGCTCGCACTTGATTGGCAATCTGTGAGTTTCTTTGATTATTGACCAGTCAGAATGTCTGGTTTGGTACTTCTTTGCACTGAATTAACCCTCATCTGCACTGAATTACCTGAAAACTGTATCTATCTTAACCAATCAGAACTGAGTAATTTTTTCATGCTTTATATGTTTTACAGCTTTAAAAAAAACGAATTTCAGATTAGCGGTCCTATTCCAATAGCCTTCATTGACCAATTATCGATTTTTTAAGGTTTGCTTGATAATTTGTAATTTGCTAAGTAATTTACCTCCTAGCTAATACGTTCAAAAATCAAAATCAAAATCGCAGGTTTGTACTCAGGATTACTAAAATCTCTCACCAGTAAATCAGCCGAGCTCTTTCCCCGAGACCAACAACGATTATGCACTTTATGTATGTATTTTGAACTTATCTGTTACTTGTCTTTCGCTCTCCACACAAAGCTTCATTGGCAAAACGGGAACCTCTAGAAATGTTTTGTGAGAAGTTTTTTTTTTCCGAGATATTGTGAATAATTGTGAATGGAACCTTAGTTTTGTTGATTTTGTTATTTTAGTGAATAGATTTTATTGCTGGTTGTATCATTTTAAATCTATGTAATGCGCCATTCTTAAATAGCAATAGCGCCGTTAGAATAAAATTTATCACTGGTATCACTCCTTATCTATATTTCCAAATCCTCTCACTATTTGCTCGGCCGTGAATAAAGTTTCGTCCTTGAAATAATTCTGAGGCTGTATTGTTACATTAATGTTCTCTCATCAGGACCACACAGACCCTTTCGAGCCGCGGAAAGAGCAGACAGGAGTTATAATACAAGCTTGTTAATTAATGATAAACTTGTTAAAATAGGCAGGAAGTTCAATTTATTTCTTTGGCACGGCAAGGGTAAAACAGAGGGAATTCACTAAGTTATTTCAAGCTAAGCCTCAGACCCGATCATTGCCTCTTAAAAAAGTCGAAAAAGATTTTTTTCCCCCATTGGGGAGCTTACATAGCCAGGACATGGCAAATCATTGACAGACGGCAGTTGTAGTATTGGCTCGTAAACTAGATTACATTCGTTTGAATTTGTCTGGAGTTATAACAAGCAACGTTTTCAATAAATATATCTTATATATATATATATATAATATTTTGTGTGTTGCATCGCTGAGTATTTCTGCGAGTTAGGCCGTGTTGTGACGAGTATTTTATAATCCAACTGCTTCTTTTCTGCTAAATCTTTCCTTTCATTTCTCATAAGGCAGGAAAAGAAAAGCGGATAGAGAAGCGTAGCACGCCCAGCCGACTGGTTAAACAAGATTTTTCACAGTATAAAATAGCCAACCGTCCAAATAACCGTGCAACATCGCAGAAAATTTGTACTCTACTTTGTGCAGTTGGATAATAATATTCATCTGATTACATCGCTTGGTTATTTTGTGCGCTATTATTGTTCAATCGATCATGCTGTACTTCACTGTCTAGTTCAGTGAGTTTAAACCCTTGTTTGAGTTGAAATCTTCCCCTTCTTAACCCTTTAACTCCAAAGATCCCTTTCGTAATTCTCCTTACTATCTGCCAAGCAATTCTCGTTATGTTAGTTTGGAGAATTTGACAGGGGATCAATTAGCAATCCCATAATTTATATTTTTCTTAAATCTCATCACTTGTCTACATGATATTGTATAGACATATTAAGGAGAAATTCAGTTACTGAACTTCAGTCGCCCGGGCTTAGGCCACAAATCCGAGTGGAAAAAAACTCGATCCCTTGCGGTGTGAATAAAGGGGTAAGTTTCTAAAGAAACTGTGGTGCTGCGTCGGTGGGAGAGTATAGCAGGTAATTTAGTGTTAACAACTAGGTTGAAAACGTAAATTAGCCACCGTAAAGGGTAAAAAAGCTAACGTTTCGAGCGTTAGCCCTTCGTCAGAGCGATTAGAGGAATTGTGGGTTGTGTGTGGATTTATATGTAGAAAGTGGAGCTAGGCCATTGGTGGGAATATTTACGTATTACGTGTACCTCCGCCAATGTTATTTACTGCATAACTTGCACTTATTGCTATAAGTTATACATCGGCGAAACAGGAAGACGACTGGGTGACCGATTCCGAGAAAACCTTCGCGATGTGGAAAGAAATGACAAGGACGCATCCAAACCAGTCGCTAGACACTTTAACCTTCCTTATCATTCTAAACAGCATATGGCAGTTTGCGGCCTTTCCTTACATCTAGGCAGTTCGGAAAGCCGTAAAACACTAGAACAAAAATTTATATTCCAAATCGGCACCCTTAATCCCCACGGAATCAACGAGCGCTTTTCATTCAACTAATTTATTCCTGTTTTCTCGTCACCATATTCCCACCAATGGCGTAGCTCCTTTTCTACATATAAATCCACACACAACCCACAATTCCTCTAATCGCTCTGACGAAGGGCTAACGCTCGAAACGTCAGCTTTTTTATCCTTTACGATGGCTAATTTACGTTTTCAACCCAGTGGTTAACACTAAATTACCTGCTTTACGGTGTGAACCTCGAAGGCGGTTAGTGAGAGGTATTTAATATTTGTGAATTTTGTTCAGTCGAGGCAATTTATAATTTTTAAAGAGCCCATTTGCGCCTGAGGCTGAAAATACGTCAAGTTCTCCATAAAAATACCCCACCTTACTTCCACAGCATATCGCTGGTTTTACTGACCGCTTACTTTGATGAAAAGAACCCATTTTAGCGAGTTGTCCATCTTGAGGTTACGTATATAACTGAGAAAAGCCCAAGGCTGAACACTCCATTTCCGAACGCCCGATCCGAGAAGCGAAAAATCCCGGCGCAAAATGACCGGACGGCCGCAAATCCGACGCAGAATCCAAGCACATATACTGTAGTTTCATTTCAATTCACTTCAAACTCAATCTTCCCCGTGCAACCGGTGCTAAGCCGCAGTTTTCTTCAAAAATTTCCAGTTTAGAGGTTTCTAACAGCTCGCCTACCCATTAACCTCGACACACGAACATTGAAAACCAGCTTGTTAGTCCTGCCTCCTTTTTCACCTGAGCCTCGCCGAGGACCATACCGTAACTTGGCAAAAAGAAAGTGTCCTAGCACCACGGGTGCCAAGTTACGATGTGGTTCCCGGCGAGGCTCAGTTTAAAAAGGAGGCAGGGTTACCAAGCTGGTTTTCCAACGGTCGTGTGTCAAGGTTCACGTGTAGAATTGTTTCAGATTAGATTTTTCCGAAGTAAAAAGTAAAAAAAAATCACGATTAATAAACCATTCTCTACGCGTGCGCAACATATTTTCGAAGAGGCCTTCTAAACAAGCAGTGCCTTTCTGTCATCCAAACGGGAACAACAGACCTCTCTGCGTTGTGGTTATCCAAGCATCAATTACGAAAGGATGCTGCAGTACGTTAAGAACACAGTTGCACGGATCGAATTTCCGAGTTTCTTCATCTTGAACTACCAGGATTTCATTGCCCCATTACCGAACTGTTTTTTTTTTTTTTTTTTTTTTTAAGTTTACCCTATGAGTCGTCTAAATACCAATCTTACTTGAGACCCCTATTATCTGCTACTAGTCAACTTTAATATCGACTTTTTTTCCTCTTCCAGCCTGCGTGTGTAGAAATGGGGTTCACAATCAATATACGGCGGCGTCCGGTGTTGTAGGCGTTCTCTGAAACAGCGGTGGTGTGGGTCTTCACGAGTCCGATATTCTTCTTTGATTCTCTTGTGCATAGGTCTGCCAGCCTCACTGATGTGAGAATTGTGGACAGTGGAATCAAAACGTCGCGATCCTCATATGCAATGAGCACATCGTGAAACAAAAAAATTCTACTTCTCTTTTTTAAAGTGTTATTTACCACGATGACAAACCTATTCTACGGTTACAGAACTTTTTTCCAAGCCGTTGCATGTAATCAGCGTAGTTTGGTCTTACAATATTCTCCAAGTTTTTCTGCAAGGTAAACTTGAATTTTCACAACAACCCTTGAAATAACAGCCACACACTCTGCCTTCTCTGTCTCAGTGATAAATGAATGATGATTGTTAATTTGAACCGTTCTATTAGACATAATATCAATCTTCAGTAATCAAGACAGACTAAAACGGATTAAAGATCTTGTATATAAAGTCGACATGCAATCATATTCGTATGAAAGTCGTGAAATCTTGATAGCATATGTCCAATATAATTATTAAATTTTTTATAGCACTCTAAAGAATTCTCATTTTTGCCTTAATATTGTAACTGATCACCGTTTTGTTTTTTGTTTTTTGTTTTTTTCCTTACTATCCTTGAGGAGAGGGCTGGAAAATGACCACTGAAGAGTGTTAGGCTCGGAAATTCAAAATTTCACATTCCTGAGTTTGAGGAAAGAAAAGCACTTTTCTATTTAAATCGCCGAAGACCGCCAAAAACGGAAGTCTCCTTTGAAAGAAATCAAACTACAGGTAGCAGAGGAGTCCAATTTGCCCATTTCTCTAGTTAACGGCACAAGCTTGTCGCGAAATGATTACTGCTGGTGTGTAACGCAATCACACTTCTTCACGATTTATGAACGAGATCTAATCGAACCACAATTGTACTGAAGAAAAGAAAGAAACGATCAAAGACGACTCTTTTGCTCCTTGTTAATCCAGAAACGTATCCCACTAATGCATGGTCTTAATAACTTACGCCATGAATAAAAAAAATTGATTCGGTCATAAAATAAATCGATGACAGCCTCATAAAAAGAGATTTCTATGCGCCAGCTAAGTCATAATTTCTTTCCACAGAAAAGTGTGTTGCAAGAAATAAAAAATTTTCAATCTATCAAGGCCAGTACAAGTGAAAATGCAGATGAGAGACCGGGAGCAGTATGTCGTGATGCAAAAGCAGCGTTATTTCCCACTTTCAAGAAGTCTTGAGTTACTGCGTTACAAACACATTTCAAAGCAAGGGTCAAATATTTTCGTTTCTTTCATCATTTAACTTCGAGTCTCGGGTGGATTTCAATATGGCGGAATCCAGATCAAATGATCGCCGCCCTCCTTCGGGCTATGAAGAGGACTTTGTGGAAGAAGTTGAAGAAGATTTTCAATGTCCCATGTGTCATTTACCGCTAAAGGAGCCAGTCCTTACGAGATGTGGCCACAGATATTGCAAAGAATGTCTTGAAAAGCACATTGGAAGGTAAGAGTTAACCATAGGCAGCTTTCAGTATTGTTGTTCGTTTACTCACTTAATCTAATCACCCTAGAGAATTCATGACAAGTCATCAGTGTGTTTCAACCGAATTAGATCACTAGCAGAGTCGAAGTTCAACTAATTAGAGAATGGTGGTCGGTGACATGATCTTAAACATCAATTGCAATGATAATGACCACTACAGAAATTTACTTGGTGATGCAATTTTTCAATTTCTAAATTGCATTCGATTAGTTTCAAATATGCGCCCAATTTCCCGAGGAACGAAACTAGACACATTTTCCTAATTATCAAAGGTAATGAACGGGTTTCATACTCATTTGTCCCAAGAGCAAATTGCCTTAGAATCGAAGGCGGAAATCTGTAGTTCATGTATGTACTGTAAGAGCGATTAAGTTTGAATTTTTTCTTCACATTCTCTAGTTTGTGCTTTAAGCGATGCGATATTGTTAGACTTGTCTCACTATTTAAAGTTTCAGTTTGCCTTATCTTTCACACGAGACTTGATTACTCGGCCACAAAATTACATGAACATATAGACGTATGTTATGTATACCTTGTAAATTGTGTTGTTCGATGAAATATGTTCTCTCAGAAAAATTCCTAACAACAGCTTGGCACAATGTTTATAGCTAAGGGCTGAATATTTTTCTAAAGACACAAAACAGATGATCGCGTACCTTCGTTTCCGTGTTTATCCCCCTAAATATCTTGTTTCAATGATGTAGATTCTATATGTTGGTGTGGAAGCTGATTTAGTAACTGTCGTTATCAATGTTGTTTTGTGTTTTCGACTGTGTTGAATTAAATAAAAGTGTTGTTTGAGATGGTATATGAGAATATTTCCAGTACCTGAAATATTTGTACATCGATTGACGATCCCTTAACCGTTGAAATATTCAAAAACTCATTTGAATTCTGTCATTTTAAGGAACTTCTATTCCCACTTGTTGACTCGTTTTTTTGCTCGCGATAAAAAAGAGTCTTTCACCTGCCTGGTAGACAGGCAAAATCTGGACCCAAACCGGGTAAGTAAACTTTTTAACTTCTGAAAACTTAAGAATGATTTGCTTACTGAGTGCAGTTAACCCCTTAATTCCCAAGATCTGATTGTTAATTCTCTCATCTGGCTGTCGCACATTTCCTTGTAACTGAGTTACAAGAATTTCGTGTTAGATCATGACAACAACTTCTAACTAATAAGTTTAATCTTATTACCTGTCTGTTGGATAGTGTAGGGAGAGGTGACATGTAAATCACTTCTGAGAGTTAAAAGGTTTAAAAACGGAAACAATTATTCAGCATTATTCTTATTGCTCATAAAGTCTTGACCATTCTCTATAGTCTGACTTGGTAGATTCTTTCTGAAACCCAAGTTTTATTCTTGATTAAATATTTTGAACGATGTTTTCTTTTCTTTAGTCTATTTGTTTGTTTTTTGTTCTTCAAAATATGCCTTATTTATTTTCCATATGTATTTTACTTAAAACAATACTGTTCTTGAAATAATTCCTAATAAAAGCTCTCATAAGTAAAAACACTTATGCCTCAGTCAACTGTCACCTTAGAAATTGACCTATCTGGATCTTGAAGACGTAGGAATAATGTTACTGCGATTATTTCTTAGGACATTTTCCCTGACAAAGCAACAGAGAGGAAAATCCTCTCTCTGACAATCAGATGTCCAAGTGATGGCTGTGAATGGAATGGGGAGCTGAGGAGCAAGGAGGTAAAAAACTGACACATTTATTGGAATGTTAATCAGCCTAAACGTTTTGTAATGAAGCTAACTCCCCTTCTCAAAATATAACTCTAGCACCGACGTGGTGAAAAGTAGACAGGGAGACACTGTGGTTAGTATTCCTAACCAGGGGAGAGTAGATTTCTGTAAGTCAATAAGTTTTAAATGAAACTCTCTGTTATGCTTTTTTTGTTGAACAGGTCCACTTGGAATCTTGTCCTTTTCACCAAGTGGCTTGTACCAACAAAAACTGTGGCAAAATAGTCCAAAGGAGACATCTAAAACAACACGAAAATAATGAGTGTCTATGGAGAATCCTTCAATGCATTCACTGTTTTGAACCCCACCCAGAGTGTCTAATGGAGGTGGGTACTATGATAGTCATAGAATTCACGTTTTCACTTTTTTGATAAATTGGATTATCCTCGAAGAGGAGCTTCAAGTCAACATTTCTATGTACCGACCGCACGAGCCTTTAGGCCGAGTAAGAAATAAACTTTGTAACTAAGAAAAAAAATAAACCTCACAAACATGAGTCCCGACAGGGTTGTAAAAAAAGCAGGGGATCTGACAAGAGGTAAAAATTAAATTCCAAAAATGTTTTCAATATTTATTTCTGTAGGATCATGTCACAAGGTGCCCCGAGTTTCCACTAACTTGTCCGAACCACTGTGGTTGTACGATTCCCAGAGAAATGGTGAGACTTTTAATTGTATCTTTATGCACACAACTTTTATAAAAGGGAGAAAGGTTACCAAAGCGTTATAGGGAACTTTTTTCTTTCTTTTTCCAAATTTTTTTTTCAGCAGAACAACAAAATTAATTTATCATTTACCTCGCAGTCTTTTTTCAAGTGGTGCATGAGCGACATCATATGAAAGGAACGGATACTATCACACTTTGTTTTCCGAAAGCAATTCACACATCTACGGTAGAAGAGAGGATTGCTATCCCTTCTCTTAACATGTTTATTCCTTTCTTTGACATGATTCAGGTTTCAACTCACATTGAAGACAAGTGTCGGCTAACGTGGATTTCCTGTCCATATACACCGATGGGTTGTAAGCAAAAGGTGAGAACATCATAGTTGAGCCTTCATGAATTCATGTCACTAATTGTAAAAATCCAATAACAAAAATCAAATGCTAGCAAAGTGAATTCACGAAATGCATTCTTGTTTTCTTGCCATCATGCTGAGTTTTGCAGTTCGAAGCATAGTTAATAAAAATGCTTATTCCTTGTTAGAGAAGAAATTCCTAGAGTTTCTAATTAGTGTAAGACGTTTAAAGGTATCTATGGAAGCAGGAAATCTTGAACCGAAAACCGATCACAGTATTCACTTCTTGCACGCTCGCGGATAAAAAAACAAGAACAAGCGCTCAGCAGATGTCTTAAATGGTGTTCCCTGCGCTCGGTTTTGAAAGCAAAGGTTCTGCTAAAATGAAATATTTTTCAGTTTCTGAAACGTTTGAGCCTAAATCTGAATATGACAAAAAAGTCCAAAGAAAGCAGTCGTGAAAAGTAACCACTTCACAATCCCCTTCCCACGCCATTTTTTTGTTTTCAAACCTTAAAGGCTACCTTATTCCCGAGGATACTATTCTTGAATTAAAGTTGCTCCACTAGAAAATTTCGGCTGGACTCGGTACTTGACCCATCCTCGGGTACCCGGTGGCTGTGAGTCGATTTCAAGTCAGGGCGGAAAAGCCCCCGGGTACACTGTCTTACAAGACTAGTTCCAAACGGTCGCAGTCGTTCTGGCATCTGATTGGCGCTAGAAAATCTCTGTGTTTTTCTGCCCAATCAGAGTGAAGTATGCTTTAGAGTCCCTTCGTGTGTTTTAACACGTAGATGTGCAGGAAGCTCAGTTGCTCGCCTTGTTTGTTTGGGCCGTGTGACGAAGCTTTGCTTGATGTGAAAAGTTTCAGTCTCAGCACACAATGTAAGAGAAATCGATTAGATTGTCCGCGAAAACCTTACCAGAAATTATACTGAATACTTTCGCAAGTATCACAGGTATTTCGTCGTACGGGCCACGCAGGTATGTCGAGCAACTGGCGCTTACGCTCACGTAGCTTTCTGTGCGCGCCAAAATCTAACCTTCACACGGTAGTAAAGTCTTTCACAATATGGCCAAGGTTACAGAGAATGTTAAGTTCGTGGACGACCTCCAGTAAGCGCCTAGAGAAAGCTTGGCTGTGTTTCCGGTTAGCGAATTAAAGTCTGAACAAAAACTCGAGAACATTGTGGGAAGGAGAGATGTTTTTGGACATTAACCGACGGGGTTTGGAAAGAGCTTAATCTTTTCAACTGCTGCCCTGACAAAGGCATACCATTTTTTTTTGTTGGAGTCTGTCTCCTCCCAGTTACAAGCCATGATGTTTGTTCCATGACAAGTGTCGCAAACTGCACGCGGAAGACCATCGTCTGGTTGAACTTTTTGATTGAAAACTTCAAATATTTTCATAAACTCACCATTAAGGTTCCTTTGTCTCTTAATTTTGATAAAAACGAAAGAGCATACTCGACAACGGTCTGAAACATTTCCACTCGGATTATTCACGCTCATCGTAAAAAAAACCCTGAACCTTCCCTAAACAACTTGTCGAAGGAGATATGATTTTGGTGCGCACAGAAAGCCACGTGAGCGTAAGCGCCAGTTGCTCGACATACCTGCGTGGCCCGTGCGACGAAATAATTTCACGGGATTGGCAAAGTTTCAGTCACAGCACATTGTGCGAGAAATCTAGAAAGACTTATGTCCGAACGCACTGGACTGACAAAATTTGTCTGGCCCCACCAAAAAACCCGACAAAATTTGTCTCTGTCAAATTTTCAATTTGTCAAGCGTGGATGCACTGAGACACAGTAAAATATTTGTTAACCACACGTGTCAATCACTTGAGACAAGAGCCTCCATTGCAACGTTCGAAGAATTTTCGGATCTACCAAATAGAGCAGGCGCCATCGATGGGACACAAAAAAATAAGGCTCCAAAAGAAAGCGCTGTCGACTACTTTAACTGATATAAATTGAACATTACTTGGCCCTGGAGATGCAGCTGGAACGTAAACTTGGGAACCGTAATAGTTGTATTCTGAGTAAGGATCGTTATGCAGCATACCGAGGCACGAATCTGCCACCTTCACCGTTTGATTGCCGCGCACCTAAGAAATAATTTCGGTGGGCTTCGGATTGAAATACTCTGACTGAAAGTAGAGATAAAATTTTCTTGATTGACATGTTCCTTCAAATCATGGCATATAAATTGACAAATCTGTCAGATTTCACGCCTGACAAAAATTTGTCCTGCTCCGAGGCAGGACGACGGCGTCTCTGAAGTTTGGTAAGCCTTGACAAAATTTGGTAGGTCTAAAAAATAACCGGGCGCACTTGTCTTAGGGAACTGGTGACAGATTTTTTCGCAGAATAAACAAAAATTTGCCCAGTGCGCCCGGGCCCTTAAGCTTACATCTCGTCTAAAGTTTAAAGCGACATATTGACGCCTGCAACCATAATGTTTTATACGAACCTCGCAAACTTTTAAATACGTTCTCTTGTGATACCTACGAAGGTATTCAGTATAATTTCTGGTAAGATTTTCGCGGACAATCTAATCGATTTCTCTTACATAGTGTGCTGAGACTGAAACTTTTCACCTCGAGCAAAGCTTCGTCGCACGGCCCAAACAAACAAGGCGTGCAACTAAGCTTCTTGTGCATCCCCATGTTAAAACAGACGAAAGAACTCTAAAGCACACTTCACTCTGATTGTGACTGCAACCGTTTGGAACTAGTCTTGTAAGACAATGTCCCTAGAGGCTCTTCCACCCTGACTTGAAATCGACTCACAGCCCCTGGGTCTCCGAGGATGCACTTGGCCGTGCGCGATTTTGAACATCCGAAGAACAAGTCCTGAAGGACAACCAGCAACAGCGCTGTTGTTCTAATAAGTCGTCATAACACTTCATCTCCATACATTTGAGTTTTTGAAGTCCACAAGTTCTGATATCGCTATTAAACAAGAGCTCTGTGTCTGTTTATGCAAACGACCTATAAAACTGTCTTGAGAAGGCTTAACTTTTCATGTAGGTTCAACGCCAGGAAGTGGAGTCTCATCTCGAATCAGCCACAAGAGTCCATCTTGATTTCGCTTGTGTTAAGCTAAATAAGATAGAAGATGAATTGAATGAAGCAAAGAACAAATCGAAGAAGATAGAGGATAAGTACGACAACGCAGTGGCTTTGTTAAATGAGACAATGGCTGCTTTGAAAAACGCCGTGGGACTGCTACAGCTGTCAAACGTAAAACATACAAACATGTTTCTTTGGAGGATCGACGGTTTCAGTGATATTTTGGAAAAGGCAAAGAACGAGGGTAAAGAGAAGATATACAGTGATCCGTTGTACACCAAAACTGAAACAGATGGTTATGGGTACAAATTAAAAGTACTCATTTGCCCTGATGGGATTGGAGATGCAAAGAATACTCACCTGTCGGTATATATTATTATAATGAAAGGTGAATATGACGCAATATTACCTTGGCATTTCAATAAGAAAGTGAAGTTCACATTGATTGATCAACAGGATGAACCAGGCAAAAGATATAACAAAACTGCAGAGCTCATAGGAGAGAATATCCCGAGCTTTACTAGGCCTACAACAGAAGAAAACATAGGAATAGGTTTTAATTGTTTCATATCTCATGAGGAACTTAAATCGCAGCACTACATTGTGGATGACACTTTGTTTCTACAGGTCGAGATTAGGTCGCCATCTAATTGATTCCGTGCTCTAGCCTTAGAGGCAAAAAAAGAATTACGGAGCTAGATTCTCAAGTTGACTTTGATAAAGGTTCAATGTTTCAGAGAAATTTTGAAACAGGCAAAGAATGAGGAAAAAGAGAAAATAAACAATGATCCATTCTACACCAAAACTGAAACAGATGGTTTTGGACACAAATTAAAAGTACTCATTTCCTTTGTTTCTTCAGGTTGAGATTAGTTCGCAATCGAGTTAATTCCGCACTGCAGCCTCAAAAGTAAAATATCAATAATGAAAGAGTCAGCTTCTCGACATGACTGTGACAAATTGCATGACGGATTGGCTCTAGTAAGTCTTTACATCTTGTGACCAACCTGCGAAACTATGGCCAAGTGAGCTCTCTGAGCTGAAATAAAATCCAGGAGGAGCCAACTTTATAATTTGATCGAAGACCGCATGCCTTCAGAGCTCGAATCACTGACTGTTCAGGTTAATGAGCATACTTCATAAACCAATTAGGGGAGTATGGAGGTGGCCTTTCCCGCCCTGTTGTTTTTTTTTTCTTTTTTCTTTTTTCTTTTTTCTTTTTTTTTTTTTGCGTAGTAATTTTTGCAAAATCTAAATTTGAAGCCTTTAACCCTTTCACTCCCAAGATCTGATTGTTAATTCTCCTCTCTAGCTGCTACACATCTCCTTGTAAATTAGTTATGAGAACTTGGTGCTAGATCTAGATAGCAGCTTCTACCTGATAAGTTTTAATATTCTCATTACCTCTTTGCCGATTAATGTATGGATATTACAGGGTGAAGTTTCATGTTATAACTTCTGGGAGTTAATGGGTTAAACAAAACAAGGCATTCAGTAACGCACGCGCAATATATGTATGAAGAAGTCCTCTAAACTTGTAGCGCACACCTTTCTGTTATCCAAACTGAACTACTGTCACTCTTCGCCTTACGGTTGTACCAAGTACCACTTTAGGAAGTTAAGAGCACAGCTGCACGGATCGAATCGTAGATCAGTAAATGTCACATGTAATTGATATTGTTCTAATAGACGTACAGAGGCTGTTTGCACTATTTCAAGATTTTATAAATATCTTATAAGTCGCTTAATGATTCAGCTTTATGCTTTAGGTTGATAGGCTTCAACATCGTTCTTATTTAGGACCTCTAAGATCTGTCACCTATAAACTTCTGAATCGGCCGAGGTCAGAGGAAGAAAGTGATTTAGTGTTAAATGTATGTGTTCTAAGATTATCTTAGCTTATCCTCTGCTCTCCACCTAGACCTTCAAAAAGGACCTCTTAGAGCAAACTGTGGAAAGCCTCTCGTTGCCTCCTAGATGCTTTGAATTTTTGTGAATTTAGTTTAGTTTTTATAACCTTCTTCTGGTATACGGATTTTATTATTGACTGTGTTGTTTAACATAGATGTTTGTGATGGGCCATAAGCATAGCAATAGCGTTATCTGAATAAATGTTACCGATGTTATCACTATTTATCTGGATTTCTGACTCATCTCGGTCAGTAGGAGATCATTTACAACCAAGTAATATGTCATTCAGTGGCGATCTCCGTAAGAGTAGTGCAGGGCATTTTGCATCGGAAAAAAGGGTTTTACCTCAAACTTTGCCATTTAACTATCTTTGATAGTAAGTAAATAAAACTATATTGGTTCTGAAAATACGTTTACAAAAAAATTCGAGAGCTCTCAATATTCAAAGCTGCGAAGGGTCCTTTTTTGACCTCTTGCGACATCGAAAATTTAAAAAGTTGATAAGCTCGCTCCTCGTAACACACTGCATGCATGTGCGTGATATCTAAGGGGTTTGGAAAGCGTTTCAATGTTTATTCAGAGGTTCGCCATAATTTATTGATAACACCCGTTATACAGCTATCTGAAATTGGTCAAAAGTATTCTTCCTTTCTAAGGTGATATTTCTCAAGTCCAGATCGGACCGTTTCTGATTTATTTCTTTAAATGAGATGTTCGAAAGCATTGATATGTAAAAGCATCTTGCACTTAATAATTTCCTTCGCCGTAGTGCCGTTCAAACTTGCTAGCGTGACAGCAGAATTATGCAAATTAGTCTCTTGAGCAAACTCCGACCGCTCTATCTAAGTAGCTTCATAAATCTTAAATTTTAACCATTTTAAAAAGAAAATATGATAGGGCAGAACTTTTAGAGCACACTGATTGATACTCTAAATATTTGAAACGGCTAAAATATAGCAAATGATTCTCATGACGAAAAAGGTGAACAAAACGTATCGAATATCATAGTTGTGCGTTCTATGTCAGATGTCGTGCGATGTCATGGTTCTAAGAGATGGCAAAGCGTTATTCCAAGCGGTCGTAGAACATGAGCAGAAGTGTAAGGCAGCTTTCGATGTTGGCCTTCAAGCCCCTTCTCGTCGCCCATCAGAAAGATCCCTTTAAAATCCTAACTATTTATGCTTATAGATTCTCACCAATGCACTTATAGAACAAATATCAACCATTTGAAAACCTATCCGATAGACAAACAAAGAAGGCACTGAGCACAGGCGAAGAGTGGGGGGCCCGAAGAGCCCATTGAAAAAATCCCATGGCACACAATACGTATGGAATAGCGTCTGCTGAAGCACTCCTCTTAGAGTTCACAATGAGGCCATACCACTATCAGGACGTAGCGTGCGGCAGTTGCACCATTATACTTGCCAGCTGTGTGGAATTTGTCGTGAACAGTAACCATGTGTACCATCATTAATAGTACATGGACAATTCCAAAGAAACAGGATTTCAACCGATAGGTGAATCCACCATGGAGAGAATATTGGAAGTTCAAGAGGCCACAAAGAAGAAATCATCGCGGAGTCTAGAAAATACTGTATCTGAGGGCGCGTATGGTTTTAAAGAATTTTTGTTAATTATAGACAAACTAAAACGCATTGGAGCAGAGCTTTTGTACAACGTCTGCTATTCCGTCAATGCCTGCTTTGAAAACTTGCTCTGCATCTTGGACATTCTCTCGCTGATTTCCCTGCCCCCATCAAGCGCAAACACGGCTGATAGCCTGGAAGATCTAGGCTAGAATTTCGAGCAAAAAATCACGTTATCGCTGCCTTGTTTAGATGGGAGAAGTACACAACTGAATCAGGTGACCGAGCCACTAGTCACGGTATGCGCTGTTATAGATTATGAGTAGTCCCTCCTTCTCAGCGTAGTCCGCCACGCGAGTCAAAAAAAAAAGAGAGAGAGAGAGATGTCAGCGCGTCGCCGGGAGCGTGTGGAGTGAGGCACTAACATTATCCTTTTTTCTTCAGTGAATTTTTCGACTCACGCTCGAATCCTGTAGTTTGGTTCTGAAATGTTCATACAGATTTAAACGACCTTAATCTCTCTAAAGTCAAATATAAATATAAACAGAAACCAATTTTTTCAAAAGAGTTTCTCAATAAAACGAGACCCAATCGAACTGCAACTGTACTGGTACCATGACTCAAATACGACGCTTTTGTTCTCTGTAAATGGTATGGAAACACTGTTGATCCCAGGAACGTAATGCAAAATCAATGTTATTTTCTTCTGCCAAGAGGTCATGCGTAACTGCGCCACAAAAACATTTTGAAGCAAGGGTCAAATTTTGTGTACCTTTCATCATCAATCTCGGTGTCTCCGGTAGATTTCAAAATGGCGGAATCCACATCAAGTGACCACTGCCCTCCTTCGGGCTACGAAGAGGACTTTGTGAAAGAAGTTGAAGAAGATTTTCAATGCCCCATATGTCATTTACCGCTAAAGGAGCCAGTTCTTACTAGGTGTGGCCACAGATATTGCAAAGAATGTCTTGACGAGCGCATTGGAAGGTAAGAGTTTATGACAAGCAGCTTTCAGTATTGTTGTCCGTTTGCTCACTTAATCTAATCACCCTAGAGAATTCATGACAGATCATCAGAGTGTTTTAACTGAATTAAATCGCTGCCAAAGTCAAAGTCCATCTAATTAGAGGGTGGTTGTTGGTTGCATGATCTTAAACATCAATTTTAATGATAATGACCACAGCATTAATTTACTTGGTGATGCAATTTTTCAGTTTCTAGAATTATTCCAATCAAAATGTACGCCTTACTTCCTCCAAAACGTAGCACGATACATTTTCTTGATTATCAAACGCAATGAACGGGATCCATACGAGTTCAAAGGGCAAAATGTCTTAGAATCGAAAGCGGAAATCGGTAGTGCAATTATCTACTGCAAGCGTGATTGTTGTTCAAAGTTCAAATCTTTTCTCCACATTCACTACTTTGTTTTTATAAGTGCTGCGATACTACTGGCCTGTCGTGCTATTCAAACTCTCAGTTCGTCTCATTCGTCATCCACAAGTTAATTACTCGGCCATTGAATTACATGAATTTACAGAACTATCTTACGTACCTTGTAAATTGTGCCAGCGCAATAAAATATACTCGCTCGGAAAAGTTCCAGCAAGGGCTTGGCGCACTGTTTGTAGCGACGGGCAAATATTTTTCTAAAGACACAACAGAACTAATGATCGAGTACCTTCGTTTCCGTGTTTATCCAATTCAATATTTTTGTTTCGATATTGTAGTTTCTGTGTGCTACAGTGGAAGTTGATTTAGCAACGGTTGTTGTCAATGTTGTTAAGTGGCGTCGACTGTATTGAATTAGATAAAAGTGTTGGTTGAGATGGGGTATGAGAATAATTGCAGTACATATTTGCTTGCTTGCATACTTCGTTACTTACTTACTTACCAACTTGTTTCTTTACCATTCATAATGATTTAATTTTCTCTCAGACAGAAAAGTAAAGAGGAGTCTTTAACCTGCCCAACAGACAGAGAGAATCTGGACCTAGACCTGGTAAGTAAACTTTTTAACTTCTGAAAATTAAATAATGATTCGCTTTCTGTTCATAGAATATATCTTACTTATTTTTACTACCTAGTAAAGGCTCTTATGAAGAGAAAACAATTGTCACTTTATAAATTGACCCATCTGGATCTTGGTGACGTAAGAATAATATTACTGTGATTATTTCTAAGGACATTTTCCCCGATAAAGCAACAGAAAGGAGGGTTCTCTCTATGGCGATCAGATGTCCAAATGATGGCTGTGAATGGACTGGGAAGCTGAGGAACAAGGAGGTAAAACTAACGCATATTTCGATAAATGTCAATAAACAACTGTATCAGCATAAGTCAATATTTTCGTCTGTTGAAATAAGCCACAGACACAGCTCAAGCTCCTACATGACGATGGGCTTGATAATTTTTAACTTCTCATGATCAAGGAGAGCAAGGAACCAATGCCCAAACTAAAGTTGTTTTGCAGGTAATTTAGTGTTAACAACTGGGTTGAAAACGTAAATGAGCCACCGTAAAGGGTAAAAAGCTGACGTTTCGAGCGTTAGCCCTTCGTCAGATTCAATCGCTCTGACGAAGGGCTAACGCTCGAAACGTCAGCTTTTTTACCCTTTACGGTGGCTCATTTACGTTTTCAACCCAGTTGTTAACACTAATTACCTGCTATACTCTCCCACCGACGCAGCACCACAGTTTCTTTAGAAACTTACCCCTTTAAAGTTGTTTTGGTTTTATTTGTTGAACAGATCCACTTGGAATCCTGCCCTTTTCAGCAAGTAGCGTGTGCTAACAAGAACTGTCACGAAAAAGTCCAGAGAAGACATCTTACGCAGCACGAAAATAATGTTTGTCCATGGAGAATCCTTCAATGTACATATTGCACGGAGCCCCACCCAGACTACATGATGCAAGTAAGGATTGTTATAGTGGAGGAATCCGAGAAAAATAATACACCTCTTGCCAGGAAATCTTTTAATGTTTCGGTGGAAAAACTGAGACCCTTAAAATGGAATAGGAATTAGAGTATATAGATAACAAAATATATTTTCGATTTTTAAAGGTCTCAATGAGGTTATGGCTTTTACGGCTATTGGTTAAAAATTTTGGATACTTAACGGTTAACCCCATTGAGACTCTTTACAGCCCGACAACCGACGGAAATTGATTGAAAAAAGGAAACGTAATAAAATCAAATTTCTGCATTCCTGTGTTTCTTTGATTTTTCTTGTCGTAGGGCCATATTAGACAGTGCAGCAAGTTCCCAGTAACTTGTCCAAACAGCTGTGGTCGTTCAATTCCAAGGGATATGGTGAGACTTTCAGCTTTATCTGTGATATACAATCTGGCCCTGGTTGTTCGAAGGTTGGATAGCGCTATCCACTGTATAAAACTCTATCCAGCGGATAACACCATACGTTTTTCTTTCACTTATCCGCTGGATAGCGATTTATCCGTTTGATAGGGTTATCCGCCCTCTATACAACTGGGCCCTGAAGCTTGCAGCAAATCTTTTGCGACTAGATGCAGCTTTGATATATGATAGTTTTCTTTCAAACATCAAATTACATGTTTTTAATTGAAAATTTCCTAAGATAATTTAAAACATTCAAAATTGTGAATCGTAAGAACATTTCCGACGGACATACAGGCGGATGCCTCACGGCTATAAAAATTTCTGACCAATGTTTCTTACTGATGCTTGATCAAAATTTTCTTTAATTGGATTCATAATCACAGGCACACAATATTAAAGAGAGAAAAATGCCAAACAACTCCTCTTTTGCTTTATTTAAAGCCTCTCATGTTATTTCCCCGTTAAATCTCATTCTCACTGAAAAACAACAAACCACTTTTACAGGCCGCATTCATTCTTTTTTCAGCCTGCTCCAGGCCATAGGTCATTGAAAAACGCAAAACGGTGAAGGAGAGCTACATAAAATTGTTATGAGAACCTCACTGTGGTGTTCCAGCGACAGTAACCGGCGATCATCGATTGATTTTGAATTTCTTTATCCACACTTGCATCTACGTCAATCACTTGACTTCATACGATGGATTCCAAACAATGCCACAGTTCTATTCATTAATTTCGATTCCCACTCGAAAATGGCAGATAAGCGAAAAGTGGTATCTGCAGAGAAGAGGCTGTAGAACTTAACATGACGCTCACGTTTAGTCCCGCCACCCGTTCAGCACTCTTTTCCACTAACAGATTTTGGTGCGCGCCATTCCTCTTTATTTTAGTCCTTTATTTCATGTGATGCAGGTTTCGAATCACACTAAAGATGAGTGTCTGCTGACCATAATTTCCTGTCCCCATGAAGGAATGGGTTGTACTACAAAGGTGAGAAATTAATACGACAGGCCCAGAGAAACGCATACACCTTATAACCTTATATTCCATCGTGGTATGCTTCGTATTTGATAATGTCAAGACGAATTCTGGAAGCTAGTTTTTTGTGACACAAAATGTTCCCAGCAGCTACGAAATGAAGCAGACAGTTTCTGGCGGGTAAGGTGGATAAACCAATATCTGCCGCTAATAGCCAATCCCTTCACAAAGCAAATGAATTCGAATGCAATTTAGAATAAATAAGCACGAGTAAATTAAAAAGTACTGATTTATTCCAAATTGCACGAGAAAAATCTTGTGATTAAGTATTAATAATATACATAGAAAAATACGAAAAGAAGCCGAAAGTGCTGGCATCAGTGGCAAAAATAGTTTATTCAAACCCGCGTTAGATCAAAACAGTAAGATACAATGATATCTTCACATCTTTATGGCGCAAAAAAGTTCAAGGTCCGGCTAAACAGTTCAAGGAATTATTCAGTCTGTGTCTGAATCACTTTCGATGGAATGGAATGGAATCGTCGTTTGCGAGGTTTAACTATGTTTGCTTTTAATTTCGGCGTAGAATCACCAGAGCAAAGTTGGGTCGGCTCGTAATTTTCGATTTCCTTGGCAATTTCCTTCTCCAAACACCACTTTTTCCAAACCGACAACCCAAAAGCAGTGCGTTTTACAGTGCTTTCGTTGCTAGAGCTGTTTTTCAGCTGCTGTATTATTGTTGCGGTGGCGAAAGAAAACCTACATAAAACACCAGCCATTGTTTCGCTCACAAATTTTAAGCGTATCCAAATGTTGCGACATCCAAGGCTCACATTTCATTGGCTATCTGTGAATTTCTTTGATTATTGACGAATGAATGAATGTCTGGTTTATTACTTCTTTGCACTGAATTAACCCTATTCTGCATTGAATTACCTGAAGACTGCATTTATCTTAACCAATCAGAACTGAATATTTTTTTCATGTATATTATTAATAAATTGATCTCGTACATTTATGGAGGCATTCATGTAATAAATGACCTTTCAAGTCGAAAGTTGTAGGAAATACAACCAACAGAAAAGATTCTGACGAGTGTGTTGAAGATCACGTGATACCGTTATCAAAAATAACGTTAAATCGAACTAGCTGTTTAAGCTAAGGGCTTAGTTAGAGGTAGGTATAATTTCTGGTAATTGAAGTATAAATTTTCATGTAGGTCCAACGTCAAGAAATGGAGTATCACCTCGAATCAGCAACAAGAATCCATCTTGATTTAGTTTGTATTAAATTAAACAACACCGAAGACAAGTTAAATAAAACAGAAGATGAGCTGAATAACACAAAAGATAAGTTAAATAAAACAGAAGATGAGCTGAATAACACAAAAGATAAATTGAAGAAGACAGAAGCTTTGTTAAATGAGACAAGAGTTGAGTTGAAAAATGCCATAGAACTGCTAAGGTTGTCGAGCGTAAAACATAACAATGTGTTTCTTTGGCGGATTGACAGTTTCAGCGAGATTCTGAAAGAAGCCAAAAACGGAGGAAAAGATGAAATAGCCGGTGATCCATTCTACACCAAAAGTGAAACAGAAAGTTTTGGCTACAAGTTAAGAGTTGTTGTTTGCCCTAATGGGTTTGGAAATGACAAAAACACTCACCTTTCGGTGTTCATTGTTGTAATGAAAGGTGAATATGACGCAATTTTACGCTGGCCCTTCAATAAGAAAGTGAAGTTCACATTAATTGATCAACAGGATGATCCAGACCAACGGGAAAACGAGACTGGTGAGATCGTTGGGAAAAAGATTCCGAGCTTTGCAAGGCCTAAGACAGAAGAAAACAATGGATGGGGTCTTCTAAATTTTATATCTCATTTAAAACTTCATTCGCGCCGCTACATAGTGGATAACACATTGTTTCTTCAGGTTGAGATTAGTTCACCATCTAATACGAACTCCAGTCTTGAAGGTTAAGAAAACTACAAGGCTACATTCTCGATAAAATTTTGAAAAATTGCCCCAAGAGTGGACTCTCACAAATCGTTTCTAATTTTCCACGAACATTTGACTCAATTTTCAGCTTATTAATGCTGTTACCTAATTGATAGCATCAGAAAGCCAATTGTTTTTCTATCTCCAATGAACCCAAATAAATAAGGACTAACTGTGGATAACATGAAGCCATGATAGTTTCGAATCATCCTCTCAACTCTTGTCTCGCTGCGGAAGAGCCCTTGTTTCACAGAGTGGTAGCTAATTGGTATACTTCTAGTGATAACATTTAAGATATGTAGAGTGCAGGGGCTGCCTTTAGCGGCCTCGTCAGGTTCCTTTAGCGAGATAAAAATTAGCAAAATATGTTTTACGGGCTTAAAAAAAAGAAATCGAATCTCAGATTAGCGGTCCTATTCCAATAGGCTTCATTGACCAATTATCGATTTTTTAAGGTTTGCTTAATAATTTACAAGTTGCTGAATGATTCAACTCCTAGATAATACGTTCAAAAATCAAAATCAAAATCGCCGTTTTGTACTCAGGATTACTGAGATCTCTTGACAGTTAGTCAGCCGAGCTCTTTCCCAGAGACCGACAATGATTATGCACTTAATGTATGTACTTTGAAGTTATCTTAACTGCCACTTGTATTTCGCTCTCCGCACAAAGCTTTACTGGAAAAACGAGGGCCTCTGGGAATGTTATGTGAGCAGCTTTTTTTTTTTTTCGAGATATTGTGAATAATTGTGAATGAACCTTAGTTTTGATGACCTTTTTCTTTTCGTAAATAGATGTTGTATCATTTTAAACAAATGTATGTAATGCGCCATTCCTATGGCGATAGCGCCGCAAGAATAAAGTTTTCACTGGTATCACTTCTTGTCTATATTATTAAATCCTCTCGCTATTTGCTGGGCCGTGAAAAAAGTTTCGTTCATGAAATAATTCTGAGGCTGCAATGTTACATGAATTTTCCCTAATCAGGACCACACATACCTTTTTGAGCCGCGGAAAGAGCGGACAAGAGTTATAACGTGAGCTTGTCGATCGGTGATGAACTTGTTAAAACAAGAAGGCAGTTCAATTTATTTCTTTGGCATGGCCTGAGTGAAACAGTGGAAATTTACTAAGTTGTTTCAAGCCTCAGACCCGATCATTGCTTCTTAAAAATTGAAAAATATTTGTTTTTTGTTTCCCTCTTTGAGGTAGCGTAATTACGAAGCCACGACATGTGAAATCATTGACAGACGAGTTTAGTACTGTTTCGTAAAATAGATTACATTTTATGCGCTCCTTTCAAGGCGTCTCTGCAGTTATCACAAGAAACGTTTTCAACTCACAAAAATACTCACTGATATTACACACCAAGACGTCTAAAAAGTTACTTATTCCCCAACTGCTTTTTTTCATAAGGTAGGAAAAGCAAAGCAGATAGAGAAGCGTAGCACGCGCAGCCGACTAATCACCGCACGAGCCTTCATTTAACTAACAAAATTTAGACCTTAAGAGCCTTAGTCCCGAAAGGAAAAGAGAAAGGAAAAGACAACACAGAGACTGACGAGCAACGGACCTCATACATTCCTTGCTGCCTTTCTTGGATTCATTTTTGCAGAACCATCTTCAAAAGTGCAGCAAATTTCCAGTTACTTTTCCAAACAGCTGTGGTCGTTACCTTCACAGAGGGGTGGTCAGACTTTCAGTTCTGCCTTAAAATACAGACTTAAGATTGATCATTCAATGTTTAGGAATGATATCAATTAATGGTAGTCATCGTCGATACATCTCTCTATCTTTGTACTTTCTTTCAATATAAGCTATAACTAAATATGGCACATAAATCAAAAATTATCCTACTGAAGATGAAAAAGTTGCATGTCAAAAGTTTTTTTGTAGAAACAATCATACCGGTTACTCATCAAAATGTGCTTTCTAAATAATGCCAGGCTGGAAGATATATAATTGCAGTAAATGTGGAAAAATGGCAGCTTTTGATTAGATTACCAAAGGCCAATTTATTTATGTATTTATCAGCAATATTTATGTAGACTGGGCCAGTTCAGCTTCAAGCTGGTTTGAATGGGGGCCTGCTTAAGACATATAAAGTAAAACAAAATTTATTTAGAAATACAGAATACAAAAGGAGCCCACAACACAAATTACAATTTACACACAAGATATTCGATGTATATTACATTACAAAGTATATTACATCAATTACATAAATGAAGTTTAACAAATTTCTTAAAATTAGGCTGTGAAGTTATGTTTTATGGTTAATAAAATTATTCCACGCCTTTGTACCTTTGCACTTTTCTAAGGAGGGCCAGCTAAAAGTGCTGCCTGTCAGTATTTTCTTATTTACGCCCGTCAATGATATGAGCTGCTCATAGATTCAGCCTGTCTGGTAGTCCCGATCTGTTTTTCCGCAGCTATCCCAAACTGCACAGCAATGGCCGAACAGTGGATGTATCATAAAGCCATAGAGTGTTATATACTTATGTTTTCTTATATTTCTTCATTTCCCACTGCTTCCCAGTCTTTTTTTTTTCTCTCTGAGCTGGTGCTAAGGCGACATCATTAAAAAACAAAAGTATCAACAAATTCGCAAATAAAATTGTTACCTTACTCATAGGAGATTTACTATTCAAGTTGGAGATTTCTATCCTTAGATCATATGTTTATTGATTTTTTTGATGTGATCCAGGTTTCAACTCACACTAAAGACGAGTGTCTATACCTACAGATGGGCTGTCAAACAAAAGTAAGACAATTATATACTAGGGGCCCAGAGAAAAGCATTACATAGCTTCAAGAAAACATCCTATTAGAGGTTTTATAGGAAAAAGCTAATATAAAAAAGAATTGCAAAACTGATTCACAAAGCACAAAGTGGTGCTTTCTTATTTTAATTTGATTCAATGCCTCTTAAAATTGTTAGAACACTTCTCGTGTAACGAAAAGTTAAAAAAACAACGTAAACCGATCAAAAGCAATTTTGAAAACAGCCAATCCCAAGCAGGAAAGATAGGTTCTGTCGGTCGATGGATCAGAATATTCGCTTCTTCTCGTCCACTCGTGAGTGAAATAAAAGAACGCTGATCAAGTCTTTCTCATGGTGTTACGGGCCTTCGGTTTTAAAAGCATTTATACTCTAATCACCCTGAAACGATCATAAAATATTTGGTAACCAATCTTAATAGACACGAACACAGCATCAGGAGCGGGCATCTCGTTTATTGATGAAGGATACATCGAGCGTTACATCATCATAAAGAAAATACAGTTGTGAATAAACACAAAAGCAAAGTTGAAAGAGATGCCTTCGAGTGGCTCTTACATAACATACATAATCTTAAATAGCCTAGTAGCCCCTGGGGATCATTATACCGACAAGCACGCCTAAAATGCTTCTGCAGTTAACACGAATCATACATGATAAACATACTTCAGTGTCATTAGCAAAACGTTACAAAATGTATTTATTGTTTTTGAAGGCCATATTTTTTACAAAACGTTAGACTCGTGAGCTCTAACAAGCTAAACTACAAACTATTTCAGAGCATACTTTAATCAAACAGCAATCAATCCCCTCCAGCCCTCTCCCCCCCCCCCCACTATTTTTTGTCTTCACATCTCTCAGGTTGCATTAAGGCCCATGGATAAATAATACCCTTGTATGAATGTTCTCCCTATCATATTTTTTCGCCTGATATCGACACTAGCGGAGCAACCAACATTATTATACATTAGAATTACTATAAAAAATCTGGTTGGTCTAGAGCATTCAATCAATATACAATACTGTGTTAAACCGATATCTGCTACGGATATATTTTGCAAAACAGGGTTTCCGTAAGCGGTTAACACGATTCCGAAGGCGGCTAAAGCAAGTTTTATTACACCTTTAGCTGTTCATTTACGCAAAATGTACATTCATTAACGTCAACAGTTGAAACTAGACGGCAAATATACATTCATTAGCACTTCCCTGAGCTTCATTAACGCGAACGAACTTTCAATAACGCTATTTGCATATGTATTTTACTACGTTGATGCTATTGAATGTTAAAACATTCAATAGCATCAACGGATTAGCAATTGCACCTTTGGGCAATCAAACATAACAAACATACGTTCAATCTCGCGCAATAGTTGATCATCAACACCAATAGAAAATCAATTGCATGGTATGACAATCAATTGCATATTAGGGACATACAATAATACAATTTGCATAGAGACGCACAATCAGTTGCACCTTCATACAATCGTTTATTCAAAATGGTCAAACTGACAAACATGTGTATCGTAATAACAATCAATTAGAGAAAAAGAAATTTGAAAATTGTTCGATTACAATGTACCGTAATGTAATTTTTTGTAATTTTCTTTCAATTTCTTCATTATTTAAACATCTTGGAATGTACGTTTGCATAAATCTGTACCACCGTCCACATTTAGTAGCCGTGATAGTGCCTATGTTTCTCTGCAGGGCCGGATGTAGCAATAGACTGAGTGCGGTAATTGCCTAACGCAATTCCTTGTCGTCTTGCCTCTGCTCTGTTGTTCATCTGTTCTTGCTGCTCTAGACGGCTTATGTCCGCTTTTATGGCTGCCTTTGAGGCACTTATTCCTTGCTCTACGGTGGTAACTTTTTAAGCTCAGAATAAGGGCCAGGAATGGCAGGATTGTTGCGAGCTAGTGCGCCGTCATAAATGAAAATTACAAGTTCATTTGGGTCAAGATTTAGCTTCGCCTGTGACAGAAAATCCTTAAACCTTTGTCCATTACTTCCACCGAGAAATGCCAAGTGGAAAAACGAGTCCATTGGTGGGTGAAATTGCCAGTGCTACAGTAACAATTCTCCCTCGCTGACCACATACTTGTCGATATGCCCCCTTCTCCATTCTTGCTCGTTCGTGTCTTCTTGCCGTCCAAATATTGTACCCACACTCTTTTACAAATATTCTATGATTCACTACAGCATGGCGCATGAACCAGTTGGCAAAGTCGACTTTTTTCGCAGGACATCAGGGCGGTTTCGTTCAACTGGGAGTAGCCTTGCCAATTTTATACGATACAACATACCTTCAGTAGGTATGGAGGTTTGGTAGGAGACGTTAATTTCCCACGCACGAGATTACTGTGTGATGGATGTCCTCCCCTGGGTTGGGTTGGGTGGATTTAAGAGGGGTAGTGCCCCGTATGGGACTCCATGTCCCGCTGCACTAACCCAATTGGCGTCCGTCTATTCGTAGACGTACCCAATAAAGTTGTTATAAAGTTTCAAGTGTTCTTGCTACTGTACGGTCATGGATTGTTGGTTTTCTTGGAAGACAGTCTCAATTCTTGATTTATCTCTGCTAGTGTTAGCAGGCAATATTCGTTTAAAATGTAATTTAGGCAATACCTCATTTCATCATCTACTCGAACATGATTTGCTCCTCCTCGTGGTCTCTCCGCGATCCTTCCCTCTCGCAAGTAACGTGCAACGATACTTCTTGCCGTTGATCGGTTCACTCCGATAGTAGCGGCAACCGTCAGATAATCTTCATTAACATCTTCGAAGGCTTGAATAATTCTTTCTCGCTGTTCAAGTAGGATTGTGTTTCTTGGTGGCATGATTTTCTTCGGTTATCTCTGTCTCCGTTGCGTCTTCTTGTACTCTGTTTCTTACACCTTTCTCATTTTATATCTGCTTTAGCAAAATATTGTGCAAAAAACACATAAAATTGAAATGATAATGTACATACTCTTGTATTTTTTTCCTATATTTTAAAATACCCGTAACTACGATGAATGACACTGATGTATATTTTTTTCTTCCTATTGGTTATTCGAAAAACACCAATGTTTGTCAGTTGCCGCTAATAACTGACCATTTTGAATAAACGATTGTATGAAGGAGCAATTGATTGTGCGTCTCTATGCAAATTGTATTATTGTATGTCTCTAATACGCAATTGATTGTCATACTATGTGATTGATTTTCTACTGTTGTTGATGATCAACTAGTGCGCGAGATTGAAAGTATATTCGTTATGTTTGATTGTCCAAAGGTGCAATTGTTCATCCGTTGATGCTATTGAATGTTAATACATATGCAAATAGCGCTATTGAAAGTTCGTTCGCGTTAATGAAGCTCATGGAAGTGCTAATGAATGTATATTTGCCGTATAGTTTAAACTCTTGACGTAAAGGAATGTACATTTTGCGTAAATGAACAACAAAAGGTGTACCATGAGCAAGGGCTGCCTAGCGCTCGTGAATTGAAAATTTTAGTTGATTGTTGATCCATGGAGGCTCGTTGGCAATGACCGTCTTAGATTTAAGGAGAAGCAAAATATACAAACCCATTTTTTTTCATTATAGTCTCAAGCGCGGGTGTTTTCTCCTCACACGACTCTTTGCATCCTACCAGGCGACTATACCAAGTTCGACTCGGTCGAAATAAGACCGTATATCCAGACGATTTGATGGCCGCAGGTCTCTAGATTTCAACCGGATTTTATTCATCTGATAATCCTGTTTAGCCTTGGGTTGTAGTTCCACAGTATCGTGAACAGAGAGCCAAATGGGAGGAAACATTTTGGGCAAATCATAAAACGCGTTAAGATTGGTAAAACTAAGTCCAATTACTCTGTCCATGAGTTGGAAACGGGACGATTTAATGGAACTGTTTACCATCAGAACGAGAGCAGTCAGCCTGTTGAAATCCCCCAAAAGAATGACGCTACAGTCAGGAGAAAGGCCTTCAATTTTTGATAGCAACTCCTACAAGAAGTTCAAAATCAAAGAATCGGTTGCACTCAGCTGATGGTAAACAGTTCCAACAATAATTGAAGGTATGCCCCTAAGGAGCCGCCTTGGACAAAATTTGACCCATACGACCTCAAACTTCGCGCCAAATAATGTCAGATGTAGAACTTCATATCGTATGGAATCACGAACATAAATACAGAAGCCTCCGTGGTCGCTTTGTTAAAATGACCAAAACTCATCATCACGAACACATAGAATATTTACTCTTAAAATTATTACAAGCTTAAATAAACGCCAATTGATTCGAACTCATGCATGCAACATAAAATGTATGCACACCGCGTATAATATATAAGAGGGGGGCATTGGGATTTTCGGTTTTGCGGTTTTTTCGTTGTTTAGCATTTGGTTTAGGGTTTTCACGAAAAATATTAGCGGGTTTTCGGATTAGATACCCGATGCAGTTTTCTGTTTTTTTACTATTTGACCTATTTGGGTTCCGGTTTCTCTTCGATCTGAGCGGCAATTACGCGCCTCCACTGATCTCGAATAGTAGCTGAACGCAATGCGTGGCAAGCCAGTCGAAATATCGCAGGGATCCCTAAGTAGCCTACGTGTAGCTGTATCCTCCCCTTCCCGTACGTAGGGTACAGCTAAGCACGGAACATTGCCAAAGTTGCTTTATCAACGCCACCTCGAAGTTGGTGACCAAGTTGCCGGCCACACGTGACTGATTGATTCAACATTCCAATACAATCTCCAAACTTTCAGGTCTTAGTTCGCAAATGGAGATGTTAGATTAAGGATTTTCGATGAAACTTTCCAGAGCTATAGCTTTTTGCGACTGCAAAATTGTAATCCTATCGAGGACTTTTGGGCGAATTTCCTTTATTAAACTAGGCTCCATTACCAGCTGCTGAGTCCGCAGAGACCACGCTCGAGGTCCTTGAGAGAGCAAAATACGAATGCCAAGTCCATAGCATTCATAAATCCTGTAATGAAATTAGTGTAGTTTACTCTGTATGCTCTTCTTGTCACCACTGTATCGGATCGATCAGGGTTTTAATAACTGGGATGTGATAATGTATTGGTTTTGACAGTTTTGCAAACGGTTTTCGGTTTTGATCGAATTTTTTTCGGTTTCTCGGTTTTGGATGATTTTTTATACGGTTTTACGGTTTCTAATAAGCCCCACTGCCCCCCTCATATAAGAATTTGTTTCCCTTTCCCTTTCTCGACGGATGATATAAAAAACCCGCATTGTAAATGAAAACTCGAACTTTGTCGATCTTTGGTGAAAGAGACATTATATTCAAGAACATAAATGCTTACACAGACGAATGATCGGAGCCAGGTTTATTTTACTAACTTACTGTGGGCGAATGGTCACCTAACTTGAAAAATCTATTGCAGCTGCAAAGATATAGAGGATATTACATGGCCGCGCGGAGATACGAAATTTCGCTTCGATTGTTGAAAAATATTTCACGAGTGAGCGGCGCAAACGATTGCATTATTTGAATTACAAGTGGAAATCAAGAGAACTATTAGCTTTATTCAGCGCGAGATGTTAGTCACCCACGGTTTACCTTTCAACGATATTATGCTTTCGTAGAGATGTCATGGCAGACTCATTACAAGCACGTTGATATAAGAAATATCTCATCGAAATTTTTTGAACGATGAGTAGATCATAACTTGCATTGATAAGTGGCAATCAATTAAGGATATGCAAATGCAAACCTTGCGAGTTGTTGCTCGAGGCATTGTCGACAAAATCTATGGCCGCTTCTCGTCAGAACTGGCTCTCGGAGGTTGACAAATTAAACACAGTAAATCGTCGTCAATTAGACTCATAAAATCATCTCCATAACCAGAAGATAAATGAGCGTTTTCCACAGAGATTTCCATTTTCAAGACTTTACATTTAATTCCAAAAAAGTTAATCTTCTGTCGGCCGCTTCACACAGACTGACAACTTACTGAAAACAAATCTCTCAAAACAACACAATTCTGAGAAATGGCTATCCTTGACTGAGTCGCATAAAATTAAACGAAACTTGTGACAAACAGATCACCCTTGTGCGAATGTTTCTTTCAACCCCGCTTGGCAAGAAAAGACCACGCTGGAACTCATTAGAAAATACGCGACCTAAGAGTCCTTCTTTTGATCATAATGTCAAAATTCCCCGATATGCGTAGATTTTTACTTTCCATGAACATTCTTCTTTGTTCCCTGCTTTTTTTGCAATTTTTATGCTGAAGTAAAAAGAAAAGTCTCGACAAATCTAAAAACAACTTAAAATGTTTCGTAGAATTCAACAAACCGATTGATTTAAACCAATGAGCACGAAGACGCGGACAATGCTGATTTAGAACAATGCCGTCATTACGCAAAAACAGTCTTGATTTCTACTTGTCTTTCACAAAATCATGGCTGATTGCGTTTGATTGGAATTTTGAACCATTGGTCACATTTTTGTATATTTCATCACAACTAAGTTCTAGCAGCTCGGGCGGCTGCTGAATACGGCGGAATTCACATAGAATTTATATTGTCCTCCTTTGTGGAAGCAGTCGCCGAAGATTTTTTGTGCCTGATATGTCATTTGCCGCTTAAGGAGCCATTTCAGATGAGATGCGGCCACAGATGATGCAAAGAATACCTTAACAAGCATATTAGAAGGTATGAGTAAATAATAAACATCACTTAATATGGAGCTTCATTGGCTCGTTTGATCTACTATGTTATATTTATATGAGAAACTTCTTCTGTAAGTTCGTAGCGAATTTTTTTTTCCATTAGATCCACGTGAGAAGAGTGGAGGTCTTCTCACTAAGGAGAAAAGCATCGGTTTTACGTTTGTAAAAATTAGATGTAATGGTAATGGCCACCCTGATAATTTACACAATAATGTAATCGCATTTTTCTGACTTTGCACTCGATTAGTTTAAATCTGTTCGTTAGATATGTCCTTCGCTTCCGCAATTGCTTTGCACGATGCATCTTAATACATGTTTATCGATGTGATCGTCTTCAAAATTGATTTCCTCAAAGATTTCGTTGTTTTGGAATAGAAAGCGGAATTCAAATTATTTGATCGCTTATTCTGATAGTGATCGCTGTTATTTTTAAGTCAATGAAATTAAAACCCGAGTAAATATCGTCTCTTCCGTTATATCCGTTTTCAAAGATATAACCACTCCAAAAGAAATGACATACTTGCAGTATATGCAAAAACCTAAAAACAAGGAAGATCTCTCACCAATTAAGAGAAAATAATGGGCCATTATTTTCTCTTGTTTTAACCAAATGGAATATTCTTTCTAATTAAGGCAGCGAAGTAAAAGACAGTCCTTAACTTGTTCGTCGAACATTTTAAACGTTAGAACTGATTTGCTTGTTAAGGTGTTTTTGATTTGGCTTTTAATGCTTTAGAGGTTCTCTCTTTGAAAAGACTTAAAGATTTCATGTATTAAACCCATTTTTCCTCCTCTTTGGTTATTTTTTAAATACATATTTCCGTTTACTTGTAAATATGCTTATTTAATGCTTCAAGGGTTTCCTCTCTCTCTCTTAAATGACTTAAATTATAAAGAATTCATGTATAAAACCCACGATGAATAGCGAATATAATTTATGCTTTCCTAACTGTGTTCATGGATTCTTATTTGCAGGAACACATTAAACAGTGCAGCAAGTTTCCAGTAACTTGTCCAAACAACTGTGGTCGTTCACTCCCAAGTGAAATTGTGAGACTTTCAACTTTGTCTTGAATATACAATCTGAAGTTCGCAGCCAGTGTTATACAGCTAGGTGAAGTTAAATATATGATCTTCATTCTATATACATCAATCCACATCCTTTCAGTTTAAGATTTCCCCAGGTAAGGTAAAATAAACAGGATTATGGGTCGAGAACACTTATCAGACGGAAACTAAAGGCGGATACGACCAAACTTACAAGTCAGTTTTCTGACTTATGGTTCTTATTCTTGATAGAGATTTGCTTGCTCATTATGCTCAGAATCACAAGCACGCCAAAATTACAAACAGTTCCCTTTTTTTTCTTGCAAGTTGTTTGAAGCCTCTCTATGATATTTTCCAATACATCTCATTCTCAATACATGCAAAAGGTGGATTACAATATGGCGGAATCCACATCAAATGAGCATTACACTCCCTCAGGCCACGACGAGGACTTTGTAGAAGAAGTTGAAGAAGATTTTCAATGTCCCATATGTAATTTACCGCTAAAAGAACCAGTTCTTACAAGATGTGGCCATAGATATTGCAAAAAATGTCTTGACGAGTACATTGGAAGGTAAGAGTTCGATGATAAGCAGCTTTCAGTATTGTTGTTCGTTTGCTCACTTGATCTAATCACCCTAGAGAATCCATGACAGGTCATCAGTGTTTTTCAACTGAATTCAATCTCTGCCAGAGTCGAAGTTCAACTAATTAGAGAATGGTGGTCGGTTGCATGATCTTAAAACACCAATTGCAATGATAATGACCATTACAGAAATTTACTTGATGATGCAATTTTTCAATTTCTAGCATTGCATTCGATTAGTTTCAAATATGCGCTCAAATTCCTCTAAAACGAAACAAGACACATTTCTTAATTATTATAGGTAATGAACAGGGGTTCCATACTCACTTGTCTTAGAATCGAAAGTGGAAATCTGTGGTTTATTTATGTAGTGCAAGCGTGATTATTGTTCAAAGTTCGAATTTTCTCTTTACATTTACTAGTTTGTGCTTTAAAAGATGCAATACTATAACTAAGCGGCAAATGACATATCAGGCACAATTACCTCATCCTTCACACTAGACTTGATTACTTGACCACAAAATTACATGAACATCTAGACGTATATTATGTTAATTCAATAAAATATGCTCTCTCAGAAAAATTCCTATCACCAGCTTGGCACAATGTTTGTAGCTAAGGGCTACATATTTTTTTAAGACACAAAAAAGATGATCGTTTACCTTCGTTTCCGTGTTTATCCTTCTAAATATCTTTTTCGATGTTTTAGTCTATATATACTGCTGTTGAAGTTGATTTGGCAACTGTTGTTGTCAATGTTGTTTAGTGGTGTCGACTGTATTGAATTAAATAAAAGCGTTGGTTGAGATGGGTTATGTGAATATTTCCAGTACATGCAATATTTGTACATGGATTGAAGATCCCTAAACCGTTGTAATATTCCAAAATTAATTTGAATTCTGTAATTTTAACGTACTTACTTACTTACTTACTTCATAATTTTATTTTCTCACAGACAGCGAAGTAGAGAAGAGTCTTTAACCTGCCCGATAGACAGGCAAAATCTGAACCCAAACCGGGTAAGTAAACTTTTGAAAATTTAAGAATGATTTGCTTACTGGGTGCGGTTAACCCTTAACTCCCAAGATCTGATTGTTAATTCTCCCATCTAGCCGTTGCACATTTCCTTGTGATTTAGTTACACGAATCTCGTGTTATGTCATGACAACAACTTCTAACTGACAAGTTTAAATTATCTCATTACTTTTTTGTTGGATAGTGTATGGATATTTTAGGGAGAAGTTACATGTAAATCATTTCTGGGAGTTAAAGTTTTAAAAAACGGAAACAATTATTCAGCATTATTCTTATTGCTTATTGCCTAAATATTTTGAACAATGTTCTCTTTTCTTCAGTCCATTTGTTTGTTTTTTGTTCTTTAAAATATACCTTATTTATTTTCCATACGTATTTTACTTAAAACATCACTATTTTTTAAATAATTCCCAGTAAAGGCTCTTATAAGTAAAAACACTTATGCCTTAGTCAATTGTCACCTTGGAAATTGACCTATCTGGATCTTGATAACGTAGGAATAATGTTACTGCGATTATTTCTTAGGACATTTTCCCTGACAAAGCAACAGAGAGGAAAATCCTCTCTCTGGCAGTCAGATGTCCAAGTGAAGGCTGTGGATGGAAAGGGGAGCTGAGGAGCAAGGAGGTAAAAAACTGACACACAATTATTTGAATGTTGATCAGCCTAAACGTTTTGTAATAAAGCTAACTCCCCTTCTCAAAATAGCTACGACATAATGAAAAGTAGACATGGAGACACTGTGGTTAGTATTCCTAACCAGGGGAGAGTAGATTTCTGTAAGTCAATAAGTTTTAAATGAAACTCTCTGTTATGCTTTTTTTGTTGAACAGGCCCACTTGGAATCTTGTCCTTTTCACCAAGTGGCGTGTACCAACAAAAACTGTGGCAAAATAGTCCAAAAGAGACATTTGAAACAACACGAAAATAATGAGTGTCTGTGGAGAATCCTTCAATGCATTCACTGTTTTAAACCCCACCCAGAGTGTCAAATGGAGGTGGGTACTGTGACAGTTATAGAATTCACGTCTTCACTTTTTTGATAAATTGTATTATCCTCGAAGAAGAGCTTCAAGTCAACATTTCTATGCACCGACCGAACGAGCCTTTAGGACGAGTAAGAAATAATATATGAAACTAAGAAAAAAATAAACCTCAAAAACACGAGTCCCGACAGGATTGTAAAAAAAGCAGGGGATCTGACAAGAGGTAAAAATTAAATTCCAAAAATGTTTTCAATGTTCATTTCTGTAGGATCATGTCACAAGGTGCCCCCTGTTCCCACTAACTTGTCCGAACCTCTGTGGCACTACGATTCCCAGAGAAATGGTGAGACTTTTGATTGTATCTTTATACACACAATTCTCATAAAAGGGAGAAATAAGAGCAGCTTTTGTTTAGGTTACCAGAGCGTTATAGGGAATTTTTTTCTTTCTTTTTCCATTTTTCTTTTCAGCAAAACTACAAAATTAATTTATTATTGACCTCGCAGCCTTTTTTCAGCTGGTGCATAAGCGACATCATATGGAAAGAATGGATACTATCACACTTTATTTTCCAAAAGCAATTCACACATCTACGGTAGAAGAGAGGATTGCTATTCCTTTTGTTAATTCCTTTCTTTACATGATTCAGGTTTCAACCCATATTAAAGACAAACGTCGGCTAACGTGGATTTCCTGTCCATATGCACAGACGGGTTGTAAGAAAAAGGTGAGAGCATCATAGAAGGGCCTTCATGAATTCATGTCACTAATTGTAAAAATCCAAGCAGAGAGGCATTTTGTTGCGCATGTTCTGTAAATTTTAGTTTGATACGAGAAACTGCTGGTAGGCGCCTGCGTAGGTTTCCCGCTCAAGAATCGCGAAAGAAAAGAAGCAGGAGAATACGTCGGAAAAAACAATGGTTCGGGCATTTGAGATAACCTTTATTGTCATTTTTTTCTTCTGTTACTTAGATGGAAGCGGCAAAGTCTTAAAATTATTTTCAAAATGCAAAAGATTGTACAAACGACTTCGAGTCGTGTCTCGTGATTGTTTGGACGATCGATGTAGATGATGTTATTTTTGAAGGATGCAAGTGGCCCGTCGAAGAGCACAAACGAATTGTATAGTCTACTTTTATCGTGTCATTTCTCTCTCAAGTTATCGGTGATCATTTGAAGTACTCGCCTTCCTGTAAGCGTTTTTTAGAGCTTCAAATGTACTGTAAGTGCAGTGTACTTCCAATTTTGGCCAAAAATTGAAGTTTACAGAAGTTTATGTTTTGTTTCAAAAGTTTTTTTGACATGAATCACAACCGGCAGGGCCGATTACCAAAATAAAAAAAGGTCAATGTCGAGTAAAGAAAAGTAAGACAACGTTTGTGCGAGAGATATGGTAGCTCCATCTGGTTAGAAATGGAGGAATAATTATGGATTTTATGAAAGTAAGGTAAAGTCTTTTCAATCATTAGTCTCAAAAATTTATCAGATATGATCAATGATGCGGGGAAATTGTGAATGAAAACAAGTACTAGTTTGGGCTTCCAGTTGTAAGATGAATAGCTAAATAAATCAATTGTTACCCAATAAAAATCACATTTATTTATAATTTCAACTGCACAGCAAAATCGTGTACACTCTTTGCAACCTTATCCTCCATCCTATTAAATTACAAGAGTTTTGTGACAACTTGATGGTCTGAAAAGACTCTTATGCATGACATACAAAAAAGAACCAGTAAGGCCGATATTTAATAGTGACGATAAAAAACAAGATATTTCCAAAAGCCTTTTTTTTTTTTTTTTCAAGAACAAGACTAAATGAGGTCAGATTAAACTAATGTGAAGAGGTTTGTTGGTCTCTTTATGAAAATGGATGATTTACATCTATCAGATTTTAGAGAAATGAGACTTAAATCAAAAGGGGACTTTGACCTTGCATATTCTGCAGTAATGGACATCGACTTGGATGCCTATTTGCGGAAATTAATAGTTTTCAAGCCAGGGGTTTGGCTGTGCTAATTTTAAGGCAGAAAAATCATAAATCAATCAATTAGGAAATTTTATGGCTCTGACTGGAAGCTCAAACACTCGTAAGGAACAAGACAATATTTCACCTGATTACTCCTCATATTCTTTTCCCCTGAAGTTTGGACAGAACTTTCAAAAACGTTATTGGTAATTTTACAGTTGCAAAAAAAGGTATAGACACAAGTTGCATATAGCATAAGCTAGTCAAGGCAAATTGTGTGGAGAGAACAAAAGATTGATAATTTATACCAGTAGTAAGTTTCTGGTACTAATGACATTCTCTTGAATGCCAGTTTGCCACAGCAAATGTCACACCTATCCTTTTTTCTCAATAGTACTAACCATACATAGTGGGGTCACTTCACATCTCCCTAAACAGCAGAGAACATAATAGTCAATTCCAATCATCAGTCTAAATTGAGAAATAAAAATTGAAGGATCAAGACTTATCTGGCAAAGTGAAATGCAAGTCAAACTAGTTTTAAGACATTTTAACCCGAAATTCGTTTTTAAATACGACCGAAATACTGTAGTTAACATCTTAAAGAAACAAGAGTTCCAGCCCCTTGAGTAATTATCCATTTGTTGTATCGTTCGTCTCATATTTTAAGAACTAGAGAAAGTTAGATAATTTTAATCTGCGAGTTTTATAGTACACTTCCACTCAAAATTCATTTCGTATGACAGAAGCATTCTACTGAAATAGACAAGATAGAATGAAGCTGACGCCATTCGTTTCGAATAACACATGAACATGAAGAAAACGGCACGAGTTTAAACTCATTATACAAAGCCCACGCAATTTTATGAGGTAAATGAACTGGTTAGAGCGAAAGCTAAATAAATGAACAATGAACTGACAGCGGTGAGGGATTTGGGGGCCATGTGATAAACAAGTTCTACCAAAGTTTATCCTCTAGTTAGCCCTTCAAGCCCAAAAGGGCAATTAGAAAAGTTCTCAACAAAACACAGCAACAAAAAAAGATAAAACCGGAGATGATCGAGGAAAGAATATAAACGTTGTTAAGACACATGCCTACATACCAAGTACAACAGACTTGGAGAGCAAAAAGGCCAAAGACAGTTGTGAGCCATGACTTGGAAAATCCACCTCAACCTTCCAAAAACGAATTCGCCGAAGGTTGTAGAAAGAGCGAATCAATCCTGAACCTGGAACATTTTTTTAAGCCTTGTGTCCTATGGGACTACAAAGAGAAAGAAGAGAATATTTTATTTGAAGTGATTTGAAGCTTGGGGGCCACCTCGAACTTAACGCAATTTTATTTCAAAGTTGAAGTAAAATAAGATCAAATTGTAAACTACCTTCTATTATCGTAACGAATATCTCACGATCGCCTCCACACCACTTCGTGATTCATAGAAGTAAGACATCAACATCTTAAGATTAACCTACAAGGTTTGTAGTCTCATGTGCACATCTTGATCGTAAGCAAATCAAATCTCAAACTTCAAGTTTTCGGCCTTTATTCGCGTTTTGTTCGCACTTTGATCATTAAAATATCCTCATCCTAAAGGCCAGCAAACTCCACGAGTATCCACAGAGTTAGAAATGGTGGTAAACTTGTCATACTCTCTAATCCCTCTCCAAAAAATATCACAGAAAGGCGTCGATCGCTCAGCTGAAAACCCGCAAAAAAAAACAAACAAATTTTCTTGGCGCATGCGCAACAAAATGCCCTTCCGCTAAAAATCCCAACAACAAAAATCAAATGCCAGCAAAGTAAATTCACGAAATGCATCCTTGTTTTCTTGCCATCAAGATGAGTTTTGCAGTTCGAAGTATGGTTAATAAAAATGCTTATTCCTTGTTAAAGAAGAAATTCCTAGAGTTTCTAATTAGTTTAAGACGTCTATGGTATCTATGGAAGCAGGAAATCTTGAACCGAAAACCGATCACAGTATTCACTTCTTGCATGCTCGCGAAAAAAAAAAACAAGAACAAGCGCTCAGCAGGTGTCTTAAATGGTGTTCCGTGCGTTCGGTTTGAAAGCAAAGGTTCTGCTAAAATGAAATGTTTTTCAGTTTCTGAAACGCTTGAGCCTAAACCTGAATATGACAAAAAAGTCCAAAGAAAGCAGTCGTGAAAAGTAATCCCCTTCCCACGCCAATTTTTTGTTTTCAAACCTTAAAGGCTACCTTATTCCCAAGGATACTATTCTTGAGTTAAAGTTGCTCCACTAGAAAATTTTGACTGGACTCGGCACTTGGCCGTGCACGATTTTGAACATCCGAAGAACAAGTCCTGAAGGACAACCAGCCACAGCGCTGTTGTTCTAATAAGTCGTCATAACACTTCATCCCCATACATTTGAATTTTTGAAGTCCACAAGTTCTGATGTCGTTATTAAGCAAGAGCTCTGTGTCTGTTTATCTAAACGACGTATAAAACTGTCTTAAGAAGGCTTAACTTTTCGTGTAGGGCCAACGCCAGGAAGTGGAGTCTCATCTCGAATCAGCCACAAGAGTCCATCTTGATTTAGCTTGTGTTAAGCTAAATAGGACAGAAGATGAATTGAATGAAGCAAAGAACAGATTGAAGAAGATAGATGATACGTTCGACAACGAAATAGCTGCTTTGAAAAACGCCATGAGACTGCTACAGCTCTCAAACGTAAAACATACAAACGTGTTTCTTTGGAGGATCGACGGTTTCAGTGAAATTTTGAAAAAGGCAAAGAACGAGGGTAAGGAGGAGATATACAGTGATCCGTTCTACACCAAAACTGAAACAGATGGTTTTGGGTACAAATTAAAAGTACTCATTTACCCTGATGGAACTGGAGGTGGCAAGAATACTCACCTGTCGGTGTTCATTATTATCATGAAAGGTGAATATGACGCAATATTACCTTGGCATTTCAATAAGAAAGTGATGTTCGCATTGATGGATCAACAGGATGAACTACGCAAAAGAGAAAACAAAACTGCGTTGGTCATAGGACAGAATAGCCCGAGCTTTACTAGGCCTACAACAGAAGAAAACATATCAGTGGGTTTTCCTTGTTTCATATCTCATAAGGAACTTAAGGAACTTACTTCGCAGCACTACATTGTGGATGACACTTTGTTTCTACAGGTTCAGATTAGGTCGCCACTTGGTTATTCCTTAAGGCCAAAAAATAATTAGATGCCACATGCCTACAGAGCTCGAATTACTGATAGTTCAGGAGAAATATTCGAATGAAGCTCTCAGCTCTTCTACTGCAGCAGAGGTGTGAAAAACCACTAAACGCAACCAGAGACGACCCCTGCCATCGTTTTACAGATTGGTTAATGAGCATACCTCATAAATTGATTAGGGGAGTATGGAGGAGGCCTTTCCCGCCCTGCTGGTGTTTTTTGTTTGTCTGTTTGTTTGTTTTTTGCGTAGTAATTTTTGCAAAATCTAAATTTAAAGTCTTTAAAAAAAACAAGGCATTCAATAACGCATGCGCAATATATGTATGAAGAAGTCCTCTAAACTAAAGCGGATCAGTAAAAGTCACATGTGGTTGATATTATTCTAACAGACGTACAGAGGCTTTTAGCTTTATTTCAAGGTTTTATAAATATCTTAGAAGTCGCTTAATAATTCAGCTTTATGCTTTAGGTTGACAGGCTTCAATATCGTTCTTAGTTAGGACCTCTAAGATCTGTCACCTATAAACTTCTGAATCGGCCGAGGTCAGAGAATGAAACTGATTTAGTGTTAAATGTATGTGTTCTAAGAGTATCTTAGCTTATCCTCTGCTCTCCACCTAGACCTTCAAAAAGGGCCTCTTAGAACAAACTGTGGAAAGCCTCTCGTTGCCTCCTAGATGCTTTGAATTTTTGTGAATTGACTTCAGTTTTTATAACCTTCTTCTTTTGGTATACGGATTTTATTATTGACTGTATTGTTTAACATAGATGTTTGTGATGGGCCATAAGCATAGCAATGGCGTTATCTGAATAGATGTTACCGATGTTATGACTAGCTATCTAGATTTCTGCCTCATCTCGGTCCATAGGCGATCATTTACAACCAAGTGAACAAAATAATAAATCATAAAGGGGCGATCTCCGTAAGAGCGGTCCAGGGCACTTCGCATCGGAAAAAGGTTTTGCCTCAAACTTTGCCCCATTTTTGGACCTCTTGCGACATCGAAAATTTAAAAAGTTGACAAGCTCGCTCCTCGTAACACACTGCATGCATAAGGGGTTTGGAAAGTATTTCAATTTTGATACATGTTTGTTTAGAGGTCCTCCATAATTTATTCATAACACCCGTTAGACAGCTATCTGAAATTGGTCAAAAGTATTCTTTCTTTCTAAGGTGATATTTCTCAAGTCCAGATCGGACCATTTCTGATTACTTCTTTTAATAAGATGTTCGAAAGCGTAGATATGCAAAAGCATCTTGCACTTAATAATTTCCTTCGCCGTAGTGCCGTTCAAACTTGCTGGCGTGACAGCAGAATTATGCAAATTAGTCTCTTGAGCAAACTCCTACCGCCCTATATAACTAGCTTCAAAAATCTTAGATTTTAACCATCTTAAAAATAAAAGATATTAGGACAGAGCTTTTAGAGCAAAATGATTGATACTCGAAATGTTTTAAACGGCTAAAATATGACAAATGATTCTCATGACGAAAAAGGTGAACAAAACGTATCGAATATATCATAGATTAGCGTTCTATGTCAGATGTCGTGCGATGTCATGGTTCTAAGAGATGGCAAAGCGATAAATTATTCCAAGCGGTCGTAGAACATGAGCAGAAGTGTAAGACAGCTTTTGGCCCTCATTCCCCTTCTCGTGGCCAGTCAGAAAGATCCCTTTAAAATCCTGAGTGTCTATGCTTATAGATTCTCGCCAATGCACTTATAAAACAAATATCAACCATTTGAAAACTTATCCGATAGACAAACAAAGAAGGCACTAAGCACAAGCGAAGAGTGAGGTGCCCGAAGAGCCCTTTGAAAAAATACAACGGCACACAATCCGTATGGAATAGCGTCGGCTGAAGCACTCCTCTTGGAGTTCACCATGAGGCCATATTCCTATCAAGACGTAGCGTGCGGCAGTTGCACCATTATACTTGCCAGCAGGTTGGAATTTGTCGCGCACAGTAGCCATGTGTAAGAAACTGGATTTCAACTGATAAGTGAATCCACCATGGAGAGAATATTGGAAGTTCAAGGGGCCACAAAGAAGAAAGCATCGGGGAGTCTAGAAAATACTGTATCTGAGGGTGCGAATGGTTTTAAAGAATTTTTGTTAATTATAGACAAACTAAAACGCATAGGAGCAGAGCTTTTGTACAAAGTCGGCTATGCTGTCATTGCCTGCTTTGAAAACTAGCTCTGGATCTTGGACATTTCCTCTCTCTGATTTCCCTGCTCTCATCAAGAGCAAACGCGGCTGATAGCCTGGAAGATCTAGGCTAGAATTTCGAGCAAAAAATCACGTCATCGCTGCCTTGTTTAGATGGGAGAAGTACACAACTGAATTACGTGTAGTTGGTTCTGAAATGTTCATACAGGTTTGACGAGCTTAAGCTCTCTAAAGTCAAATATAACTATAAAGAAACAGAAACCAATTTTTTAAAAAGAGTTTCTCAATAAAACGAGATCCAATCGAACTGCAATTGTACTGGTACCATGACTCAAATACGACGCTTTTGTTCTCTGTGAATGGTGCGGAAACACTGTTGATCCCAGGAACGTAATGCAAAATCAATGTTATTTTCTGCTGTTAAGATGTCATGCGTGACTGCGTCACAAAAACATTTTGAAGCAAGGGTCAAATTTTGCGTACCTTTCATCATCAATCTCGGTGTCTCGGGTAGATCTCTAAAATTGTTTCAATCAAAATGTACGCCTTACTTCCTCCAAAACGTAGCACGATACATTTTTTTGATTATGAAACGCAGTGAAAGGGTTCTATACTATCTAGTTCAAAGAGCAAATTATCTTAGAATCGAAAGCTGAAATCGGTAGTGCAATTATCTAATGCAAGCGTGATTGTTGTTCAAAGTTCAAATCTTTTCTCCAAATTCACTACTTTGTGTTTATAAGTGCTGCGATACTACTAGACCTGTCGTGCTATTCAAAGTTTCAGTTCGCCTCATTCGTCATTCACAACTTAATTACTCGGCCACTAAATTACATGAATTTATAGAACTATCTCATGTACACGCTTGAACCAGTACCCAAAGAAACGTATCATGTACCTAATGACCTCAGACGAATTCTAGAAGCTAGTGTTTTGATATACAAAATGTTCCCAGCAGCTACGAAATGAAGCAGACAGTTTCGGGCCGGTAAGGTAGATAGACCAATATCTGCTGCTTATAGCCAATCCCTTTATAGTATTAACTTAATCTTGCACGTTTATGGAGGCAGTCTTGTAATAAATGACCTCTCTAGTCGAAAGTTCGAGGAAATATAACCAACAGAAAAGATTCTGACGAGTGTGTTGAAGACCACATCATACCGTTATCGAAAAAAACTTTGAAATAAATTAGCTGTTTAAGTTAAGGGCGTAGATAATGGTCGGTATAATTTCTGATAAAGCTTAATGAAGTATAAACTTTCATGTAAGTCCAACGTCAAGAAATGGAGTATCATCTTGAATCAGCAACAAGAATCCATCTCGATTTAGTTTGTATTAAATTAAACAACACTGAAGACAAGTTAAATAAAACAGAAGATGAGCTGAATAACACAAAAGATCAGTTAAATAAAACAGAAGAGGACCTGAATAACACAAAAGATAAGTTGAAGAAGACAGAAGATAAATCAAATAACACAGAAGCTTTGTGAAATGAGACAAGAGTTGAGTTGAAAAAAAATGCCATGGAACTGCAAAAGATGTCGAGCGTAAAACATAAAAACGTGTTTTCTTGGCGGATTGACAGTTTCAGCGAGATTTTGAAAGAAGCCAAAAACGGAGAAAAACAGAGAATAGACAGTGATCCATTCTACATCAAAACCGAAACAGAAAGTTTTGGCTACAAGTTAAGAGTATACATTTACCCTAATAGGACTGGAGATGCAAAGAACACTCACCTGTCGGTGTTCATCGTTGTAATGAAAGGTGAATATAACGCAATACTACCCTGGCATTTCAATAAGAAAGTCAAGATCACATTGATTGATCAACAGGATGATCCAGACCAACGGGAAAACGTGACCTGTGAAATCGTTGCGAAAAATGTTCCGAACTTTGCAAGGCCCAAGACAGAAGAAAACACGGGTAGGGGTTTTCCTCATTTCATTCCTCGTTTGAAACTTCATTCGCGGCGCCACATTGTGGATGACACGCTGTTTCATCAGGTTGAGATTAGTCCACCATCTAATTCAAAATCCAATCTTGAAGGTTAAGAAAATTACAGGGTTACATTCTCGATTAAATCGCGCAAAGAGTGGACTCTGACAAATCGTTACTAATTTTCCACGAACATTTGACTTAATATTTAGTTTATTAATGCTGTTACCTTGTTGGTAGCGTCATAAAGCTAATTGTTTTCTATCTCCAATAAACTCAAATAAATATGGACCAACTGTGGATAACATGAAGCTATGATAGTTTCGAATCATGCTCTCAACTCTTGTTTTGCTGCGGAAGAGCCCTTGTTTTGCTGCGGAAGAGCCCTTGTTTTGCTGCGGAAGAGCCCTTGTTTTGCTGCGGAAGAGCCTTTGTTTCACAGAGTGCATGGTGGCTAATTGGTATACTTGATAAAATTTATGATAAAGAGAGAACAGGGGCTGCCTTCGGCGGCCTCGTTAGGTTCCTTTTGCGACCAAAATCAGCAAAATACGATTAAAACAGCCTTAAGAATAAAAGAAATCGAATCTCAGATTAGCGATCCTACTCCAATAGGCTTCATTGATCCATTATCGATTTTTTAAGGTTTGCTGGATAATTTATAAAGCTAGCCAATGAGCTAACTCCTAGCTAATACGTTGATAAGCTTCAAAATCGCCGGTTTCTACCCAGGTAGATCTCTCACCAGAAAATCAGCCTAGCTCCTTCCCAGATACCTAAAATGATTATGCACTTAATGTATGTACTTTGAAGTTATCTAAATCTGCCAGCAACTGTCCTTCGCTCTCCGCCCAAAGATTCACAGGCAAAACGGGGGCCTCTAGGAATATCTTGTGGGCAGCTTTTCGTATTTTTTTTCTTTTTTTTTAGATATTGTGAATCATTATGAATGGAACCTTAGTTGTGATGACCTTTTTCTTTTCGTAAATAGATTTTATTGCTGGTTGTACCATTTTAAACAAATATATGTAACACACCATTCTTATGACGATGGCCCCGTATGCATAAAATTTGAAATTTATCACTCCTTGACTATATTTCCAAATCCTCCCTGTTAGTAAGTGATCAGTTCCACAAATTGCTCGGCCGTGAAAAGAGTTTCGTCCATGAGGTAATTCTGAGGCTGCAAAGTCACATGAATTTTCCCCCATCAGGACCACACAGACCTTTTCAAGCCGCGGAAAGAGCGGACAGGAGTAGTAAAAACAGGCAGGGAGTTAAATTTCTTTCTTTGGCAGAACCAGAGTAAAACAGTGCGAATTCACTAAGTTATTTCAAGCCAAGCCTGAGACCCGATTATTGCCTCTCATAAAGCCAGGAGATTGCAAATCGTTGACAGACCGCAGTTTTAGTATTGGCTCGTAAAATATATCGAGAATAATACATGGGCGCGCGGAGATTTGGAATTTCTCTTCGAGTGTATAACTTGATAGCTCAAGAGTGAGCGCAGTGAACGAGTGAGATGTCGAGTTCCACACGAGAAGAGAAATTCCATATCTACAAGCAACCATGTATTATTTTGTTTACCATATAAACACAGTAGCCCTTTACTGAGAAGAAAAGCCGACTTTATAAATGAATGAAAATAAATGAATCGATGATCCCCGAATAACAACCCTAGAATGCGTAGGCGCTAACTCTTAAGATGGAAAAATGCATTGAATCATGATTACAAAACAACAGTGGTCGTAATTTTCAATTTACAAAATTCTCATTTATTGACTTTGTCCTTACCGACACAAGAAGTCTTTCAGGTAAATGGCCAAAATCAGCCAGCGACAAATTTTCCAGTTGTCGATTTTCATTCTCAGCCAAGAGAAATGCTAACACCAAAGCCACTGAATTCGTAACTTTCGGTTTTTCTTTTAGTATATTGGTTTTCTTCCCCTTCTTGGAAAGTTTGAACCTCGCTGTCTGTCAGCGATACGGATTTTTTAGCCGCCATAAGTCGAGGATTCTCAAGATAAACAACTTGTATTGAGAATCGTGAAGGCTTTGCCGTTCATTCATTAACCTGATCGAGTGGCGCCAAAGGCGAGTGACGTGTCAGCAGCTAATTGCCTATATCAACACACGTGAAAAAATACGATATTTTTTCACGTGTGTTGTTACGGCTTTTCTCAGGGCCGGAAATCCCTGTATAACACCGCAGTTTATGTGATAAATTATGTTTTATGCGTTCTTTTGAAAGCATGTCTACAGTTATCAAAATCAACGTTTTCACTAAAAGTATCTTATTAGACGTTTTGATGTGTGCTATCACTGAGTATTTTTTTAAGTTGTGCCGTATTTTGACAAGCCTGTTGGGCGAGTCAAAACACAAACAACGAATGAAAATACCCAGCGATACTACACACCAAAGCATCCAATGAATTATTTATTATCCGACTGCTTTTTTTTTTGCTGAGTTTTTCTGTTCATTTCGCGCTCAGTCGACTGGTTAAACAGGTTTTATACAGTACAAAATAACCAACTGTCCTAATAACCGCACAACATCGCAGGATATTTGTACCCTACTTTGTGCAGTTGGATAATAGTATTCATCTATTTATATCTCTCGGTTATTTCGTGCGCTATAATTGTTCAATCGATCAGGCCGTACTTCACTGTACAACCGGGTGAGCTTAAACCCTTGTTTTGAATTTAAATCTTCCTCCTTAACCCTTTAACCCCAAAGATCTCATTAATAATTCTCCTTACTGTCTGCCGAACAATTCTCATTGTATTAGTTTGGAGAATTTGGTATCGAATCTGTTAGTAATCCCGTAATTGATTTTTTCTTAATTCTCGTCACTTGTCTACATGATATTGTATATGTTGTGTTTGTTCCTATTTAGATAAATACTTTAGCTATTACATAATCTTTATGCTATTGGTTAGCACACCCTTGACCGCAGTCACGTGATTATGCTCATATATCGTTGTGTGTAATTAACTTCATGGCACTCTAATAAAGCAGTTGTGTAGAGCACTTGGTCTGTGCACGCTTTACTCTATAGTAGTATATAACGAAGCCTAATACACAACATTACAGAAATAGTAAGGAGAAAATCTGTCATGGTCACTCACGGGAGTTGAGGGGTTAATTTGAACCCGAGATATAAAGGGTGTCGTAATAACCGCATGTTCTTGAACGGCACTGTGAGTTACGGAACCTCGTAACGCGGTTAGTAAGAGGTATTTAATCTTTGTGAATTTCATTCAGTCGAGGTAATTAACAATTTTGAAAAGAGCCCATTTACGCCCGAAGCTTAAAAAAAAATAGAAACTAAAAAGACCAAACTGTTGTAAAATTTTCGAGAGAATATGTGGGATTGTAAGTAGTTCTCTGCGCAGGTAAGTTTTGAGTAAACGTAATGCAACGGCCAGAGTTGTTTTCAGTCGCTGTGACGGGGTCTGAACAGGTGTTTATGGTTCGGAAAGCAGAAACTGGAGCAAAAGAACCGAAAGCCGCTTTTAGAGCGAAATTATTGCTAGTTTTCAAGTTCCAGAGCAGTTGATATTGTCCAGCAAAAGTGAAAATTTGCGCTTATTTACGGTTTTAAGTGTCCTTATCATCTCTTAAGAACGTTTCTAATCAGCAACAAGTTGACAGTTATGTGACACCGAGCGGGTACTTAATAGCAAATTTTAAAAAAACATTACCTTAGTACACGATAGGAAAGGAAACAGAAGAATAGTGATGGGGCCAAGCCCCAGCAAAAGTTACTGACAGCAGCAGCTATACTTGCTGTGTACTTCGCGACAACCGGCTCTGAAGTTTCTCACGAAATACCGATTAATCCCATCACCGGCTCAAGCGTCAATTTTTACTATCTCTTCTTCCGAGGAAAATCAGAGAATGAACGCTTTGCCTGGAGATTAGACCAATACTTGCCTCATGCAAAAGGTAATGTAAATAGCGACGCGTCTACTTTCTCCAAAATATTTATGGCTCCGTAACACAAATAATTTGAAGGACAAGTGAAATTTTTGCATATTCTTAACCACGCAACTGTCGCAGTTCGGGTTGTTTGTTAAGGATGACCGAGTTTACTTTAGGTGGACGTTGACTTCCTCTAGGCTAATGCCTAATGTGTTATTTACCGCTTAAAAAGCCTATTCAAAGAGATGCGACCAAAGATAGTGTGGAGCGTGGTAAAAGGTATGAGTGTTGATATGATAAGTATCATTCAGTATTGGTTTTCGTTGTTTCACCTCACCTGATTATCCTGTATTCAAGAAATTGTTCTAGTAATTTCTTAGAGAGTTTAAGTAACACTTACACTATTTCAATTTTTGACATTCCAATTTTCCGCTAGCTCGGAAAATGTGCGCCTTGCTTCCTCGACTAAGTAGCACGAGTTCCGAAATGATTTATATAGAAGATCTTCAACTGTTTGAATATTCATCATAATTGAAATTTCTCTCAGGCAGGAAAGTCAAGGACTATCTTTAACTTGCCCTACTGACAGGCAGAAGCTGGACCAAGACCGGGTAAATGACCTCTTTAGCTTAAAGCGGTTGCCTCTTTTCTCTTTCTTTTGCTTCGTTTATTTAGTCATTTATTTACCAAGGTATTCATCTTTTTATCTATTTAACCTGTTCTACATGTAGATATACCACATTTATTTCTAGTAGTGCAGAATGGCCGAGTGGTCGGACATACTTAATAATGAGCACCCATGACGGGCCTTTCAGACAATAAAAGCTTCATTATGGTGCTTCACTTAGAGAGATTACGACGTATGCACTTTGATCAAGCGAGTTTAATCACCGATGCAGTCGAACGTAAGTGATCCATGATGTGCGGCTACTTCCATTTTGTGACGTCATGACACTCGTTTCAGGGCCCCGATCCATAGAGACTTTCAGGTATCTAGTCATTTCGTACCCAGTTGATAAAGCAACAGAAAAAAATATTCTCTCCGGTCTTTATCTAGGTTCTGCCTGTCGAATAGACAAGTTAATGGGCGGCTACTTCCATTTTGTGACGTCATAACACTCGTTTCGGGGGGGGGCCGACCCATAGAGACTTCCAAGTATCCAGTCATTTCGTACCCAGTCGATAGCATATTTTCCCTGATAAAGCAACCGAAAAGAAGATTCTCTCTCAGGCAATCAGATGTCCAAATGTTGGCTGTAAATGCACAAGGGAAATAAGAAATAAGGAGGTAATGACTGAAAACTTTCATCTTTTCCCGTCTCCTTCTCTTTGAAATAACTGTAGAGGTTTAAACGCGGAGAAGGTGGGGTCAGCATAGTTATATCGTTAGAGGACAGAGTAGATTACTCGAAACTACAATGTGCACTGAATTCTTTAATGTGTTTATATTTGTTAACTAAGTCCATCTAGGATCTTGTCTTTTTCAGCTGGTAGCGTGTACCAACAACAAATATACAGCGAAAGCCCAAAGAAGTCGTGTACAGTTAAACGAAAAGAGTATATGTCGTTGGAGAATCCGTTGATGTAAGCACTATGGTGAGCAATGGCCAGAGTTCCATATGAAGGTAGGTACTATGACAGTCATAGACTCCACTAACTTTAAATTTACACCATTTTCATATGCGTCGTACCCATAGCCAGGAAATTTTATAACATTTTTAGTTAATCAAAAGGCAATATACCCAAGAGAAAATTAGGACCTCTACGGCAACATTTCCATAATTATACTTAACGCACGAGCCTTCATATAACTAATAAGCTTTATACCTTAGGCGCCTGAGTCCCAAAAGGAAAATAAAAAGGCAAAGAAAGCACGGACACTGACGAGCAATCAAATTTATAAATTCCTCGCTATCTTTCTTGGATTCATTTCGGCAGAACCATCTTCGAGGTACAGCAAATTTTCAGTTACTTTCCAAACAGCTGTGATCATTACATTCCCAGAGGAATGGTCAGACTTTCAATTCTGCCTTGAAATACAGACTGAAGGTCGCAACGATTATTCAATGTTTAGGAGTGATTTCAACAAATGATAGTCATCGTCAGTACATCCCCTGTCTTTTCACTTTCTTTCAGTTTAAGATATTTATAAAAAGGACATGAAAATCACAACTTATCTTATTGAAGATGACATATTAAGGGCGGAGTAATTTAGATAAAGTGCGAAAATGATGGTTTAGAAATGATATGTGGAAAAACGAAAACAGTAAGCTTAAATTAATGGGTGCGGAAAAATAAGACCTAAATGTAAGAAAATTTACTATCTCTCTGATAGAATTTACTTTATTTTAATGTTCCGAAATCGATTCAGCACTTTGAGTTCAAATGTCTGCAACGCATTGCAGATTAATGTTATTGCATGGGAATTTCGAAGATGTATTCTCGTGGCGATCCGCAGTCGTAAGGCTCTCCTGACGATGCAATTTCAATCGTGGGTATCCATGCTTCCAGATGTTCGATACCTCAGTTTCTGTTAATATTTCGATCTGTACTTCTTAAATTGCTTTTATTACAGCGATAGTCATCAAATGTCACACTCCCTTTTTTATTCCAAGATAATTTAAAAGTTGGGAACAGGGAATACCGGTCCTTGAAAGAAATACTAACCTCATACTGACTGAATTTGAGTTCCGTACTGAAAGTTATGGATCATTGAGCGCGCGGACCGTAGATAGAAGCTTAAGAGGCCCTGCGCCTAAAAACGACGATGATTTCTGGCTAAAAATTAAAATCAGCCGATTTTTATCTTCCAAGTAGAGGTTACCTAATGCTATTTAAAAATGAATTTCTTTTGGTTCAGTTTCGCCTTAAACCAAAAATATCGAGCCGCGAACTTGTTACGTCTGATTGTAGCAAAATCTGTCCCAAAATATGCCCTTTCAAAAAACCTGTTCAAAAATCCCTATCGCAACACAAAATAATGAGAAAACTACGCAGTTATGAAGAAAAAGGCCTTTTAATGCAATATCATTCGATAAACATCGAAAAACTGCAGAAGCGAATGAAAAGAAATTTTCAAATATTTCATATCAAATTAGATGGAGTGTTGGAGACGAATTTAAAATAATTATTTCTACAAAATCCAACGCTGTTGTAAATTCACTTTTAAAAAGTATAAGGTAACCTCTACTTGAAAGATAAAAATCGGCCGATTTTAATTTTTAGCCGGAAATCATCGGTCGTTTCCTAGGCGCAGGGCCTGTTAAAAAACGGGAATCTGTTACTCGCGATAAAGGCCAAGAACACTCAGTAAGTATAATATCTATAATATCCCTACTGTCAGTCTGACGGGTTTGGGAAACGATTTCTAATCACACAAAGGGCAAACGAAGAACTGATGCGCATTGAAAACAAAATGAGTCGATCCTAATTTGGTTTTAATCATAATTAGCAACAGAGAGAACTTTGGATTCTGGCGGGCCTTGCAAAAGATACAATATTATTTTATTTCCGAAGAAACGTTACACAACCTATACTCAGTTTAGCAAGCAAGAATATGGTGCACTCCAAGAATTATTAGACTTCATTTAATTTTCGGCTTCACTAACCACAAAATAACACTTCACAAGGTCTTTATGACAACTAAACTCTCGTCTATGCAGTCTAGATAGAAGAGAAAAAAACATTGCATTTCTAAAACTATTTGACTAAAAGCAGTCTCGTTTTCTTATTAAAATGACAAAAGCTGAACAGTTTTACCCGTAAAAACCATAGGAGTCTTAGAGAAACTTCATTAACATCTCATTACAAACAAAAAATCGAGTTTTTAAGAGCTAATGGTCGATCAAAAACAAGTTTCCATTATTTGCTTGGGCAGTTTTCCCCATTTATGATAATCAACTAATTTTCCTTTAAAAAGGGCTTTTTTGCCCTGAAAAAATTTTTTCTCTCAAAGTGCTGTTGCGTAAAAAACCACTGCACATCAGCCGTTTACCTAAACTTTGACACCATCCAAAGTATGGCTCTTTGTGACATACTTGGCACTATTCTTTCTTAACTTTACTTTTGAATAGCAACGGTTCCGATCCAAAGCTAATCACAGCTAACTAATTGTTTTCCTATTAGGCTAAAAAAAAAATGGATTAAAAATCGTTATAAAGAAGTCATTTTTTTTCTTGAATCTCAACTTGAAGAAATAGAGTGTCATCTACTATGTACTTCCTTGACTTTAGTTTCTCGTGGGATATGAACCGCGGAAAACCGCACTCTCCGTTCTCCTTTGTTTTGGGTCTACAAAAGTACTCTGGGGGGTTCAGTTCTGGATTAATCAGTCTACTAAAGTTTTCCCGTTTGTCCTCATCATTCTGTTGATCGATCAGTGTTAGTCGTACTTTCTTGCTAAAGGGCCAGGCTAGTGCGGCGTCATATTCACCTTTCATTACAACAATGTATACCGATAGGTAAGTATTCTTGCCAGATCGATTGCCACTGGGAAAAATTCTTACTTTTACATTGTAGCCATAGGTTGCTGTGTGAGGAATGACACTTTCTACTGTTTCTTTATTTACTGCCTTGGATTGTTTAAACACTTCATTAAACTCATGAATCTTCCAGAGAAAAGTTCCGTTTTCCCTTTCTATAATTTTATTTTCGTCTTTCAGTACTTTTTCCAAAAAGAGGCTCTGAAGTGTACTGAATTTTTCCATCAGTTGTCTTGTTACGTCTTGTGCTTCCTTCAACCTCAGACAAGCTAAATCAAGATGAACTGTCATGGCGGTTTGAAGATGAGTCTCCACTTGTTTTCTTTGAACCTGAAAGAAAATTAAGCTTCCCAAGTGAAGAAAGTTTCTTTTCCGCTGAAGACCCCAGCGTTAAACCAGGTGTATAAAATAGCATCATTTTAGTGCAACAATTGCAATATCCGCTCTCTCTGGAGTGAACCCCCTCTCGACGCTACCATACCTATTAATTTCAATTTCTTTTTCCTTTCAGTTCATTTATTCATTTTTTTCCTAAATTCTTTGAGTCGATTTTGCAACTCGTGACATTTGCATGTTGACAGTTGTTAATTGCATGCTACAATTCCTTACATACCGACCTTTGTTTCGCATCCCATCTCCGTGTAAGGGCAGCATATCATGGTGTGAGGACAATCATCTTTGGTATGGTTTGGTATCTGAAATAAATTCATCGTGTCATGAAGTTAACCAAACCGTTAGTTTATGTCATCTAAAACTGACTAAAAAATCTCCTTCACTTACCAGTTCCCTTTGAATTGACAGACCACAGCCGTTAGGACAAGTTACCGGGTACCTCAAGCACTTTCCAATATGATCCTGAAAGAGATAAGTTTAACATCTTTCATGTAATAACTCTCAGTTATTGCGTGCGTTATGATTACTCAACAAAGCGGGCCTTTTTGCAAGGCCCGAGCCCTTTAAATCACTATTGGAGCGAAATTTATGAAACTTCTTAAGAATAAAGACTTCCACTATACATCTGATCGTGATAAACTACCTGCATGCAACATACTGGGTGTGGCTCGTTGCAATGTTCACATTCAGTGATCCTCCACAAACACGCGATGGTCATGTGTCGTTTGAGCTCTCTCTGTTGCATTGTCTCATGACAGTGTTCGTTAGGACAGGTGATGACTTTGAAAAAACAAGCTTTCAGGTGAGTCTGTAAGAAAAACATAAAATATATCTCAGATAGAACTAACGAAATATACGATAGCTATCAAATAACGCTAAGCTCGTTATGATTCCGAAGTTACCTCTTTGTTCCTCAGTTCCCCAGTCCATTCGCAGCCATCACAAGGACATTTAATAGCAAAAGAAAGGATTTTTCGTTCAGTCGCTTTATCAGAGAAGACATCCGGCTATAAGAGAAACCAAACACTCAACATAAAAATTAATAGCTGATGTTCCAAAATAGGATTTTTGTCAACCTCGAGGGCAATCAAAGTAATTTACGTACTCGTCATGTTTTCTTCTGTATGAAATGGAAAACCGATTGCAGCTGTTACGCAGATAGTGCAGTAATGGCTTAGAGATATCAGCATCCTTCTGTTTAATTTCATGATGGTATTTGTCTCAAGAGAAGGGCAAGAGACAACTTTGTGCTTCACTGGTAAGTGCTATTACATACTTTTACCCGCCGATGTAAGGGTAAAGTATTTGAAGTAGATTCAACTCTTTCCTTTGAATTTTATAATTTTTACTACCTAAAATAATTTAAAGTGATTCAGTGCTATTTAGTGAGGACCGAAGAAATAATCTTTCTATTAAAATAACTTTTGATGCAAGCATAGCTTTGATGTGGACACATCTGTCGGTCAAAGGAAACGTTAGTAGGCACATATACCTTGTCTCTGTCTAGAACGTCTCTATCCACTGGGCAAGTTGAGGGCTGACCATTGATCTCCAGTCTGTTAACAAGGTGTTAGATAAATTAACCCTTTGTCTCCCAGAATTGATTAACATGTACCTCCTCCCTATGATAACCCTACATTATTCAGCAAACAGGTAATGAGAATACTCATTCATATCAGGTAGAAGTTGTTAAATTGCTCTTACGACAAATTCTTCTCGCTGATTTAAAAGGAAATGTGTAGCAGCTAGAGGGGAGAATTAAAAATCAGATCTTGGGAATTAAAGGGTTAAATAACTTATTCGTCGACTTAGTTGACGTCGAGTGGTCCCGTGGCCAAGTCGAAGGGACTTCGTAACAATTTTTACTTCCTTTAACGTGGATAATTGTTTTGGTGGAACAATACACAACATTGCAAGTGTAATGGTCACGAGAGTTTGTGGTAGGGGTTGGAGTAGGCATGAGAGCCAATGATCAATTGTGTAATAGTACAAACTTTAAACGTACTTTGCATTAGTTATAAATGTTTCCAACTGTTGGGTATTAGTGGTTATACCATCATAGACGGAATCGCTCGACAAATGAGGTTTGCGAAAACTTTTTTCTCAGTTCTGAAAATTCTTGTTCTTAATGTGATCGCCACTTGAAAAGCATCTGTTTGTATTGAGTCAGCATATTTCATGATTATTCCTATTTAAATAAAACTTCTAAATCAACACTTTATGATGCTGGTGTAAACGTCGCAAGATCCTGAAAATGTTCAGTCAAGTTTTAAGGACACGTTACGTGCAAAACTTTTAAACTTTGAGGTAGGTAGAAATACACTCATATAAGGAATCCCTCAACAGACCACATTACTGAAAAATTTTTGCTCAGTAAGGAACATATCAATACAATTGTAGGGTTGCCTCTCAAGCAGCCCTACGTGAGATCGTTATATGATTGATATGATTGGGAAGTTTTGTCATCATTCTTTTGACTGTGATACTTTCAGAAAATTTCATCAAATGTAATCAAACACTTATTCTGGACGACCTTTTGTACCTGTATAAAGTAAACGCGGTACGACACTCATATCTGTATGAATCCTCTTTAGGGGCGAGGGAAGCATATAAAAAGGACCTAAATACTTGTTTTTACAAGCTAAATTATCTTGCATGTAAACGCGGTATGAAATTCATTTCGTTCCGGAACGAAACCCATTTTGGAATAATGTAAAGTACCTCAGGGACGGACCATTAGATTTTTGATGCGGGGGGGAGGGGGGCCTTTGGCCAATTGCACGATGTGTTTTCTTCTATTAAGCCTGTGCTCGATTTTTTCGGGGGTTATTGCCCAACACCCCAGCACCCTCCACCCCCCGCATCAACAGTCTAATGGTCCGTCCCTAAGATGCTATCAGGTCCTATAACTTTTTATGTGATAAAAGAATTTGGATAGGTATGTATTACTCGCGCAGTTTTTTTTTTTAATATTACCGAGCGAATTTCAGATAATAATTTCAGGAAGTAAGCAGCAACAACAAAAGGATTCCTATCAAAGCGAAGTGCCATTTTCAGTCATACCTGGTCGGACACCTTGAAAACAAAGGATCACACGCAAGCAGTTTACTGCAAATTTGACATGAAAATAATTCTGATGCCTCTTTGAAAAGAAAAAAAGGCTTGAACAGTAGACATCGCAAGATCTTTTGGTATGTTACAAAAGAATACTTATGCACTAGAAGTGCACACATCGAGTTCTGGATGCACTTGAATAGTCTGTTTAACAAATGCAGACGTACAGTTATTTTAATCCCTACCAAATTATGTCAAGACGAACAAAACAAAAAAAAAGTACAGCCGTGCTGCCTCGAAGCAGGACAGATTTTGTCAGCATAAAAATCTGACAGATCAGTGCCTAAAAGTTTTTTATAAGTAAATAACCAGTTCACGAAAATTTTACGAGGTAAGACTGACAGCTCGTAGTTGGCAAATCACATCTTTTGTTTTAAGGTGCTGACAGGATTGGTGGAGGAGGCGATCGGAAATGGGTGAGGATGCTTGTCGTACCTTTCAGGGGTCAAAATCGGTGATCTGGTACCTTTTACGGTATCTCAAACTTTAGTGGACTACCAGAGACCTAACTGGTACCTTTTAGGGTGTTTTTCGCTCAATAAAATACCTGAAATAAGCATTACTAGGACGATTTTAATGATCTGACTTAAGCCTCTGGAGCACATCGATAAAGGAGTTCTTATTTTTTGGATTTTCAATTTTTTTCTGTTTAAATTAGTACTTTTTAGGGGTAGATATCAGTTATTGCCACTCCCACACGGACAAGACTCAGTAACTTTTATAATTTTATAGGGGTCGTTTTCGAAATTCCCAGCGCGCATCTTCGCCCTCCTATGTATAGGGATTCCCCAGGGGTGCTGATACGTGCAGCACACTTGATATTTAGCAAGGACAAATTTTGATGTGATTTTCGGTGAAGAGAAAAAAGTTTTGTCAGCGTCTTATAGCTAGTGCGGAAGGGCCATCTACCACTGTGTGCTTAATTACGCGTCCCGCCAGACGGCGGGAAGCCTACAAAGCGCTCAGACATTAGTATAGCAAACTCCGCCTCTGTCTGGATTTTTGGTAGCCTATTGACCAATTCCCAATCGAGGCCTAAGTCTGACGGGACGCGTAATTTTGCACAAGGTGGTAAGTAGCCTCTATCTGTGGTACACGCTTGCCAATTCCCCGGTAGGCTTTTGGAATCGACTTAACCCTACCTTCACCATGGCCGCACACTCCATTAGGCACTCTACATCTACTAATGGAACCACGAATCCACCCAACACCGGTACCGAGATTTGATCTATGAGTAGGGAAAATTGTAAAATCATCGATATCTTTTGGCGTCTTGAAGATGCCGGCTCGCGACAAAATAAGATCAACTTCAGTTTCTGGATCTCCGCAAGTAACTTGAAATGTCTTTTATACAACTACACAGGGGAACGACATGCAACGTTATGATATGCAACGTCGGTCTTCTCGATAACTATACCCAAAAGTCCCACCAGCGAACGATTTAAATGTACAACAAATCTCCTTGTTAGCATGTAAGATGAGACTCTTATACAACAGATCAATTAGCTAAATCAGTATGTAGATTGTCAATCGAATTGACTTTTGTAAACATTATTTGACTTCCGCCGGGAAAGGAATCATTGATGGATCTGAACATTTTAGTTTTCTGAATACAGTAATTCTTGGAAGGTTTTTATAGATATGAAAAGAGGGAAAAAAAACCCATCTCTTGGTAATTCAGAGGCTGATTCATCTTTGAATTTCTATGTGTCACGCTTGTCATGCAACTAATATAATAATTTGGAGAAGATTTACAAACTGCAAATTAAATCTGGCTAAAATGTGGTAGAGCATAACTTGATCATCGAAACAGCTAATAAAATGATAAATAAACAAGGTAAGAGTGTCATGTTAGATTTCTTTACAAACTGTAGTAAAGTTATGCCGAGTAAAGTTATGCATAGTAAAGTTATGCCATAGTAAAGTTATGCCATAGTAAAGTTATGCATAGTAAAGTTATGCCAGTAAACGGTGGCGACAACTGAAGCACACCATGTATATTTCATAGTCGCTCGCAAGTAAATTTTGCCGGACTTTGAGTTCGTCTCACGATAGAACAACACAAATACACAAGGAAATTTTTACAGTAACTTTGTAACCGACCTTTTTTCTTTTAAAAGTTAGAAGCTCAGTAGATTCTGTCATATCGGTCATTGTTAAAACTGTCTTTGTTTTGATGCTACTTTTCGACAAAGAAAAAGTATGTCGGACAAAAATATTCACCAAAAAATAAATATTTCTTTGCCAGCTTCAATAATGACAGGGGATTAAGTTTAGATAGTAAAACAAAGGATTATGCCGACAGAAATACGGGAGGTCAAGTAAATTCGTTACATGAGGTCACACAACTCGAGTAATATTCAGAGTGAAAATTTGCATATTTGAGCGGTCGAACGAAAAAATCATTTCTCAAAAACTAAAATATATTTTCACAAAAAAACCGCACCACAATTATTAGGACATATTGGGCTACAAAATATGAAAGTAGGAGAGAAAACGAATTTTGGGCGCCTTGCCACAATATTTCAAATTTTTTCGATGGATTCAGACATCCTCTTAAGAGGCAATTGTGTACACATAGGCAGAGGGAAAGTTCTAAAATAGTAATTTACAAGGTTCATGTAAGAACATCTTAGAACAATTTTCATGCTCTATGATTTTCGCATTTCTCGAAAATACTAAAGTGTTGACAGGACCGATAACTCAAACAGTCGATCACACTGCTGATAGCAAGAGTGTGGCTACCTCAAAATGCAGCCAAAAACAATCAGGGGGAAACTCTACATGCTAATGCTCTAAATGTAAAAAAAGCCGTGCCAAGTTGGTCTTTACATCGGCTATTAGAACAAACATACCTTCATAATCCGGCGAACAAAATTCAAACAAGAAAGACGCACCTTCTGAAACATTCCTCGAGGCATCCCTTACAAAATCTGTGACCGCATTTCGTTTGGAGTGGTTCCCTAAGCGGCAACTGGCAAATTAAACAATAACAATCGTCATCGACTGTATCCACAAAGTCCTCGTCATAACCCGAAGGGTACTCATTTCCTAGAGCTTCCGCCATTTTGAAAGACGGATTGAAAGTGAACGCCTTGTCTTGTCACTCAAACTCAAAATATGCCAACTCATTAACTTATTAAAACATCGTAACCGTAGTTATCTCGTTCCGTACTTGAGACAGAGGAGGCAGATAAATAAGCGTTACTGACCACACATGAGGACAGATTCACAGGAAGGCTGAATATTGAAATATACATCGTCGGTATAAGATACTGCGGGATCAGCAGACTTGGCTTTTGATTGGAGTTACAGTTTAAAGCGTTGATATTGTGTGACACCAAAAACCGGAATTAACGTAAGCGTAGGCAATCTGACCGGAACTTTAGCAATGCAGATAGGGTTTCAAAGCCAGTTGCGGTTTGTCTTTTTGCTAAAACAAAAACCAAGTAAGTCGCAAGTGGCATATTTTAAAAGTACACCGAGACAAAGCCTTTCATTGATAATATATCCCATGGCACAGTAAAACTGACTGATAGGAGTGACACCTTTCAATAACAAATGTAATCCAAGAAGGTCACCAACATTCAAGTGCGCACCCATTCGGTGGCAGATGATATCCACCCACACCAGAAAATTGGTGAGAGAGAGCTCAACAGCTTTGCTGTAGAATTTCAATATTTTAATGAAATGAATCATATTTTGAACTGCGAGTGAAATTCAATAGAAGAATTTGACCTGCAATATATATAATCGTAGAAAAGGAGCCCGCAAAAATTCAGTCTTTGACGAGTTCGAACCCAGGCCTCCCAGTAGCTAGTTGGGCGCTTCTATCAACTGAGCTGCGACACCAAAAGTTGGGATTTTAGTTAAAAAACAGACTGAAGAGTTGATTAAACAGGATTCTATGTTTAAAGGGATCTAAACAGTAGCCATAGAGCAAAAACTGAATCTTGGTCACGAAAACATAACTGACTCCGTGACGTTCAAATTTGGATTAAAAGGTCAAATTTACATACATTTCAACTCAACACATCGTCAGGAGCTTAACATAGGGAAATCCACCCTACATTTGGCTATGAAGATGACTTTTTGAAAGCAGTTGATCAAGATTGCCAATACCCAATATGTCATTTACCGCTTAGGGAGCCGTTTCAAACGAGGTGTGACCACAGATGCTGCAAAGAATGTATTGACGAGCGTATTGAAGGTGCGAGTTTACGATAAACAGTTTTCACAGTTATTCTTCAGTACGCATAATCTGAATATCCTGTACCTATGAAATTTCTGCCACAAACTCTCCAGAAGTGAATTTTACCGAGAGAAAATTCGAGGTCCACCACGTAAGAGGAAATTAGTCATTTCCCATAAACATTACTTGCAATGATTATGGCCACAATGGTTTTCCACTGGATGTGCAATTTTAATTTCTAACACTGTGCTCGACTAGTCTAAATTAGTTCATACGTTGAACTTGCACTTGACTTCCTAGACAACGCAGCACGATAAATGTCTCCCAATGTTCATCGCAGTGATCGTGTTCCAAAGTAACAAGTCCTGAAAGCAAAAGCGTCTCTTAGAGACGGCGGAATTCATTCCTGCAATCACGCACTGCAAGCGTGATGGTTCTCGATTTCGAAATCGCTAAGTTGACAGCTGATCAAATATCGTCTGTTCTGAAATAGCACTCCTTAAAGTTCAAATCTTTTCTCATCACCACGTCTTGTTCATGAATGTCGCAATATTGGCGACACTTCGTAACTATGTACGGTTCTAATTGGCCTTCACTGCTCGGCCACTAAACTGCAAGAAAACAATAACTATTCTAATATAGTTCTCGATTTCGAAATCGCTAAGTCAACAGCTCATCAAATATCGTCTGTTCTGAAATAGTACTGTTTAAAGTTCAAATCTTTTCTTCGCACCACGTTTTCCTTATGAATGTCGCAATATTGGCGAGACTTCGTAACTATGTACGGTTTTAACTGGCCTTAAATTCTCGGCCACTAAACTGCAAGAAAACAATAACTACTCTAATATAGCTCGTAACTTGTGTTGATTCAAATTATATTCTCGCTCAGTAAATCTGTGTTGCTATCAAAGTTGATTTTCCAGCTGTTGATGGCATCATTGCTAGTGGTGCTGACATTGTTATTGTTATTGACCAAATTAATCAAGAAAGATCAAAAGGAAGGAATTTCCCTGAAAATATAACATTTGGCGTATTGGTTGAGGCGGGATGTGAAAAGATTTGCAGTATATGCAAAACCTAAATACATGGAAGATCCTTAATAATCCATTGCATTATTCTTGATAGTTGAACTTTCTCTCAGACAACAAATTCAAGAACAGTCTCTAATTATATAACTTATTCAGAAGAAAGGAAACTGAATAAGTGATTTGCTTAGCTGAGTGCTCATAAAATTCTTATGAAGGTTGGAAAATGTCAAAGAAATCTTGTTTACTAAGTCTGAATTTGTTGTATATATTGTTTGATATGCTTTCAAATACCTTAAATAATTCAGACACTCGTCTTCGTGCGCTCTTTTAGAATTAAGAGAAATATCATTCACTAATTCAATTTATTATAGGCTCACCTTTTCTTTGATTTTACATGAAACTTTTAAAGAACCTGGCTCATTCGCTGAGCATTAACGTAAAACCAGGGCTATCGTGTTTATGTCTTAGGACGTATTTCCTGATACAGCAACAGAAAGGAAGATCCTCTCTATGGCAGTCAGATGTCCAAGTGAAGGCTGTGAATGGATTGGAGAACTTAAGAATAGGGAGGTAAAAGCTAATACTCATTTAGATCAATGCCTAAGGACACTTCTATCATTTAATCCTTTCTCGTTTAATACACAAGGTAAGGCAGTAGCTCTTTAATATGCACCTAGTGGACTAAGGCATTGTAGATGCAGATCGATACTTTTTTTTACCATGATAAAATTAGAGATTCATGTACCATGTGCGCCTGAAAATTAGAAAGTATGCTTAAAAAAGGGCTAACATTGTACCCAGACCTTCCACGGCCAAGTGGTTGCAAGGTAAGATCTGGGTACGAGATTACAAAAAAGCAAAAACCTGTTATTTGGAGTATTTTAATTAAAAACATAACTCTAAAGCGTAAGCATAATCATGATTTCCAGTTCCTTACATGAGATTTCTTCAATTTTCAGGATCATCTTAGGGAATGCCCTATGTTCCGAGTAGCATGTCATAACTACTGTGTTCTTTTGATCACCAGGGGAACGGTAAGGCATACTGTTTAAAAATGATAAACTGTTTGTATACGTAACTAGGCTCGTTCGTTCTTCAAACGGCCAATCAAGGCGTAGATGGATAGATCGGTTTTACTCGTTTTTTCGCTTTCATGCTTGTATGATCATTCGTATAAAAAAAAAATTGGAAGATTGTTTTCCAGTAGGCAGAATATTTTCATGATAAAGCAGCCACATTTTTTTTTTCTCCGAAGTGGCCACGCAGTGACATTTTGAAGCATGGATACTTACTCGTATAACATTAAGAAACACGAAATACTCAGTCCTGCTAAGGAATTAAATATCTTTACTTCTTTTGTTTTGTTCTAATACACCGATTTGATGTGATTCAGGTTCTTACTCACGTCAGAGACGAATGTCCGCTAGCAATAGTCTCCTGTCCGTATGCAGGCATGGGCTGTGAAGCTACGGTAAGTAAACGATAGTGGAGATCAGTTAGAAAGGATTGAAAAAAAAAGCTCTTCCGGAGTCTTTCTTGCTTGAGAACTTGGAGAAAGAGAGATCTTAAGATCTTGCGCCTTTTATACCATTTCGTCGACGGTCGTAACACTCAAGGTGTGTAAATGCCCTAAAATAATCAAGCATATATATTTCCATATATCACTCCCTCTAACAAGGAAGTCCCCACCACGCCCGCACCCTCAAGTCTTCTCCTGTGAAATAAGGATCCGAGGAGGATTTACGGAACATGTGAAAACATGTAGGGTCGTGCCTTGAGGAAGTTCATCACCCTACATGATTTGCTAAGCATTCCTCTCTCTTAAGAGCTGCACTTTCACAATTCATTTCATACTTAAGGATACGAATCTAGAAGTAGAAAGAGGTTTCTCACCACGCTTTCATCTGTCTTACATTAATGTGAAGTTGATTTTCATTTTAAATCTCGTTTCAAAATAAACTGGTGTGTCTGTGACAGTCGCATCTAGTGCAAGATCGCTAAGAGCCTTGGTTCCTTAGTTGATTCAGTAGGTAATATAATCGAACTTTGTGAGGTCGTCATATTTCTTTCATTCATCGATTTTGACACTTCAAAGGGAACTGCTGAAAATCTTGACTAAGACGCTTTGGTATAAATGATGACCACGAAAAAAACGTTTTATTTTAGGTTTCTAGACAAGCCATGGAATCTCATCTTAACACTGCTATGAACCTTCATTTGAATTTAGCATGCGTAAGGTTTCAGAAGACAATAGTTGAGTTAGTAGAAACAAGGAGTCAGCTTCAGGCGACAAGATTACAACTTGAGAGAACAAAAGAAGAGCTGGACACAACAACATTCGTCTGGAAGATTGATGGTTTCGGTGGGATTTTTAGACAAGCAATGGCAGGACGGAATCAGACTATAAATAGCGATCCGTTCTACACGAAAAATGGAACCGGACGTTACGGCTACAAGCTAAAAGTTCGAATCTCCCCAAATGACCAGCGAACTAACCAACTATCGGTGTTCATTATTGTAATGAAAGGTGAATATGACGCAATACTACCCTGGCCTTTCACTAAGAAAGTGAAGTTTACATTGATCGATCAACAGGCAGACCTCGACCAACGGAGGAACGAGACTGCGGAGCTCTTCGAACAAAATATCTCAAACTTTGCAAGGCCTGTCACAGACGAAAACAGAGGGAGGGGTATTGTGAATTTCATATCTCATCAAGCACTTTTTACCAGACGTTACATTGTGGATGACACTTTGTTTCTACAGGTTGACATAAGCAAGCCGTCTAACTGAGTTCGGGCTCGTTTCGTGAAGTACTTATTTAGCGAAAAAAGTAAACTTATTTACACCTCATCAGAAAAAAGACCGCTAATTAGTGATCATATAAAAGGACCTCTTGTTGTAGCGTTTAGATCACCCTGATGAAGGCACTAGACAGGAGTGTCGAAACATTGGGTCTATGAATTGTAACTTCTTCGGTTACATTCATTAATCTTCAAACCAGAGTAGCATCAAACCATGTCTGAAAGTAGACTTATCTTTTAAATATGACCTTCGCAAATTTATTGACTGGTTTTTTATAGAGGGCCTCCATGGGTTTAATCGATGGCCGTTCAAGGGCCAAAAAAGTTAGCCTCTAAGCGTAAACAATTGAAAAATATTGACATAGTCATAAAAAAAGTTAATAAATAATATACAAGCAAAAAGATGACTCTTTTTCGTTCTTTTTATTTCGTGTCATGCCTCACTGGTTCGGCTGCTTACCTTTGCCTTGTTGTCGAGGTAGTCGGGTTTTTCTCTCAGTAACTTGCTTTAAACTTTTAAACTCTCCGTTACGAATAATCGAGCTTTTTTTCTCTTTCTCTGTTAGGTTAGCCCGGTAGTAAAATCCAGAACATCGAACCATTAGAATGCTTTCATTTCTACTTTCAAATGGGGAACGGAGACAGCTTGGTTTTGAGAGGTACACTTACAAACGCCTTGGCCTGGGTCCGATAACGAGACAGGTTGTGTGTGTTTTGTGTTGAAAACAAACACTCCTATTAAAATTCTGATTCGACTTGGAATCGGAGCAAAGAACCCTTACGTGAACTGGCCAGTGCTAAAAACTGGTGTTTAATTATTCATTCCTGCATTGATTGATTGATTGATAGATTGATTGATTTATTCCATTTCATCTAAAATGTTTTCTTTGTTTTTTTTTTCCTTTTGCTTCGTTTCTTGAAGCATTTTATGTGAGGCACGCACTGTATTATAGACGGGCGTTCAAATTCGCCTCGATGAAAATTTCTTTCACAATTAGGGAAATTGAAGGCAGTGTGATGAATATAAGCGTTTTAAATCTTTTTTCGCTCTTGATACTGAAAGCTCCCAATTTAAAGGAGACGTTAATGAAATATATTGAAAGTTAGCTATCAACAGTGAGGAAGTGATCGCAGACGATTTTTTTCATCTCCGGTTATCTTTTGATATCTTTATTAAAGACTTCCTTGATTGGGATTTTGTGACTGCATCATTCAATGAAAAAGTGACAGCTTTCCTCAAGGCTGACAATGTGTCTCATTTGTCTCAACTCTAAATTACATGGTGATGCCACTCTAAACGGTTATTACCGGAGAAATAAATCAAATTTTAAAAGGCTATTAAGTTAACGATTTCGATATTTGATTGCTTCTACCTTTCAAAAAAAAATTGTTCTGTCTTTCAACAAGAAATTAAAATCTCTTGCTTTCAATTTCTTTATCACCAAAACTGGAAAGTTTCGATTCAAAGCGATTTTTCTCCGGTTCAGGAAAACAGGATAACGGGAGAACATTTTCTTTCCAAAACTCCAAACTCTGATATGGAGGAAAAAGTCAAATTCCAATTTCTTGATCTTGTCGCTAATATTTTTGCTCTCAGAAATTTGCCAAAAAGACTTGAACGTTTGGTCGGGATTGCATTTTAGGACAGAAAGAAAGTGTTATTTCAGATCAGTCTAGAGCACTTCATTCACAAGTTTAATTCAAACACAGCAAAAAATTAAATTTTGAGGCTACATTACTGGCGTGATGCCGAGTATATCAGTTAAAAGGAGAAAGGTCTTAACTGCACACGCCGCACGCCTAGTAAATGACGATAAAAAGCGTTTTTCCGTTAGGCAATAATAATGACCGAACACACTGCTTTCTGAAATTCCAAAAACTTTGATATTCTGCTAAGTTCCGCAGAAATTAAATGGGCCTTTCAATTAGTGTAAAAGATAAACAAGATCTCGATAAATTGTATTGATAAACAAAAAGATGACAGAAGAAAAAAGTTCACTGCAGCAGCACGGTTCTCCCACCCACGCGACTGGTAACTGATGAGTCATACCACATCAGATTCAGAGAGCACCGTAATGTTTCATCGTTTTATATGCCGTTGTTTCGTCATGTTATTCGGAGTACCGTTTTTTCCTTCGGGATGTAATTATGGGATGTCTTCTCCAGGAGGTAAGATTTCGTTTGCCTATACGCAAGTTAAACATTTCTTTAACCACACGCTTTTAATTCGTCCGCAATTGAAATATGTCTTAGGATTCAGAGCGCACTGATAGCAGCCATCGGTGCTGTTATAGACAGGATAGGATAGATAGATAAATAGATAAGATATCATCTGATAGATAAGATATCATCTCGTGGAAATAACCAATGGTATAGTTCAAAATGTTTAGGATTTGAAGAATGACACAATGAGTCTGCAACACTATTTTGGAGCCAGCTACGAAAGCGGCGCGACCCTGTAAGATTTTTGCCAAACTTGAAAAGACGTCTACAATTGCTATTTCCTTGCAGGATTACCGGTTTTGGAGCAAAAGTTCACCGTTTCATCCAAGACTTTCAAACAAAGTCTTTTATCAATAGATGGATATTTTTATCTCACTGCACCTAAGATTGGAACATTGTTGGCATTCGACGACTACGAATGCATCTTTTTATGCCTAAGGAATCCTTCATGCTGGTCAGTAAACTTGGCGGTGGCAAGGAAACGCGATGCAAAGATTTGGTGTGAGTTGCTGTCTTCTCATAAGCATAGATTTCCTGAGGCATTCAGAGAAAATAGGACTTCACATCACGTTTCCATTATGGTGGGGCTTGTTTTGTTATCTAAATTGACTTGACTTTTTCCAAAACACTGACTATCATAATACAGAGTAGTTTAATTTCTATGAAGTTAAATTCTTCGTCACGAAACATTTCTGGCCGTAAAGGTGAAGTGCCTCGTCTCTATTCAATCAATAAGTGTGGTTCGTAAAAGTTTTGTCCTTCTTCTTTTGGTAGTCTCCATGTTTTTCCTCTCCATGCCATAACGGTGGTAGCTGTGTGACAAGCCACATAGGTTACTCGTTTGAATGTGTATGTAAAAATGGATTTGTTGGAGAATATTGCGAGAAAGGTTTGTACGCTTTCTTAATTTATTATGATTCCATTGATATTGACAACGTTTTCCTTTTTTTTTCTGTTTTTTAATTTTGTAACACCATTTCATATTTTATTCAGAATAAGCCCACACCTCCAACGTACAGAGACATTGCTCGTGGGAGGGGTCCACGGGTGCATATGACAATCCCCAGTCCTACAGAATGATTATATACACAACTGATGCAACTAAGCTCACTTCAAATATCAATCAGATGCTAGTGTAGGAATTCCAAATAGAAAACAGAACTCAGACTCTAAACGAGATCGAATCCAGACTCGATAGTTTGCGATTTCCTCCGACGTGACATGTTATCGTACATTGAAGATACTTCTAAGAGGAGCACAATCTTCCAAATAAATTCTTGCCTCTTTCACAAGAGCCTCTCCATTAAGCGAACACATTTATTTCGAGGCTGTTATCACATAACCCACACTTTTCACTTCCTTTCCGTTCCTAACTATGTAACGTATTTCTAAAGTCATCTTCTTATCTTCTAGCTATAAAATCATGCAAGGAGGCATATGGTGCATCCAAGTAAGTGGCAATGACTGCTTTCCCTTTCAAACCGATTTATCCCGTAATTTCCTCACCTATGACGCCTGAGACGCAGATGTGACCAGGTGGCTGGAATCGCTTTGGACCCGCAAAGTTTACTGCGAAAATATTAATGTTATAAATTTGTTTAATGAAGATAAATAATTATTTCCTTACCTTCTCGAACTCAACTTTAACAGATCAAATACGAGTAAACTGGTTTCCCTACATCTGGGCTCACAGCCAATGACAGTTCTTTGTCACATGGGAGATTTTGGATGCGGACATGGGGGATGGACGCCAGTAATGAAGATTAACGGCAACAAGGTACCATGCGGAATTGATTTTCTACCTATTGCGTGTCGTGATCGACCACTTGAGAGATATTTTTTTTTCACAGGTGCTGACTGACTTATTGACAACGAGGGCGACTTCTGCTCTCTGTTCATGTCTCCGGCTGACATCTCCTTGACTAAGGGGAAAGATACTATATGTCAAATGGGTTGGGAGGGAGGGATCGTATCAAACTTTCTAAAAACGATCAGGATAATACGGTGGAAAATTAAAAAATCAATAATAAAATTATATCATATTATAAATTATTCTCCCAGAGTACCTTCGGCTTCTGCTCTCTGTTCATGTCTCCGGCTAACATCTCTTTGACCAAGTGGACAGACACTATATCAAATGGGTCGCGGGGGGAAGGGATGGGTGGGCCGTAAGATTTTTTGGGGATCACATAGATTTCAGGGGGAATGGAGCGGGGATCAGTTGTCACTAGCGGAGTATAAAGGGGGGGACTATATAAATTTGACTGCCGATGAGAAGGGGTCATTCGAATACTACAGATCCATGGAGAGGGGGGAGAGGTGTCAAGTGTATTATTGTGACACGACAAAACTCCTCCAACCCCTCCCTGGTAATGAAAAATGATCGCTCCCTAAATTGGCTCTAATTGACCCTGCATTAATATTGATAACGAAATAATGCCACACCTTACTTTACCAAGTCATGCATATTTCATGATCCTTAGCTTCCTCTCATTGCCTTTTCTTGCTCTCTGAAAGCAATTTTAAATTTAATTCTAGCGCAGAACAAACAGTTAATTTGAGAAGAGAAATATTATAATCGTCACAAACTATCTAAAAACGGGCAGGATAATGCGGTGGATAGATAAAAAAGCAGTGATAAAATTTTAATAATATCATGAACTACTCTCCCAGAGTACCTTTCACTATGATTCCGTTTACTGGAGCAATAAACTTGAATACAACACTGCTGGAGGGGAGACTGGATTCGACTTACAAGAGACCAAGTTACCTACTTACTGGGACACATCCTTCTCAAGGATCTGTCTCGGTATGAAGATCGGTGAACAGGTCAGCTTCATTGTAATCAACATGAAGGCCAGCTCTCTTTACTCATTGATCACTGAGGGGAAATACCGAAGCACCTCATTGGGTCGTGACACGTGGAAGAAGCTTTTTGGCTCAGAGGCCTCGTTGCAGCGTTACTGTAACATGGAAGGGTTCAATGTTATCTGTGGTGGGTCTTTTTTTTCCAAAGCAAGAATCGGCATAGCTACTAACAACCAGGATCACTGCAATTCTTGCGACTCCAGGATTGGGTTTGGTACAGGAGGGCAATATGATGACTTTAACACATGTGGAAACGAGGCTTCGATTTCACCGGATAATGGAGATAAACACATTAAAGCCATGGGTTACATTTTGGTGTATTGAAACCAAGAGAAAAACGCGGAAAGTTTATTCAAATGTTACGATTGGATTCAGAAAGATTTAGTGATAAATAAAAAAGCCTATTTCGAAAATCTTAAATGTAACGAACATTCGAAGAAGACTTTGATTACGTAATCGTTCTGTTATGATTTAAAGTAGGGAAAAAGTTCTGTTTTGTTTCTTTGTCGAGTTTACACCCCAATTTTCCAAGTGTACTTTTCTTCACACTTTGAATTACCTACTTAGCTAGCATTCAAGATAAACCAGTTTGCAATTGTATGCGTGAACTATACCCTTATAGTGGTACGCCCCTTAAGAGTCGAGTCAGTTGGAGTTAGGAGATCGACGGAGATAGATCAGAGTTTCTTTTTACACAAGATTGTTCCAATTACGTAACGTTGCAGTTTCTCTAAGCTCGTAGAGACAATCAGACGTAAGTTCCAGCTTATTGTATTTAGTTTCCTTTTCTTTTCGACTTCGCTTGTTTTGTAACTAGTCTCAGCCCATTTTTTTATCTTATACATTACAATTTCCTTTTTCCAGTTTTCACCGCATGTGTACGATAGTCAAACGATAGCATTAAACGTTGTTGAATCAACTTGTGTTGTCGATTCCTACGCTGTGGTTGACACTCCCCGAACTCCAGTGCACAACACCCCGTGCCCGTTGCACTGGGTACGCGAACATAAAAGATGTGTTTTTTTTTTTCTGTTGTATACATCAATGACTCTTCAATTTTATTCGAGCCTTTTCTCGATTGTCTCGTTGGGCCGGAACGTCGTTCGCACATTTACTTTGGCAAAAGCAATTGTTAAGGAGGACTCAAACCATTCACCGATACAATTGAAAGCAAAACTTGACAACGGCACCGATTTCGAGGGACTACTCGAAAGTATAATGTAAGCAATATAATTTCTGAGCATCAACGACTGACATGTCATACGATAGGCTGGGACTGAAAAAATGGTCAGTCCTGATTGGCTCATTAACTCAGCTGGTAGAGCACTGCACCAGTATCGCAGAGGTCATAGGTTCAAATCCGATACCAGCCTAACTTTTCAAGGCTTTATTTTCACTACTGCTTAAGTAGTGTTCATAACGACTTGAGTAGCAAACTTCTGATTGGCGGAAATCAACATGGCAATTTCAACGCGTCCAGCTTTCGGTTCGGTTACTCCCGCTTCCGATCCATCACTAACACCTTTCAAATATCACGAATAAAAAAGAGTTCATGACACTGCAAGGAAGAATATTAAACCACGAGATATTTCATTCCGCCTAATTAAATGTTTAGATTAATGAGAAGCATTAGGAAATCCTTTTTTAGTCCACATCGACCGATCGATAAAAGCATAGACACTTATGTCCTCCTTTGTGAGCTGTCTTCTCACTGAGCTCTCATATTCTGCTCAGCTCAGATATGGGCAAACCTGACACCAGGAGCTGATAAAAATAAATATGCCGATTTGCTGACTGGAAAGGTGTACTGTGTTCTTATGTTGGTTAAGAGAAGCACGTTACAACGATTGCGAGACAGAAGCAGATTTTTCGTGAATTCAGCGGTCAGGAGATCATATATGATTCGTTACATGAACAATTTGTATCAAAGGTCAAATCGACGTGCATTTTGAAGGGCTCGTTGTCTGATTTGTATACCGAAGGTTTTGATCATGGCGGAATCTACAACAGATGAACACCGCCCAGAAGGCTATGACGAGGACTTTGTGGAAGCCGTTGATCAAGATTTGCAGTGTTTGATATGTCATTTGCCCCTTAAAGAGCCAATTCAAACGAGATGTGGCCACAGAGTTTTTAAAGATTGCCTTGAGGAATACATCAGAAGGTACAAGTTTATGATAAACAAAATCCTTCTGATAATGGATCCTTGTGGTCTCGTTTTCTGTTTCAATACATATTCTTATTGATATTCATTATCCCTCCCACTTAAAGTTTACATCCTTTAACAGGGCATCATAACCAGATCATTAAAAGCATGAAATATTTTGCCAAATCAATTTTCAATCATTAAAATGGTTAATGATGTTCGCTATATAACATTTCGAGGGTTGATGAAACAGCGATAGACATCCGCCGCTATCAATACCTCCTCAACGGGTAATTGATAAAAATTTTTCACCTCAGAAAAAAATTGCTTAAACTACCACGAACTAGCGTATCATTAAGCGACCCATTCTCAAAATTTTCCTCGTGGAAAATCTGAAGACAGTCTAAGAAGTAATCAATAGCTCGTAACCCGATGGATAAATTTTCTTTCAGCTTCAAAAGAAACCAATTCAAAGAAAGTAAGATTTATATGTTGTTTATCAATTTATCAGCATCTTCAAAATAAATTTGAACACTGTATGCCACAAATTTGGTAAAAGTGCTATAAGCCAATATTTAGATTTGTCCGATTTGCTTTGAAAATTAAGTCAAGTTAATTCCAGCACTGTAAAGTGGCCAATCTTTTTTCTGGCAATTCTGTCTTTCTGTATTTTATCCCTACCCGTACTCTACTTTAAAATGACCAAACTTATCTTCAACTGCGGATTACTTTTAAAACTACGCAGCCCTACCCTTTGTTTATCAGTCAGGAGATACGCGTAACCGATAACCAAAGGTACAAACGAATATTCGTTTAACTTTGCAAAAAGTAGACGATGTTCAACGAATATTTCTATCCCTTTTGTTCGTGAATTTATTCATTTGTTTTACGTGATTCAGGTTTCAACAGTGAAGACGAATGTCCGCCAAGTATAATTTCCTGTCCATATGCGCTTATGGGCTGTCAAATGAAGGTGAAAAAAGACAGTCGTAGATGTTAAGAGTAAAGTGTTACAAGGCTGTTTCCAAGATAGATGAAATAACCAGGAAGTATATGAATCCAGCAGTCCATACATCTATGCATGCAACCGCATTCTAGTCACTCTGAGCTATATTGCATCAAGGATATGTTCCCAAAGTAACAATAAATTTACGCCAAACAGAGAAATTCCCTCTACTTCCTACTTTTTTTTTTCTTTATTTACGTGTCGTGTTGAAAGTTGCTGCATAAAGGCTGCCAATGGAAAATTGCTGTGATTTTGGGCTTCAAAGACTTCGGGAACGGAACCACTTGAAATTAATGCGAAAAATAGAAATTCTTGTTCTCCCGGTTTTCAAAACTTCATGTAGAAATCCATATTTCAAATGTTCACAATCCCACTATCCACTTTCATCTGTTTGAGAATAAAAACCAATAAATTCTCTCAGTATTTGACCAAACTCATTTAATGACTCCCTGGAACTAACATTTGATGACAAGAAATCCGAGTACTGTATTGAAGAGGCTATGTAATAAGAGATTCTTCTATTCTTGTAGATTCAACGACAAGCAGCGGAATCTCATCTAGAATCTGCCACAAGAGTCCATCTTGACTTAGTTAGCGTCAATTTGCGTGAAACAGAAGTGAAGTATGGGTATAGAGAAGTCAAGCTGAACAACACAGAATCAAAGCTAAAGTGAAGCTCTGAGACAAGCAAAGGTGATTAACTTTTTTTTCCGAGAGGGCGCAGAACATTTCTGTGCGTGAAATGAAATGTTGAATTAAGATAAGCTTGTATGAATTTCCGCTGAAACCTGGTACATTATTGTAAGGAGAGATAAACATTTTATGAAATAGGGGAGTCACTGACCTTGTTTCTACGTATGATAAATAAATAACGAAATACAAGACGCCGACGAAAACGTTCGATTCTCTATCATTTGCCTACACATTGGAAAAACGAGTAGTATGTTTTTAGTTTTTGCTTTTTTTTTTTTGCGTATCTCTTTTCATTATTATTAATATTACTATTTTACTTTTATTAACTTTGGCATCACGCAGGCAGATTTCTTCCAACTGATCGCCTTTCATGTTGCAGATTATACATTTCAATGACATGCAGGTTACTTTCGGTCGCAAATAGATCTAATTTCGGAATCAATGGCTCTGACGAAGGGCTAACGCTCGAAACGTCAGCTTTGAAACTCTTTACGGTGGCCAATTTTCGTTATCAACTCAGTTGATAATACTTAATTACCCTGTTATACTCTCCCACCGACGCAGCATCGTAGTTTCTTAATTTCGTGATGAGCTGTACTACCCAATAGAGCTACTCCTTGCATCCTACTAAATTACTTTACAACTAACGATGGGTTTCTCTGAAATCCATAAAGAAAAAATTGTTTTCAAAATAGCGAAATTGAGAAATTGGAATTTTTATCACTGGTGATGCACGCTGCCAGACCACCGCTAGGTTAGTAGTAAATCTAGGTGGTCTACCTTACAAAGGATCTTCGACATTTCTAAACATCTATCTTTGGGTAGAATTCGCGTTACAATGAGTGTTTTTCATAACTTAGCAGTAGGTTTCATTGTCCCAAATTGTAACAAAACAAATGCTGTTCTTGACAACAGTATTCGAAAAAGGCGTATGAAATGAAAAATGAAAAAAAATAGTAATAATAAAAACAGTGTCTGACGTTTCGACAAACTTAATGAAAGTCATTATCTAAAACAAGCCAAGAATTTTTTGCCGAAAAACACTACTTCTTACCAATCGCAATATCTGGGAGAATGCTTTAGAAAGACTCAAATTTTTACTCATCTGCAGTCAAATGTAATGAACCATCTACATGTCCGTTTTTTTTTTTAGCGTTGACTTAACGGCTGATATAACACGTTAATTCTAAAACAAATATGCTGAGGGATGTTACTTAGCTGTGGATCAGCAGACCGCGGAACCGCGTAATTGTAAACAAATATGGCGCACGCTGAGGTCAGCAATTTCCCGGTGGAATTTGAAATTTTAGTCAAGACAATACGAGTTGAAGACACTGAAGCCTACCAGAAGATGATGAGGATGAAATACGAACCATTTTGCGAAATTTTTACAGCCATTTTAGTCATTTGACCATTTGCCATTTCGATTTGAGCCCGTTTGTGGCAAAGCTGGTGACCGAAAAACTATCATTCATTATATTCTGCTCGTTCAAAAAACCAAAAACTATTATCAACTATTACGTCAAATTTGAAGATGTCCAAAATACATGATAGCTGATGATGGTTGATGATAGTCGATGATAACGCATACAAGAGTTTGTGTTCAAACGCACGCGATAGTTGAAACTACCATCAACTATCATGATCGTTTGAACTGGGCTTAAGGCTGGAATCAGTTAACTGTACGTAACTCTAGACTGGGGAACACGAGCGTAAATTAACATCATCGCCCGTGATACTCGTAGAATTTCGGTGCGATCAGGGAGTCTGAAGTGAATTTACAGCGTTTTTCTTCCAGTGGATTCGTTTGGTTGGCGTCACTCACAGATGTATCTCCGAAAGGATTATGTAGAGGGCAAAGCAGATCAACTAAAGCCGAGTTAAATTGTCCTAAATCATCCCAAAAATTTACACGATGCAAAGGAACAACCGTTTGAGCGGGGTAAATTTGTTCTTATTATTTTTTCCAAAAATTAATGGTTCCGGAGGTTCCGGAGGTTCCGGAGGTTCCGGAGGTTCCGGAGGTTCCGGAGGTTCCGGAGGTTCCGCGGTCTACTGTTCAACAGTTTCGTAACACCCCATGCTTCAGCGAAAATAAGAATTAAAGACGTATCAAGGGGGTTCATTGCATACTCTACCCTAACCAGATAGATTTTTTTAATGATTTGTATAGGTAAAAGGCATAGCACGGTTTTGAGAAAAGCATTTCCCAAAAATGTGGCCTGGGTTCAATTCCGAGACCTCCGCTTACATGTGGGTTGAGAGAAAACACTCACAATTTCTAATTCGACTTGAATGTGCCACTGCAATAAATAATAAACTATGGCTTACTTATTCATTCATGAATTGAATGATTAATTGTTGATGGAATGATGGATTGGTGGATTTTCTTTCATCTGAAATGTTTACGTTTCATTTGGTTTGTTTTGTCTCTTGAGGCATTTTACGTGATCTGAAGCACGCTCCGTATGATACACGCGTGTGTGATCAAAGTCGTTTCTATGAACAATTTGTTTTTAGATCAGCGAACCTGAAGGAAGTATAGTGAATATACGCGTTAAACCTTGGAGCTGAACGATTTCTAGGCTTATGGCTAAAAGTTCCTTATTAAAATAAGAATTTAATGAAATATACAAGCTTAGCTTTCAGCAGTAAGAGAGCAATTGCAAACAATTTTTCATCTCCGGTAACCTTTTCATATCTTAATTTAAAATCTTCCTTGAGTTGCCTTTTGTAACTGACATCATAAGTGAAAAGGTGACAATGTGACTCATTTGTCTCAACTCTGAATGACACGGTGCAGCCAGTTTAAACGGTAACTACAAGAGACATAAATCAAATTTTAAAAGGCTATTATAGTTTTCAATACTGATATGAAATTCCTTCTATGTTTAAAAAAAAAAAAAAAGAAGCTGTTTCACCTTTTGACATGAGATTATAATCTTTTACCTTCGATTAATTTATTAGGAACTCAACTCAAAGCGATTTTCTCAGCTCGGGATGACGTTTTCAAGAGCCAAGCAAATTTCATTTGATATAAAGGAAAAAGTCAAATTCTAACTTCTTTATCTTGTCGATGATTTTTTGGACGCTAAAAATTCGCGAAAAAAAATTGAAATGTTCGCTCGACTTGTATTCTTAGCTCAGGATTGCATTTAAGTACGAAAAGAAAGTTTTTGTTATTTCAAATAAGTAGAATGACAAGTACAAGAGCACTTCATTCACAAGTTTAATTTAAACACTGCAAAAAATTAAATTTGAGGCTATATTACCGGCGTGATGCCGAGTATATAGGTTAAAAGGAGAAATGTTATAATTACACATGCAGCACGCTGGGTAAATGTCAGTAAAAAACGTTTTCCTGTTAGGCAACAATAGGAACCGAACACCTCGCTTTCTGAAATTCCGAAAACGTTGATATTCTGCCGAGGTCCGCAGGAATTAAATGAGCATTTCAATGTGTGTAAAAGATTAACAAGATCTCGATAAACTGCATTGATACCCCCCAAAAAAGGACAGAATAACAAAGTCTAACACAGCAGCACGGTTCTCCCACCCACGCAACTCATAACTGAGTCATACCACATCAGATCCAGAGAGCACCGTAATGTTTCATCGTTTTATATGCCGTTGTTTAGTCATGTTATTGGGAGTACCGTTGTCTCTTTTGGGACATGATGATGGGACATCTCCTCCAGGAGGTAAGATTTCTTTTGCCTATTGGCAAATCAAACATTCCTTTAATTACACGCTTTTAAATCGTCCGCAATTAAAATATTTCTTGGGGTTCAGAGAGCACTGATAGCAGCCATCGCTGCTGTTATGAAAATACACACAAGATATCATCTCCTGAGTGGACATAGCCGGTGGTATAGTTCAAAATATTGTGGCGCAGAATTTGAAGAATCATACAGTGAGTCTGCAACATTGTTTTGATTAATATTTCCTGTTTCCTTGCAGGAACACTGGTTTTGAAGCAAAAGTTCACCTTTTCATCCAAGACTTTCAAACAAAGTCTTTTATCAGTAGACGAGTACTTTTATCTCACTGCACCTAAGGTTGGAACATTCGCGGCATTCGACAACTTCGAATGCATCTTTTCGTGCCTGAGGAATCCTTCATGCTGGTCAATAAACTTGGCGGTGACAAAGAAACGCGATGCAAAGATTTGGTGTAAGTTGCTGTCTTCTCATAAGCATAGATTTCCTGAGGAATTCAGAGAAAATAGGACTTCACATCACATTTTCATTATGGTAGGGTTTTTTCCAACTCACAATATTATAATACAGTGTAGTTTAATTTCTATGAATTTAATTTATTTGTCACTAAACATTTTTGGCCGTAAAGGCGAAGAAGTGACTCGTATCTATTCAATTGATGAGAGTGGTATGAATAAGTTTTTTTTCATCTTCTTTGGTAGTCTCCATGTTTTTCCTCCCCATGCCATAACGGTGGTAGCTTTATGACAAGCCACAGAGATCACTCGTTTCAATGTGTATGTAAAAATGGCTTTTTTGGAGAATATTGTGAGAAAGGTTTGTACCATTTTTTAATTTACTGTGATTCCATTGACATTGAAAACGTTTTCTTTTTTTTTTTCTGTTTTTTAACTGTGCAATACAATTTTATATTTTTACTCAGAATAAGTCCACGCCTCCAAGGTACAGAGGCATTGCTTAGAGGAGGGATCCACGGGTGCATGTGACAACCCCCACAGCCACAGAATGATTATTTACAAATTATTGCAACTAAGCTCACTTCAACTACCAATCAGATGCTCATGTATAAATTCTAAAAAGAAAGCAGACCTTTCACTTTGGAGCTGATGAAGACATTTCCCACATCTCACACTCTAAAAAAGTTTTACTGCGCGGTATTGAACCATCAACCTGCGTTTAAATTGAATTGACTAAACTATTTACTAGAGACATAACTTGAGATACCAACTCGAAGTCCATTTCGAATACAAACCCTAAAATGAGCTCGAACACATTCATTTCGGGGCTGTTACTTAAAACCACGCTTTTCATTTCTTTTCCGTTCCAAACGATATAATGTATTTCTCAGATCATCTTTTTATCTTCCAGCTGTAAAATCATGCAAGGAGGTATATGATGCATCCAAGTAAGTGACAATAACTGCTTGCTCTTTTAAACCGATTTATCCTGTAATTTCCTCACCTATGACGCTGAAGACACAGATGTGACCAGGCGTTTGGAATCGCTTTGGACCCGCAAATAATATTTCATAGAGTTTACTGCGAAATTATTAATGTTACAAATTTGTTTGATAAAGATAAATAATTACACCCTTACCTTCTCGAACTCCACTTTAACAGATCAAATACGAGTAAACTGGTTTCCCTTCATCTGGGTTCACAGCCGATGACAGTTCTCTGTCACATGGGAGATTTTGGATGTGGACATGGAGGATGGACACCAGTCATGAAGATTAAAGGCAACAAGGTACCGTGCGGAATCAATTTTTTATCGATTGCGAGCTATGATCGACCACTTGAGAGATATTATTCCACAGGTACTGACTGACTTATTGACAACGAGGGCGACTTCCGCTCTCTGTTCACGTCTCCGGCTGACATCTCCTTGACTAAGGGGATAGATATTATATGTCAAATGGGTTGGGGCGAGGGATCGTCTCAAACTTTCTAAAAATGTTCAGGATGATATGGTAGATAATTAAAAAACCAGTAATAAATTTTATCATATTATAAATTATTCTCCCAGAGTATCTTTCACTATGATTCTGGTTACTGGAGCAATAACACTGAATACAACACTGCTGGAGGGGAGACTGGATTCGACTCACTAGAGACCAAGTTGCCTACTTACAAGATTCATTGTAATCAATATTAAAGCCACCTCTTTTTACACATTGATCGCTGACGGGAGATACCGAAACACCTCGTTGGGTCGTGACTCGTGGAAGACACTCATTGGCTCAGAGGCCTCGTTACAGTTTGACTGTAACAAGGAAGGATTTAATGTTATGTGTGGCAAGTCTCATTACTCCAAAGCGAGAATCGGCATCGCTACTAACAACCAGAATAATTGCGACTCCTGCGACTCCAGGATTGGCTTTGGTACAGGAGGGCAATTTGATGACAATAACATGTGTGGAAACGAGGCTGCTCGTTCACCGGATAATGGCGATAAACACATTAAAGCCATGTGTTACATTTTAGTTCATTGAAACCAAAGAAACACACGGAAAGTTCATTCAAATGTAAAGATTAGATTCAGAATGACTCAGACTTCGGAAAATTTAGTAAATAAAAGCTTTTTCCAAAATCTTACAAGATGTGTGTTTTTTTATTAGTGGTATATACATCAAAGACTGCAATTTTATTCGAGATATTTTCGGTAATTATCTAAGACATAAATCAAAGTTTAAGAAGCTTTTAGAGGTTCCAATTGTGATATCACTTTACTTTATGAATAGTTTCATTTAGGCTGACAGTTTTTAGAATGACAAGTTTGCACTCAACGCGATTTTCATCCGGCTTAACAAATTTTTCCCCTGAAATCTAAACCTCAACAGCCGAAAAAACACATCTAATCGTGTGGAAATAGTAAAACTCCTATTTCTTGACAAAGATTCTCCTTTTCCAATACTTTTGCAGCCATGAAATTTAGGGAATATAAAAGGGCGGAAACAAATTAACCGTAGACTCATGACAAATGCGAGAGAAATTCAACCACATGTTTGATTTAAACACTGCCGCGAAATCTTTAAAAAGAAAGCAACCCTGCATCTTCATCTTACGTACATAATGCCTGGTAAATGAGTGTGGAAAGCGTTTTTATGGTTAATTAAGAATGAGAAGCGAACAACGCGCTCTTTGGAAATCCAAACACCATTGATATTAGGCTGATGTACGTGGAAAAATATGGCTTCCAAGAAGTATTAAGACAACAATCTAGACCTCCTTTAATTGTATTAAAATCCGCATTTAAGGACAGACGAGCACAGCAGCAAGGTTCACCTACCCACGAAAACTGGTAACCTAATGAAATAGCATTAGATCCAAGCTGCACCGCAATGTTTCATTTTTTCATCGGCCGATGTTTGGTTATTTTATTCCGAGTAGTGTTTTGTCTCTTTTGGGAAGTGATGACGGGGGCTCTTCTCCGGATAAGAGTCAATTAGACTTTCCGAGAATTAAGCAATATTCATAATGCGCGCTTTCAAATCGTTCTTACATCTTCAAATTTGAAAAACGCCGGTAGCATTCACCCATTCACAAGTGCTCTGATAGAGATACAAAACCAGACAAAGTTTTCCTTGAATTGAAATTTTTCGAACATCTATTGCTCGGATTTTAATCGTTACCACGATTTTGAAAAAAAAAACAAACAAATAAACAAACAAATCGTTTTCTGTCTCTTAGGGTTGCTATGCAGAGGGATTTTTCGATCCTGTCATTCTGTCCATGTTTCCGCCCTCAATATTCCGCGAAACAGTTTTCCATAAGCCCATTCTTTTTCCCTTTCCTCTGAGTCTCTTGACTCATAGAAAGTAGGCTTTTTCACCTAGTCTGCAATATCGTTTTCAAGCCATCGTCGAAAGAGAAGCGACCCTGAAGATTTGGATAACACTAAAAAAATTTGTCTTTCAAAATGGCGCCTATTTGCTTCTTTGCAGAAATGCCAATGTCGGAACACAAGTTCACCTTTTCATTCCACACTTACACACAGACTTTTATTGATTGATAATTGAAACATTAAGATTGGAACATTCGTGACATTCAACGACTTCGGTGATTATGCCATTCGTAGTATACATTATGTTACAGTATAGATTATGCCATTTTGCCATTTATAGTATACATCAAAAAAATTACGCGCTTCTGATTGGCTGAAAACGATTACATTTTTTTATGTAACACGAGTGCAAACTTTCAACACTAGTGCAAATTACAACTAGCGCGCTGTCAAAATTTCGTGTTTTGACTTTCTTTGATGCTTTTTCGTGTAAATTATTAGTAAGTTATAACATGATTTCTCGTGGAATTTGGTGTAAATAAGCACTTAAAAAATTCTCAAAGGCTTCAAATTGCACGAGCCCTACGGGGTCGTGTAATTTTGTTGTCTTTGAAAAATTTTAATCGTGCTTATCAACACCATATCTCACTCGAAACTTTCACAAACTTCCTTATCGGGCCTTATTATGAAGAAAAGTTTTCCCCATGATAAATTTAAAATTTCTGCCGTAATTTACCGTGGTATTAATTAATCATTCGAACTACGAGTGCAATGCGAGTCGATTGTTTTTTTTTCCTTCTTTCGTTAGTCTCCATGTTTTCCCTTTCCGTGCTACAACGGTGGTAGCTGTGTGACAAGCTGTACAGATAACACTTTTGAATGTCTTTAAAAAAAGCTTCGTAGGCAAATATTACGAGAAAGGCACTCTCAGAAGTTGTGATTGCAGCTGTAGTTTGCAACATGTTTCACCTCAGACGCTCATTTAGTCTAAATGTGCAGCTACAAATTGTCAAGTTGCGAATAAACTGAATTATCTTCATTGACTCCAAACTTGAAGTTCAATTAAAAGTTCAACTCGAAGTTCAAAATCTAACTTGAGCTCGAATTCAGACTCGATAACTTGGAATTCACCCAGAACAAATCTGGGATACCTTAGTCTACCATGGATCTTACAAACATCGTATTTTCTCACGTGTGTTTGATATGGCCAATCAGCAACTAACACGTCATTCCCCTTCCATTCATTGCCATCCCCAATCTAAGGTGGTTTGTCGGAATTTTTTCGGATAATGGCCGCTTAAACACTGAAAAAATCAATATCGCTTGCAGACAGTGACGTTCAAACTTTCCTAGAAGGGGAAGAAAACCAATATACGGAAAGGAAAACCGAAAGTTATCTATTCATTAATGACATTTCTCGCGGCTGAGGACGAAAATCGACAATTGACAGATTTTGACCATGTACTTGAAAGATTTCTTCCGTCGGTAAGGAACAAACCAAAACCGGAGAATTTTGTACATTGAAAATTACGAGAGCTTTTCAACTGTAATAGAATGAGATTCTTTTTCTTGTCATTTTCATAGGTCACTCTTCAATTTTGCCGAGGCTTTTGTCTGAAGAATTGTAAATCTAAGATTACTTTGGCATATTTTCTTTGCCGAGAGCAATTCTCAGGGAGACTCAAATCGTCCGCTGTTATATTAGAGAACAAAACTCGCCAAAGTTAAGGCACCGATGTCAAGAAAAATCTCAATGAAATTAATTTTACCTTAACTTTTTCACAACTTCTAGGGAAAATGTATTTGTGAAATTTCGTCTTCGTAATTTTTCCTTGATCAAGACTTTTGAATGCGGCCTACAACACAGACGATTGAGGCTTCTGACGACCGTATGACGTGGTTCCAAAATTTTCATCAATCTTCAATGGACCCGATGCTTCCAAATTATGGAAAAACAAACAATCATGTTTTTTTAACCAATTAGCTATCATGTTAACAGGATGTCTCTAGATTAAATGTCATTGGGAAAAAAATACTTTAGTCAGCTTGTATTTGGCGTGTGATGATGATATTTGTAATTGGCGTAGGAATCAATCAATGGAGTTTTGGTCAAAGGATATTAGTGTGATGCTACCGCCGCCAACATTTGGAAAACGCGAAACTATTGCCAATTTTTGACTTGCAAAAAGTTGGAAAATAATTGAATTCGCCTTGGTGCGACCCAGCCCTAAGAATCCAAAATCAAGGGCGGATTTAATTACATTCGTGATCTCCCGGATCACATATGGAAGTTAAAGAAACCATCTTTCCCAAGTCTTTTTAAATTGGAGGTCGCACTTATTTTATGCTACTTGCTGACAGATTTTTCATTTGAACAAACAAAAAAAAGCTCGAAATTAGGACAGTGTCTTTCAATGACATTTTCCAAGTGTACCAAGCCATTGGATCAAGACAAGAGCGGCTGAGTGTCATATAAATTACCTCACGTATGAAAGTAACATATATCACAAGTAGAACTCAAAACTCCTTTCACTTTACAGCGTTAGACTCACTCCTGGTGGATGACCACTCATCGTTCGCTCGCGCAGAAGCCATCATGTTCACAATTTTCCATCTGCTCTTCCTGGCATCTCTTGCAGCCAAATCTTTTACAGGTTTGATTGTCTTTAATTCCTATATGATATTTTAGTTTTTTAAGCAATTTTTACTAAAACCTGTTTAGTTATTAGCTTCATACATTATCAAGAAAAATAGACATTTTATGAGTTGCGGCACAAGTCTTCGGGGTAAACTTGTGTTTTAGGCAAAGAAGTCAATTAATTTTTGTTATCATAATTATTTCCTTCTTGCTGAAACTAGTGGGAAGAACGAGGGGGGCTGAAAAGAAAAAGGAACGACAAGTAGCCTAAAAAAAACATTTTAACTAGTAGAAAAAGTATGAAATTGAGACAGCACAATTGTGTTGCTTTCAAAGTTCAAATGAGCCGAATTGATCAGTGCTCATGACAAAATGGTTGGTCTAGGCAGCTAAAGTGGCGAAAATGAAATTGGTGCTTTTCTATCTAGCTAAAAAAAACAGGTTATTAAGGAAACTAGCACTGACCCAAAACAAACAAAAGAATGGTTGTCTGGTGCAAATGCTTTCCAGATTTTTCAAGTCCCCGCCGATAATTCAAAACTTACGATATTTAATTCTTCCCCCTTTCAGATAATTCACAATCGCTTTCCCAAAATTTGAATATCTAGAAACCGGAAAAGGGTTTTAGCCACATGCAAATGCTCCTTGTAAGAATTATCAAGGTCCCGACTATGTGCTTTTAAGCCGTATTTTACGAGGGAACAAGTGACAAGTCTGCCATTAAGCCACGACAAACTAAAAGCCCGTTTTTAAATACTCGAAGTGCCTGAAATTGCTGTAAGTCAAAAAAGAAAGGTTTTGTCTGAATTTTTGTCGTAGCACATTGGTAAAACCTTTCAAAGTCTTCAAAGGGAGATGAGTTTTCTGGTAAAAACAAATAAAGGTTTATTGGCCGTTATGCAGTTCGGCTGAATGAGCTATAAATGATAATTTGTCAAATCGAAATTGTATCAATTATTGGCTTTAAGTTTGTTACCTTTTTTGCAAGTAGAGATTTAATACTTAATGAACAGAGATAAATCTTCGTACATGAATGAATGGTCGATGAGAGTGAATAATACTTTCCGTTAGATCATTGACTGATTTTGAAGAAAATATTGTCGTGAAAGTCCTTGCCAAACTAGTTCTGTTAGTTTTCAAATGTTCCTACGCTTTTTTTTTCTTGCGCGCTCTCTAATTGACAGGTGTCAGATTGTGACAGATACTTGTAAAAATAATGTTTCAAAGTTTGTTTGGAAGCCTTTTAAATCACCTTTATCGTTACGGAAATGAAAATGTTTCGCTGAGGCATCTCTCTTAAATTTGCATCACCTCTATTTCAACTACCATTTACTCACTCAAAAATTGTTTAGTTTATGGAAGATCTTGCCGTATTTACGGGCATAAATCATTCGCGTTCTTTCGGAAAGAATTTCGTCAAGTTTAAAAACAATAAATATGTTATTTACCGGCTAAGGGTCGGTCCGTATGGTGAAAAACTGTGACCTCGGTCTTGAAAATGCTGCCCTCGGCCTACGGCTTCGGGCAGTATTTTCAAGACCTCGGTCACAGTTTTTCACCATACGGACCTCCCAGCCGGCAAATAACATATATATATTTGCTAATATTTGCTAATCATAGCCACCCTTAAAATATGAAAATTAATCCTTAAATAGAAGCCTTAGATAATTTTTATATGTAAAATGTAGTATGCAGTATTAGCAATTTTGTAATAATGATAGATTTTTAACTAGTTTGTAGCATGGAAGAGCCACGCCTCTGATGGACATGCCAACAAACCATTGCTATTATTATTATCATAAGGCGGAATAGATATTTTTCAGCGTTGATTGGTAAAACAGAATGAATGACGATCACGGCAATTTCTCTCATCACAGCTCACCTTGTAGGATCATATATTCACTTTTATATCGTAAAGTAGGTTTTGGTAGGTCATAATCGTTTGTCTCACGATGTGGTCGAATCGGATGTGGAACTTCATTTGTTTGAGAATTAGATGACGATTCTATCAGAGACTAGGCTCGGACTCTCGAAGTGAGAAAAGGTCTTAGCTTTACAATCGAACACATTTATCAAATGTCGAATGCGGCAAGATGCCTTACTCCACCAGGAGAGACATGCAGAGAGTTCTTGTCTCACTTTAAGTATTAAAATAGCAATTTGGTTAAAATCCATTTTATTCTCCCCAATCCAGGAATAAAAAGTGCCGAACAAGATTGGGGCCCTTCTGGCCAAGCAGCTGAACATAGCTATTTTCTTAAAGAGGAGTTCCATTATCTGAACGTTACTCAGGTCGGAAAGTTGACGATATTCGACATGTTCCATTGCGCCTTCGCGTGCCTACAAAATAATTTGTGCCTTTCTTTAAACATGGCCACCTCTCATGGCACAGACGGAAAGCTTTGGTGCGAATTACTGTCTTCTGATAAGAACGGAAATACTGAGAACTACCACAAGAACACGAGTTCGCATCATTTCTCCATTTTGCGGGTAAGAACACCCTAACCATTGCGGTAAAATTCTAACACAAAGTATTTACAAGGGAAAGGATGTAAACGTACTCGCTCTCAACGAAGTATGCTCATTCACTGCTATAGTAAATACTGTTTAAGTATTCACTGGTCTCAACAGTCATTTTTTTTTTAGTTTCCATGTTCTTCATCGCCGTGTCAAAACGGAGGAACCTGCATCCCGAATTTCAGCTCCAACACTTTCGACTGTCTTTGTAAAGAACGTTTCGTCGGGAAATTCTGCGAGAAAAGTAATTTATGGATATGTTTGAAATATCCCACTGTCTCCCTCTTCTGTACTTTTTTAACAATAAAATACATCTGGCTCTGACATCACACTCTATCTTTCAGCTGTAAAATCATGCAAGGAAGTGTATGAAGCAAACAAGTAAGAGGCTTTCACTGCTTGCTCATTTGAGCAGATCTTTTCTAAAATCTTCTCTTCTGTGACACTGGAGACGCAGAGGTGGTCAGCTGGTTAAAACCACGATGGATCTTAAAAACAGAGCTCGGCAACTTATCAGTCAGGAAGTTTAATAAGTACAAATGATAAAGATTGGCATCATAAGAGAGTCCATTACTGATATAATTACTCCAATTGTATTTTTAACAGATCAAACGTGAGTAAACTGGTTTCTCTTCATCTAGGCTCACAGCCGACGACACTTCTTTGTCACATGGGAGATTTTGGATGCGGAGATGGAGGATGGACGCCAGTCATGAAGATTAACGGCAACAAGGTATGATGCGAAATTGATTTTCTACTGCTTGTCATGATCGACCACTTAAAAGATGTTTTTTTTCACAGGCGCTGACTGAATTATTGACAACGAGGGCGACTTCCGCTCTCTGTTAATGTCTCCGGCTGATATCTCTTTGACTAAGGGAACAGACACTACATATCAAATAGGTTGGGGGGGGAGAGATGGGTGGGTCGTAGAATTTTTGGGAATCACATAGTTTTCGAGGGGAAAATGAGAATGGAGAATCAAATATATCATGGTGACACGACAAAACTCCTCCAGTCTCTCCCTGGTAATGAAAAATGACCGCTACCTAAATTGGCTCCGATTGACACTGCATGACTATTGATAAAGAGATAATGCCACACGTTACTTCACCAAGTCATACATATTTCATGATCACCAGCTTATTTTCATTGCCTCTTCTTGCTAACTGAAGCAATTTTAAAGTAGATTCTGGCGCGGAACAAAAAGCTAATTTGGGAATAAAAATATTATAATTGTCTCAAACTGTCCTAAAACGAGCAGGGTAATACGGTGGTAAACCAGTTATGAATTTATATCATATAGTAAACTATTCTCCCAGAATACCTTCCATTATGATTCTGGTTACTGGAGTAATGAAACTGAATACAACACCGCTGGAGGGGAGACTGGATTCGACTCACAAGAGACCAAGTTACCTACTTATTGGAACACATCCTTCTCAAAGATCTGTCTCGGTATGAAGATCGGTGAACAGATCAGCTTCATTGTAATCACCATGAAGGCCAGCTCTCTTTACTCATTGATCGCTGAGGGGAAATACCGAAGTACCTCATTAGGTCGTGACACGTGGAAGAAGCTTATTGGCTCAGAGGCCTCGTTGCAGCATAACTGTAACACAGAAGGGTTCAATGTTATCTGTAACAGGTCTGTTTTTTCCAAAGCAAGAATCGGCATCGTTACTAACAACCAGAATCACTGCCGCTCTTGTGACTCCAGGATTGGGTTTGGTACAGGAGGGCAACCTGATGACTATAACACATGTGGAAACGAGGCTTCGCAGACACCGGATAATGGAGATAAACACATTAAAGCCATTGGTTACATTTTGGTTCATTGAAAGCAAAGAAAAACGTGGACAGTTTATTTAAATGTTAATGTTAGATTCAGACAGATTCAGTTAAAAATAAAAAAGGCTTTTTCAAAAATCTTAAAAGACGTTTTTTTCTTTCGTTGTATACATCAATGACTTTTCAATTTTATTCGAGCCTTTTTTCGATTGTTTCGTTGGGCCGCAACGTTGCTCGCACATTTGCTTTGGCAAAAGTAATTGTTAGGTAATACTCAAATCGTTCGCCGATACATTTGAAAGTAAAACTTGACAGCAGCACCGATTTCGAGGGAAAACTCGATAATGTAAAATTATGTCATGAGATTTTCACTATCTGTATATCTAGTAAAGTTATTTACTAGAGACGATTATATTTCTCTTTTAATGAAAGTGTAATTAACTACGATGACAAACCACAACCTTTTTTACGATAAGAAACTAACAGTCATGCTTTACAGCACCGATGAATATAGGCAATGAGGACCGTACACTGTGGATCCTCTTAACAAACAAATGGTATTACAATCAAATTACAATGAAAGGTGATGATTCCTTTTCTTTATAGCGTCTCTGAAGGAAGTTAAGGTTTTTCATCAGGATATTTGTAATCTCCTCCGCGCTATTGAGTTTGACATTCGTTTCTTTAAACTTATCTGCTGTTACGTAACTTTGCACAAGCCAAATCAAGATGCATTTTCACGGAAGAATGAAGATGCGAGTCTACTTCTCGTCGGCGAACCTACAACAAAAACAAATGATAAAAATTGCTCTAGATGTTTCATATGTTATCCCTAACCATGGAAATATAATGTTGGCTCTTCCTTCCTCAGTGAATAATATATAAGCTAATTAAACAAACACTTAATTGCAAAACGGTTGCAATCCTACATTATTAAAATATCAAAACTTTTAAAAGACATTGGCCTGTACGTATGTGTCTACATACCTGCATTTCGCATCCCATCTCACCATGAGGGCAAGGGATTACTGACAGAGGACAATCGTCTACGATATGATTTGGAACCTGTGATTAAACGGAAAACTGAGGGATAAGTCCGTACATGGATTGTAAATTTCATTCGTTATCATCCAGAAGGTCAAGGTCTATTCCATCCTCTAAATATAAATTCCGGCATCAGTGATATGGCGTTAAAAAGCTCGGCTGTTCATCACTACTTGCTTGCATTTTCAACTCACTTTCAAACAATTTCAATAAAGGTTGACTGACGGGCAAAATTTATATTCGACAGATCTCACAAGCAGAGCTCCAAAGCTGATTTCTTAAAAAGCGAAATTCGTTTTAGGTCCTAAAAAGGCAAAATAAGATTTGCCTCGAGTACCTTTTTAACGACCAAAGTTTCATTTTTTTCCAAAGATTGTGTGACGTGACGTGACGACATTTTAGTTTACTCCTGGGTACTAGTGCACAAGTTCTGCACTAATTTTAAAATGTACAAATTTAAAAGCGATCGCGTCACCATTCATTTGATATATAGCATGTGTTCTCCCCATAATCTAGTTTTGATTTTAAAAACCTGCTATTAGCGCCATATTCAAATAAATCCAAATTGCTTTTAGATGAAATTGTGTCCTTACCATTTCTCTGAGAACTGAACGACCGCAGTTGTTGGGACAAGTTACTGGAAACTTGCTGCGCTTTTCGATGTGTTCCTGAATAGGTATCTCATAAAAATGGACAAATATTAAAACATTTTAATAAAAAACGGATAAAACAATGCATATTACTTCATTTGGATACTAACTATGGGAGCCTTGTCTCCCAGTTAGGTAACACCTACCTGCATGCGACACTCTAGGTGCGGCTCACAACAGTAGTCGCATTTAAGAATTCTCCACTGGCAAGTAACGGTCACGTGCTGGTTGAGCTCTCTTCTCTGTACTTTCATGCGACAATTTTCGGTGGTGTAGGGGATGACTTTGAAAAGACATTAGATAAAATGGATCTGTTGAAAAAAAAAGCAAACGTGAGGGAAGTGCGTTGCTTGAACAAATTCGTTTTGTCATATGGAGATGAATCGATGAAAACTTTACCTCTTTAATTCTACATCTACTTGTAAGGGAAGAAGTTTCTTCTCTGTAGCTTTATCGAAAAACACCCAAAAATAAATTGTCAATAGTCAAAGTCATTCGGAGTGCAGATTTTTCCCGCTCAGTTCGCACGCAGCAGTAATGTAAATGCCTCCGAAGGCTCAGATGCCGATTTGATTTTCGACATTTTGCCTTGCTTTCGTGCCGTTCACCAGTCAGTTTTGTGAAAAGGTTAGCCTCTACTGGTACAAGACTGACTGAAAACAGGAACACGAGAAACTGTAATGTAAGCAATATAATTTCTGAACATCAACGACTGACATGTCATACGATAGGCTGGGACTGAAAAAATGGTCAGTCCTAGTTGGCTGGTTAGCTCAGTTGGTAGAGCACTGCACCGGTATCGCAGAGGTCATAGGTTCAAATCCGATACCAGCCTAACTTTTTAAGGCTTTATTTTCACTACTGCTTAAGTAGTGCTCATAACGACCAGAGTAGCAAACTTCTGATTGGCGGAAATCAACATTTTCAGCTTTCAGTTCGGTTACTCCCGCCTCCGATCCACCGCTAACACCTTTCAAATATCACGCATAAAAAGAATTCACGACACTGCGAGGAAGAATATTAAACCACGAGATATTTTAATGCCGCCTAATTAAACGTTTAGATTAATGGGAAGCATTAGAAAATCCTTTTTAGTTCACATCGACCAATCGATAAAAGCATGGACACTTATGTCCTCCTTTGTGAGCTGTCTTCTCACTGAGCTATGCTAACTTTTTCCAAAAAAGTTAAAACAGATAATATTCTGCTCAGCTCAGGTATGGGCAAACTTGACACCAGGAACTGATAAATAGAAACATGCCAATTTGCCGACTGAAAAGGTGTTCTGTGTTCTCATGTTGGTTAAGAGGAGCACGTTACAACGATTGCGAGACAAAAGCAGATTTTCGTGAATTCAGCGGTCAGGAGATCATATATGATTCGTTGCATGAACAATTTGTATCAAAGGTCAAATCAATCAAAACTTTTAAAAGACATTGCCTGTACGTATGTGTCTACATACCTGCATTTCGCATCCCATCTCACCATAAGGGCAAGGGATTACTGACAGAGGACAATCGCCTACGATATGATTTGGAACCTGTGATTAACGTGCATTTTGAAGGGCTCGTTGTCTGATTTTTATACCGAAGGTTTTGATCATAGCGGAATCTACAACAGATGAACACCGCCCAGAAGGCTATGACGAGGACTTTGTGGAAGCCGTTGATCAAGATTTGTAGTGTTTGATATGTCATTTGCCCCTTAAAGAGCCAATTCAAACGAGATGTGGCCACAGAGTTTTTAAAGATTGCCTTGAGGAATACATCAGAAGGTACAAGTTTATGATAAACAAAATCCTTCTGATAATGGATCCTTGTGGTCTCGTTTTCTGTTTCAATACATATTCTTATTGATATTCATTATTCCTCCCACTTAAAGTTTACATCCTTTAACAGGGCATCATAACCAGATCATTAAAAGCATGAAATATTTTGCCAAATCAATTTTCAATCATTAAAATGGTTAATGCTGTCCGCTATATAACATTTCGAGGGTTGATGAAACAGCGATAGACATCCGCCGCTATCAATACCTCCTCAACGAGTAATTGATAAAAATTTTTCACCTCAGAAAAAAATTGCTTAAACTACCACAAACTAGCGTATCATTAAGCGACCCATTCTCAAAATTTTCCTCGTGGAAAATCTGAAGACAGTCTAAGAAGTAATCAATAGCTCGTAACCCGATGGATAAATTTTCTTTCAGCTTCAAAAGAAACCAATTCAAAGAAAGTAAGATTTATATGTTGTTTATCAATTTATCAGCATCTTCAAAATAAATTTGAACACTGTATGCCACAAATTTGGTAAAAGTGCTATAAGCCAATATTTAGATTTGTCCGATTTGCTTTGAAAATTAAATCAAGTTAATTACAGCACTGTAAAGTGGCCAATCTTTTTTCTGGCAATTCTGTCTTTCTGTATTTTATCCCTACTCGTACTCTACTTTAAAATGACCAAACTTATCTTCAACTGCGGATTACTTTTAAAACTACGCAGCCCTACCCTTTGTTTATCAGTCAGGAGATACGCGCAACCGATAACCGAAGGTACAAACGAATATTCGTTTAACTTTGCAAAAAGTAGACGATGTTCAACGAATATTTCTATCCCTTTTGTTCGTGAATTTATTCATTTGTTTTACGTGATTCAGGTTTCAACAGTGAAGACGAATGTTCGCCAAGTATAATTTCCTGTCCATATGCGCGTATGGGCTGTCAAACGAAGGTGAAAAAAGACAGTCGTAGATGTTAAGAGTAAATTGTTACATGGCTGTTTCCAAGATAGATGAAATAACCAGGAAGTATATGAATCCAGCAGTCTATACATCTATGCATGCAACCGCATTCTAGTCACTCTGAGCTTTATTGCATCAAGTAAATGTTCCCAAAGTAACAATAAATTTACGCCAAACAGAGAAATTCCCTCTACTTCCTACTTTTTTTTTTCTTTTTTTACGTGTCGTGTTGAAGGTTGCTGCATAAAGGCTGCCAATGGAAAATTGCCGTGATTTTGGGCTTCAAAGACTTCGGGAACGGAACCACTTGAAATTAATGCGAAAAATAGAAATTCTTGTTCTCCCGGTTTTCAAAACTTCATACAGAAATCCATATTTCAAATGTTCACAGTCCCACTATCCACTTTCATCTGTTTGAGAATAAAAACCAATAAATTCTCTCAGTATTTGACCAAACTCATTTAATGACTCCCTGGAACTAACATTCGATGACAAGAAATCCGAGTCCTGTATTGAAGAGGCTATGTAATAAGAGATTCTTCTATTCTTGTATATTCAACGACAAGCAGCGGAATCTCATCTAGAATCTGCCACAAGAGTCCATCTTGACTTAGTTAGCGTCAAGTTGCGTGGAACAGAAGTGAAGTATGGGTATAGAGAAGTCAAGCTGAACAACACAGAATCGAAGCTAAAGGAAGCCGTGGAATTATAGCACACAACAACTCTTATTTGGAAGATTGACGGTTACAATGAAGCTCTGAGACAAGCAAAGGTGATTAACTTTTTTTTCCTAGAGGGCGCAGCACATTTCTGTGCGTGAAATGAAATGATGAATTAAGATAAGCTTGTTTGAATTTCCGCTGGAACCTGGTACATTATTGTAAGGAGAGATAAACATTTTATGAAATAGGGGAGTCACTGACCTTGTTTCTATGTATGATAAATAAATAACGAAATACAAGACGCTGACGAAAACGTTCGATTCTCTATCATTTGCCTACACATTGGAAAAACGAGTAGTATGTTTTTTGTTTTTGCTTTTTTTTTTGCGTATCTATTTTCATTATTATTAATATTACTATTTTACTTTTATTAACTTCGGAATCACGCAGGCAGATTTCATCCAACTGATCGCCTTTCATGTTGCAGATTATACATTTCAATGACATGCAGGTTACTTTCGGTCGCAAATAGATCTAATTTCGGAATCAATGGCTCTGACGAAGGGCTAACGCTCGAGACGTCAGCTTTGAAACTCTTTACAGTTGCCAATTTTCGTTATCAACTCAGTTGATAATACTAAATTACCCTGTTATACTCTCCTACCGACGCAGCATCGCAGTTTCTTAATTTCGGAATGAGCTGTACTACCCAATAGAGCTACTCCTTGCATCCTACTAAATTACTTTACAACTAACGATGGGTTTCTCTGAAATCCATAAAGAAAAAATTGTTTTCAAAATAGCGAAATTGAGAAATTGGAATTTTATCACTGGTGATGCACGCCGCCAGACCACCGCTAGGTTACTAGTAAATCTAGGTGGTCTACCTTACAAAGGATCTTCGACATTTCTAAACATCTATCTTTGGGTAGAACTCGCGTTACAATGAGTGGTTTTCATAACTTAGCAGTAGGTTTCATTGCCCTTAATTGTAATAAAACAAATGCTGTTCTTGACAACAGTATTCGAAAAAAGTGTATGAAATGAAAAATGAAAAAAAAACAGTAATAATAAAAACAGTGTCTGACGTTTCGACAAACTTAGTGAAAGTCATTATCTAAAACAAGCCAAGAATGTTTTGGCGAAAAACACTAATTCTTACCAATCGCAATATCTGGGAGAATGCTTTAGAAAGACTCAAATTTTTACTCATCTGCAGTCAAATGTAATGAACCATCTACATGTCCGTATATTCTTTAGCGTTGACTTAACGGCTGATATAACACGTTAATTCTAAAACAAATATGCTGAGGGATGTTACTTAGCTGTGGATCAGCAGACCGCGGAACCGCGTAATTTTAAACAAATATGGCGCACGCTGAGGTCAGCAATTTCCCGGTGGAATTTGAAATTTTAGTCAAGAGAATACGAGTTGAAGACACTGAAGCCTACCAGAAGATGATGAGAATGAAATACGAACCATTTTGCGAAATTTTTACAGCCATTTTAGTCATTTGACCATTTGCCATTTCGGTTTGAGCCCGTACGTGGTAAAGCTAGTGACCGAAAACTATCATTCATTATAATCTGCTTGTTCAAACAACAAAAACTATCATCAACTATCACGTCAAATTTGAAGATGTCCAGACTACATGATAGCTGATGATGGTTGATGATAGTCGATGATAATGCATACAAGAGTTCGTGTTCAAACGCGCGCGATAGATGAAACTACCATCAACTATCATGACCGTTTGAACGAGGCTTAAGGCTGGAATCAGTTCATTGTACGTAACACTAAAATGAGGAACACGAGCGTAAATTAACATCATCGCCCGTGATACTCGTAGAATTTCAGTGCGATCAGGGAGTCTGAAGCGAATTTACAGCATTTTTCTTCCAGTGGATTCGTTTGGTTGGCGTTACCCACAGACGTATCTTAGAAATGATTATATAGAGAGCAAAGCAGATTAACTAAAACCGAGCTAAATTGCACTTAATCAGCCCAAAAATTTACACGATGCAAAGGAACAACCATTTGAGCAAGTCAAATTTGTTCTTATTCAAAACTAGAACTTTTAAAGGTCTAGAGCGTGACGGTTTCACTATAAAAACATATTTCTCTTTTAAAGTTATCTTCTTTATACCCGAAAACGAAATTTCGAACAGCGTCAAGGTATTTTTAGGTTATATTTTATTTCATTACAATTTTTTTCTCCAAAAATTAATGGTTCCGCAGGTTCGGGTGGTTCCGGAGGTTCCACAGGTTCCACTAGCTCTGGAGGTTCCGCGGTCTAGTGATCAACAGTTTCGTAACACCCCATGCTTCAGCGAAAAGAAGAATTAAAGACATATCAAGGGGGTTCATTGCATACTCTACCCTAACCAGATAGATTTTTTTAATGATTTTTATAGGTAAAAGGCATAGCACGGTTTTGAGGAAAGCATTTCCCAAAAATGTGGCCTGGGTTCAATTCCGAGACCTCCACTTACATGTGGGTTGAGAGAAAACACTCACAATTTCTAATTCGACTTGAATGTGCCATTGCAATAAACAATAAACTATGGCTTATTTATTCATTCATGAATTGAATGATTAATTGTTGATGGAATGATGGATTGGTGGATTTTCTTTCATCTGAAATGTTTACGTTTCATTTGGTTTGTTTTGTCTCTTGGGGCATTTTACGTGATCTGAAGCACGCTCCGTATGATACACGCGTGTGTGATCAAAGTCGTTTCTATGAACAATTTGTTTTTAGATCAGCGAACCTGAAGGAAGTATAGTGAATATACGCGTTAAACCTTGGAGCTGAACGATTTCTAGGCTTATGGCTAAAAGTTCCTTATTAAAATAAGAATTTAATGAAATATACAAGCTTAGCTTTCAGCAGTAAGAGAGCAATTGCAAACAATTTTTCATCTCCGGTAACCTTTTCATATCTTAATTTAAAATCTTCCTTGAGTGGCCTTTTTGTAACTGACATCATAAGTGAAAAGGTGACAATGTGACTCATTTGTCTCAACTCTGAATGACACGGTGCAGCCAGTTTAAACGGTAACTACTAGAGACATAAATCAAATTTTAAAAGGCTATTATAGTTTTCAATACTGATATGAAATTCCTTCTATCCTAAAAAAAAAAAAAAAAAGCTGTTTCACCTTTTGACATGAGATTATAATCTTTTACCTTCGATTAGTCTATTAGGAACTCAACTCAAAGCGATTTTCTCAGCTCGGGATAACGTTTTCTTACCAGATTTCTGAACCTCAAGAGCTAAACAAATTTCATTTGATATAAAGGAAAAAGTCAAATTCTAACTTCTTTATCTTGTCGATAATTTTTTGGACGCTAAAAATTCGCGAAAAAAAAACTTAAACTTTCGGTCAGCTTGTTTTCTTAGCTCAGGATTGCATTTAGGGACGGAAAGAAAGTTGTTGTTATTTCAAATAAGTAGAATGACAAGTACAAGAGCACTTCATTCACAAGTTTAATTTAAACACTGCAAAAAATTAAATTTCGAGGCTATATCACCGGCGTGATATATAGGTTAAGAGGAGAAATTTCATAATTACACATGCAACACGCTTGGTAAATTTCAGTAAAAAACGTTTTCCTGTTAGGCAACAATAGGAACCGAACACCTCGCTTTCTGAAATTCCGAAAACGTTAATATTTTGCCGAGGTCCGCAGGAATTAAATGAGCATTTCAGTGTGTGTAAAAGATTAACAAGATCTCGATAAACTGCATTGATACCCCCCGAAAAAGGGCAAAAGAACAAAGTCTACCACAGCAGCACGGTTCTTCCACCCACGCAACTCATAACTGAGTCAAACCACATCAGATTCAGAGAGCACCGTAATGTTTCATCGTTTTATATGCCGTTATTTTGTCGTGTTATTGGGAGTACCGTTGTCTCTTTTGGGACATGATGATGGGACATCTCCTCCAGGAGGTAAGATTTCTTTTGCCTATAGGCAAATCAAACATTCCTTTAATTACACGCTTTTAAATCGTCCGCAATTAAAATATGTCTTGGGGTTCAGAGAGCACTGATAGCAGCCATCGCTGCTGTTATGAAAATACACACAAGACATCATCTCCTGAGTGGACGTACCCGGTGGTATAGTTCGAAATATTGTGGGGCAGAATTTGAAGAATCATACAGTGAGTCTGTAACACTGTTTTGATTGATATTTCCTGTTTCCTTGCAGGAACACCGGTTTTGAAGCAAAAGTTCACCTTTTCATCCAAGACTTTCAAACAAAGTTTTTTATCAATAGACGAATACTTTTATCTCACTGCGCCTAAGGTTGGAACATTCGCGGTATTCGACGACTTCGAATGCATCTTTTCATGCCTGAGGAATCCTTCATGCTGGTCAATAAACTTGGCGGCGGCAAAGAAACGCGATGCAAAGATTTGGTGTGAGTTGCTGTCTTCTCATAAGCATAGATTTCCTGAGGAATTCAGAGAAAATAGTACTTCACATCACATTTCCATTATGGTAGGGCTTTTTCCAACACACACTATTATAATACAGTGTAGTTTAATTTCTATGAATTCAAGTTCTTTGTCACTAAACATTTCTGCCCGTAAAGGCGAAGAAGTGACTCGTATCTATTCAATTGATGAGTGTGGTATGTGTAAGTTTTGTCCTTCTTCTTTTGGTAGTCTCCATGTTTTTCCTCCCCATGCCATAACGGTGGTAGCTGTGTGACAGGCCACAGAGATCACTCGTTTGAATGTGTATGTAAAAATGGCTTTTTCGGAGAATATTGCGAGAAAGGTTTGTGCGCTTTCTTAATTTGCTGTGATTCCATTGATATTGACAACGTTTGCTTTTTTTTTCTGTTTTTCAATTGTGCAATACCATTTTATATTTTAACTCAGAATAAGCCCACACCTTCAAAGTTCAGAGGCATTGCTCAGGGGAGGGGTCCACGGGTGCATGTGACAACCCCCACCGCCACAGAATGATTATTTACAAATTATCGCAACCAAGCTCACTTCAACTACCAATCAGATGCTCATGTATAGATTTCAAAAAGAAAGCAGAGCTTTCACTTTGGAGCTGATGAAGACCCTTCCCACATCTCAGACTATAAGAAAGTTTTACTGTTCGGCATTGAACCATCAACCTTCGTTTAAATTGAATTGACTAAACTATTTACTACAGACATAACTTGAGATACCAACTCGAAGTCCATTTCGAATACAAACCCTAACATGAGCTCGAACACATTCATTTCGAGGCTGTTACTTAAAAACCACGCTTTTCACTTCTTTTCCGTTCCTAACGATATAATGTACTTCTCAGATCATCTTTTTATCTTCCAGCTGTAAAATCATGCAAGGAGGTATATGATGCATCCAAGTAAGTGACAATAACTGCTTGCACTTTTAAACCGATTTATCCTGAAATTTCCTCACCTATGACGCTGAAGACACAGATGTGACCAGGTGTTTGGAATCGCTTTGGACCCGCAAATAATATTTCATAGAGTTTACAGCGAAAATATTAATGTTATAAATTTGTTTAATGAAGATAAATAATTACTTCCTTACCTTCTCGAACTCAACTTTAACAGATCAAATACGAGTAAACTGGTTTCCCTTCATCTGGGCTCACAGCCAATTACAGTTCTTTGTCACATGGGAGATTTTGGATGCGGACATGGAGGATGGACACCAGTAATGAAGATTAACGGCAACAAGGTACCGTGCGGAATTGATTTTCTATCGATTGCGTGTTATGATCGACCACTTGAGAGATATTTTTCAATAGTTACTGACTGACTTATTGACAACGAGGGCGACTTCCGCTCTCTGTTCACATCTCCTTTACTAAGAGGAAAGATACTATATGTCAAATAGTTTGGGGGGGTAGGATCGTCTCAAACTTTCTAAAAACGATCAGGATAATACGGTAGATAATTAAAAAACCAGAAATAAATTTATATCATATTATAAATTATTCTCCCAGAGTACCTTTCACTTTGATTCTGGTTACTGGAGCAATAAAACTGAATACAACGCTGTTGGAGGAGAGACTGGATTCGACTCACAAGAGACCAAGTTGCCTACTTACTTGAACACATCCTTCTCAAAGATCTGTCTCGGTATGAAGATCGGTGAACAGATCAGATTCATTGTAATCAATATGAAGGCCAGCTCTCTTTACTCATTGATCGCAGACGGGAGATACCGAAATACCTCGTTGGGTCGTGACTCGTGGAAGACACTCATTGGCTTAGAGGCCTCGTTGCAGTTTGACTGTAACAAGGAAGGATTTAATGTTATGTGTGGCAAGTCTCATTACTCCAAAGCGAGAATCGGCATCGCTACTAACAACCAGAATAGTTGCGACTCCTGCGACTCCAGGATTGGGTTTGGTACAGGAGGGCAATTTGATGACAATAACACGTGTGGAAACGAGGCTGCTCGTAAACCGGATAATGGAGATAAACACATCAAAGCCATGGGTTACATTTTGGTGCACTGAAACCAAAGAAACACACGGAAAGTTCATTCAAATGTAAAGATTAGATTCAGAATGATTCAGACTTCGGAAAATTTAGTAAATACAAGCGTTTTCCAAAATCGTAAAAGATGTGCGTTTTTTAATTAGTGGTATATACTTCAAAGACTGCAATTTTATTCGAGATGTTTCGGTAATTATCTGAGACATAAATCAAAGTTTAAGAAGCCTTGAGAGGTTCCAATTCTGATATCACTCTACTTTATGAAAAGTTTCATTTAGGCTAACAATTTTTGGAATGACAAGTTTACACTCAACGTGATTTTCATCCGGCTTAACAAATTTTTCCCCTGAAATCTAAACCTCAACAGCCGAAAAAACACATCTAATCGAGAGGAAATAGTAAAACTCCTATTTCTTGACAAAGATTCTCCTTCTTCAATACTTTTGCGGCCATGAAATGTAGGGAATATAAAAGGGCGGAAACAAATTAACCGTAGACTGATGACAAATGCAAGAGAAATTCAACCACATGTTTGATTTAAACACTGCCGCGCGAAATCTGTAAAAAGAAAGCAACCCTGCATCTTCATCTTTCGTACATGATGCCTGGTAAATGAGAGTAGAAAGCGTTTTTATGGTTAATTAAGAATGAGAAGCGAGCAACACGCTCTTTGGAAATCCAAACACCATTGGTATTAGGCTGATGTTCGTGGAGAAATATGGCTTCCAAGAAGTATTAAGACAACAATCTAGACCTCCTTTAATTGTATTAAAATCCGCATTTAAGGACAGACTAGCTCAGCAGCAAGGTTCACCTACCCACGCAAACTGGTAACCTAGTGAAATAGCATTAGATCCAAGCAGCACCGCAATGTTTCATTCTTTCATCGGCCGATGTTTGGTTATTTTATTCCGAGTAGTGTTTTGTCTCTTTTGGGAAGTGATGACGGGAGCTCTTCTCCGGATAAGAGTCGATTAGACTTTTCGAGAATTAAGCAATCTTCTTAATGCGCTTTTTCAAATCGTTCTTACATCTTCAGATTTGAAAAACACCGGTAGCATTCACCCATTCACAAGTGCTCTGATAGAGATACAAAACCAGACAAATTTTCCAGGATAAAGCCTTTTTTTGGTTTAAAGTTTTCCTTGAATTAAAATTTTTCGAACATGTATTGTCCGGATTTTAATCTTTACCACAATTTTGAAAAAAACAAACAAACAAACAAATCGTTTTCTGTCTCTTAGGGTGGCTATGCAGAGGGATTTTTCGATCCTGTCATTCTTTCCATGTCTCCGCCCTCAATATTCCACGAAACAGTTTTCCATAAGCCCATTCTTTTTCCCTTTTCCTCTGAGTCTCTTGACTCATCGAAAGTAGGCTTTTTCACCTAGATACAAAAATCAGGCACTCGTGGGGAATATATACCTAATATTAATTCCTGTTGTTTCATGCAAGAAAAATAGAATGTCTGAAATGGCTGCAGAAATACTCGCTGATACGAAACAACAGCTGAAGAGAGGAGAGAGAGAAGAGACACAGAGGAGTCTGCAATATCGTTTGAAGCCAGCGTCGAAAGAGAAGCGACCCTGAAGATTTGGATAACAATAAAAAAAATTTGTCTTTCAATATGGCGCCTATTTGCTTCTTTGCAGAAATACCAGTGTCGGAACACAAGTTCACCTTTTCATCCCACACTTACAAACAGTCTTTTATTGATAGATGAATATTTCATCTCACTGCGCCTAAGATTGGAACATTCGTGACATTCGACGACTTCGGTGATTATGCCATTTGTAGTATACATTACACAAACTTTCTTATCGGGCATTATTATGAAGAAAAGTTTTCCCCATGATAAATTTAAAATTTCTGCCGTAATCTTTTTTTTCCTTCTTTCGTTAGTCTCCATGTTTTCCCTTTCCGTGCTACAATGGTGGTAGCTGTGTGACAAGCTGTACAGATAACACTTTTGAATGTCTTTAAAAAAAGCTTCATAGGCGAATATTACGGGACAGGCACTCTCAGCGGTTGTGATTGCAACTGTAGTTTGCAACATGTTTCATCTCAGACGCTCATTTAGTCTAAATGTGCAGCAATAAATTGTCAAGTTGCGAATAAACTGAATTATCTTCATTGACTCTAAACTTGAAGTTCAATTAAAAGTTCAACTCGAAGTTCAAAATCTAACTAGCGCTCGAATTCAGACTCGATGATTCGGAATTCACCCAGAACAAATCTGGATACCTTAGTCTACCATAGATCTTACAAATATCGTATTTTCTCACGTGTGTTTGATATCGCCAATCAGCTACTGACACGTCACTCTCCTTTCGCGCCACTCAGTCAAGTTGATGAATAAACGGCGAAGCCATTACTATTCTCAATCCAAGGTCGTTTGTCGGAATTTTTTCGGATAATGGCCGCTCAAACACTGAAAATATCAATATCGCTCGCAGACAGTGACGTTCAAACTTTCCTAGAAGAGGAAAAAAACCAATAAACGGAAAGGAAAACCGAAAGTTACGTATTCAGTGGTTTTGGCAATGACATTTCTCGCGGCTGAGAACGAAAATCGACAATCGACAATCGACAATCGACAATCGACAATCGACAATCGACAATCGACAATCGACAACCTATTTTAGCCGTGTACCTGTCGGTAAGGAACAAGTCAAAACCGGAGAATTTTGTATATTGAAAATTACGCCCATCGTTTGGTTTTGTATTGTTTCAACGCATTTTTTCATCTTGAACCTTAGCGCCAACGCACTTTACGATTTTCATTCGGGGATTGTCGAACACTCGAAGAGAAATTCCATATCCACGCGCGCCCATGTATTATTCGCTGTTCCTCGCTCCGGAATAGATAATGGAGATAAACACATCAAAGCAATCGGACGCATTTTAGTTTATTGAGAACAAAACGAAATAAAAATGGTCAGGAAAAGAAAGCGCGCTCGTTTAAAAGGTTACGGTTGGAATCATAACGATTCGAAAGTTTGAATGGAAAGAAGATTAAAGAGAGCTTTTCAACTGTAATAGTGTGAGATTCTTATTCTTGTCATTTTCAATGGTCACTCTTCAATTTTGCCGAGGCTTTTGTATGTAGAATTGTAAATCTAAGATTACTTTGGCACATTTTCTTTGCCGAGTGCAATTCTCGGGGAGACTCAAAGCTGATATATTAGAAAACGAAACTCGCCAAAGTTAAGACACCGATGTCGAGAAAAATTTCAATGAAATTAATATTTACCTTAACTTTTTCACAACTTCTAAAGAAAATGTATAAGTGAAATTTCGTCTTTGTAATTTTTCCTTATTAAGACTTTTGAATGCGGTCTACAGCACAGACGATTGAGGCTTCTGACTTCCGTATAACGTGGTTCCAAAATTTTCACCAATCTTCAATGGACCCGATGCTTCCAAATTATGGAAAAACAAACAATCGCGTTTTTTAACCAATTTGCTGTCATGTTGACAGGATATCTCTGGATAAAATTTCACTGGGGTAAAAATACTTTAGTCAGCTTGTATTTGGCGTGCGATGACGATATTTACAATTGGCGTAGGAATCAGTCAAAGGATATTAGTTTGATGCCACCGCCGCCAAAATTTGGAAAACGCGAAACTATTGCCAATTTTTGACTTGCAAAAAACTGGAAAATAGCTGAATTCACCTTAGTGCGACCCGGCTCTAAGAATCCAATTATCTCCCGGATCACATATAAGAAAGTTAAAGAAACCATCTTTCGCAATTATTTTTTAAATTGGAGGTCGCACTTATTTTACGCTACTTGCTGACAGATTTTCATTTGAACAAACAAAAAAAGCTCGAAATTAAGACATTGTCTTTCAGTGACATTTTCCAAGTGTACCAAGCCATTGGATCAAGACAAGAGCGGCTGAATATCATATAAATTACCTCACGTATGAAGATAACATATATCACAAGCAGAAGTCAAAACTCCTTTCACTTTACAGCGTCAGACTCACTCCTGGTGGATGACCACTGATCGTTCGCTCGCGCAGAAGCCATCATGTTCACAATTTTCCATCTGCTCTTCCTGGCATCTCTTGCAGCCAAATCTTTTACAGGTTTGATTGTCTTTATTTCCTATATGATATTTTAGTTTTTTAAGCAGTTTTCACTATTAGAACCTGTTGAGTTATTAGCTTCACACATTATCAAGAAAACCAGACATTTTTTGAGTTGCGGCACAAGTCGTGGGGATAAACTTTTTTTTTAGGCAAAGAAGTCAATCAATTTTTGTCATCATTATTATTTTCTTCTTGCTGAAACTAGTGGGAAGAACGAGAGGGGCTGAAAAGAAAAAGGAACGAAAAGTAGCCTAAAAAACATTTTAACAAGTAGATAAAGTATGAAATTGAGATAGCACAATTGTGTTGCTTTTAAAGTTCAAATGAGCCGAAGTGATCAGTGCTCATGACAAAACTAACTCAAACAGCTGACCAAAATAGATGCCTTTAAAAAATGTGCGGAGCAAAGAATATTCGGTGCACATGAGTAAAGGAAACTTAATGGTTTAACATCATTACCGAGACTTTCTATTCCTTTTTCGCTAATTAATGCAGGCAGCTAAAGTGGCGAAAATAAAATTGATGCTTTTATCATTTAGCTAAAAAAACAGGTTTTTAAGGAAACTAACACTGACCCAAAACAAACAAAAGAATGGTTGTCTGATCCAAATGTTTTCCCGATTTTTCAAGTCCCCGCTGATAATTGGAAACCTATGATATTTAACCGTTCGCCCTTTCAGATGATTCACAATCGCTTTCTCGAACTTTGAATATCTAGAAACCGGAAAAAGGTTTTAGCCACATGAAAATGCTCCTTGTAACAATCATCAAGGTCCCGACTAAGTGCTTTCAAGCCGTATTTTACGAGGGAACAAGTGACAAGTCTGCCATTAAGTCACGACAGACTAAACACCCCTTTTTACATAATAGAAGTGCCTGAAATTGCTGTAAGTCAAAAAAGGAACGTTTCGTTTGAATTTTTGTCCTAGCACATTGGTAAAACCTTTCAAAGTCTTCAAAGGGAGGTGAGTTTCCTGGTAAAAACAAATAAAGGTTTAGTGGCCGTTCTGCAGTTCGGCTGAATGAGCTACAAATGATAATTTGTCAACTCGAAATTGTATCAATTATTGGCTTTAAGTTTGTTACATTTTTTGCAAGTAGAGATGATTCAAGATATTTCATCATCGCCTACGAAGGTGGATTTGTCTCTAACTGAATTCAAACTCAGAGTTTCAGTTTTCACAAAATTATACAAACAAATATATATTGGGCCAGTGAACATACATTCACATTAGGAAGTAAGATGTTTCAGAAGAAATCTTGGCCCAATTTCAGATCTAATTTTAAGAACTGACACAATTAAATGAAATATGTTATATTCTGAAAGGGGTCGCAGGGATGTTTCTAAAACTAGTATTGGAGGTCAGTTAACTAATAACTGTGAATAAAAAGCTCAAAATTTACGAGGAAAATGGAGAAAATCAAAGCCAAATGAACTCAAGTGTCACTGAAAAATGTTTTAAAAGTCAAAGACCCGAAGTTATAAAGACAAATTTGCAAAACATGAAACTTGCGAGTTTTTTTCGCTTTATTTTTGTTGCTTGTTGGATCAGGACCTAAAAGGTCAATGCCGATAGAAAAGTTGGGCAGTTCTTCGCTAGTTTCTTCCATATTTCAAAGAGAAGGAAAACTGCGCTGCAGCTTAACAGGACGGAACTCTGAAGCCAGATAACAAAAATGCTCACGTCATCTTATTTAGGCACGGGTGTGCGTAAATAAAGATTTTGTTCATAGAGGCTCAATAGGACTTATATAGGGCAAGCACGTGCGCTTTGTTATAAATGCTCATTGCTAAAAGGGTTCAACTTCCAGCTTCGTTTTTCTTTTCGTTCGGTTGCAAATCGCTGTCGAGTCCTTGAAACGCATGGCTGCTTGGGAAAGACTCACATTTTTACTCATATGCAGTCGAATATAATAAACCAACTACATGTCCGTATATTAATTGTCGTTGACTTAACGGCTGTTATAACATGCCTAATTTTAAAACAAACATGCTGAGGGGTGTTACTGAGCTGTGGATCAGCAGACCGCGGAGCCTTTGGAACCTCTGGTACCTGATTAACCTATGGAACCCTCATTTTTTTCCCTTTTTTTTTTTTGGAGGAGAAAAGTAATGGGATAAACTAAAAAAATCTTAACGTTGTTTGAATCTTTGTTTTCGGGTATAAAGTAGAATACTTAAAAGAAAAATATGTTTTAACTGTCCTTGATGTCCAACTTTAATCGTGGCGACGTTCACAGAACTAATACAAGGGTACGTAATGTCATAACGAGCAATTAGCCGTCACCTACCGTGTTGTTATTAATTGAACAAAAATTTGAAAGCTCTAAGGCTATGGGTACGGTGATATTCGAATAACGCCTCATCCGAAGGCTCTCAGCAAACCTTTGAGCCCTGTTAAAAAGATCATAATAGTTGATGATAGTCGACGGTAGCTCTCATGATAGCTGATGATAATCGATGATAGTCGATGATAATGCATACAAAAGTTCGTGTTCAAACGCGCGCGATAGTTTTACATAACCTTGTAATGAGGAACATGAGCGTGAATTAACATCATCGCCCGTGATACCTGTATAATTTCGGGGCGATCATGGTGTCAGGAGCAAATTTACAGCGTTTTTATTCGGTGGATTCGTTTGGTTTGCGTCACTCACAGACGTATCTCGGAAAGGATTATGTAAAGGGCAAAGCAGATTAACTAAAACCGAACTAAACTGCCCGAAATCAGCCCAAACATTTACACGATGCAAAGGAACAACCACTTGAGCGAGGTAAAAATGGTTTTATTCAGAACTAGTCCAGAACTGTTAAGGGTCTAGAGCGCGACTGTTTCAGTATTGCCATGCAAACCCATGTATTTCGCCCATCGCACAACGTGAATATATTGGCGTATTCGCAGATGCTCACTTGGGGAACTTGGGCTTCCTGTAGTTGGACGTCAAGGTAGAGAAAAAACATATTTCTCTTTTAACGTTATCTCCTTTATAACCGAAAACGAAATTTCGAACAGCATTAAGGTATTTTTAGGTTATATTTTATTTCATTACAATTTTTTTCCAAAAATTAATGGTTCCGCAGGTTCGAGTGGTTCCGAAGGTTCCACAGGTTCCACTGGCTCTAGAGGTTCCGCGGTCTGCTGATCAATAGTTTCGTAACACCCCATGCTTAAGCGAAAATAAGAATTAAAGACGCATCAAAGAGGTTCATTGCATACTCTACCCTAACAAGATAGATTTTTTAAATGATTTATATAGGTGAAAGACATAGCACGGTTTTGAGAAAAGCATTCCCCAAAAATGTGGCCTGGGTTCAATTCCAAGACCTCCACTTACATGTGGGTTGAAAGAAAACACTCACAATTTCTAATTCGACCTGAATGTGCCATTACAATAATTAATAAACTATTGCTTATTTATTCATTCATGAATTGAATGATTAATTGTTGATGGAGTGATGGATTGGTGGATTTTCTTTCATCTGAAATGTTTACGTTTCATTTGGTTTGTTTTGTTTCTTGAGGCATTTTACGTGATCTGAAGCACGCCACGTATGATACACGCGCGTGTGATCACAGTCGTTATATGAACAAGTTCTTTTTAGATCAGCGAACCTGAGGGAAGTATAGCGAATATACGCATTAAACCTTGGAGCTGAACGATTTCTACGCTTATGGCTAAAAGTTCCTTATTGAAATAAGAATTTAATGAAATATACAAGCTTATATTTCAGCAGTAAGGTAGCAATTGCAAACAATTTTTCATCTCCAGTAACCTTTTCATATCTTAATTTAAAATCTTCCTTGAGTGGCTTTTTGTAACTGACATCAAAAGTGAAAAGGTGACAATGTGACTCATTTGTCTCAACTCTAAATGACACGGTGCAGCCAGTTTAAACGGTAACTACTAGAGACATAAATCAAATTTTAAAAGGTCATTATAGTTTTCAATACTGATATGAAATTCCTTCTATCTTTAAAAAAAAAAAAAAGAAGAAGCTGTTTCACCTTTTCACATGAGATTATAATCTTTTACCTTTAAAAACAAACGTTCGCTCGACTCTTTTTCTTTGCTCAGGATTGCATTTAAGTACGAAAAGAAAGTTTTTGTTATTTCAAATAAGTAGAATGACAAGTACAAGAGTACTTCATTCACGAGTTTAATTTAAACACTGCAAAAAATTAAATTTGAGGCTATATTACCGGCGTGATGCCGAGTATATAGGTTAAAAGGAGAAATGTTATAATTACACGTGCAGCACGCTTGGTAAATGTCAGTAAAAAACGTTTTCCTGTTAGGCAACAACAAGAACCGAACACCTCGCTTTCTGAAATTCCGAAAACGTTGATATTCTGCCGAGGTCTGCAGGAATTAAATGAGCATTTCAATGTGTGCAAAAGATTGACAAGATTTCGATAAACTGCATTGATACCCCCCAAAAAAAGGATAGAATAACAAAGTCTAACACAGCAGCACGGTTCTCCAACCCACGCAACTCATAACTGAGTCAAACCACATCAGATCCAGAGAGCACCGTAATGTTTCATCGTTTTATATGCCGTTGTTTAGTCATGTTATTTGGATTACCGTTGTCTCTTTTGGGACATGATGATGGGACGTCTCTTCCACGAGGTAAGATTTCTTTTGCCTATAGGCAAATCAAACATTCCTTTAATTACACGCTTTTAAATCGTCCGCAATTAAAATATTTCTTGGGGTTCAGAGAGCACTGATCGCAGCCATCGCTGATGTTATGAAAATACACACAAGATATCATCTCCTGAGTGGACATAGCCGGTGGAATAGTTCAAAATATTTTGGCGCAGAATTTGAAGAATCATAAAGTGAGTCTGTAAAACTGTTTTGATGGATATTTCCTGTTTCCTTGCAGGAACACCGGTTTTAAAGCAAAAGTTCACCTTTTCATCCAAGACTTTCAAACAAAGTCTTTCATCAATAGACGAATACTTTTATCTCACTGCGCCTAAGGTTAGAACATTCGCGGCATTCGACGACTTCGAATGCATCTTTTCATGCCTGAGGAATCCTTCATGCTGGTCAGTAAACTTGGCGGTGGCAAAGAAACGCGATGCAAAGATTTGGTGCGAGTTGCTGTCTTCTCATAAGCATAGATTTCCTGAGGAATTCAGAGAAAATAGTACTTCACGTCACATTTCCATTATGGTAGGGCTTTTTCCAACACACAATATTATAATACAGTGTAGCTTAATTTCTATGAATTTAAGGTCTTTGTCACTAAACATTTCTGGCCGCAAAGGCGAAGAAGTGACTAGTATCTATTCAATTGATGAGTGTGGTATGTATAAGTTTTTTTCATCTTCTTTTGGTAGTCTCCATGTTTTTCCTCCCCATGCCATAACGGTGGTAGCTGTGTGACAAGCCACAGAGATCACTCGTTTGAATGTGTATGTAAAAATGGCTTTTTCGGAGAATATTGCAAGAAAGGTTTGTACGCTTTCTTAATTTGTTGTGATTCCATTGATATTGACAACGTTTGCTTTTTTTTTGTTTTTTAATTGCGAAATACCATTTTTTATTGTTTTTTTAGAGGGCACGGTAACGAATCTTGCAATCTGATTGGTTCTTTACCCGGTCAGTATTTTCCTATCTCTACCCACGGGCCACGGTAACGCTTCCGTGAGTCGCCGAGTACATCCCAACTTTCGTTGTCATTTTTCATAAATATACCTCGTTTTCCGGCTGGGCAGTATTTTTAAGCAAACACGTCGGTCACTACCTCAAGCCGATAATTAACTTATGAATCCTCTCTTTTCTCTCTATCATATCCCTTTGTTTGACAGAAAAATATTGGTTTCAGAATGAATTTGTATAAGCAATAGTGTCATTAGGTTGGTTGACAAGCGGCCTAAAAACCGTCTGCAATTAATTTTAATCGTTCACAAAAAGTACCCAGAAAGTTGAAACGTGAGGTATTTGGTTACAGTTAAACTGAACGATGGAACTTTCATTCATTTAATATCTGAATTTTCTCGAGCAATTTGTTCATACTGAAAGAACGAGCGAAGTTTTAATTTAAGTTCTACAACAAATATACGCTCCCGGTGAGTCTTTCCAATTGCGTTCAATTTGGACATTTGTACCGTAAATTGCACAACAGAAATCGAAGGAATTTTTTGAGAAAAAGCCGTATTAAATTCCCTTGTGTCTCGTTGGAGTGTGCCGTTCGAATTTAGTTTTTGTGAAGGAAAGACCAGAGTTAAACACGCCATTACAGCAAACAAACGAGCAAGCTCTCACAATTTCAAAATAAAAAAATTGAATTTACTCACAATTACTTTCCTCGCCGTTTACTTAATGAACAGAGGTAAATCTTCGTACATGAATGAATGGTCGATGAGAGTGAATAATACTTTCCGTTAGATCATTGACTAATTTTGAAGAAAACATTGTCGTGACAGTCCTTGCCAAACTAGTTCTGTTGGTTTTCAAATGTTCCTACGCTTTTTTTTTCTTGCGCGCTCTCTAATTGACAGGTGTCAGATTGTGACAGATACTTGTAAAAATAATGTTTCAAAGTTTGTTTGGAAGCCTTTTAAATCGCCTTTATCGTTACGGAAATGAAAATGTTTCGTTGAGGTATCTCTCTTAAATTTGCATCACCTCTATTTCAACTACAATTTACTCACTCAAAAATTGTTCAGTTTATGGAAGATCTTGCCGTATTAACGGCCATAAATCATCCGGGTTCTTTCGGAAAGAATTTCGTCAAGTTTAAAAACAATAAATATGTTATTTACCGGCTAAGGGTCGGTCCGTATGGTGAAAAACTGCGACCTCGGTCTTGAAAATGCTGCCCTCGGCCTATGACCTCGGGCAGTATTTTCAAGACCTCGGTCACAGTTTTTCACCATACGGACCTCCCAGCCGGCAAATAACATATATAAATTTTTACTCAGAATAAGTCCACACCTCCAAAGTTCAGAGGCATTGCTCAGGGAAGGGGTCCACGGGTGCATATGACAACCCCCACAGCCACAGAATGATTATTTACAAATTATTACAACCAAGCTCACTTCAAATACCAATCAGATGCTCATGTATAAATTCCAAAAAGAAAGCAGAGCTTTCACTTTGGAGCTGATGAAGAACCTTCCCACATCTCAGACTCTAAAAAAGTTTTACTGTTCGGCATTGAACCATCAACCTGCGTTTAAATTGAATTGACTAAACTATTTACTATAGACATAACTTAAGACACCAACTCGAAGTCCATTTCAAATACAAACCCTAACATGAGCTCGAACACATTCACTTCGAGGCTTTTGCTTAAAAACCACACTTTTCACTTCTTTTCCGTTCCTAGCGATATAATGTATTTCTCAGATCATCTTTTTATCTTCCAGCTGTAAAATCATGCAAGGAGGTATATGATGCATCCAAGTAAGTTACCATAACTGCTTGCTCTTTTAAACCGATTTATCTTGTAATTTCCTCACCTATGACGCTGAAGACACAGATGTGACCAGGTGGTTGGAATCCCTTTGGACCAGAAAATAATATTTCATAGAGTTTACCGCGAAAATATTAATGTTATAAATTTGTTTAATGAAGATAAATAATTACTTCCTTACCTTCTCGAACTCAACTTTAACAGATCAAATACGAGTAAACTGGTTTCCCTTCATCTGGGCTCACAGCCAACGACAGTTCTCTGTCACATGGGAGATTTTGGATGTGGACATGGAGGATGGACGCCAGTCATGAAGATTAACGGCAACAAGGTACCATGCGGAATCGATTTTTTATCGATTGCGTGCCATGATCGACCACTTGAGAGATATTTCTCCACAGGTGCTGACTGACTTATTGACAACGAGGGCGACTTCCGCTCTCTGTTCATGTCTCTGGCTGACATCTCCTTGACTAAGGGGTAGATACTTTATGTCAAATGGGTTGGGAGGAGGGATCGTCTCAAACTTTCTAAAAACGATCAGGAGGATATGGTGGATAATTAAAAAAGCAGTAATGAATTTATATCATATTATAAATTATTCTCCCAGAGTACCTTTCACTATGATTCTGGTTACTGGAGTAATAAAACTGAATACAACACTGCTGGAGGGGAGACTGGATTCGACTCACAAGAGACCAAGTTGCCTACTTACTGGGACACGTCCTTCTCCAAGATCTGTCTCGGTATGAAGATCGGTGAACAGATCAGATTCATTGTAATCAATATGAAGGCCAGCTCTCTTTACTCATTGATCGCTGACGGAAAATACCGAAACACCTCGTTGGGTCGTGACTCGTGGAAGACACTCATTGGCTCAGAGGCCTCCCTGCAGTCTGACTGTAACAAGGAAGGGTTTAATGTTATCTGTGGTGGGTCTGGTTTTTCCAAAGCCAGAATCGGCATAGCTACTAACAACCAGAATCACTGCAATTCTTGCGACTCCAGGATTGGGTTTGGTACAGGAGGGCACCCTGATGACTCTAACACATGTGGAAACGAGGCTTCGCTTTCACCGGATAAAGGAGATAAACACATTAAAGCCATGGGTTACATTTTGGTGTATTGAAACCAAGAGAAATATGCGGAAAGTTTGTTCAAATGTTAAGATTGGATTCAGACAGATTCAATAATAAATAAAAAAGCCTATTTCGAAAATCTTAAATGTAACGAACATTCGAAGTAGACTTTGTTTTCGTAATCGTTTTGTTTTGATTTAAAGTAGGGAAAAAGTTCTGTTTTGTTTCTTTGTCGAGTTTACGCCCCAATTTTCCTAGTGTACTTTTCTTCACACTTTTAATTACCTACTTAGCTAGCATTCCTGATAAACCAGTTTGCAATTGTATGCGTGGCCTATACCCTTATAGTGGCACGTCCCTTAAGTGTCGAGTCAGTTGGAGTTAGGAGATCGACGGAGATAGATCAGAGCTTCTTTTTACACAAGATTGTTCCAATTACGTAACGTTGCAGTTTCTCTAAACCCGTAAAGACAGGATCAGACGCAAGTTCCAGCCTGTTGTATTTAGTTTCCTTTTCTTTTCGACTTCGCTTGTTTTGTAACTAGTCTCAGCCCATTTTTTGATCTTGTACATTACAATTTCCTTTTCTCAGTTTTCACCGCATGTGTACGATAGTCAAACGATAGCATTAAACGTTGTTGAATCAACTTGTGTTGTCGATTCCTACACTGTGGTTGACACTCCGGACCTCCCCGAACTCCAGTGCACAACACCCCGTGTCCGTTGCACTGGTTAGGCGAACTTAAAACATGTGTTGTTTTTTTTTCCGTTGTATACATCAATGACTCTTCAATTTTATTCGAGCCTTTTTTCGATTGTCTCGTTAGGCCGGAACGTCGTTCGCACATTTACTTTGGCAAAAGAAATTGTTGAGGAAGACTCAAACCGTTCTCCGATACGTTTGAAAGCAAAACTTGACAACGGCACCGATTTTGAAGGAAAACTCGCTAATGTAAAATTCTGTCATGAGATTTTCACTATCAGATTATGTTATCTGCATGACAGAATCTTCGTTGCTGTTGTGCATCGTAATGCACAACAGCATAAAGGTTACGCGTACCCAATCCAGACCCTATCGCTTAAAGTAGGCAAGCCGTAAGCAATGAAAGAGTAGCGATCCACATCCGAAGTGACTCCATCGTGAGATAAACGATTATTTTTCTCTTTTGATGAAAGTGTGATTAAATACGATAAAAAACCACAAGCTTTTTTACGATAAGAAACCTACAGTCGTGCTTTACAGCACCAATGAAAATGGGCTCTGAGGACCGTATACTGTGGGTCCTCTTAACAGACAAATGGTATTACAATCAAATATAATGATTCTCGTTTTTATTAATCAATCTTGGGTTTGGCCCATTCCCCGCACGGTTATAATCTGGATACGAGAAGTTCTCTGATATGGATTGATTTTCTTGTCATGTCTTGCCTATGGTTTTTTTCATTTCCTTTTGTTTGAGGGAATCCTTCGACCCCATTGAGACTCTCGTATCTAAGGTCGTTAGACTGAAAGCGAAAAAACAACACCCAAATATGCGACCTGAAATCCACCAGAAAAGGTTCAAGAAAGTTTAGACTCACCATATTGGGATTCATCAGAAAATGAATTAAAGCCTTCAAAGGCTCAGATGCCGATTTGATTTTAGACATGTGCTGTACTGTAAAATGAAAAGAGCCAAATTGACCCCAAAAGCCAAATTATTTAATTTCTCGAGGACCAGTTTGGCCCATCAAGGTTCGTTTTGGACTATTTGAGCCAAAACGGGCGGGACAGGTACCATTTCGACCCTTCCAAAATCTGAATTGGCCCCTATGAATTCTACTTTGGAACTTTTTCTTAATTTGGCCCTTCCAAGAGCCAAGTAGGATTGACCAATTTGGCCCCAACGAGGTGCAATTTTTGAAAAAAAAAGAAAATATAAAAATAATTTTCTTTTTTCGACCATATTTCGTTCCCTATACTATTCCTTATAAAATGTTCAAATTTTCAACGGTTCCTCTCGTAACTGAACACCGAGTCACACAACGAATTAATCGTTGGCTTTTTCTCGAGACGTGAGCGTGAGCTGCCTGTGATGGCATTAGTCGAACATAAACCGCGTGTGTCGGACACAAGAATGAATTATAGCAGCGAACTCATCACTGAAGAGGCTGTTTCTTTGGCTCCAGTCGCATGGAATGAGACTTAAGAAAGGATAGGTAAGCGAAAGAAATTTGTTTAACAACGCATTTTACTGGATTTTTACAAACACAAACTTGACCGCTTCATTGATCTTTGTTCGTACCTTATATCGCAGAAAAGGACGGTTGCGATGGCCAAGATCTCCTTGCCATTACCCAAGATGCAGACGAACCGAGACAATACTTCCCTATTACAGAAGAGCGTCTAAAGCTCAATAAAATTTATTGCAATGAACGCTGAACCCAAAGATGACACGAGTTCTTCGTCGGTACGTTAATTCATTTTCCCACCAGAGAATTTGACGCATGCATGGTTCGCCTTTTCTCCTGAGCATTGCTGAGTCTTAGTGGTTTCACAACTAAGGTCATGTGACCTAATTTTGGCGCCGAGAGATAGAGACGGTTACAGTTCGAATACTGTGATTGTTCAAGATGGACTCTGATTTTAGGATCTCTCAAGTTCTGAATTCTTAATCTTTTTCTGATAATTTTATGTCTATGTCTTGGTTTGTATCCACTTAAGCTGATTTTTTTGGCTTTCTCTCTTTCAGCGTGCAGAATCAAGTCCTTCGAGTAGGACGTTTCAAACGTCGATTGATGATTCAGAAAACATCAGCGATTAAGAACATTTACAAGTGATATCGGCATCTACAGAAAAGGGCAAATTGCCCAAGGATCTCTGTCTTACGGACGAAGCGACAGACCTGAGCACTGTCTAAGTAAGTTCTTGTATATTAAACTTAGCAGGATGGTGAAGAGTACATTATCGATTACTTTCTTTCGATTATATCCTAAAGGAAAACACACAAGGTGCCAGTTGGTCAGTTAAAGATGACAAATCTCGGGGATTGCACCTACAAAAATGGCGAGATTTGCTTTATTTTTATTGAAATATATTAGATATGTATTTACTTGCACCATGCATAAAACAAAGTAAACCCAATTTTTAAATCTGGTAAATTAAAAAATTAGTGAATTGATAGGATGTTATCAGACAGTTTAATTTTTTTGAAAACAAATATTTACCTACAGGTTCCTCCTGAATGGCTTTCAAAATTCCAACTACCATCGAGGGTAAGAAACTTTTCTTTGTTTTGTTTTTTAAGTCTACAAGCAATCCTTATTTATTCATGAATACTGAACTAAAACTGAAGTGCAAAGAGGTATGATTTCTTTTCTTGATAAGTACATATACAGTTTGGTGAAAATACATCATTGATGATCACCATTATTGTGCTTTTCCTTCTTATGTACAGTTTGCTTACAAATATTTTGCAACTTTGTAGTTGCAAAAATTTACTGTTCTCCAACAACAAATTAATTTGCTCATTTGTTTGTTTTTTTGTACAGTTCTCTGCCTCAGTAGAGTTGGATACCCAGAAGGGATATCTCATCAGCAGCCTAAAGTACTCTGAGCAACAGTGGATTGCAAAACAAAAATTATTGCAGAGTATCCTTGTATGGTTAGCAGGATACTACACTAAGTTGACTTGGAAACTGAATGGATTGGTATGGTCTAAAAATCTATTGCTTCACCTCTTCTGCTTGCAGTGAAGAGAGACAATTTTGTGGTGCTGAATCTCTTGCCTTAAACTAAAAGTTGCAAAATAATCACTCTCACCTTTTAAGTTCATGACCTTTGTTCTTGTGTGTTTGTCATCACATGTATTTAATGAAGTTGTGACCATTTTGGAGGTACAAGTCCAAAAAACTGCTACTTTGGTACTAAGATGAACAGCTAAAATTTTTGAGCCCATTTGCCAATGAAGTCCAGATACAAAGGTTCAAGTACTTTGGGGTTGTATTCATTTTGCCTTTTTGTTTAATTTTTTTGATTTTGCAATTTTTTAAAATATTCCTGTTGTCAAACCATTAGATAAATATTGCACATAGAATAGCTGATTTTTTTCAGATATTTTGGGAGTCATACATTAGTTTTTCAAGTCTTGAATGGGAGACAAATTACACACATTGAGCTAAACTTCCACTTCCATTTCTAATGTTTTAGCTTATAGTTTTAGAAAAACAATACATATATATATATATATATACACTTAAATGTGGGGGTAGAGTCTACCTTGGCATAAAGCGCTCAATGCTGTGGTAGCAGAGCTAAGTATACATAAGTTAAAGAATTAAAGAGGACACATCAATTCTCTGTGACTCTGAATTTCACTTATTGCATAGAGTAGCTTATGTTGATTAAGCAATCAGAGATTATGTCCAGCACAAATTTTAATTGTTGGAGATCTTCAATACATCAATCACCTGAATATAGTAACAGAGGGAAGTGTAATTTTGTCACTTCTCACAAGAAAAGATTCTTGATGCTCTCATTGGGTTACTTGGCTCATTTATATTTTCTTACAATCGGTCAAAGGCAATTTTGACTTTTTTTAGAGCAAGCATTGCTTGAAATTGGGCACAGGTATACTCTTTTCACTGTTTCCTTTATTTTCAATGACTTGGCAAATGTCTGCAGTAGTACTTGCTGATAGTTTATATTTTGATAATATCTAGAGTAGCAATATGAGTGCGTGTATTCTCACATCCACTGGAAGAATACTCTTTGCTGCTCTAAGGCTCTTTGTTTTTCATATGCACAAATCAAACAAGATCTATATTCTTGTGCAGGAACTGGACCATTTGTTGCCTCTGTCTTATTTTTATAATTTTCTGTACTTTAAATCAGTCTTAATTATAAGCTGCTTTACATTACCACATTTGCTAAGTCATTGAAAAGGGAAGCTTTACTCACAAGTGTCTCTTGGGTGTAATTTCTTGCAATGCTTGCACTGTTAAGAAGTATACTGATTTAGGGAAGAGATCTATTTTAGAAAATGGTTGAATTAATGTTAAATATGTATGTATGTTATATTCTTTCACATGATGTTCAAAGTTTGTCTGTTTTATACCACAATTAAGATTCGTAATAACTGTAAAATCAGGTAACGTAAAAGGTTATTACATAAACAATATTTAGAACCTAATAAATGAGTGTTTGAAAGATAAAGTATGTGGTGTATTTTCATTATTTGAATGTAAGGGGGAAAATCAGCATGGGGAGGAAAGAGCCCTCTACTTCTGAAGTGGCCCACATCGGAGCTGAATTGGCTCTTTTTAAAGGGGCCATTTGTGAGAGGACTGAAATTCCGGGGGCTGTTTTGGCCCCTATAAATTTTAAAGTGGCCCCTGTATTTTTCAAATTCACCCTTCACATGGTCCAATTTGGCCCCCATCAACGGGGTCAATTCAGCCCCAAAATTGGTGCCAAAAACAGCCCCATTTCAATGGGGCCTAATTGACCCTAAGCGAGTGCCAAACTGGACTCACTCGTTTTGGCCCTATTTTTGGGGCCAAATCAACTCTTTTAATTTTACAGGAAAATTTTGCCTCGTTTTCGTGCCGTTTACTAGTCAGTTTTGGGAAAAGGTTAGCCTCGACTTGTACAAGACTGACTGAACACAGGAACACGAGAAACTAATGTAAGCAATATAATTTCCGAACATCAACGACTGACATGTCTTACGATAGGCTGGGACTGAAAAAATGATCAGTCCTAATTGGCTCATTATCTCAGCTGGTAGAGCAGTACACCGGTATCGCAGAGGTCATAGGTTCAAATCCGATACCAGCCTAACTTTTCAAGGCTTTATTTTCACTACTGTTTAAGTAGTGTTCATAACGACCTGAGTAGCAAACTTCTGATTGGCGGAAATCAACACGGCAATTTCAACGCGTCCAGCTTTCAGTTCGGTTACTCACGCTTCCGATCCACCAATAACACCTTTCAAATATCACGCATAAAAAAGAGTTCATGACACTGCGAGGAAGAATATTAAACCACGAGATATTTTAATTCCGAAAGCTATTTTCTGCTTCTCGCTGCGGTCAAGATCTTGCTGTTGCAAGACGCTCAACTAAGTTACCGATCACCAAATGGTCAAAGCATGGTTCGACGGTTGCTGCTCTGTCTGAAAGAGGTTTCATCAAGGACCTATCTATTGCAGTGGATGTTGAAATTAATCCGGGTCCGGAAAATTTTAACTACATGCCGACTGCTTCACTTCAAACTTCAAGACCTAGATTTTCTTTCAGTCGACGTAATTTATTTCAACTTCGCTCCTGTTGTCCTAAGGTTAAACTGGATTATTATCTTATTCATCGCTTAAAGTCATTGGGAATTTATAGAGCTAGAGGTCGTAGAGCTGGTGTTAATTCTAGATTTGGATCTCGTCAACAACATCACAAGATTCCAGTTCGTGTCACTGACCACTGTTTTTATCAACGACCAAACGCGCACGACTTCGACCCAAGGATACAAATTTGCATTTCATTTCTACTCACTCTTCTTCTTTACCCCGAATAATCCCCAAATGTATGGTCATTAATGCAAGATCACTTGTGAAAGTTGATGCTGCTTCTGCTTTGCATATGGAATTGCACTCAAACAACTGCG